TGGAGAGAGCTTTCGAGCAGAACGCTGAGTATGCGCAGCGCGCAGCCTTCTATAGGCTTGCGCAAGCATGGAGGGTCGTTGGTGCGTCCATTACCATGGCGACACGACGCCGAGCAGAGTTACACAGACAACAAAGAAGGTCACGACCGCAGAACACCGCCCTACGACCGTCCGAGATGACGCACCGAGCATCCTCCGCGCACATGGAGGCACATGACAAGCGCATGGCGATCCCTCCAAATCCTGCAGTGCGTGCTATCTTGAGCACGCTAGAGAAGCCAACATCACCATCCCGATCGCCCAGTGTGCGAGAGAGCACTTCTAATATCGCGACCCCTCTTGCCCGTCCAGTCATCACCCAAATCGTGGATGATGCTGAAAGGCCAGACTTGCTCGATATCGATCAGGAGGACATTGATCAGCTTCCACCCGCTGTTACTGGACCGCCCGGCGATGCAAGTCGAACACTTGCACCGCCAAGGACGTTCAGTGGGCCACAATGGTATCACTCGGGCGACGACATCGATGAACGCCGTGCCTTGGTCGGCAGCTATCGTGCATCCCCACGGATTCCACTGAGCCTCGCACCGAGTGGCACACAAACCGGGCGCATCATTGAGCCTCACCCACTGGAGCGACACGACTCTGGTGAAAGCTTTACTATGTTCTCTGCATCATCAGATTCTCAGAAGGGCAATTCTGTGCCGAGCTCGTTCGCGAGTACCAACTCGCAACTAGGCCACGGGCATTCACTATCGGAAAATTGGCAGTCTGTCCAGGAACAATCTAGCTTCGGGAAGCCGAGGAACGCTGAAGATCAAGAGCTGAGCAAAAGCATCTCGATATCTCCTACGACCATGCCCGTGAGCAAAAGTTTCCGTGCAGACCAAGGATACACGCAGAAAGCGGCCCGCAGCGCTTCAAACAATGTGGATGAATTCGGCAGTGGGGAGAAAGCTGTTCGTGATATGGAACATTTACGGCGAAACAACCAACTACTTCGTCATGACAGCTCTGATTCTGAAGCGCTCACAAGCATCTCCTCGTCGTCCTACGAGTTCAGCACTGAGATGGAAGCTAGCGGAACTATTGTACCTGACGTTTTTGAGGATGTGAGGTCGCCTCATGTTCTCAAGCCACCAGCCACCCTGCCACATACTTCTGGAAGTGCACCTCCAGTACTTGATCCAACAGTAGAGGAAGGATTATTGCTGTCCGACTTTGAAGCTGTGCACGTCGACGCCGAGGCCGGCTCGCCCTACTCCGTCGTTGGGCTGCTGAATCATCTCCTAGAATACCACGCGGAAGCGTCAGATGCACAGTTTTCCTCAGTCCTTATCCTACTTCTAGCTCCGCTGTTGCCACAGACGCATGGTCCTTCTGATACTCCAGATGTGCACATAGGCGATGTATTGAGCGTCTTCAGTGATACGTTCGTAGCACTAGGACTGACTCAAGCACAAGCGAAAGCCATACTATCGACACAACTGAGTCAGTTGATAGCTACCGGTATTAACCCCTACCAAGCGGAGTCTATCCTTTCTTCCTATCATCTCCAGCTACATTCCTTGTCACTATTCAACTCCGCGGCCTCTCTCCGTCGGCTAGCGTACCCGACATATCCTGCCGTCTACGAGCAAGCGCTGAAAGAAACGCAAGTCGGGCTTTTGTGCCTAAGCTGCAAGTCACCAATCAACAACCCTAGAGATAAGATGCGATGCGAGTCCTGCAAGCGAACGCAGGCACCCTGTCCGATTTGCTGGGGTAAATACCCGGCTTTCGAATCGATCACCGCGAAAAAGAAATCCAAAGCGAAATCGCGGCCATCATTCAAGGATAGAGGGCACAGAAGGCAGCGATCGTCTCTCACATCGAATCCAGACCATGCCGGCGATCAAGTCGTCGACGGCCCATCACCGACCATTCCAGCCAAGTGGTCTTCACCTGCGGCAACACTCTGGACATGGTGTCCATTATGTGGACACGGAGGGCATTCGGACTGTCTTTCAACATGGTTCGCCGATCCGGCACTATCAGACGGCGCATGTCCTACCGAAGGCTGTCTCTGCGACTGTGTCCAAGGCAAACGCCGCGACACAAAGATTGAAGAGATGCTCCTGAAGAAGGCAGAGAAGGACCGATCGAAGGTTGTACGAAAAGGCGATGATTGGAAGGTAAAAGAAAGCCGCGCCGTCTCGGCAGTCCGGAACGCTGCCCTCGACACGATACCAGATCAACAATCACAACCAAATTCTGGCACCACAACACCGACTCGTAGATGAAACAAAGGCTACTTCCGAAGCAATCAATATCAAGCAATACGCGCATCGATACTTCCCGGGCCGTCGCAAGTCTCGACCACCTGAATTCGGCCCGAAACGCATCTTTCACTTTGCAAATCCGTGCACTTAATACCAGGCACGGCAACCCTTCGAGTCCGATCCTGACATCACCACACATCCAACCACGACGCTTTCCGCATGAATTCCTCACGTCGGATCTGCATCTCAATTTTTGTAATACGTCGGTGTACATGGCAAAATGGAGCTGCCCGCATACATGCATAATCACACCGCTTGTATGCGCGCCAAGCATCGTTGTAAGACAATGAAAAGCCCGCACACCCTCATAAAGCGCGCAGCCCGCCCGCTTCCCCGGGATGCGGGACGCTGACTTATTTGAAGCGTGGGTCTGCCACGTGTAATTCGTGGTAGCGAGCGGGAATTTACATGTCTGGTGCTGCATGTGGTAGTATGTGTTTTCGGTACTTTTGCGCGCAGATGGTCGGTCGGGATCGCGGGAGCGATGGAATGTGGGAAGGCGGTGGGGGTGGTGTATGCATGTGATTTCTGCGATGATGCGCGATGACGAGTTGAGAGGATGTTCTGGGGGTGTAAGACGATACCGTCTCTTATATTTTCTGCTACTATTATACCACCCATCTTGATATCGTACTCGGGTTCAGACTCCGCCCGACCGCCCCGTCTGCCGGCACATGGAAAGGGTACCTTTTCCAGTACGTGTACAAAGTATCCACCCCGGAACGGAAGTAAGCAGCTTGTAGACTAGCGCTGCTGCAGCCTTACCGTTGTCATCACGCGGCTTTTGACTATGGGTCGCTTACACCCACCCATATGATGATTTACCGCATATACAGTAACTTCTCGTGTGAGAAAAACAAAGAAAGGGTGAGGTCGAGACCTCTCGCTTGTTGTGTGTGTGATAAATGTTTAGTAAATCATTTGGGTATACGGCAACTTGATAGGTTGCGATTTGCGTAGGGGACGTCATTGTGTGTTGAGACACATACACGTGCTGTTCAATAATTGTGGCTTCGGTTCAGCTCCTAGCCTGTATACAATCCATGGCGATCTTTTCGTGTGAAGTGAACTGAAGCAGCGCAATGCGATTATCAGAAGGTTGATAAATCCTTACCACATCCGGCATCTGTCAATGGCTTCAGGTAAGGCCAATCTGTCCAAGTAAAGGGAAACATGTAAACCGTAGAACTCTACTACTCTACTACTTCGCATAAGCTGAAGAGTACGTACACTACACATGTACCTTCCACATCCCACCTCACACCACGCCCACCACATGCACGCCTACGCATCCAGCCCCCAGCTTTCTCTGATCGGTATGTCGCTCGCTCACTGCAGGCCCATCATCGGTGTTCCATCTGTGCATTCCCAGCGGGAAGACCGCTACCAAACCTACATCACCGCCTTCCCCACGATCCCAGTGATTCACATACATGACGACGTTTGTTGAGGAACATTCACTGCGGGTAAGATTGTAGATTGTAGATTGCAGGGATTGTATGGACGGAACGCTACAGCGACGGTGTATTGGTGGCTATGGATAAATATGTCCAAACTAACAGGAATGGAGTATTTTCGGTCGCATCTGTAATCGCTGTACATCGTACAGGCTGATGCAGCCAGCTGATGGGATTTATGGGGGTTGGAGAATCTGGTACTGATGACGTCGTTGTGTATTTTTGGTTGTGAAAAGGTGTCTGGACTTCTCTTGTTGTACGCGCCTTGGGTTACACAACACTCGCAACCGCAATGCCGGGTCTGTGATTAGCATGTCATAGGCGGACGTTGTCTGCGGGGTCATGGGGGTTTAGCGAGGTGTGGTGGGCTGATGCCGTGGGTTGGGCCAGAACAAAGCGACGATACTTCTTGCATGCAGTATATGCTCAGTGCTGGAAGTCAAGCAGACCCGCGTCATTGCGCATGTTGTATCGTAGTGTAGTGTAGTGTAGTGTAGTGTAGGTGCTGGCGACGTCCAAGTCCGCATCTGTGTCATTCATAGCGGGCAGCTTCTGCACGTCCGAGAGTGACACAATGCGTGGAAGTACGCGGCCAAAAACGACAGGGTCTCCTTCCGATACCGCTTCGATAAGCTGTCCATGCGTGTATCGCACGTCTGCCGCATGTTATGGGTATCGATGATGCTACAAGGCCAGTGCGGTGCGTTGGGTGGCTGTTTGGGCAGCAACGGCGCGACGGAAGTACGGAGTGGGTGCGTTTTGACGTGTTTCAATCCTTGTACCTAGACAAGACGCGTGGTCAGTTTGGACAGAAGAGATTCGTTCAATACCTCGACTCTCAAGAGCACTTCGTTCTCCACTGTTATGGTGTATCCTTCTCATCAATTAGTAGGGCAGACGTCGCATCAATGCGCCTTGCTGTATCCAACATCTCACGTTGCCCGACGATACACATCACAATCGATTCTCGGCCAAAGGTGCGTAGTCGCATGGGACGTGACAGGGTTTGTGAATTTGATGGTATTCATGTCTCAACCGGTTCCATTCCTCGTGATATCGTTGATCCGCGGGAGAAAGGAAATGAAGGCCTAAGTCGCCGTGAAATGCATGCCTGCGCCCTCGAAGGGCTATTCAGATCCCGAATTCCTGCTTCCAGTCAGCTCCGTCCAGACATCCGACAGCTTGTCGCATGTGCATACCTCAACTCCATATCCCCAACCATTTACCGGCTTGCGCTCCAGACGGACTTGAGGAAGCCGTCCTTCTGTGCGAGCCTGTTGAAGCTGTCGTCAGCCTCGCCCATGGCGCGGACGAAACCGCAGATGGCGTAGGCCTGGTTGTCGCCGGTGTAGCGGCCGTTCTCGTCAACCTTGCCAACGCTGAGCTGGACGGAGGCGTGGTCCTTGGCCCTGATGATGCGTCCGGTGGCTGACTTGTAGGGTATTAGTATCGCGTTTCGGGGTCACGTAGGTGGTTGTCGGTAACTTACGCACTGGGATGTGTTAGCAGACATTCTTTACAACGTGACATGGGCTTGGCTTACTTTGCGGGGGACGTAAAGGTCGACGAGCTCTCCGCGTTCGTTCTCCATTTTGATTGATGTGTGAGTGGGAGTCGGGTTGGGTTGTGTGGCTGCGGTGGTGGTCGATGTCGTCGGCGTCAATGTTGCGACTCACTGAATTTCGAGTGTCGCTTAGCACTGGTGGTGTGGCGCTAGCGCCCAAATCAGCCTAGCGCATGGCTTCTCCGCTATGCCCCAGGGCCGCAACCTTCATGAGCAGGCATCCCGATTACGAGCGAAAATTTGTCTTCCTGTATTGAACTGACTATTTCAGTTGCGTTGTTGTGTTGAAAGTGTTCATTCTGATGGTGTATTTGCTATAAAGCAAGACAACATAACAGCTCGAGCACACATGCGACCTCTCGACAGTTGATAGGGCAGATAAATTTAAGTGCTTTTCTCAACACTTAATTAAAGATTGGAGATGCATGTGAAGCAGCATCTCAGTCTCAGTTCATTAGAAAGGCTCTTTACACGGAGCGTCATTGATTCGATGACGGACTTTGCTGGCGATACAGAAAGTATGAGCTCCCTCTCTACACATGATAGCTGGAGTCTGTGAATTTGCCATCTCAGGACGCATTATACAATCAGATTACCAGATGCATATCATCCAGATCAATATCCAATCCTGAACTCAGCTGCGGAATTTGCTTGTAGTTGCTCTCGTCCAACGTTTTCCTTATGAACTTGAGTGTCTGTGTTTCGGTCAGGACAACAATATCAAAGTGCGTCAAACGAAAGCCAAGTACTTACCTCAGCGTAAGTTGGAGTCTGATCGTTCTTCATCATCTCCAAGAACGACCACGTCATAGCACCAGTCGGTTCTCCTTCAATCCGCGCATCCGCACTTGTCTGATCGTCCCTACACCCACTAAACATCGTCACCATCTTCTGCTCACTCCCATACTGGCCCGCGAACTCCCCGCTCTCTAAACCCTCCTCCTCTTCTTCTCCAAAATGCTTCAATCCTTTGAAGAAAGTACTCGCACCCGCAAGCAACTCCCTCGCCTCCCCTACTTTGCTGTACGAAAAGCCGCCGGAGATGATATCGCGTGCCTCATTGGCGAGCGTAAGCCCAGCTTTCAGGTTATCCATCAAACTGATCTGCCCATCGCTATCAGAGCGGTAAACATAAGGTAGTTCGAGCGCGCTGCCGGAATGACAGCAGTCCATGACGACAAACAGCGTACAATCCCGCGCCATATATGTAACGAGATGTTCATGTAAGATCGTACTGGAAATCTGGCCCCGCTGTTCGAAATCCACAGGCACGATCGATGCATCCATTCCCGTAGTCCTGTTTCCATCTACATCTGCAATCTGGCCGCCATGTCCGGAGTAGTGTAGGAACAAGGTGCAACCAGGTTCCGAGACGAGCCAGTCCATGGCTGCGAGTAGGTTGTGACCGGTGGGGTAGTAGGGTGAGTCGTAGGGTACTTCTGGTCTGTCGGTCAGGATGACTCGGTCTTTGTGTGAGTTGGTGTAGCCCCGGTAGGAGAGGAATTCCGCCATGTTGTCTACATCGGAATGGCAGCCGCGTAGTTCGTGGCTGCTGCCGACATAATTGATGCCGATGAGGAGGCTCTTCTTGCGTCTGTAGGACATTCTGGACTTGGATGGAAGAATAGAGTAGGTATGCGATTGAGATGTTGAAATAAGGATTCTGGGTAGTGGTGGCTGAGGTTTGTAGCGTGGACGTCAAGTGTTGGTAGTGGTGGGGTAGTGAATGATGTGGCTGATCACTGCCCAATCAATTCTAGTGGGAAGACGCGTCGCGCCCCGCCCACGTGCATGCGCGATTGTATACTGTAATCAGCTATACGACACATCAATGCTGAGACAATCTACGTGGCTGCGTTTACGGGCTGTCTGAGGGACTGCTGAGGCGAAGTAGATATGATGACGTCACTCATTCGCGCAAGCATTTTACATCTTCAAACATCACGGGCAGTAGTGGTGGTCAACAGTGCATGCCGCCACTACAGTACCATGAACTGTGATATTAGTCCACCTCCCGCGAAACGATGCAAGACGACTCAAAGCGCTGTGACAGCTTCTGTGCAAACAGCATCTTCAAACACGCCCACAACTCCAACGCCTCTTCCACCTCTTGATTCAAACACCTTGCGTATCTTCTCTTGGAACATCGACGGCATCACTCCGTTTCTGCAGAAGCCAATCACAGACTTCTTCCATATTTCGAAGTCCAAAGCAACGCTGATAAGAGATGCAAAGAACACCAGGCCGGCAGCCTCCCTAAGAGCTTTCCTACACAGACACCAATGGCCGTCCATCCTCTTCCTCCAAGAAGTGAAGATTGCACACACAGATGAAAAAATGCAAGATGCGGTCAGGACAGCAGTAGCATCACCTCTACCAGAAGAAGAAGGATCTTCACACGAAGAGCGCCCATCATACCAAGTCCACTTTACCCTACCCACCGACCTCCACAACGCCCGTGGACCCAAACGCAGCGGCAAAGTCTACGGCGTATGCAGTATCATCTGCCGCGACCTCTACATCCTCTACAAAATCGCCATACGAACTGTAGACTGGGACAACGAAGGACGCATTTCCGTCGTAGAACTTCGCTCGAAAACCAGCACTGCCAAACTCGCCATCTTCAACATCTACGCCGTCAACGGCACAGAAAACGCATATCGAGATCCTGAAACCGGCGCTTTCAAAGGCACAAGAAACGACCGGAAACGCGCGTTTCACAAGCTTTTAGCGCGGGAATGCAGGGAGTTGGAAGAACAGGGCTGGGATGTACTGCTCGCAGGCGATATGAACGTCGCGCCTGATGAGCGAGACGGGTATCCCAGACTACGCATCTTCCCACAGGCACATGTTCTCAACCGCACGGACTTCCACGATAAGCTTCTGGGAGGTGGTGGGAAGGCGAAGGAGCCGTTTGATGGTGTTGATGTTTGGAGGGAGATGTTTCCGGATGAGAGACGGTATACGTATCACTCACGAGGTAGGAAATGGGGAAGTAGCTGTGATCGGGTGGATTACTTTATTGCGGGGAAGAAGATGTGGGAGAAGGGGTGGGTGAAGGCTTGTGGGATTATGGATACGGAGGAGGAGATGGGGACGAGTGATCATGTGCCTATCTGGGCGGAAGTTGAGATGAAGGAGGGGATTGGGAGCCAAACAACGTCGAAAGAGCAAGAAAACGATGGTGTATGAATAGCATTCTCTCACGTCGTGCTTTGCAAGGGATCAAAGTAAACCCTTAGCTCAGCGAACAGTTGCCATCTTACGACACTGATACAAAGACGCGCCTACGTCTTGTCCTCTCTTACTCCGCCTCCCCAGTGTCCGCCACAAAAAATGGACTCGTTCCCATCCCATTAAACGCATTGACCTCCCACAACTCCGTTGTCCCATGCAACACCTCATACCGATTGTAATCCCCACATCCACTCCCCTTATTCACACACTCTGTCGTAATCTGGCCCGCAATGCGCTCGCCAACCTCCTGGCCCTCGAACCACGCGCCGTGTAAGAAACCAAAGTACTCCGCACTCATTGCCTCGCCCGCAAAATGAAGCCTGCCTACGTTTGCGCGGAGGTTCTGGTGCATCTCGAGTGTAGTTCCAGTGGGCCAGTTGGAGTAAGAACCGTAGGACCAGGGTGTTTGAGACCAGCGCGGATAGGTGAACGCAATGGGTTCAGGAACCGTGATGTTGGGAAACATTTTACGGAGCACAGCCATGCCTTCTGCCTTTGTAGTCTCATCGTCCTGCGCCTCGACACGGTATGATTGTTCATCCACAAGCGTAGCGAAGAGTATATTGGAACCAGGCAAAAACCCTTCTGTCGATAGACTCTGCCAGACGGTGTAGTACCCGCGTGTCGTAGGATCAGCATAGAGGAAAAATTGCTTGTCAGTTGGCCAGAAGGTTTCGTTGAATTGGAAGAAGAGTTTTGTGTAGGTTCCGAAGGAGAAGGTGGCGATGGCGGATTGCTTCCAGTCGGGGAGGGTGGGCGAGAAGGTTATGGCGTCGTTTTGGAGGACACCGAGGGAGACGGTGGAGATGGCGTAGTCGGCTTCTATGCAGGAGTTGTCGGACGTGGTGATCTCGACGCTGGTCTCGGAGTAGCTTATGTTTGTTACGATGGTGTTGAGGAGGAGGCGGGGGTCGTTGGGTTTGAGGAATTTGGAGGCTTGGTGCTTGAGCCAGGTGTTGAAGCCGCGTTGGTCGGTGCAGACTATCAAGAGTTCTTGTTAGTGGCGATCTCAGATACGTATGGGAAGACCCCTACAGTTGCTGATCTCGGAGAACCCATAGTAGGTCAGGTTATATCCTGTGATACCGTAGACGAAGCTTGATTCTTCCGGTGTCTAAGGCGAAGATGTTAACACATCTCGTAAGTAGTAGATCCATTTAACTTACCTGTGCAGTCTCCCAATCCCAAAGATAGTACTCAACAGCTTTGCGCGCAGGATCGCCCTTGGGTCTCCACCCACTTTGCCAAAGACCCGCACGGAAGCTCCTGTCTTGTAAGTTTTCCGAGAGCAGTGTTCCAGCGCTTTGCTCGAACACGCTCCAGTACTCTTCAAACTCGTCCAGTATGTTCGTAAAGTCCACGGCTCCGGTCTCATTGTATGTCGCGACGGAGAAGGCGTCAGAGTTTGGGCTTGAGAGGTTGACTTGTTTTGAGAAAGTCCAGACAGGGTTTTCTGGACCGTCTACTGTGTTCTCACCCAGACCAGAGATCCAGTTTGCGCCTAGCTCGACGGTATAAGGGTAGCCGTTCGAGTCGGAACCGAACTTTGTGTTTCGCATGCGGCCACCGATGTGATCTTGGTACTCGAGAATCAGGAAGTCGGTAACTGATTGATTGGCAAGCGCTTGCTACAGTCCGTTAGTAGCTGGATTAGACGTAATCGTTGAGCCTCCGAAGTGTATTGAATCAGATGGATTTGCCTTGTTCCATTCATCTTGAGAAGAGTCTCAATGTAGACTTACAGCTGCTGTGATACCGGCAACTCCGCCACCGCTACAAATTATCAGTCAACCTTGATTTGTGTTTTTAAATATCAGACTTACATGATCGCGACAGTAGTCTTCCTACATGTGCTGTTGTTGGCCCGTCCATGGATTGCCGGCGCAGCGAAGGTCAGTGGTACAAGACCAGTGGTCAACAACAATGTATTCGCCAACCTCATGATGAATACACGTCGAGAGATAGTTTTGAAGAATGCAAGACTTACTGCAGTCTGATGCACATCGACAGATACTTAAAGCTTGACCTAATAATGCATGCTTAGATGCATATCTAAAGTATCGTTCACTTTAGCCTCGTCTACGTCGCTGCCCCCGCATTAGTCCCACGGCAATGGCCGGAGATGGCGGTAGTAGTCGAGGTACAGTAATAGCGGTTAGTGGCATCTTACCTATCGTAGATAAGCATGGGTTCATGGGTTGATGATCCGGTGTTCATGTGTCGCAACGCAGATCTTAGACCTGCCTAAAATGGCCAAAACACGAAGAAAACCTGGAAGTAGGGTGGTAGTAGAACATTTGCTAAGTGTAGAGACGGTCGGAGAGAATATGCAGCTTAGAGGAAAGAGCATGGTGTCGCAGGCGACACAGGGCCGACGTAGACCGGGAGGTACTGGCTGACGCCGAAGATGATAAGAGCGCCGCGTGTACTTGCTCTATGCGCAAGGTGACGTCGCCATAGATGGCATGTGCTCGTCGGCGTCACCGTAGCATTTCTGCCATTATTTTTGTTCTTTGTTGTTGAATGCGAGATGATGCTATCATGGAACTGCAGCGTCGATGTTAGCTGGGCGAGGCTGACCCGCGAGTAACACCGCGTGAACCCAGGGAAGCTATGACCACAGAGGTCTGCTCCCACACCTTCACGACCATCGCGTGATTTTGACACGTCCACGGGTATGCGCGCGACAAGTCGAGTCTGACCAAAAGGTAGAGAAGTCTGAACGCATCCCATTACGTGAGCAGACCAAGACACGGGAAAGGCGCAAGGTTTTCGGGACGGCACGATAGCGGGGTTCTTGGTCATGCCATCTTTCGCTCGTCGCCCTTCGCTTTAAATGTCACTACCGTTTCTCGCAAGTTCCATTCACGCTCAATCTCTCTCCTGGTCATTACTTTCCATCCGTCGAATCGCGTCATTGTCTCTTCAAAAGTACGGCAACATAGCCAGGATGCAGCCGAGTAGCAGAATATCACCCGATCAAGGTAACGTCAGATAGCAGAACGCATGAGACCGGTGTTCGCTAGCCAACGTCTTCGTTGGCAGCGATCTGAGATATACGGTCTGAACTTGATCAGGTTAAAGCCTGCGAAAGGACTCATGCTTTGCTCCCTCGCCGCAAGGCTGCTACTAATGGCTTTAGGTCGCTGCCATGGACCCCATCACGAACCCGCCCGATGAGAAGAAAGCCATATTCGCCTCGAATGCGAGAAACGAACCCGGACTACCTGTCAGCGCACACGATACCGAGAATGAAGGAGTGAGACACCAGAGCAAATGGCAGGAGATGTGGAAGACGTTTGAGAGACGGCTCGTCGCATACAACCTCGAGGCCCGCGGCATTGAGCGTGTCGAACCGGAGGAGCGACAGGACTTGCGCCTGCTTGGATACTCCCAGGTGGCCATCATGTGGTTCAGCGTCAACCTTGCGGCCAACAACATCACGCTCGGCATGCTCGGTCCTGCCGTCTTCGCCCTAGGCTTCCTCGATTCCTGCCTGCTGGCCGTTTTCGGCGCATTCGTTGGCTGCCTTGTCGTCGCATACATTGCAACCTTTGGCCCAAAGAGCGGGAATCGGACGATGATCTTCTCACGATATATCACAGGATGGTGGCCGTCCAAGGTCGTCGTCCTGCTCAACATCATCGTTCTGCTTGGGTACGGGATGATCGACTGCGTAGTCGCTGGACAGATACTCTCGGCTGTTTCGGGCAACTCCATGTCCGTGGTAGTCGGCATCATCATCGTAGCCATCATAGCGTGGGCGATCACAACCTTCGGCTACCAGATCTTCCACTACTACGAGCGCTGGGCCTGGTTACCGCAACTGGTCGTACTCTGTATACTAGCTGGTGTCTCCGGTTCGCAATTCAACATCTCCTCCGAGTCTCACGGCGATGAAAACCCAGATACCATAATCGGGAATCGCATCGGCTTCTTCGGTTTGACACTCGCTGCGGCTATCACGTACGGTGGCGGAGCAGCAGACTACTTCGTCTACTACCCCGAACACGCATCTTCGTTCAAGATATTCGGCATGACCATGTTCGGTCTGATGTGCAGTTTTACGTTCGCCTTCATGTTGGGTGTCGGTCTAGCATGCGGTATGTTGATCAACACGGACTGGGAAGCGGCATATAGGGTATCGCAAGGCGCCCTAATAGTCGAAGCATACAAGCCCTTAGGTGCTTTCGGTTCATTCTGCGGCGTAGTAGTTGCGTTGGGTCTCGTCGCCAACCTCATCGTCCCTACCTACTCTTCCGGTATCGATGCCCAGATCCTAGGCCGCTACGCAAGTGTCGTACCGAGAGTCATCTGGAACACCGTTGGCGTAGTCATCTACACAGTCTGCGCCTTAGCAGGTCGTGCCCATCTCGCCGAAATCTTCACCAACTTCCTTGCTCTCATGGGTTACTGGGTCTCAGTCTGGATCGCCATCACCCTCGAGGAACATTTGATCTTCCGTCGCAAGACTGGCTTCAACTGGCAAGTCTGGAACCAGAAGAAGAAGCTACCACTTGGCATCGCTGCCTTTACCTCCTTCGTGATCGGCTGGATTGGTGCCATCATGTGTATGGCCCAGGTTTGGTACATTGGACCGATCGCTAAGCAGGTTGGAACTTATGGAGCTGATGTATGTGCATGTGAAGAGGCAGAGATGTGCAAAGCTAACGTGAATAGATGGGCAACTTTGTCGGTTTCGCATGGGCTGCAGTCGTCTATCCGCCCTTGAGGGTCTGGGAGCTCAAGCGTTTCGGCCGATGATCGGGACTTTTTCGCCGCTCACAGCGCAATCTGCTTGGAGACGTCGACGTAGCGACTAAACCATGCAGCAAGAGATTGATAGCGCTCTGAGTCTTCCTATTGCACATGTCAAGTATAGCAAGTCTTTTTCACTCGTTCTTCCTGTTCTTTTCATCATTAGACGTGCGCTGAGATAAGGTCAAGCACGACGCAGGAGCTGATTTGGCAAGAGACGGCCTGGAAGCATTGTAGGCGTGCGTCTGTGTAAAGAGCCCTTCTTCTTATTGCGTATGCATCTCGAGACTACAGTAATGTGAAGTGTCTTCACACACTGTTATTTGTCGTTGTCCGGTGGGCATTTGCCGACCATTTCACTGCAGAATCAGGATGATGTCATCGCCTCCTGTGCACTTTCAACCCGGAAAGAGCATATCAAGCACGCATTATAAGAGCGAACGGCGATGGTCTGGTAAAAAGGATCTTTATAGACGAAGCCCTGGCACAAAGGTATATGCTTCGCTATCCGCCTGTGACATTTATAGCATAACAACAGCGTCTGACTCGTTGGTAAGTTTGGATACATTTACGTGGGTATCAAAGACTATCCACTTCGTATAGTAGTCGTAAGAATCCTTAGTCACTTCATCTAAGGATCTTCAGTCTCCTCGCATGTTCTCCTGTCGTTTCCGTTTTTCGAGCTCACTTTCCTATCTTGCGCACAGGCCTAGCAACGTGCTGTTGTTGTGTAAGTCACCGTGACTGCCTGTTGCGCTCGTCTCTGGCTTGGCACTGGCGGGACTGCTGTCTCTCTCACCTTATCACAATCAAAACAGAACCCCCACAACGGACAGCTCTTCTGCCCCTTCCCACTCCACAGCCCGCACTACCGACCACTGGCAACATGTCAGCCAACCTCATTGACCTCGGCGACGAGGGCACCTCCCAGAGCACCACTCGCGTCAACGGCATTATCCGCAACAACGGCCTCGTCGGTAAGATGTCACTCACGGAGAACCGCACAGGGTCGTCTCCACGCAACCACTTCGCGGGTCTCGACACTCTCATGAGACAGCGGAAGTCCTCTACACCTATACTGGCACCAGCTCCTCGACCGGCGTCGTTGCCGACGGTAGCCAGTGGTATGTGACTCAATACATATTTGCATGACCATATAACTGACTGCACTCACTTAGTCCCTCGTTTTGCTACACGTCTCTCTTCAAGTTCGGAAATGTTTTCCCCGTTGGCCCAGCCGTACAAGGCGCCGGAGTCCGTAGCATCTTTCCTGCAAGAGCAGCAAGAGCCTTTAACCTCCGCGCTTCGGTCAGATGAGCCCATCCCCGAATACATCCCTGAAAACAGTATGGAATTCAAGAGCATGATCGAGACAATCAACGACTACGACAAAGCCACCGACAGCGAATACGATCATCATTCTGGTCACCGCTCCCCGTCGCCACCCATCTCTTCACCGCTCCTCGTCCCGGACCTCGAGCCATCCGCGCCTACTAGACCTGATACACCCCCGACCCCAGCAGACTCGGTTGAGCATGCCGTCTATGGTTTCGGATCCGACCAAGAGGCGGTGGTACGAATAACTCAGCAGGCCTGGGATCTTGCGACCCAAGAGCTGAACATCCACAAGAAGCAAAAGATGGAGCTAGAGAGGAGGTTGGCAGCCGCTGACAAAACCTTTGCCATGCTTAAAGACGAGAACACTGAGGCCGCCACGAAGCTAGGCCTTGTCCAGTTTCAGATCGAATCCACCGAGCACCAGAATGCCGCGATGGCTCGCGCTCTATCTGAGAGAGACGCGATGATCAAAAAGCAGGGACTTGAGGTGAAGAGCAAGGCGACTGAAGTTCAAGACTTGGACGCTAAGATGAAGAGCAAGGACGCTGAGATCAAGGCAAGGAACTTTGAGATCAAGGTCAAGGATGCTGAGATCAACGCCAAAGACGCTGAGCTGGTAAGCAAAGAAGTTGAGATCGCAAGAAAAGATTCTGAGATTAAAAAGAAACACCAACATTTAGGTGTCCGCAATGCATTGATTAACAAGGCAAACCCCGGAAGTAGGTTCGAACATCATACCGTATCAAGGGGGCCTGAGCTAACACATGCTAGAAGACAAGTACGGTGTACATGCCGTCAAGATGGCTGCTAAGGATGCCGAGTTGGCGACGCTCAAGCAGACCATTGAAGGTCACAACCGTAAGATTAAGACAGCTGAGGCAATCATCAAGGAGGACCAGGATGCCATCAAGGACTTGCGTCAGAAAGCAGTCGACCATCAGCGGATCATTGACCATCACCTCTTACAAAATCAGCACTTTGCTGACACTGTGACTGCACGGGAGCAGCTCATAGCTGATCTGCGACAAGAGCTTGTCGTCCGAAAATTCGAGCTGACCGAAGTGCAAGAGCAACGTGGGAACCGTGCCGCCATGGAGGACATCAAGGGCAAGCTTCGCGAGATGACTACTCTTTGCGATCGCCAGAAGAGCCAACTCAAGGAAGTTATGGACGAAGTCAAGTTCAAGGAGGCCCGTATCATGGATCTCAGCAAGAATGGTGAGCGTCTCCGTGGTGCCATCCATGTCGTCCCGCCGCGCGCGAATGTAAAGCTCCCCGAGACCGTCGTCGCATGCACGGAGTGTTACGGCTTGGACCGGCGATGTGACGGTGGTACGAAGTGTCGCCCATGCACCGAGAACAACACCGAGTGTCTGCGCTTGATGTGCTCCTTGAAGTACAAGAACGGTGATTGCCCTCTGGTGCCTTGCCCACTCACCCACGACGCTCAAGGTTATCTCATGTTGCCGCGAGCTCGCCCTGAATGGTAAAGAGCTCGATACGGCGAGCAAGAGAACGCTCGAAAGACTCTCACGAGCTTTGGTGCATACTTCTCTGGCGTCGGCGTCGGAGTTGGCATATGTGTTTTTGGACAAGCCTGTGAGCGGGCGAGTGCTGGCAATTTTCTGATTGAATAGCACGGATAGGTAAGGTCTCACTAAGAAAGGAATCTTCAAGATGAAGCATTTATGAACTTTCACTCTATTTTGACCGTGAAGACCATGCTGCTGTGACGTCACGCGTTCGTCTTCTGATACTAGCGTGTGGGGGCGGAACGGAAGCGCGAAGGATGCCGCTCGTACACGATCATCATGCGCGTCTCGGGCGCAGGCTCCTCCTAGAATATCTACATGAGCTATTAACAGTGCGAGTAACAGGCGTGCAGTCCGCCTCATGCCGGGGTCTGCGTTGTGGCGCGTCGCAGACTTCTGAAACTGCGTGCGGCGCGGCACCGGGCGTCTTCACAGTCAGCATGGCATCGCGATGGCTGCCTTCCTGCTTTTGCTTGCCATCTGCAATTCTTTTCGTTTAGTTCTGTTTCCACACTTACTGCCTCTCTCCAAGGAATCTACATCACAACGCAATCATGGTAGAAATGGCAATGAAGGCGGGTTCGAGCGGGCGTGAAGCACGGAAGGTTAGTATCGTTAACGTATACATTCGCTTCATTGATGCTAATGAGCACACAGACTACCAGGGAGGATACAGAACACTCCTTTCGTCGGCGTCTGCTCTGGAGAGTACCACAACTAGGCCTCTTCGTATCTGCGATAGCATTGCTGTATTGGCACGCGTGTCCCCTCCACCTTGCGGGAACTCCGGATCGATCTTTATACAACACCAATCCGGCCATCATCAACTACGATAAATGCAAATCGATCGTTTCTAGTGAAACGCGCATGTTCAGCTTCAATGTCTCATACAGCGACGGAGCTGAAACCCATTGGCATCTATTCGACAAATCCAATTCCACAGTTGGCGATCGTCTCTCTGGTATAATTCACGTCCAGAAAGGCGACGTCGCCCAGACCTCAGATATTGAAGTCCGGCTCGAAATCAATTCCAGCTCTACGACAGACTACAAGAATGTTGTTTACCACCAATCTGCATCAAGCCTCAGTCTGGACTACCTTCCCTCCGACGATGACGAAGACATTTGTACAGAAATCAAAGTTGTGGTTTGCTTTCGTCCAGAATCACCTGTGCGTCCCTTGGATGTGCTCGATATCAGATCAGAGACAATGGATCTATGGATCCACGACTGGGCCTGGCAGATCAAAAATCTCATCACACATACCTCGCACGGCGAGTACACATACGAAGGTGGCAAAGGCGAAGACCCATTGCACCCTCACAACATCTCTGCTAGCTCAACGACAGGAGTCATGTGGGGATGGTACGGCTGTGAAGGTACGATAAAGATGCACAGCGAAAGCGGGCAGATTATTCTGATGCTGGTACCTCGGTATACGTTCATTGGGAAGACCATGCGACCAGAACTTATCTCGGTATCTACAGTCAGCGGGGCGGCTGATGTCGCTGCGCTTTGGGCATACTGGCCACAGCAGTCTTTCACACATCGCACGGAAATTCATACTGTTTCGGGTAATCTGGTTGCGCAGATACCACATGGCTCATCGACTAATCTCTCAAGCGACAGCGGCAATATAAACGCATATCTGCGGCCATTTGCTGCTATGAGCCTGGATAATGCCAGTGCGATTTATACGAGCACAAAGTCTGGTCAAACGAACTTTCGACTGGACAACGCAAACCGGGAGCTTCTGGATGAGATTTACGATCCACTTCTCAGTACGACTAGTGAGCACTACGTCGGCGATGGTGATATGTACCTGCGGTACCCATTCAGTTGGTTTGGCAGCATGGATGCGACTGTGAGAGAGGGCTCGATCAAGTTCAATGCGAGTGCACTAGATGAGGTAGAGGAAGGTGACGGGTTCATCAAAGCTATCAGAGGGAGAGGTGCAGGAAGTCGGATGAAAGCGCATGTCGATAAGGGGATGATGGATGTCACACTCGGTATTTGGGATACCGATGAATGAAAAGCATGTTTGGTGATTATACTGGGGGATAATCCTGTAGCTGTAGTCACTACATTCGCGCACTACTTGATATCGATTTGAAAATCAGGTGTTATTGCTGTCGATCAACCTGTACGAGTGACTTCAACAGACTGCTATGCGTGTTTCATGAGGCTAGAAACATCGCCTCATCAAGATATGTTGAATCCTGGGCACCCAGCCTGGTCGGCAAGACTGACGTGAAGGTTTCGAATTGGGGTCAGGCCCGCCGCTCAGTAGATATTCTGGTGCATGTTCACAGCCTCGCGCAGGATCAGTTGTCCGCCTCAGGGTTGAGTTGATTCCAATTATTTTCGCTACCGCCCTGTCGCTCTTCCGCCCTGCTGCTTACGTTTCTGACTGCCAAGCGAGGCTTTGCCGACCCCAGGTTTCAAGGTGGACTCACCCCAATCGCCGGGCGTTATTGGCCCCATCGGAAGGAATGCGCGCAGGCTATCGACGACGATCTTTGGGCGAACGTCAATCTTGGCTTCCATCATGATGTCGAATAGGATCAGAAGCTCTTTCGCCCGGGAGTTGGTTCACTTCACAATTCGTAGGGGTACGGGCCATCATAATTTGTACAACGTTTAAAATATCTTAACCGATCACTTCGACATCCCCAGTGTATATCCTTAGACCCCAAACTGTATGTCCGATTAATGAGACATGTGGGAAGTATACACGACCGACGTGAGGATCCATGATGTCAGCTCCGTGCCGCTGAAACGCTTCGTGAAGATGGGTTGGGGATCGCAAGTCTGCTCAGACGGTCTCGTACATGCTCACTGCTGACAGTAGGCCAAGAAAGAGATACTCAAGGTGAAAGATATAAGAAGGTCGTGAAGAGAGTGGATAGTGAAGACAACAAACCAGTTCCTCCCCTTATCTCCTCTCCTACACAAATATCTGCCAACGAAGCTTTGAACCAAAAGAAACAACATGTTCGCATATCGCAATGCTATCGCCCTTGGGCCAGTACTTCTAGCACAGACGGTGTTGGGTTACCCTAAAGGCGTAGTGCTCAATCCCACTTTGACAACCCGAGACAATGAGTTCATCTTTTCCGCCATCGGAGATTCATGGGGAGTAAGTGAACCCAACACTAGGAAGCTACTTACCTAGATATGGACTAAAATACAACAGAGCGGAGTTCAATGGAGCGACGACACCGCATACGACGGAAACGAGGACGGATGCATGCGCTACAAGTACGCCTGGTCGACCGTAGTCAACGACAAATACCAGGACTGGACGCCAAACCCCGACCAAGGACCCTTGTTTGAGTTCAGAGCATGTTCCGGTGCTCGTCTGGGACAGAACATCCACGATCAAATGGACAAATTGACACGACCCAAGATGACTCTCCTCGAAGCTGGTGGTAACAACGCCCAATTCTACGATATGGCCGACTTCTGCCTCTTTCATTCCGACAGGAACAAAGATTATGGGACGAAATACGAAGATGACAATGCCGAAAACCCGACAGGAAAGTGCAGGTCAGAGATCAAGGAAGTAAGGAACAGAGTTGGAGGTGGCCTTAAGCAGGCAGTCCTAGATACTATCGAGACCTGGAGGTACCACCCCGCTGTCGGCGGCAACGACGCGACTCTGTTCATGCTGGGATATGCGCGTTTCTTCGCCCTCGACGACGCCTGCAATGACTGGAATTTCGGCGTCCAGTATCAAAACTCCAGCCAGACACAAACTATCAAAAAGGAGATGCGACAGGAGTTCAACGATCTGGTAAGTTCTACTTCCATGCCACTTCCATTCCACACACTAACCCCACCTCCCCCCTTAGGTCGACGCCGTGAACCTCGCCATCCGCTCCTCAGTCGAACAATACAACGACCCGAAAATTCAATACATCGACATCAACCCCGCCCTCGAAGGCCACCGCTTCTGCGAACCAGGCCACAGCTGGTGGTCGCAGCTCAACTACGGCTCCAACGTACACATCTGGAACAATCCCGCCCGCCTCGTCGTCACCATCCACGACGGCGACGCTGCTACCACGTACGAGTCCAGCGACGACCCAGGCGTTCCCGGCCCGCCCGAGGATGTCGTAGAGAAGCTACGTGGATATCCCGAGGGCGAGGCCGTGCAGCAGGATCAATACACGGTACTTACCTTTCGCGATCCCGCGAATCCAGGTCTGTGGATGGAATGGAAGGTTGAGCCGCAGCCGCTCGATGGCGGGAGTGGGAGTAAGGATGGGCGTATCGCCAGGACATTGCATCCCACGCAGGACGGGCATAAGGACATGGGCGATCTGATTGTCGAGGCGCTCAAGAAGAATTATAGAACCGACGTGACGAGTCCTGTGCCTACGGCGCCGGCGCCGGCGGAGCCGTCATCCACAACGTCCACACCCTGCCCTGCTGGCTGCACCTGCAATGGTCCTGTACCACTTTGCACGTAGAAAACGCTCTCATGCTGGCAACAATATTTGGGTCCTCTCGTCGCCGAGAAACAATTCACTGAAGACTGTTAGATCGATTTACTTTTTGGCGTTGAGGCATGGGTTTCTTTCCTGGATGCTTTCTAGTAACAGCAATAAAAATATACCGTAAGCTCGTTCGGACATTGTTCTGTTTCCGCTCCTATCACATCTTAAACTCAACCTGTCAGAGCTGATAAATAAGCGCGAAGGGCGTGATACTCCCGTGACAGGAAATGCATGCGCAGTCCGAATGGTGTGGTAAGGTGTAAGACGAGATCTGACCGGTCGAAGCAGGGACAAGAGCTCGATTGGCCCTCATGCCGATGGTCTGGAATCTTTGGAAATAATTTACCTGCTGGGTTATTAACCAGTCAAGACGTCACAGTGAATTCGCCATGCATTATATAAGCAGAGTCACACAGACGAGGCTGTCAGAGGCTTGGTGGTGGTCCTGGAACTCGGCTCCGCGTGCACTGCCATTGGCCCCCAACGGCCGCTCACCTTAGGGCGAGGCAGACATGATTGTGATACGAGTCACAAGTCTGGTCCTGAGACCAATCCCAGAGTTTCACGAAGCTCTCTATTTATGGCTGAGATAAGCCCACGATCCCTGGTAGACCTGGGCGTCGGTGCTCCCAGGGAAATGGATGTCGGAACCCGCCGCGGCAGAGACGTGTGAGCAATAGGAAGGGCGCGCATCGAACGTCGCGGCAGAATGGCGATACGTAAAGAGAGATGATGAGAGAGCTAGAGTCACGAGTGTGCTGAGATTGATGACGATGATGCAGTTGTTGGTGGGTATACAGAATAGCGGCGGGAATTGGGTGGGTGGCCGAGGCCGCCACGGCCAGGAACCAGCCCGGTGCTGTGGACCTCCAGGGCTGAAGCGGGGCTGCCATGCGCCATGCGCGAACGGCCAAACGTCTCCACGTCCCAATCCCGTCAATATGTCGCAATTTCCTCTTTCTCTCTCCCTCTCCATCACAGATGATTGAGGGCCTTATTCTGCACAATACCGCCATGGTGGCGATCCAGAGTAAGCCTCTTGCTCGGCCTACCAGGCCTCCCACGAACGGAAGTTCTAACCGCCCTAGCCAAATTACACGATGCCCATTCCCCACGCACAGCCACATCACCTACAGCATCGCCCGCGACGCGATCCGCTTGGTTGAAGCTGGAGAACGAACCGACCCCGACTAAAGGCAATGGCTCGCCTGATGCACCTAATTCAGTCTCCCGAGTCGCCGACTGAAGTGACCGAACTGCCTCGCACTTAGACACCGAAACGGGTCAGTTTTTGACACACATGCGAGAAAGCTTAAGTTGAGCCTCATCAGGCTTCCCTCTGACTAAAATCGGGTCGCTCCAATGAATCTTCCTGGAACGGCTGTCGAGCGGGTCACGGCTACCAAACTTAGCCCTATATCCGACCCTACACGTTCTGGCCGAGCTTTCAACGTTGCTCTAGCGCGTTCTTCAACATGGAAACGACCATTCCTACTCGTTAGGGGATTTCTGGGAGGCATCATGGGGGCCAAATCGAAAGAGTAGAGTGCTGCGACAGCCATGACTCCGGCTGTGAGCCGGTGCAGGTGGGAGATCGTTGGAAATGCGCTCATGCTCGTGCTGAGATGAGAGGCCTCATATCATATATAAGAGTCGGGATGAGGCACGGTTTAGGTCATCGACACAATGGATACCATGAATATCTCCTTCTCGCCAGCTCTTGACATGACTTCACTTCAAGCCCACTCTGGTGCCATCAACAATATCGAGCAGTCTTCCATCGCCGTTGTGCACGCCGTTTCTGTCATCGAAACTCACAAGCTCTTACTTGAAGTATACAGAACTGCCTGGCACTTCGTTCAACAGTCTCAGTACTCAAATCCAATGTCACACAAAGGAGCGTTTTCAAGTCCTGGAGCAATGACGGATGGTGGAAACGACCCAGAACCACCAGCTGCACCACCGTAAGTACACACTCCTTCCCATTCCACGCCCAACCATTTTCAAACGAGTACCACCAACCCAATATCACTCCCATTGACCATATCCAACCCAGAATCATCATCCTCGCCCAATCCAGTAAAGCACCTGCGCCCCACTTCCAGGTACCAGACCCTGCCGATCCGCCCTTCCAGCCGCACCCACCTACGTCATCCCTGTCGTACGTATGCCCAATCCTACCTAGGCAGTTTGTGCAACCATCTCGTATCTTTCGGTCTTAATGTTCCATTCCCTAATTTCCTCCTTTACTCTAGACCAGAACATTCACGGCAAGAACCTCAACCTACCGACGCGACATCAAGACCACCGAATAAACCAGCACCGGAACCACATCCAGCGCCGCCGTAAGTAGAAGACTGCCTTTGCGAAAGCGCGCACGCGACTTTTCGCACATCAAATTACAGACAAAGAGCTAACAAGATAACAGTGTAATCATTCTATCCACCTCTCCACCGCACGCGCAAACCTCCTCACCACCTACCTCCTCATCCTCTCCTACCTCACCATCCCCACTACCCACCTCTACCTCTCCCACCCCCTCAACATCCAACACTCCACACAATGGGTTCCAAAGTCAGCAAAGTCAAAGAACGCGCCACAGACGGCAAACTCCAACCCAGCCAAGAGCGCCTCGACAAGGAGCAAATGAAGGAACCGAGCAACTACTACTCACACCGCAGCAAGAGCATGCGGAGGAAAGCGGGTAAAGGGGGTGCAAGTGATGGTGCAGGAGGAAGTGCTGGAGGTGCTGGCGGAGGCGCTGGCGGTGTAGCGTAGGAAAGGCGAAGAATATACATGGAAGAGTCGTGTGGGTAGAGGCAGATTGAGTGTTTTTTTTTTGATAGCGGATACACTAGGGCATGGATTGCTGGCGTTCCGGGTCTGATTTCGGGATTGTAGCATAGCGATGCATGGGCATGAGGATATTCGCTTCTCCATCAATACATGAGGTATACTGTGTCCTCAAGCTGTTTTCTGTTTCCTCACGTGGATCGGACCGTCATCCCTACCGCTTACACAATCTCACCGCATCGGTCCGTTGTTGTCATCTCCCATACAACCTCACTACACCACTGATGCGCTTCAACAAACTTTTCCAAGTGAATACATTACATTACTGAATTCATCTCACTACCTGTCCTTTTCTTGTCTCTAGCACCATTCTATCTAGTGCATAGTCGAGTTACCACCAACACGGTAGCTCTCAGGAGGGCCGTTGTGGCTGTAAACAACGCCCCCCAAATCCAGCACAACCTTCTGCAGAATAACATTTGCCTCCACAAGCCACAACTTCAATGTGTGCTTACCAGGTGCAAGTTCACCATGGTTGGTGGTGTTCTTCCACGCGCTATCCGCGACCGCAACACCCCATCCGACAGGGAAGTTCGGCTGCGGCTGGTCAATAACAAACTGGCGGCGGGCCTCGGTCTTGTTGTCAATCTGCGCGATGTATGCGAGAGGTACTTTGGGGTTGATGTTGTGTGTGGGCGTGAGGATGAGCGTTACATTGAGACCCTTAGCCTTGGTGGTAGGCGTAAAAGTAACGAAATCGTATTCCAGACTCGGTGCGCTGGAAGAATCAAGGCCCTCGGCCAGGTTGTTCGCGAGCTTGACGCCGGACATGGTACGACCGTACTTGGGGAGGACCATGTATTCGTTGTCGGAAGAACCAGGGGTGGAGCGCGTGTAGTGCTCTGCTTCGAAAGCGAGTTGACCCGCGGATTCTACGAAGCCGGCGTTGAAGTCAGAGGGGATGGACGTCTTGTTTACCATGAACATGACTTGTGGGTTTCCGCCTTGGGTGCCGAAGTCGGTGGAGCTGGAGAAGTTGAGCTTGCTTTGGGCGCCGAAGCCGTCTTCGACTTTGGTCCAGTCTACGTCGACGTAGATGCGGATGTCGGCGTCGTTGGGTTGCATGGTTCCTTTGGCTTTGGAGAGCGTGACGAAGGGGTCGGCGCTGATGTTCCAGTTGAAGGCTCCAGTGCCGCGGTGTGAGATCTCGATCCAGCGCTTCGGGGTGAAGGGTGTCATGGCAGGGAGGGTCAGCGAGCCACCTCCGTTGCTGTGCCACATGTCGTCGCCGGGAATGGTGGCGTTGGAGCCCTCGACTGAGATGCCCATGTCACCTGCTAGGGAACGCTCTTGAGTCTGGACCCAGCGGAGATCGGGGGTGGACTGGCGCATGGGTTGTTGCCTGTGATTGGGTTAGTGTAAAGACTCCCATCGCAAGGCCATCAGAAACTTACCAGTATCCCTGGTATCCCAGATGGGTCTGGTCCATCATGTGGTCCCACTTGCCGTTGAGCTGAGTGTGGTAGAGGCGAGTGAGGTTGTGGTCCTTGTTCATGCCATCAATTACACGCTGCATCCACCTGTTGGCGCTGTTACGGCCCATTTGCGCGTAGATGATATTCCTGGCGCCCGAAACCTGTACATCGACGTGGTTGCCTCCAGCGAGGACGCGGTGCAGGATGATCTCGTAGAATGCGGGCTGTTGCTCGGGGGAAAGCGCGGCGTTGACCTCGTTGGCTCGTTGTGCGAGAGCTTCCCAGCGAGCGATAATGTGGTCAGCCTCCTCGTAGTTGAGCACGCTGAAAGAAGAGGGCTCGACCCATTCAAACTTGCGCATGTTGGCAAGGAAACCGTACTCATCCATGATCTCGGCGATGGTCTCAGCATGCTCCTCACCGAAGTTACGGGCAGCGAAACCAGCGAGCCACTCGGGCACTGAGTCGTGGTTGTAGGAGTCCATATCGTAGGCAATGTCGAACCAATGGCTGATGGCAATCTCCGCGGGCTTGATGTCACCAACGTTGACGATCCAGATACGGTCAGCGTCGCGGTCCTTGGCCAACTTCATCTGCTCGTAAGTCTTCTGGAGCTGAATGGTGTCTTGCCACTTGAAGTTTCGCGAGTCACCAACGTAATCGAAGTGGTAGTAGACACCAGCACCACCGGATCGGTTCTTCTCGTCGCCGACTGGAAGACGACGGATGTTTTGCCAGTTGTCTTCGGTCCAGAGCAGAGTAACCCAGTCAGGAACCTTCATGCCGGCCTCAAAGTAGTCCTGGACTTCCTTGTACAGGCACCACATCTGAGGGACCTCGGATGCGTCTCCGTAAACCTTGGTGAGGATATCTTGCTGAGCGTCAACAACGGCCTCAAGAACCGAAGTTTGGACATCGGAAGACATGGCGGTGTCATGGTATCCGCGCATACCGACAGTAACAACGTTCTCGTAAGGAGCAGCGCGCTCGGCACCCTCCATGAAGTAGTCGTAGAGAGTGGCGTTGTTGGTCGCCCAAGACCAGCCAGACTCAGCACCCTTGGCGACCTTGCTCCATTCCTGGGTGGCGCGAACCATAGGCTCCGTGTGAGATGTTCCCATCACGATACCGTACTCGTCGGCAAGCGGTTGGTTGCGCGCATCATCGACGTTGAACATACCGTTCCACATGGCCGGCCAGAGGTAGTTGGCCTTGGAGCGAAGCAGCAACTCGAAAACCTTGGAGTAGAACTGGGCTCCGAAGGGTGCGCCATAGGGAGATTGTGGGTAGCGGTCGTTGGCCCAGCCGGTCAGAGCTGGGGCCTCGTCGTTGATGAAGAAACCTCGGTACTTGACAGATGGTGTCTTCTGGACCTTGGTGGTTTGTAGCATATAAATGGAGTCGTGTTTCTTCGCGGGTACGTCGGCGAACCAGTGCCATGGAGAGACACCAATCTGCTCGGAGATGTCGTAGATACCGTAGATGGCACCACGGCGATCGCTGCCTATAAAGAGTTAGCGTCGAGCATCAAGGATGATCTCGGGATACATACCAGCAATGACAAGTGCGTCGCCAGTCATGTTTCCAGCCTGCTTTACCACTGTACTAACGTAGGACTCCCATTGACCTTCAACCTCGCTGACGTCTAGCAGTCCGCTCGCAATCATGTCGTCGATAAGACTTGAGTTGCCAATTGTTCCCACAATGATGGTTCCAGCAGACGAGTTAGACGCAGCGCTGCCACTGACGCTCCAATCATCGCTGATACCAGTGACATTGAAAATCATGGAAGCATTCGCAGTGGGCGTTCCAGAAGTCTTGAGTGTACCGTTGGTACCAGTAACGCGTCCAAAGTCGATAGCAAGGTCGTGAGCAGCGCGCAGAACACCGGGCCAATCCGCAGCATCAGCATGAATAGTAACAGGAGAGCCACGAGCGGCAATAAGAGACGAGCCATCGCTTTCTGAAGAAGAAACGGTAGGCTTGCGGAACGCCTCAAGAGCAGAAGCCGAGCCAGCAAAGGCGACGGACAGCGAGAGGGCGCCCACCACGGTGCGAGAGAAGAGCTCCATGATGCCTTGGTCAGTAGTCGAGCAACGTCCTGAACAAAGCACAGAAACGCGGAGGAATCCCAGCTTTTGAATGGCTTCCCCAGACCATACGCCGCGGTGATAGCCACGACGGTAACCCCATAGTTACCAAGAGATCTCCACCAACCTAACCGTTTAGTCAACTAGTCATCGTGCATGTTCGTACACCGATGGACCACCTTCCCATGAAATGTCTAGTAGCGACTGCATATCCAGGAACAGCGTGCAGTTGCTGGCCAACGGCCCGATATTGAGAGACCCTAGTCGGTTTACCCCAGCCGGGACCGGTTGTTCTATGGCTAAATTGATGTGACGTACATGAGCCAGTCGCCTCGTCGCTGCAAGACTTCTAGAAGGGCAAGCAAGCAGTCTTGGCGGTAGGTCGGAGGACACGTGCAGCATGCAAATATCCGGATCCATGCACTGCACTGGAAAGTCGGTAGGAAAGTCGCTGTGCGATTGATTGGTACCAACTAGGCGTGCAGACAATCAGATACCATCTCCAGAATGCTGAGACGACGCAAAAATTGTTCCGTGCCAGTTCGCCAGACATTTCCTCGACGACGAGCAAGTGGCCGCCTGAACCCCCTCGTAGCAGACGGAGATTTCCAGAATAAATGCAGGGCGCGAAGCGCGAAGAGGCTTGGAAAACGGGTCTACGGGCTCATGGAGCGGCACTCCCCACGGTGGGTGAAAAGGCTAAATGCAGTCCCCCGCAAACTGCCCAGGCCACTCCGGGCCTAGTGCGACGGCGAGGCGCCAAGCATCGCGAAAAATGTTGGAAGCGCGAATTATCCAAAGAAACGCGCAGCCGTCTTCGTACCCTAGCGCCACCACAAAGACCGACTCGATTAGTGGAGATTTATCTACTACTGTGTGATTAGTCGTATTCGGAGATCAATCCCCCGACTAAGCCTTTTTCCACGGCTCCGAGATCAGAGCAAGACTCCGTGTCAAACCTACGCTCGCCATTCGCATACTCCACCCCACGCCCGCGCCACCAGTAAACCGTCGCAATGGCCCAAGGCGCAATCAAAAAGACCAAGGCCGTTCCCCCGAAGAAGTCAGTTCATCCCCCGCGCTCAACATCTCACCAAGCGCACACTAACATCCTGTCTCTAGGTCCTCGGTCGCGCGCAAACAAACCGGCACCCGCGTCATCAAGCCCAAGAAAGCGTCGATCATAACACAAAACAAGATCAAGCACAAGAGCAGTTCTGGGCTCGTGGGCCACACGGAGAAGATGCTCGCGCAGAAGGCGGGGCATTTGGAGATACTTAAGGGAGGGAAGAGGGATAAGAGGGATAGTGCGGAGAAAAAGAAGAGTGGTTGAAATGTTGAAACCGTGGAGTAGATATCTGGCAAGGCGCGTGGGATTATGACCTGGGTTTGCGCGGCGAGACATGGAGATAAATGTCCCAGCGCGGGAGGGCTGAGCCTGCAGCGAGGATGGTATCTTGCATGAGAACTCGTGAGCCTTGTGCGATCATTATCGCGTGATACAAGCCAGGTCTTCAGTGGGTACATGCGAATATCGACCGCAGAAGGCATACTTGAAGATATGGGACGAAAGCTGAAGGAATTTTGTGTCGAACAAAATGGTTCATTCGCAAGGCAAATGCCGAGCCCATTCCAATGAGCATTCAGGTAGCATATCCCAGCGCCTTGCCGCGGCCAGAGAAATCAGAGAAACACTATCGAATCCTCTCCATATCCTCAGATGATACCCGCTCGTGCTGCCTCACCACCTCCAGCATCAACTACAGCTTCCCTCGCTTTCCCTCTACCTAGCCCACCCTCTCCCACCCCCATCCTCCTTGCTACATACCGTTGTGCAACAATGCCCACACTCAAATTGATCGTCTCCTCCATCCATTCACTAACCCATTCTCGTGGATCCACGCCACCACTCTCGATGATCTCATAAATCTCCTGCGGTAGTTGTTGCTCCTCGCCCTCAGCCTCGGTATTGGCCGGCGCATCTAGCCAGTCGACCCATTTCGACGGGAAAGACTGGCTGATAGATTTGAAGGAGATGCCGTGGATAGGGTCGTGCAGATAGATAGCAAAAGCCACCTCCTCCCCATCCTCCTTCTGTTCTTCCACGTCAGATTTCTCTTCTGAAGAGGACGTAGCGAAAAGTTCGTCTTGCACCGGGTAGCTGATGGCCTGAATCGCAATAAAGATGTCGCTGCTTCGAACTGGGTTTGTTTCGCTGAGGACTTCTGTCGCTTCTTTGGCGGCTTCTTCTACACCACCTCTTGCGCCAAAGAACTCGTTTGCGTAGGACTCCGCGCTGACTCGTGCGAGCTTTGTGCCTTCCACGAGCCCCTTGACCACGGAGAGGTCGCGCTTGCCGGTGTGTCGCCACCATGGCCCGTCGTTCCAGCCGCCGCCGCCGCCGCCCCGGTAGCCGTCTAACGATCCGCGCTGAGTCGACTCGGAGCCGCGTTGGATGACCATGAGGTCGCCGCCTTCTACTTGTGCCATGACGCCAGCGAAGGTCTGGTAGATGAGTGGGTCGAGCGAGGGGTACCCGATGAGGTCGTGTGTGATGTGGATCTGGAGTCGTTCATGCTGTGAGATGGGTGGTGCGAGAGTGTTTAGGATATTGGTAAAGGTAGGTACGGCACGCTTGCCGAGTTCACCTCCTGTAGCTTGTTAGATTGAGATGGCATGTGGTGTGAGATGAGTCATACCAATGCCGCGAAGGGCACCAACGTTCCCTCGTACTTGCTCAGCCCACCGTTGGGCTTCTTGGTTCTTTTGGATCTCTTGGTAGGCAGCTTCGGCTTGCTTCCTCGCTGTCTCCGCTGCCGCAGTGGCTGTGGATACCAGCCCTCCCCATCCACCTCCCCACCAAGATCCTCCCGACTGCTTCTCCTCCTGCGGTTCAGGTGCTTGTTGTTTGGCGGGCTCCTCTTGAGTTGGCGCGAAGCTCTGGTGGTACGAACGTGTACTCTCTCCTGACTTTCTCGGCACTGAAGGTCGGTTGTCTTCGCTTGTGCGTGCTGATCCTGTAGAAGAGGGGGTAGCTACGCCTGGTGCGCGGCGACTGCTCGATGTAGTCGACGACGAGGCTACTTTGGGTGTGTTTGGACGACTGATCTGGCGGGGAGCTGCTGGTTGGGCCTTGCCCAATTGCTCCAGCTCGTCTAGGTCCTTCAGAGCATCTTCATCCTCCTGCCGCTGGATCTTCTGGCGTGGTGCGCGGGACCCTTTGGCATGCTTCGGCGGGGGTGCGGGAGCATCAGCCAGAGCTTCCAGTTCCGCGAGCTCCTCGTCAGCTGTCTTGGGCGGCATGATGGATGGAATATAAGGAGATTAGTTCGGAGTGATAGTGCTCGCAGTTACAAGTCACTGAGAGAGCTGAGGCGTATATAGTCGGCGGATATCACTGCAACATCAAGTCATGGCCGTCTTGTTTGGACCATCTGACAGCTAGATGCCAGTCAGTTTAGCGTGTTGATGTCATTGGCTACCTGAGCATGCGCCAAGCGCGATCATGGTTCGGCTCGCTTTTGCTGAAGCAGCCACGCCCCGTAACAAAGATCATCACACTCGATTCACTGACTATTCCATTTCACATTTCCTTTTCAAGATACCCTCTATCACCTGCTAGCTTTTATTTGCGCGCGCCCTTTGCGGAAGCGCAAGGTTCTGTTCATCTTCTTCGCTCACAGCTTTTGTCACCCTGAAGGCTTGCGATTCGCGCTACGCCCCTTCGGCCCCTACATGGAGACATTGTCCCGACAGGTACACCCACATCAAACCCAACTCAACAATCATTACTTGCATTGGCCCATCGCGTCTTCCTGATGCCACGTCCAAGGGGTGCGGCTACGCGCGGTGCTACACGTCGCAATTCGCAGCAAGATGACACGCCTTCCCGGACCCGTGGTCAAGCAGCAAAACAAGCCCCATCAGAACCAGATGCGCCAGACACGGTTGCACCAAGATTCAGTCCCACCAAGCTGAGTCCTACCATCACCAGGAAGACAACTCGCTCAGCTTCCAACATTTCTGGTAATTCATTCGAGGCTGCGTCCGCATCCGAAATTTACGCATCTTACGAGCACCCGTTGTTCATGGTCTTTGGTCTGTCACCCGAATTCTTTGATGGTCTCAAAAAACACCATGGAAAACTCCCGAAAGAGCGCAAATCACTAGTTGGATCACTTCTAGAACGCTCGCCTTCCTCGGAAGATGCCTCCGACTCTGAAGATGAGAGCGCCGAGGAGAGTGAGGTTGAAGTGCCTGTTGCGCCTCAACCAGCGCCAAGAGGTCGTGGACGCGGTGGTCGAGGCTCACGTGGCGGACGCGGTCGAGGTGGTCGCGGCAGAGGCAGTCGAGGAGGACGCGGTCGAGGCGGTATCTCAAGAGGGACTGCATCCGCGCCATCAAAAGCTGCTCGCAATGCTGCCGCCATGTTTCCACTTACAGAAGATGATGATGATCAGCCATCCAATCAGAGCACACCCAACGGAAACGCCAAGCCGTCGATGCGACTACTCAACAACAACCGCCTGCATAGTTCTGATGATGAGAACGAAGAAGTGATCGAGGATGACGAGAGCGAGGCCGAGTATGATCGCATAGACGTTGTACAGAAACCATTCAGAACACCCCAAGGTTCTGCGCCACCCGGTCAAGACTCACTCGAAGGCGGTTCACGTACATCAGCACTGACACACGAGTCAAGACCAGAGCCTACGTCTAGGAGATCCACCAAGCTTGCAGTGCCCAAGATCACGCTGCCAGAGTCAGCCTCACAGACACCGCGAGATTCTGCATCAACGCCCGCTGAGTCCGCAGTCCCGAGACTGCTAGAGCCTGAGGAGGATGTGCTCTCCGAGTCAGATCTTCCTGATCCCTTTATCGAAGACGCGCCTTCTCCGATCGAAGCCGAGTGTGAAGATAAAGCAGACTACCTCCTGCAGAAGCGTTTCAAGCCGATGACTGACGTACAAGCTGCCATCGCCGCCCTGACAAAGTTTCCAGCGGCGCAACGAAGTACTGAGAATCTCTACGCTCTGACGCAGAACACGCAGCAGATCCTCAAAGCCTGGCAGGATGAGTATCTCGTGTTGGACGCAAGGGTATGTTTCTGTCATTCTTTCATGTGTATCTACTAACAGTTCTAGACTGCACCTCACATGCATCCAGCAAAGAAGGCCTGCAACGGTGGGCGTATCCCACTGGCTCCAGAAGTCTTCGAGGACATGAAAGAGGCCGATCTGTATGGCTATGTCTACGACCCAAAAAAGCCACCCGGTTGTCAGGATCCTTGGCTACAGCGACCAGGCGCGGAGAAGGGCGGTAGGAGAGAACTACGTACGCGTCGCACACGAGATCAGCTTGAGTCGGCCGCTCCCAGTGAAGAGGAAGACGAAGAAGACGGTGAAGGTCGGCCCTCCAAACGGCAACGAAGAGCCACCCGCAAATTTGACGGTACTGACACAGGGACTGGTGCCAACACCCCCAAAAAGCACAACGGCTGGGGTGGCGCGCGCAAGAAAGGTGTTAGTCGATTCGCGAAGCCAACCTCGGAGACGCCAGAACCTGAAGGACGAGGCGTAAAGCGAGCCCGGACAACGGCTAGTAACTTGCTCCATCAACGCATCCAAGAAATGAGAGAGGAATCAGTCGTCGGTAGTTCCGGAGACGAGGACTCATCAACCATGGACGTAGACGAGTATTCAGATGCTAACCCCAAGCGTGGACGTCCAGCCGGGAGTAAGAATGTAGCTCGACGCAGCGACTATGGAGTAAAGAAAGGCCCACGAAAGAAGACGAGCGAATCTGGAACGCCAGTTCCCTCAGCACATGGCCCAAACGCTCCACCGCCAGCACTGAACTCAATGAGTGAAGGTCAAGGTCAGTTTACTATTGATGCCCAGCCGTTTCCGGAAGGCATACCCCTCATGGCACCGAACTCTGCTGAGACGGTTTTCCAAGGCACATTACAGTATTCTGCGCCCAACCAAGAGGTACCACTTGTGCATCCGAGCGAATCCAGTACTCCTGACGCGTACATGCTCACTGCCCCCCTTAGTCAGTATACAAATAACAACAGCTATGCGGACGACTCATCCCCAGCGTCAGGCTCACGACGAAAACCGCGCGTAAAATCCGAGAAACGCAGTCAGTCGATGACCATGTGGTGGGCCGAACGCAAGGCGAAGAAGCGCGAAGAGGAAGCGCAAGCCGGAATTACCCCAACACCCGACTCGCGCGAAAAATCTTCGACGCAAAAGGGTGCCCGGCAGTCTGAAGGCTCAGCGACTGGTGCTACACCGCAATCGCAGCCTTCGCATTCCCAGCAAGCATCTCCGATACACCATCCACAGCACGCTCCTCAACACAGTCCACATCACCCTCCGCCAGAAGCATACCTGCAGTATACCCAAGGCCCACCGCAACACTACATGTACCTCAGCGGACCGCCTCCACCACAACACATGATGATGCAGTACTCGCCACTTGCGGCCCTTCCCACTGGTTCTTTCCCTAGCCCATATCCCCATCACGCGCCACACCTCCAAACTGGAATTCCCCTCACGCAAACCCCGAGCACAGCAGGCGGACCCTTCGGAGGCCCCCGCCAACTTGCCCCAGCACCCATGAACATGCCCACATACCCCAGCCCGTACGGTCCCCAAAGCCCAGCTGGTGGCAGACCCAAGAGCAGTGGCCAATCACTACCTAGGAGTGCTGCTACTACCGGCCAAAATGGACAGCAGGTACTGGCACCTGCCCCATCTCAGCAACAACACCAGCAGCAGCAAGGACAGCATTTCAGCCCGTACGCACCGATGAATGTCGGAGGTGCCGCAGGTCGCGAGATGCCGTTCAAAGTCATGGTTCCCGGGCCAGCTCCAGAGAGGAGGGGAAGTCGCTAGAAGCGATTGTCGCCTCGTAATGAAGGCGGAGGCGAGGAAAGTGATGACAGTATATACGTGCTTGATTGATTGATTGTTATTTCGCGATAGAGAGCTGTGGTGGGCTGAAATGGGCGGCTTTGAGGGGTCTACTGAACGATGCGAATTAGAAAGGCTGTTAGTAAGCCTGTGTATTATAGTAATACTACTTAAAAAATTCCAATTGACTGGTTTTCATGTTGGGTGTCTTGCTTTGAACTTGATACTTTCGAATTATAGTTATTATGGTTTGCGTGTTGCATATAAATTTCACATGGCGTGCGCCATTATCAAATCTACAAACTCTACACTAACAGCTTACTGGGCAGCTTACTAGGCTTCCAAGCCGACGGCAGCGCTATTCATCCGAGTAATCGCATTAGCCCTCCATGTATCTTCTTCCAGACCGATGCCAATTTTTCCAAAGACCACATTCCTAGCGCTTCCTTTTATGTATGCCGGCCAGATCGTATCATCGTCTAGAGCGTAATGAGCATTCGGCGAGAGCTCATTGGCAAAGCTCAACCACATCCTGCTCATACGTTTGCTGAGTCTAACAAACTCCTCGCGTTCTTCCGTAGAATCAGAAGCAAGAAAATTGACCTCATGTCCCACACCGTCGACATTTCCAAAGACAAAAGGAATCTCCGCGAAATGAGCAGCACCCAGAGTCTCGGGCGAAACGCCACCCGGCACGGTATCGAAGCGGTAGCTATAAGCGGGAACGCCATATTCGGCCCACATCTCAGTGCCCAAGCGTCTTGCGGCCATGAAAATATGATCGCCCACGAACAGCGTAGCTCTCCCGTACAGACCCCCGTACTCTGCACGGGACGATGGCAGTACAGTACCGAGAGCAGCCTGCAGCTCTTCAGGCGACATCCGCTCGAGGTATTCAGCAGCGATACCATCCACTGTAGTACTGGCTACACCGTGACCTAACCATGCTGCAATGACGGCTCGGAACTCAGTGGGGGGTACTTACACTCAAGCCGGAACCTATGGTGAAGGAAGTTCCCTCATTCGTATTCGCACCAGCAAGCATTGGCCGGCGGACGAATCTGCCGCGCTTCAAAGCCACACGCGAATTTCCGTCGAAGAAGTCCCCATCCTGGACAGGGAGCAACGTTTGGTCTTGAAAGACGGCTTTGAGCACCTCGGCGGGTAAACCTCTCAGACAGTCGAGTGAGTCCTCTGCCAGCATACATCCAGTCTGCCCGAGCAAGTCGTCGTAAAACCCATCCTGCGCCCTTACAGACATCCCTCTTGCAAAATTCGCCGGCCCACCACTCTGCACAATCGCCGCGCGAAAAAGGCTCTCATCGCGTCCTCCGTAAGCAAGCAGGTGATATCCTACCGACATCGCACCTGCAGACTCTCCATGAATCGTAACTTTGTCCTCATCACCCCCAAACGCAGCAATATTCTCCTTCACCCACCAAAGCGCCAATCGCTGGTCGTGTAACCCCAGATTCGCTACGTTGGACTCCAGTACCGCACTGCCGGGCAGAAAACCGAAACCAGATAGCCGGTAGTTGATGCTGACGCCGATGATGGGCGCGCCTACGTCAACGGATTCTTGCACGAGGAAGGACATGTTGTAGCGTTGATCGCCAGAACTACCTTCTTGAAAACCGCCGCCGTGGATGAAGACTAAGACGGGGAGTTTGGTGTCCCTACTGCCGAGGCCCGCGGGTCGTATAATATTGAGTGTTAGACAATCTTCGCTTTCGGGATGTGGAGGTTGGTTCTGTGTGAATACAGGTACTTTGACAGGCGCCGAATGGCATCCCGGTCCGTATCTTGTTGCATCGAATGAATCATAGGGCTGGGCGAGGGATGCAGGGCGGCGGTAGCGGAGGGGTCCTATTGGGGGTTGGGCGTAGGGGATGCCGAGGAAGAGGTCTTGGGCGTAGTGTGGGTTGTGGAGTCCGGTGAGTGTTCCGTTGGGTGTTTTGACGGTTGGAGGGAGGGTGGATGCATATGTGATGTGTGATAGGAGATGGAAAAGAAGTGTGAGCAGTTTGACGTTGAGCATGTTTTGCTAATTGTAAATGGGCGATAGAACAGTCTGCTGGATCCAAATTTGTGATCCAAATGCTATGTGTAAAAGGATGGAAGGAGATTTGGGGAGGTACGCATGTGTACACATTAGGAGCAAATGTTGTGGCATCTGATCCTCCGAAGACGTTTGTCAAGTAGCTGTCTGCAATGTAGGTAGTAGTCGGTCCGAAGCCACGTCGGGGCGGACGATGGGCGGACGGTGATGACTATCCGGTCGAACATCTCGAGCCAAAAGGAGATTAGGCTCTTAGTTGTAGGCCTATTGGAATCCGTGCTATATCGTTTCTAAAACCTGGGCACTGCCGATTTGTGGGCGGCCAAGGCTCAACGAGCTCGGGACGTTGCTGTATAGCGGAGTACTTAGAGGCCGCATCAGGGTTAAGACGTCTTGCGCGACGCTCCAATCTTGAGTCCATTACTATCATTCATCAACGGGTATGGAGTCCGTGGGTCGATGCCTAGGTTGCGGTCGGGATAATTTTTTGCGAAGGCCGGCCTCTCCAAAGGTAGCACTAGGTGTGGTGAGAGCAGACTGTACGTAAGCATATATGCGTGGCGGCACGGTAGGGTAAGGCCATAGCGTCTGTACAGGTTGATTGTTCGTTGCCTCAAAAATGTCCACTGGACCACTAAGTATTTGAGGACACGTGCTGCGGCACTCAAAGTATGCAGGGGTCAGCTCGCTTATCTGACATCGATCTGGACTCTCCATGTTCCAGGGACCATCTGCGTCATCGATCGGTGCTAAAGGGACGCGACAGCTGAACGCGTCGAGTATAGCATGGCAATGGCTTCATTAAACTTCGTTTCAGGAGGTTATCCCCCTTCGGTCCATTTTGCGATTCGACGAAACGCGTATGCTGCTCGCGCGTCCGAGGCTTCTGCTATCCATCAAACCCCTTCTACGCATACACCCACCCTTCTTCGCGAAAAGACTAGCCACGATGCCACCGAAACGTAAAGCGAGCATACCCGCAAACGCCGCATCTGCGAAGAACTACACCGACGTAACAGGCGACGCTCCCAACAAGCGCTCGCGCATTGCCAAACCTCTTCCGAAAGTGACTACGAAAGATGCCCCTCCCGTAGACGCGATAGCGAAGAACACCAAGAATGGAGCGCCTGGAGAAGCAGTGAAGAAGGAGGAAGAAGGCTTCGACCATTCGAGACCGGAAGAGAGAGCCGGCATAGTCGATCGACGATACTACCCTGCTGAGATGAGCAACGAGCGATGCGCCTTGTACAATCAGAATGAGATACCGCGACCGATCGAAATCTTGAACAAGACGTTGGCGAGTACAAAAGATAAACGAAAGGCTATCAGAGAAGGGAAGAAAGCGCAACATGGCGACGCGGTGGTACATTGGTTCAAGAGGGATCTGCGGATACGGGATAATACTGGCCTATCGCAAGCAGCAGTGTTGGCAAGGGAAAAGGGAGTGGGCGTGATAGGCGTTTGGTTCATGAGCCCACAGGACTGGGAAGCTCATCTGGTCAGCCCGCCTAAATGCGACTTCGAATTGCGCTCTGTGGAGACACTCAAGAAGGAACTGGAAGAACTGGATATCCCCCTCTACATCGAGACGATTCCCGAACGAAAGAACGTGACAAAGCGATTGGTGGAGTTGGCTGAAGAATGGAATGCGAAGAACGTCTTCTGCAACTTGGAATACGAGCCTGATGAGCTCCGGCGAGAGGAGCGCTTACTGCGCATGATGCTGGAAAAGGGCATCAACTTCGAGCCGCACCACGACGACTGCGTTGTGCCACCTGGAAGTCTCAAGACAGGAGGTGGGAAGCAATATGCTATGTACAGCCCGTGGTACCGAGCCTGGGTTGCACATCTGCACGCGCATCCGCATCTTCTGAACGAGCGTCCCATGCCCGGACGAAACCGTCCAGACTTCCGCAAGAAATTCACTAAGCTCTTCGACTCGAAGGTCCCCGATCTACCAGAATGCAAGGCGTTGACGGCAGAAGAGAAAGAACGTTTTCAGCACTTATGGCCCGCGGGCGAGTCCGCTGCCATTGATCGCCTCGAGCGCTTCTTGATTGAAAAGATTGGAAAATACAAGGACACACGCAACTTCCCTGCTATGAACAGCACCGGGCGTGTCAGTGTGCATCACGCTGCTGGTACACTGGCGGCACGAACCAGTATACGTATGGCCCGGGACGTCAACAGCGCGAAGAAGCTCGACGGAGGGAAAGATGGTGTTAAGGGTTGGATGGGGGAAGTTGCATGGCGAGACTTTTATCGGCATGTGCTTGTACACTGGCCCTACGTTTGGTATGCTCGACCAGCACCCTCTATACCATAAAGATACTAACACAACCCCAGCATGAACAAGCCCTTCAAATTCGAATACACAAACATTGAATGGGAGTACAACGACGCCCACTTCCAAGCCTGGACCCAAGGCCAGACCGGCTACCCCATCGTCGACGCCGCGATGCGCTGCCTAAATCACACAGGCTACATGCACAACCGCCTGCGCATGATAACCGCCTCCTTCCTCGCAAAGCACCTCCTCCTCGACTGGCGCCTCGGCGAACAATACTTCCTCACGCACCTCATCGACGGCGACTTCGCGTCCAACAACGGCGGCTGGGGCTTCAGTGCATCGACTGGTGTAGATCCACAGCCGTACTTTAGAATCTTCAATCCGTGGACACAGTCGGAGAGGTTTGATGAACAGGGCGAGTTCATTAAGTTGTGGGTTAAGGAACTGGAGGAGGTGGAGGGGGCTGCTATACATAATCCGTATGCGGCGGGTGGCAAGGCTGCGCAGATTGCGAAGGCGAAGGGCTATCCTGAGCCGGTTGTTGAGCATAAGTTTGCGAGGGAGAGGTGCTTGGCCAGGTATAAGGCTGGTATTGGGAGAGAGACTGCTTGAAGAATTGTTGATGAGATGTTGAGGCATGTATGGCTTCAACTCCGTTGTAGCATTTGTTTGGGCACCGCGCATGTCATCTCTATCTGAAGTCGTTGCATCTTCAGTTATTTATACAATTATACACAAGGAAACGCTCTCGAATGAGGAGTTTCGCAACTCCGAGAACTTCAAAAGACATCTGCATCGCGATCCGTTACTCGAGGCCTGCCGAATCCCCCTTTTTTTTGTGGTGGGGATCTGCAATGCGGGGCCAATGCTCGACAGATATCTTTTGTCGCGGTCCCCATCTCCCTTCTCGCGATAACGCAAGAAGAGTAAACACGGCGCTTGTCGATTGGAACTGACTTCCTTATCCAATCCCTACATAGTCACTCACGTTACCGCCGCATCAGCATCTATCAGCTTTTCTGCAGAATTTGACGCCAAAGCTTGCCCCGTCGCCCTCAGGAGTCGACCTCTAGGAACCGCGACCAGCTATGGAGAAACCGAAATGTACCGATTTCGTCAAGCCCAAACCAATAGAACCCGCAAAGAGACTCTGAGAGCTCCTCGATCATGGTTACAGAGTCCACATGTCGTATGGACAGTTCAAGAAAGAGACGGATGAAAAGCGCAAGTCGATAATGAAGGACTACCTAGGTATGACATACTAAACGCTGTCTTGATAAGATACGAGGGCGTTATACGGAAGAGATGGACGAAGAAGACGCTCGCTCAGCGCTAAGCTATTCTTGAACGCTCATGGCATACGCAAATGCCTCACCAGCATCGCCCGGACCTTCGCGACTACTACAGAGTGGAAAGACGAAATTTAGCGAGGCTTCCACTTCCACGGTCACAGAGGATGTATACAAATGGTCATATATTAATACAGAGGACCTCGTGACTCCAACACATATTTTACAACTTCTCAACTCTCGCGGACGGTTTACACCCAACCGTTTTGCCGAGACGGATTGGCAAAGCTCCGAGCTTGGTCGCAACATCAGTGTTATCAAGGCGCATCCGATACATGACGACCCAAATGACGAAAGCCAATACAAAGACCTATTTGAAGCCGAAGATGAAGGCGACGAACGAGAAGGTGAAATCGAAACGGAGAAGAGATTACGCCAATGGAAAGATAGACACAAAGACAGCGAATGGGCTTACTATATGTTGATGGACCGTACCAATCTAGAAGCATGTGAAATTCCGATGAAGATCCCGGTCGCACTGGAAGCCGTAAAACCCGTGAGGCTCTTGGCGTCTTACAGATACAGCAACCTTTGATGGCATTCCTCGTCAAAATCTGCCTTGAGCTACTTCCCGACGTAGAAATTAGTCTGGAGAGGATAACGGCCTTTTTTCAAGCCTCCGAGGACCTTGAGCCCCTTGCGACCTTCAGTCAAGCCCCCGAACAGCCCGAGCACCCCAGAATAGGGGCAATAAAAGAAAATGGATGGGACTCGAATTTCGCACTAGCCCAAGAAATTCCATACCTCCTCCCACATGTGTCTGACTTTGAGAAGGTCGCGTCCTCTATACTGGCTACAATACATTAGTGGGAAGACCACACCTGGGCTATCAGCGAATGGTGTAAGTGGGATGTGCTGTTAGAAACATCAGTGAATTACACTGAGTACATGCATGTAGATGAACACTTGTCTGTACACATATTGGATAGGAAGGGAAGGAAAGATTCCAACTTCTCTGACCCGGATGTTCACAGAGCCCTTTGGCACAATACGATAGCCATGGCCATCAAGGAGCCTTACGAAAATCTTGCTATATGGAAAACCGCATTCCGTGCTCTAAACATCATTATCAAGATCGTGGCGTCACGGGCGCAGATCCAAAAGGAGGTTGATACATGCGCAAGGGCTGTCGGATGGTTAAGCGATTTCCTTGATCTGCGCCTCATTACAAAGCTAGCTAAGAGGCTGCCAAATTTACTCCCCGGCTCACCACCGATGCGCGGCATGTTTGTAAGTGGCGATCCAGAGACAGAGTAATGCCCTATTCTCAGAGAAAAAGCTTTTTGCAAACGACTATGTGACATGGCTGTGTGCCTTGCTCTGGTCTAAGGAAGCTCTTGGGGTTCCTTATATCGTAGTCACGGGAATGGTTCGAGTCTTACTACAGGATAAGGACCAAAAGCATAGAATTACGCCCATGGTCGCAAGAGTATTATCCGATCTAGCCATCTGTTATGACCTACGATCTCGCCTGCGCCTGCTGTGCCCAACAATGTTTTGGTTTTGTGAGCAATATTGTACCACTGGGGCCACAGGAAAGAATGCTGAGAGCCTCATACAAAATACGATGACGGAAAAAGCTGTGAATGTGCTGGACGAACTCACAGATCCAGAATGCGGTCGCAAATCCGAATATGAGGTTCTCCGTCTTGGTGAGCTTGGGCATCCAAAGATAATGCCGAAACCTGTCGGCAAGAGACGCACCAAAGAGAACGTGGAGACCATATAGGCCACTGAACGACGGCTAGACGAGCTTTGGAGCAAGTTCAATGCTTACGTTCAGAGATGCTTGTATAAAGAAGACTTCGATACTCTTGGAAAGCTAGCGCCGTTACGAGAAGAGATGCAATGGACGCCACACTGGGTGGAACCGGCGGAACTCTCCAACCAAGCGAAGACAGATGCTGCTCTGGAAGAATACATCATGCCGATGATACCGGGACAGCAGCGCGACACTATGGATCTTCCAATCCGGAGTGAGAAACTGAAGACCAGAGGAAAGACCAACGGTCCTTCCGCTGGGCCCGTCGAAGTTGAAGCGGACCTGCAGGCAGTCGTTCCTGAGGAGACAAACACCCCGTCTACACCGCGCTTCACCGTTGGGAAGAAGACCCAGCACACTTTCTCGACTATATTCTTTCAGCCGTCTGCAAGCTCGCATCCTGGTGACGTCCCATAGACTGAGTTTCTCTCGGCTATGACCACAATTGGCCTCTCACCCGAGAAGGTGTATGGCTCTGTATGGCGCTTCATACCGAGAGAGGGAGGAGTGATTGAGACGAAGCAGCCAATCAATTTCCACGAGCCGCATCCCGAGGGGAAATTAAGGTTCGAGCTAGCAAGAAATTACGGGAGGAGGTTCACGAGAAACTATGGTATCGATCGTGGCAGCTTCACTGTTGCGTAGATGTGCGTGGACTGCTACACGACGGTGTTATGAGGTCATAGCATGGGCTGAAGGCAGCCTGGTGTCTACCGGTGTAGCTTTGATGCGCTATCCTGGAGACAATAGACCCGTTCCGGGTATTCAGGTAGTACAATAAGAGCTGTCCACCCATGATGAACGAGGATTTGCAGAACACAAGGTGACAGTGAGGGTGGACGGTGGTGGAGGGCTGTCTAGTCGCACAGCCAGATCGTCTTCAGAACCGCAACGCCCACACAAACCATATCATAAATTCTACAAGTACTACACAATGTCCTCTACAATTCTGCGCGTCTCTAACACCGCACTCTCTTACGAGGGCGAGTCAAGCCCGATCCGCGCGGCCAACGAGATCGAAGACGACCTGGTTGAGAGGCGCCAACAAGTATATTCCCCAATCCCCCTTCCTTACCAAAAGTCCAAAAGAACCAGAACTAATTCATATCCCAGCTCAAACACGCTTGGGAGATTGTCTTCGCTCCCGGCCAAGACGGCACCATTGGTGGGCGCCGCTGCGACAGCCGCCGCCTTGCACTGCATTTGGTGCAGAAGTTCACCGAAGAGGTCACTGACCTCGAACATGAGCTCTACAAGTCTCACCGCTTTGAGAGGTGGGCGGAGGACGTCGCGGAAGAGCGGGAAGCTGGTTTGAGGAGGGTGTTTGGGAGGATGAGGGTGGGGAGAGGGATCTGGTGTGGGAGGAGGCCGGGGAGGCGGAGAGGAAGGAAGAGGAGATGATGGAGAGGGTTGGTCGTCGTTGCCAGTAGGATACTTGAGGGGGGTGGGGCGGTAGGTGGTTTGGTCTTGGGAGTTTATAGAATTCATGACATTCGCGACATCTAGTCATGCTTATTTGATGTGACAGTGAACTTCGTGGTTTCATATCTACACGATATACTAAACAAAGCATACATATACTTATGCCACGTTGATACGAACGCAAAATAGGGTACATTGGATGTGTCGTGATGTCCGCACATTTGCCCAATGACAATGCCATGGGTGAGCCTGAACGTCCTCAATATGCACACAAGCGTCACCCTGATGACATTGGAGTGCTTGTATTCTTCAGGCTTGTTGTTAAACGGTCGAAGGACCAGCGATATACTCAGCCTTCTCTCCTTGCCTACGCGGTCCAGATACCGTCGCGCAATATTTCCTCGTTGTCATCTCCATGCCGTCATTCCATAGCAGACCAAGGTATTCAGCTAGCGTTTGTCGGAACCGCTCGTTCTCCAACCCAGGTCTGTCCAATCCGCAGAACACAATGGTTTCGAGATACACGTCCAGTAATGGCTTGCCGTAGTCCGGTTCCAGACCTCCAATCTGGCAATCAGAGCTGATACCCAACATAGCGTAGATGAGATCGCGTGGCTCAGACGTTTCGAGTCCTCTTTGACACGCCATTCTCAACCAAGTTACCAAAGTGTTCGAGTCTATCGACAGCCGTTTCCTCGTCACGATTGCGTTGGCGGCACTCTGTTCAATCGCTTCAGACATGTCCCTAGCAACAGGACTATCGGATCGTGTTATGAGGGCCAACATGTGATCGAAGCTTTCGTAACGTATGTACTTGTCCCCTCCCCACATGATCAAGATATGTCTGGCAAGGTATAGTTCCTGTTGGATCCAGACACGATTCCAGTATGATCTTAGACACAGCTCAAGTAGCGGAGGAACGGACTCCAACATCTCGTCAGCATCTGTATAATTCCCATAATTTTGAATGTTGATTACTGCTATAGCATGATGATTGCGACATTCAGAATACCCTGGCCAGACTAACACCTGGATGGCTCGTCGATATATCGTTGACATCAGTTGAACTTGGTGATTTCTCTCTTGCATGTCGGCCTGGTTGATGCTCAAAGCATCTATCCATATCTCACGGCAGGCAGGCTGTTCGTATTGCCAGCGCCGTCGAAGTGATAATAAAGCCTGGAAGAGATTACGCCGAACAACAGTGAGGTGGCCATCGAGGCGAATCTTCGGATCGTCGTCCGCAGGCGGTCCCCATTCGTAAGATAGAGCGCAATATCTGCCCGTCAGAATTCGTGTGTGTCGGACATCACATTTGATGCTCTCAGAAGAATCGTACTCGTAAGGCCTAAGGACCAGGACTCGGACTATACCAGATGCCAGTAAAGGGCGGTATTCGTAACCAGCGCCGGCTTACATGTATGTAAGCGTTCATCTAATTTTGCTGGAAGGTATATTTACTCCGATGTCGGCCTTGCGTTGATGTTGTACTTTGTCGTGCTGGGGCAGGATCGTCTCCAGTCGAGCTTGATGCTTGCCGTGACCGTGCACGTAAAGCCTTCATCGCTCGATTCTGCACGACATACCCAAGACCACCGAAGACCATCCTTTCGTCGCTGACTTCGGTGACAAGGCTGACGACAAGTACGTGGGTACTATAGAGGCTGCGCGGCTAAGGATGAGAGTCGAAAATCGCGAGGTCTTGATATCCGAATTCGTCACATTAGATACCTATATACTGCTAAAAGATCAATGAGAAATGGGATGGTAAGAGCTTTGAGAAAATGAAGCACACAAGATGGGAGGGGTATCATCAGCTGGATGCAGGGCCAAGAGCCTCGGCTAACCGCATTTGGCCGCACTCCTGCGGCCTGGATCCTCCAACCGCAGGGACGGTATTCTTTCTGCTATCGACCTTTGTGAGTTCACATCGGAAAGACTTTCGCTTATAATTCTCGGTCATGTACACGCATCAATTAACAGTTCTCGGAATGGGTTGACTGTGGCCAATGCGCAAAGACACTGCGTCGGAGCTCAGCGTTAGGCAGCCGCGCTCTTGATCAAGCCACCTCTCATCGCTTTTGACGGCCATCCTCCAGTGCATTCAGGCTTCTTTGAGGCTCCAAAACTGTGTCACGCATACACGGTCGGATAGTTGTCATGACGCAAACTGGAAAGTGCGACACGTGTCGGCAGCGCAAGGTCAAGGTGAGATGTCTTTCAAATCTCGCTATGAATCCGTCGCAAAGCATTGCAAGTCCTTGCGGATTGGACTGCGTGCTCACTGATGGATACCTAGTGTGATGAAGTGCGACCCAAATGCAGCGCATGCAAAAAGAAAGACAGACCATGTACCTACTCCTACGGCAAAGCCTCAGCATTCGTCGTACAGGATCCTAGGCAGTTGACCAAACATGGAAGATCCAGGACTAGCTCTGCTGTATATCCATTGAGTTCTTCTGACGCGAGTTCACGGTCGTCTTCAACAACCCCATATTCAGCAAGCTCGTCCACAGACCTCTGCATCACTACCGAAAGACATACCGAAGATCGACAAGGTTGCTTCCAGACCCTGGCACCGCGTTCAAAATCCAGAATGCAGCTTTCGAAGATGAAAGAATACCGCCAGAATCTTGCGCTTCAAGTACACCTCCAGAAAATACGAGAAGAATCCTCTCTCGCACCATACCAGCCATCCTCTCCCGAGACCATTCTGATCGCCCGGTACGTTGGCGTGCTTGGACCAGACCCTGCGGATAGGCAGCCTTTTGAGGTCTTAGGGACCTGGATACAGTCCATACCCTCGCGCATCGGTTCGAACAAGATGCTTGATTTGGCCGTCCAATTCTTCGTAGACAGTCATGCTACGTATCGAGATGATATGCACTCGAAGCGCAAGGTCGCCAGAGCTTCAAAGGCTAAAGCGCTGAAGGAACTGCAGCTCGCCGTGATGGATACTGATAATAAGATAACGTACGATATCTTGTTGGCTACGAAGTTACACTACGCTGCTGAGGTCAGTCTGACTGCTGGATGGCAACGTACCATGCTGATGACATGCAGGCTCTTCTGGGGCTTGATACATTGTATTACGCCATTCATGCGTTCGGAATCGCCGAGTTGCTGAGGTCGGGAGCGGTGGCGGAAGTCGATGACGACCATTTCTGGAATTTGATTGACAATACCTATGTCGACGACGTGAGTACTGCTCGGTCTTAGGAGTTCACTGCTGATGTCAAAAGGTGCACGAGGCGATGATGACGGGTCGAAAGTCAGTGTACCATAACGACTATTACCTGTCGGCTACAATTCCACCTCCGATCGATACAAGGGATATCATGCTGTCGCCATCACAAAGAGCGTCGATGGCTGTCATGCACGTTTTCATTCAGTGCCCTCATGCGGTAGCATTGATTCGACAAGCAATTTCTAATCCCGAGGACACGACTGCGCTTGCAATCGCCATGTCATATTTGGAGGGTTTGATGCAGATCGACGTGTCGCGACACATAGCTGAGCTCATTGAAACAACCGTGTCTGTGGTACCGATTCCACCGTCACCGGAAGTCGCCGACCTGATGCCTGACACCCTGGAGTTCAAGTCGGTACAAGACTTCATTCTTTGCACAAGAAGCTGGATGTTACAGTCGCTTCTCTGCGGCCTTGCGGATACGCTTTATCGATACTTTCCAGCTGAGGCGGCGTTATCGCTACTCCCGTCACCTCAGCAATTACGAATCATTGACGTGGATAGCGCACTCCGTCTTCAAAAGTCGCACAGATGGGCAGATTCAATTTCCAAACACATCCCACTTTTGACAATGCGCTTACACACCCCACTCCAGATGGCCATTGCGCCATGGCACCGCATCACACGAGAACTTTCTAGCCAACGCTCACGATACGCCTCGCCAGGCAGCCCCTCTGACGTGACTACGGAACTCACACGCGCCAAGCGCATGCAAACCTGGATAATCGACGAAACCAACAAGATACACAAGAACTGGAACGTTGCCACAGTCGAGGAAGAAATCCTTCTAGAAGCTCTTGAAGCTCTATCTGGAGAGAAGATGCCAGATTGGCTCCCAACACGCGTGCGATTCGTTCCCGAAGAAGGCGAAATGGCTCTACACATGGAATTCGAGAACAAAACAGGGACCTACTCCACTGGAAGAATCGATGTGAGCAAGGAGCCTCCGCCCAAATTGACGATGCCGCCGCATCCTGGGGAAAAGGGACAAGAATGGCAGAGGAAGAATGTGCACGTGGTGGAGCTCCCACTTAGAGGAGGGCGGAATGAAAGACCTGTAGACTTCATCCATAGTACAGGAAGAAACCTGTGTACGACTTCAGGGTGGTGGCCTCAGACACACGAAACATCACACAATAACTAGGAGGTAGTCAAGCGCATTACAAACTTCATTCTCATCATCATGTGGTATCTTGACAGCTACATCACCCTCCCTCCTCATCGCCCGCAAATCTCAATGCCCCCTGTCTTCTGCAACCTCCTTCTCACGCCCCCACCCGACGACCCCCAACTCTCTCGTATGCCCCAACCGGCATCCTAAAACCCCTTGTGTCCTTCACCAGTAGTACCGTGGTACTCCTGCCACATGCCAGTGAGTTGCTGGGCGCCGCACTTTGTGCACTTGAACTGGTGCTGGAACTGCGGATATGGGCTCCGGGGAACGTTGTGCACGATGTTGGTGGCGTAGCAAGAGGGGTTGCAGCAGAAGTAGGTGTATGAGGAAGTTTCGCCTGGCATGGTTGTTGTAGTGGTGATGGTAGTGTGGTTGGAGGTGGTGTGTAGTGATGGTGTGAAGTGGCTTTGGAAATTGGTAGTAAAGTAGTGTGTGTGGTAGTGGGTAGTTGTTTGAAGGGAAATAGAGTATTGGGCTTGGAAATTGCTGTTTATATAGAGGGAGGGTGAGAAGCACAGCGGCGAGGTGCTGTGGTGAATGGCGAAGTGACTGAGACACAAAGGGAGTGCTGTTGAGGTTGTTGCGTCGAGGACGGCGTCACCGCTGATGAGCGCGTCTACTGGCACTGTTATTCATCATTCACTTCCTAATCTGTCTTCTTGAGTTGCTGCTTCACCTCCTTAAGCACCTCACACCCCTTTGTGTCCTTGCTCCCACCGCGGCACGCAGGACAAGTCCTTCCATGCTGAATGAGAAAGAAGTGCAACTTGAACTTGAGCTCCGGCGGAATCACAGCATCCAAATGCAACTGCGTATTCTCCCTAGTCGCCTCCTTCGGTCTCCAACCCCACAATCCAGCGATGCGATAAACATGCGTGTCAACCGTGAACCGGTTCCTCTTCAAACACCACCCCATGACAACGAAAGCAGACTTTGGCCCCACGTACTTGTAACTCATGAGCTCTTTCATGGCATCTTCGTCGCTGGCTTCGAGCAGGTGATCAAGGTTCCAGCTCCCGTACCGTCGTTTTACTTCCTCCAAGATCGACATGATGATCTTCGTCTTTCTGACGTGAAGCCCGCCGCAGCGGATAGTCTCTTGCAGCTTCTCCGTACCACCGGTGTATATTTCTTCGTAGGCGAATACCGAGCCGTAGGTGTCTTTCATGCTGTCCATTGCGCGCTTCGCATTATTCCAGCTTGTTGCTTGGCTGAGCACGGCGACGATGAGGGCGTCGAGAACGAATGGGATTGTCTCGGGTGTATTGGAGTCTTTGAACTCGGCCTCCACGGCGTCGTTGTGTAGTTTGTGAAGGACTTCGTAGGCGAGTCGGCATTCGCGGTTTGTTGGATGACCGAAGTCGGGGTATGGCGTGGATGTCGCGTGGGCTGACCATGCTTTCCACTTCTTGTCTGCACCGGCGTTGTTGTTGTCTACATTGACATTGCTGGCCTGGTCGTTCGTCTCCTTCTCTTCTCCATCACTGCTTTGTGCGACAGTGTCTCTTTTTGCTGAACGATTTGCTGCATGGCGATTGACGCGTTTGTTGAGCGTCTCTTCACCAGTTGAGGAATTGGAGTGTCTTCTCTTCATCGGGCTACTCGCAGTCTGCTGTGCTGTACGTGTCGCCGCTCTCCCTGATCGCCTTAGAGCCATTCTGTACATTAATATGAAGGGTTAGGCACAGTAGCAAGTCTCTCACGCAATATTGTAGATGTGCGTGCTCTTCTGAGAAGCCCGGCGGACGCGTTCCAGGTATATACTAATTTCTACGCTGACGTCTTCGTCAGTCGCGGCTCTGGGCCCTTGCAAAAGGACGCGCTAATCATCACCAAGATCGCGTCGGAATCCGCGGACGCTGAAATCTAGATTCGCGAGATGTAGTGCGGAGGCGCGGCGGCGCATCGAAGGTTCGGCGATGAACCCATGTCGGCGATGAACCCCAAACTCGGCGATAGACCCACGCGCCAGGTCTTTCTGGTCCATCATCCACATCTTGGGATGCCAACGTCACTGTTCAGGTAGCGTTCACTCCCGTAGAGCCCGCATACGCAAGACTGAAGCCTGCTCGACCGACTGTGTGATAACGTATTTGACTGTATCTGAGCGCAACACTGCCTACAAAACAAAATCCTTATACCTCCTGACAAAATCATGCAAGTCCTGCGCCGAATCACAAGGCACAGGCTGCATATACCGACAACTCCTGTCACCCGACTTTGACACCCTCAGGAGAGTCTTCGTAAGCCACCAGTAATCTACGGCGTGCTTCTCGAACCTCAGATTGGGCAAGTTTCCTCCTTCGCTGTCTTTGCTCACCACATCCCAGAGAGCCTTCCATCGGTCGATGGCCTGAAGCATCGGCTCTGTGCTTATAGACGTGAGGAGACTCATCCTGGATGTCATGACGATAGATAGCAGTGCTATGAGAGTCAGTAGGGTCACGATAGTATGGGTGATGTGAAAACGGACCGCAGATAAGTATCAGCATGTTAAGTGGTGAAACGCGCTCTTTCCGTTCATCCGCATGCCTTGAAACAGGACAAAGAAGCACACTTGACATGAGCTCGGGTAATGTATCCGCTCGTGGTCGCGGAAGCTGAAGCGATGCAAGGCGCGCGAAGTCGGCGGCGGTCTCAGCTCTGAACAGAGTCTCCTCGCAGGGCAGACCACCTGTCGTCTCACAGATGGCAACTTGTGGGGTATTGTTGAAAAATATGGAGAGGGTGGTATCGAAGAAGCAGGTCCACATACCCAATCTGCGAGTGTTGTTAACGACTTTAAGCACACAATGTGAGCGAGCTTACAGTACCTCAATCGCATCTCATCGTTGATGAAACCTTGCCAGTCATACTCATGTTGACCGGGAACGATGTGGTTTTGTTTGTGCGCAAACAAGCCTGAAGCTCGCACCGCTGTCACCAGCGACGGAATTCGCTGAAGGCGGATTCGCCGTCTTGTGACGATTTCGTTACTGTTGTTCAGAAAGACCAAGAACAATAGACCTGCTTGCAACAGCTGAAGATGCTCATCATCAACCAATACCGATTGATCAGCTTGCAACATCTGCCGTGATACCAATTGATCAAATATATATGCCTCTGCAACGTGTGAGAACCTTCGTATCCCAATGGAAGCATCCGACTCTAAAGCCGTCATCGACCCGAACAAGACAAGCGTGAGTAAAAGCGGAAAAGATACTGTTTGTATATCGAACGTCGGATTGTGCAAAATAGGAAAAGAGTAGTGAAAGTAGCGGAAGAAAGCCCACACAAAGTGCCGCACGTTCCTGACTGTGAAGACGGCTTCCGCAAGTTGATAGTCAAATGTCGCATCAAATGCATCATTGCATTCAAGCATCGAGATGTGCTTAGCAGACAACTGCTGTAGCATCTCTCTCACACGGACTTCCAAGGCGTACGCATCTTCCAGTTCAGGTGTTAGACTATCGTTTTTGATCAGAGATTGATAATCGTATTCTCTCCCTGACACCAGAAATGGGAAACCAAAGAATACGGAGGGGATGTCAGCGAACTCGAAGAATGACTGGTCGTGCGCCATGTCTTGGTCATGTGTGTCTGGTTGTGCGAGCGTCACGCCATCCTGGTCGTCCAGCTCAGCAGCTTCAGCGGCGATGGCAGCGGATGGGCGATAGCCTGAGGGATTCGTGAAATTGAGGAGGAAGTCGATGGAGATGCCCACGCGCTGTCCGTTGGCATTGCTTTCATTGGCGTTATGGCTCCTTCCGACGGATGAAGTAACGCCCAAAGAAACGCCGTCCAGCCGCTTATACGTACACACCGCGCCACTAATGCGACAACGCGCACACTGCGTCTTGGTATCGCATGACACCTTCCGCTGCGAACATGCATCACATGAAAGCCGCTTTCTGCCGCGCCTCAATGTGGGTAAATTCACGTCATTGCCTTGAGCAGAAGAGCAGTTTGACAAGTGGCGTCGAGCGAGGTCTCTGCCTTCACGTCAGCAACCATCAAACGCGTACACTCAGAAATGAACCTACCGTCGGGTAAACTGCGCATGGCATGATGGACATGTCAAGTCTTGCCGGCCAAAATCTAGCTATTGTGAGCAGAGGATGATTGATTGGGTGAGAGGGTCTCACGTGACGCTTCATGCCGACGAAGATGGCTATTGGTGGAGTAGACCTTGTTGCATACCGCGCATTGATGCTTTGTGTGGATTGCGGGAGGCATGTAGTGCGCGTCTGCATCTCGCACATGAACCCACGGGATGCGGTGGGTTTTGTTCCGCTGCAAGTGAAGTGGATCTAATGTGCTAGCGTCCGTCCGATCCCGTTGCGGCAAATCGACGTCATCTTCAACGTCTCGACATCATGCAGGCACAATTGCGAGGAATAATCTTGGACAAAATCTCCATGGAAATACTGCCGATGGATGCAGTCTGTGACAGAATTTCTGGAAGCGAAGATGTCAAGGCGATGACGCTAATTCAGTGTCTAAGTATCTCATTAGAGCATTGGAACAGTATAACACCTCATCATCAGTAAAACCCCTTCCTAGCCGTCCCCTTCTTCGTCCTATTCTCACCCCAAATACAACAAATACTCAAACTCTCACACCACCCCTGCACCATACTTCCCTCCAACTCCTTTTCCACAGCCAACACCTCATCCACATACTCCCCCTCCGCATTCCTCTGCCTCTCTATCCCAATCCCCACACTCAGCACCTCTTTACCCCGCTTCTTCATATCCGCGTTCCACGCTTTAATCTGCTTCTGCGTGGCTTTCTTGTACACGCGGATGGGCGTGTACATGTTGATATACGCGGTGAAGTCTTCGATGACGATGGGGTCGTACATGAGGATTTTCTCGTGCCAGGTCGGGTGGGCGGGGTCGCGTGTTGGAGGTAAAGACCGAATATGACTCGTTATCTGTGAGAAGATCTGGGGTTTGATGTTGGGCCATTCGAGAAGGGGGGTTGATGTGCGGTAGATGGGTGTTAAGGCAGGGTCGGCCGTTGTGGATTTCGCTGTCTTCGTTTTGCTAGGCGAAGTGGTGGGGGAGAGGGTGATTAGAGATAGAGGCTGGGAGTTGACTTGTTTGGTTGTTCGGGGCGGCGTGAGAGAGAGGAGCTGCATGGCTTCGTCTTCGGAGTCGAGGATCTCGTCGATGTCGATGAAACGTCCAGAGCCTGTTGGCGGGGTTGACGGCGTCTTGGTCTTAGTCTTTGACTTTGCGCGGGGCTTCAGTATTGGCGTCGATGATGCGGAGACTGAGGTGGGTACTGTAGAATGTGACTCTGGTGGCTTTCCGCGCTTCTTTGGTGAGCCGTCCATGGTGATCGGTGCTGAGGCTGGAGGTTTGAAGATCGAAACTGGCGATCTCCGCATCTGCGCAGAGGGGGGAAAGTCAAAGTCATCAATATCAACGAAGCTATGTGGCGATGCTGGCTTCTGCCCGGAAGGTGGTGGATCTTGTGCGAAGTCGTCAATGTCTCTAAATCCCATATCTTTGATATGGTTATCATCATTGCGTAATTTCGTAATTGGAGTTGCGCGTGAAGTGGTGGGAGGTGGCATTGGTGGATCAGAAGATATGGTAATTGGTGGCGGCGGATCCGGTGGTATATCGTCAATATCTATGAAGTCAGATTGATCATCGGCTTGCTCATCAGGTGCATCCGTAGTGCCATGCATGAGCAATGGAATGTCTTGCGTTCGGTCTGGCTCGGGTATATAGACGTCTTTCAAGTGCTCAAGCATGCCACCTTCATCATCTCTTGCACTCGCAGCCCAAAGCCCGCGCTTGCCTTCCACCCTACCCAGCCGTGGCCATCGCGGCGGCGCGTCATATGCAGCATTGTCGACCTCCTGCTCAGACTCGTTCAGTGCATACTGTAGTTGACGCACCATTGTCGGCGACTCTTCAAGCACAAGCTGACTTGATGTTCCGAACAAGACATCCTGCTGCTGCAAACGCGACATTGCAGACGAAGGACTGAGCAACCTCTCCGCGACAGGCTTGGGCTTGGCGGCAGCTTTTGTAGATGCTTTCCTCGATCTTGGCTTGGGATCTGCTTTCTCTGTGGCCGACTTTGAGCTGTTACGCCTGCGCACCGGCTTCTTTGGTACTGCATCGCCATCAGCTGTCGGTCCGTCGTTCAATGGCACTTTTGTTGTAGTTGTAGAAGCTTGAGGCTCAAAGAAGTTGCTAGTCGCATCATCTGGAACCGGTTGTGCATCCTTCAGGGCATACTGCTCCGTGACGAGGTCGGTAATCGTGCGCGGCTTCTTCTTCGGTGCTTTACCCTTCTCAGGGGACGAGTCTCTTGAGTTGGTGTTGTTGCTGGGTATCTCGACGAGCTCGATTCTCCGCCGCTTTGTCGCAGCCACGGCCCCTGGAGCTGCGGTGGCCGACTTTGCAGCGGCCTGCGCAGATGGCGATTGTGCGTATGCGAAGTTGGAGAGGAGGTTTGTGAAGGAGCCATCGGCGTTTTGCGAGAGGATCTTGTTCTCCTTTCCAGTCGAGTCCGTAAACGGTGATGCGATTGTGGTATCGGGTGGCGGCGTCCAATCTCTCCTCCTTACGACAGCCTCTTCCAACTCCAATCCCTCTGCAATGGGATCTGGCTGTCGCTGCTTCGGTGCGGCCTTGTTCTTCGGCTTAGGGCTTTCCGGCACATCCCAGATCGATTGAGGCTTGACCTGAGTGTCGTGATCCTCTACAGAAGGCCGTGTTGCCGACCCCTCGCCTCCGTCTGCCACATCTTGGAAATGCGCAGAAACGAGCGACGCATCTCCCTGCTTGCCCTTCCCCGCCCCTGCTTTCGCCTTTGTGACCCTCGGTTTCTTTGGCTTTGGCACAGACTCTGCGCCATCTTCCGCAGTCTTGGCCTTCTTTGCGCGAGGCTTACGGGGCTTGCCTAACTTGGTGAGCTTCGGCGCATCCGCAGCTGGTGCCGCAGGCTCGACCAGAGGTTCTGTCGCATCGTCGTCGAAGAAAGGGGACTTTGTAGGTCGTTGCAGTGGGCGTCGGATTTCGTCGTCCGAGTCCAGGATTTCTTTGTCTGACTTGGGTTTGAGTTTGCGCGCTCGAGGCTTCGGTTTGGGCTTCTCGGAGCCGTCTGCAGCGGTGGCGGTAGTAGTAGTAGTTGTAGACTTCTTCGTGGTTCGTTTCTTGGGCTTCTCCGCAGCCAAAGGAGGCTCTGTGATATCCTGCGATGTTCGCCGTGAGTGCGCTTGCTGTATCGCATCGAAGTCGTCGTCTAGGCGGCTCGTAAAATGCTCAGAGCGTATGAGGCTGCCGACGGTGGCGAATCCTCTGACAGCTCCCTCGGGAATAGGAGCCGCTCTCGCATTGCTCTTCGACGCGCCGGCCGCCGGTCTGAGGGGGCTCGCAGGAGGAGAGAATGCGAGAGGAGAGGACGCAAGCATGGCGACGCGACGGGAGGGGGCATCATGTAGCGGGGAAGCGGCCGGCGGACTCGAGGATAACACCACGACGTCGTACATGGTATTGCCTGCCATTCTGAGGCGAGGAAGGGGCCTCCAGGCAGCCAGTACGGGCAGACCGAGAGGGGCAATCCATAGGCTCAGCCTGAGTGGTTGGGAAGGGTGTGGTATATAGTGGCGCTGGTTGGTGAAGCCGAACAATGCACGGTCTTGGGGTCAACTGAAGTTCATTGCTGCAACACCAAAGTCTCTATCACCAAATTCCGAGCATATGCCCCTCCACCACCGCAGCTCCCACATCAACCCCCTGCGATCGCCCTGGAATTTCTTCCGGAGCTCTATAGATGCGAGCACATCGCCATCATCGACTTGATCAACTGCCTCCCGGTTGTATACAGCGAGAATCCGGCCTGCGCGGATGTCCTCCAACACCCATCGTAGCCTCCCGCACCCCTCTCGCCCCCGACAGCAATATGGAGCATACGCGAAGCTTCAGAATAGCTCCTTCATTCTGCTCAGTACGTCTGCGCACTTGTCGCAGCTTCTGGCGTTGCGAGTGAGGTTTAGAACAGCCAGAGCCGTCCCTGCGAGCCTCACCCGCTGAGCGAGGGCCTTCGGTATCGTCGTGTGAGGCACAGACAGCGGGAGAAGATTTCGGAAGACCCCAGTAAGTATCTCTCGTCTTTATTGTTGACATGCTTGACCTTCGCTGCCCCTCCCTGATCCTGCCTACTCCGCCGCTACCCCGCCTCGAAGCCACATACATCAACCAGCAAGGGCAAGAGAACGTGCAGAGAAATTGCTGATGCATTGACTGACAAACAACAAGCTGCTGCTGTAGTCTCGCATCGGCAGCGACATCCTCCTTGGGTTGACTTCAGAGTTGCCTCCGACACACCCCCGCCCTCACCTCCGCTGATAAGTCTTAGCGACAAGCATCACCGAAGCACTGCGCACGAGGCAAAGCACATGCCCCATTGCTGGCCAAAGGCTGGCAGCTACCACAACGATAGTCCATCTCGCTGTCGATACTGTGGCGGCATGGCGCTGCATCATGCTCACATGTGAGGCAGTAGCTTGGCTACGTAGACACCCTCGCGGAGTGCCTGGTGAGGGCCGTCACGCTTTATACTAGAAGCCGACCATGGATACCTCATCTACTGCCTCCGAATTGGTACCATCACGGCCACCGTTGACTCTTGCAACCCTCGTATACCGAAGACGACTAAACCCGACGCCATCGCATACTCGAAAGTAAGGCGACTCGGTTTGGATGAAGGGACTGGGCCTAGAACATGCTGTGCGGGAGACTTGGGCAACCGCGAGGAACTCATGGAGAGGATACACGCCAGCAAGAGATGGAGACTATGGGCATGCTGTCGGAGAACCCAAAGGTTCATTGCTCATCGGCGCAGGCGTGGATCAAGCCCGCAGCGCTCCTCGATCTTGCTGTCGATGGGGCATGTGGTGTGGCATACTCGGCTTCCGTGGGCAGTAGGTCGAGCTGCCTTGACCAGGCCGCATGGTGTGGCGGCTGGTGCATTCTGCTGGAGCAATGGTCAACAATGCTGGGCAGTATCGCATCGTGACTTCGCCAGCGAGACACAAACTGCAGATCATCGCCAGCGAGACATCCGACAGCGAGATACCGGCGAGGGGCCATCGGCAGTGAGACTTGAACAGCGACAAATTGACCGCGGAACCGTCAGCCTTGCAAAAGAGCATATCAGAGCTCTCGACTTACTATCTGGAATCTGCCATTGAAGCCGCAGCTTCACGTACGAGATGCCCATCATCTTCGAAGCTACGAGAGACAGCTAAGCATCAGCATCACCAGCACTGTCGAAGTCAGCTGCTGCCGTCACATCCTGGATCGACATCACGCAAGGAAGAAGAACCAGACGATTCTTTTGAACTTCAATAATTCCTGGAAGACGTCAGCATTGGTTCACTCTCGGACGGTATAGGCTGGAGACTCGCTATCTATTCATTCCACGTTACGAATCCAACTATCGAACAATTCCAGATAGTAACAGCTTGAATGAAAGCCAATGCGCTTCATGCAAGATCGAGCCAACGCAGCTGCGGCTTCTTCGTGTTCCCGAGCCAAGCGTCTTTTTCATGCTATGTTTTTGAAAGAGATATCCAGATCCCCTCGTTGGGTTCAGACGGGAAAGAAATGTTGCTGTCGTGATCTCGTCATCGTCATCGCTTTCCACGTGACGCTGTTGTTCTCGGCGCAGATCTTGAAGGCGACACTCTTGTCGATGGTAGCACGGCCGAGTGGGGCGTCGAGCGGTGCCCTCAAAGACCGTCGCACTACAAGAGTCCTTCTCGGCGTCCTCGTAGCGTCGGATGTTCAATTTGTTGTGGCAGTCCTCGTGGTTCTTGGCGTTGAAGGCAGGGCGGCTAATGGAATGCTCGAGTGTCTGGGTCTGTCAGGTTAGCCAAGTCGTCGGCGATGGCGGGGATTTTCTTGACACGCCTGCCTCCGACGCAGTGCTCCCAGACTTCAAGATCGCGATGCACTCGTTGACATCCGAAACGACGATGAGTTCGGCAGAGGCGAAGCGCAGTCTGGTAGTCGATTGCCTAGATGGTGCAGCAGTGGACATATGGCGGTAGATCGGTGTCCGAGTCCATGAACACACGGCACTCGACGTCGTCACCCATGCAGTCGTAGGACGGCCCATAGATGGTATCGCACCGGGACTTCGGCGACTTGCTGCGCGCGCAGCAGTGCGTCTGGTGACATCCATGTGCGGGAATTGCGGAAAATTCCTACACTACCTCCACATGAGGATGTTCTAGGTACGATTCGCATCGAGTAGCGGTAGTGCAAGGGTGATTTCCCAGTTCTTCTTCAACCTTCGACTGCGGGGGCCTGAGCAGCTCTGTCGGCGATCAGTTTTGCGTTGTGCGCAACTCCAGCAGTATGGGCAATGGCTTGGATGGCTGATGCTAGGTGACCGTGCTAGAGCCTGAAGCTGAGTTGCGTCGACCATTATCAGCATGGCGGCCGTGACGACCAAGATATCCAGTCGGGCGTCTTGAGATGGTTGGAGCTCCGATTCTGTCAATTCCAGGTCAGTGCTCACGTTGAGTATCGGGCGATCTCCGGCACGCTGAGCGTGGCGATGGGCCGCCTCTGCCTGACGACTTGGGTGGTGTCTGCTCGGGCTGCGACTGTGCCCGCGAGGGCTGTCAAGCTTGGCGCACTGCGAAGTGAGTACAAGGCTCGCAGGCCGGAGCCCAGTCGTGGAGGCTGGCACCATCTAGTGGTAGACGATCATCTACTTGTCCTCAGCGAGGTCGACAAATGTTGGAAGAAGATCCATGGTAGACACGGACTCCTTGACCTTCTTGGGCGCAATGTTGGGTCTGTTGATAATCATGGGAACACGCGCGCTATTCTCGTACCAGCGCATCTTGTACCACTGAGGGGTCTTGCTTCTCCCCAACCCTCTTTAACTCCGTCTCCTTGTATCGTCACGGAAAGGTTTCCGGGGCTGTTGTCGTAGCCCGATTTCATCGCCTATGGATGATACAGAGATGTCACAGCTATAACCATCGACTGTGATAGCCTGGTTGGAGGAGGAGTCGACAGGAGCGTACATTCCAGTTGGAGAAAACCATGAAACAAAAGCAGCTGCGTGTATGTCTCTCCTCTCTTCTTGTCATCGATAAGTAGCTCGTCATTGTGCTCTCGCTGAGCTTGGGCACCAGCACTGCGTGGCTCCGGCAACAGAGAAAAAAGGGATCGAAGACATAAACCCGAGAGTCGCCGGTTTGTGGTACCTGGAACCTATCCTAGGTTCTGTCCAGGTAGTGTCTTTGTCTGGAAGCAGGCTTTGTTGAGCCGACGACTCCCATTCTTACTCCTACTCCTGGATACGGCTCTGGACACTGGCATCCGGGCATGAAGTGTTCTAGGGCGCCGTAGTGCCTCTTGTTGGTTCTACGCTGCTTCGACCAGCCCCGGAGCCGGACGTGCGACTTAACTTTTGGGATGGTCATCGCGTTATTGCAGACGTAAGTCGTGTCGTACGCTGCTCGTCCCGTTGATGGCCGCTTTGTTGTCTCGCCGAAGAATCGAAATGGTCGCCGATGATTAAAGTGCGTAAATTCCAAGTGGCTCCGTGGAAGAAGATGCCTATAGATGGTGTTGCGTCAGGACTTTGTCGACTTTCCGGGTGGTACGTCCTTTGGTGCCTTCTGGACCGAGCAGTATGAGCCAAGGACACCGGCAGGTGGATCGAACTCACTCCTCAACTCTTTCTTTCTGCCTTCTCAGCAATCTCGTAGCCGGAGCCATATCTGTGTACGACCTTGATGGATATGTTGGCGGGGATCGGCGGATGGCTCGTTCACAGCACATTCGAACGCTGGCCCATGGACGGAATGCGTCGGGACTTCGACGACTTGGTTGTTGGTGGAACCTTTGATGACTTCTCGAGAGATTAGCATGACCAAAGGCCGCTTGGAGGTGGGTTGAACTTACTGAGCATATACGCCGCCGGGCGCCATCATGTCGCTGTGCCAAACGCCGAATACCGCCATGCTTCTGATCAGACACCATTTCGAAATCGTTGGTGTCGTGCTGGCGGCAGGGGAGATATGACGATCGGATCATTGTCGTCTTGAAAACTTTTTGCACCCCTAGTGATAGCTGGCGACTATCACCAGAGGTGACTTCCTCCGTGTCGACGAGGACGCCCTGGTTGATAACGGAAGCTATTGGCCCGTGTGCTAGCAACGCTAGCAAGGCGTGTATGTTCGCTTTTGTGCCCTTACGGGAGGTAATGTGCTCGAAGGAGCGCTCCGTGGTATGGCCACTTGCTGTTGAAGAGCAATTTGTATCGACGACATACGAGTGGGTTGGACCATACCACGGAGAATGACCAGCTATCCAGACCATGATGCAGGCATGTCTGAGCACTCATACGTTAGTACGGCGTTGCACAAGCGGGTATACCTTGGACAGTGTTGGACGTTTGACTTACCGATCGAGGAGTGCGTTTCGTAAGACGTGCCGGACTGAACACCTGGCCTGTGCGAACTTTTTGTAGAGACGAAAAGTGAGTGTGGTAGTCGGCGTTCGTCTGTACAGGCTCAGGTGTTCAGCCAGTAGCGACAATCCCAGAGAGAACTCTTCTATTCTGCTGTAATGATCTGGAATAGCGATGTTGTCAGCAACGGTCAAGCATAGTCATCTAGCTGGTACAGCGGCGGCGGAGGAAGGGCAGTCGGGTTGAGTAGCTGCATCGGTCGACACCAGCCCGGCGAAGGCGGCGGCGTCAACAGCGAGGGATCAGGAGCGGAGTCGGTACATCTCTTGAGTGCATTGAGCACCAGAGAAGCCCGTTGATCCCACTGGAGGTCGCCTCGTCACCGGAGAGGGGCTGAAGCGCCATGTCCGACCCAGAATCGTCATCCTACCCCGCGGCAGGCTCGAAAGCATCGGCGGTGTGGTTTCAGGAGTTTTGGGGGATGACACGAGTTCGTCAAGAAGATGAAGAAGAGGATGCACAGCAAAAATTGCGACTTTGGGGAGTGTGATGAAGTCGATGGTAGGGAGGTGCAAGTCTCACCTTAAGGCGAACTCACCCGCTACCTGCGCACGGGCCACAGAAAATGAGAGACGGCCTCGCAGAAGGAGCGCGATGGCAAGGAGAAGGGGGCATTGTCGACGGTGACCGTCGTTAGGAGCTGCTGGCCTAGCCGATTATCAAGATGGGCCTCAGCCACACAAGGCGATGCAGTGCTGAGTTTGCTATGGCAAATATTCTGAGGACTTTCGGATAGCGACAGCAAGGTCTCAAGACATAGCTTTGTCTGCTTTGCAAGTACACGCAGCTGCAGCAGTAGCTCGACGAGACGGCGACTGCAATGCAGTTCTCATTGCGTGGATGGAGAAAGTGGTAGGGCGGCAGACAAGCCACTGCACCCGCGCTTCTGATGTTCAAGACGGGACGTCGCCAACTCCGCAATCGCTTCAAGTCCGTTAAAGCACCTTGAGTCCGACGAGATGACGGAGCAACCACAACATTTGCACTCACTGAAAAGTGGGATTTCCAGCCCCTGTTGCAGACTTGCGTATGACTGAAGACATGTATGCCTTCAAAAACGCTTCTCATCGAGCCCTTGTGGATTGCAACCCTTGAGCAAGAACGACCGAATTCCGACAGCGAGACCGGCTGGCAAAGCAGGCTGGATCGCTGTGCATGATCACTGGCATGTGCATGACGTCCATTTTCGCTCTCCAAGTCAAGGCACTGGTCTTTCTCATGATGTCTTGAGAGACCGCGAAGTCGAAAGACATGTATTTGATCTGATGTGAAGTTTGTCCGGCATCATCTTGATGCTACGGTTTCCCCCAGCTCGAGACACGGTATATGAGATGCCTGGACTCACAGCCATTTTGATCGATCGACTCAAGAAGTCTTAATCTTCATGTTGACTACAGATATGACTAACCCTCCAGCTCATGCTCCTCCAAGCTTGATAATATGCCGCGAGTCGCTGTTCATACGACCGCACGACCACCTATGACTACCACGCCTATATCCGTGATGCTTCACCCTTCCCCTTCTCAACCCCTTCCCCTGCTTCTCAGCATGCCAAAGTATGACGCCCTCGGTCCTTTGGCTGCCTTCTTCCCCGATTCTGTTGCATACATCAATCCCTCATATCCTTGCGGTATCCCCTTATGCCTTCGACTGAGTTCGGCCTCTCATTGCCCTGCGTATTCCCTCTTCTCCCCCCATTCACTGCATTCATACCACCTACCACATCCACTCCTTTTGCCCTTTGCGAGGCCGGCCGCCCATGGCGCTGTGTATTCCACTTCTGCTTCCCTCTCCTAGCACACCCCTATGTCCACCCATCCCCTAGTCTCCCATCCCCCCTCTTTGTCCAAACCCCTCCATCACAGCCCACCAACCTTCCACTCTCCTCCAATCTTCATTCTACTCACCATTATCCCTCATAGTTATGTCCCGGCCTCACACTCCCCCCAGCCGATCCCGAAAAGTGTTCAGATACTCGCCTTACCTCCCTTCACAAGCTTCAGCATCAGAAGTCTCTTGTAGCCGCATAGCCGCACCTTCCTATTCCTCGCTGAGGCTCTGGGATTGCTCGTGTGCTATGGGGCGGGGTTGTTTGGATTTGCTGTGTCCGCGCCGTGTAGGTTTTGACTTTGCGGAGGTGGGGTGGCGGGTCGAGGAGCGGTGGTGTGTGGTTTGGTAGCTGGAAGGATGTGGGAGGAAGGAGGGACGTGATGGTCGCGGTGAAGACGTGGAGAGAGTCGTGTGACGGCTTCGTTTCGACGTGAGCTTCGGCTCTTCATGAGTTCCTGGTTGTATCAGTTGTGCTCTTTCGCAGACCCCATCCCTTCTCGTTCTTCAACGGTCTTTGGCCAGGTCTACGTCTACCTTCGTTGCCGTCATCGTCGTCATTCCCGACACATGCCATCCTGCTCTCTCATAATCTTTTCCCCCATAGCCCATATCACCAACCTCCGCCTTTCCCTTCATTCTTGCTTCTTTCTCAAACCCGCGCCTGATCCTCGCCCGCGCCATCCTTCCTCGACGTGACGATTTGCCCTGTGATATGAACCCGCTTGTAGACGTGATCGTTATGTTTGTCGAACACCGTGCGTAGCCCTTTGTGATATCGCTCCCCATCCCAATGCCGTCAAGGCGATATAACTTGTAAGTCGCTTGATCACAGTGCCACAATCGCAGCTCTAGTAGGTTCGTATCGATAGTTGAGGTTCGTAAGGCGGGCGCTCGTGAGGCAGTCGTCGGACGCCTTGTCGATGTGAAATGCTGGTCTGAGGACTCGGACAGCGAAATGCAGGCGGCACGACGGCCTACGTCTCGCGCACCCGCAGTGATCGTTTGGCTAGGTATTCGATGTTAGTCAAAGTCAAAGTCAGAGTCAAAGTGGCGCGGCCTTGTTGATTGCCAACCTTTGCCGGATGGCCTGGAGCCACCTGAGACAGGCAGCGCGCCGTCTACCACCGTAGTGCAAAGTGACCAAACTACCTCGCGTGTGGTTCTTCTGGTGTTTCAAAGCCCATGCACAGCTTCATCGGTCGACTAGATGTTGTTGGTCAGTCGTGAGGCCCTGCCTTCCGCGACTTGACTTGCGCGACGGCGCATATCTCCGCTCCATCTGATTCGATTCAATTCTTGAAAAGCAAAAACGAATCGCAATCGGTTCGGGTATATAATAGCTATACGATCGGTCAGTTCATCATGTGGTGGTGGGCGTCATGTTCTGCCCTTGGCACATAGATGTGCGCGACGGCGTGTATCTCCATCGATCCTGCACTGATCCTCTGTTTGAAAAGTGCAAATATTTCCCCAATGAGCCTTTCGTACGGTGGGTATGCGATCGATCATATCGTAATGTGGTGGCGGTTGCCATGTCCTGTTATGTCCGTTGTAGCATGCGTGACGTAGGTTTCCAGGCGCAACATTCCTCTGCAATGGCGCTACGACCCGCCTGACGTCTCCACATATCTGAATCGTCAATCTGAGTCCACTCACTGTTGGATGAAAGGTATTGTGGCTCGTGGCGGGCGTCAGGCGTGTTGACGGCTTTTCGTCGGCGGGTAAAACGCATCGTCGGGAGGCGGGCCGGCGACGGCGTTGCGTAGAATTGCACACTCAGTGCGGTGGTTACTTTCAGTCACTGTTAGCTCATTCATTCGTTATGGGATAGGAGAAGCCAAGCGAAGGCATCCCAAAGTTGTTCGATTCAGGGAGCGCGCACCAGCAGCGACCGCTCTAGTGAACCGATAGAGTGCTACGCTTGATGAACAATGGGAAGCAACAAAGCCTTATGCTTTGATTCGAAGCGCGACGCTCAGGTCGACATCGGACGTAACTTGTGTAGAAGGTCGGTGTTGAGTACCCTAGCGTGGATGTAGCGACTCGCTCAATTTCAGCTGGCTTATGTCTTCACTGAGCAGAACACCAAACCTTACTAATCGTACGAGCAATCAGCCCCGTTCAGGAGGATACGTACAAGCGACGCACAACGGCACTCAGGTAGTCTAGTATGCTTGCCATCTACAACATGAGATTATAGGTTGCTAGAACTTTTGGCAGAAGGTCAGGACTTACACAACAGCATGTGAAGTGGAGTGCTGTATCGCACTATCTACGCGCGTACCTTCTAGCCATATTGTTGTGGACTCGAACGATCTATCTTAGTCTTATGACGTTGTCCCCTCCCTTTGTAATTTGATATGTTAGGATACATATTTCCTTATATGGCGGACAATGTCTTGAGTGAGAGGGGGCTGGAATTGCAAGCTCGTAGTGAGCGCGTATATTAGGGGCTCTATTCAGAATCTCGAGGGAAATACGACTTTCTGCTACGGACAATGGCAGCTGTTCAAGCTCATCCCTTGCCTCGCCTCAAAGCTGAATCTTGACCAACATCGTTTTTGGCATCAGAACAGTCGTCCGTCTTTCCATAAAAAACTAAAGATGGCCGTTATTTCTTCTCTTTCTCTTGCAAGTTCTTTTCTCTCTGGCAGTACCCGTTGCCGAATCTGCGCGCGAGACATTTCCGACAACAGAAGTCTCTCAACCAGCTTCTGTGCAACCCACGACCGACAAGCCAGTAGTTACGAGGCGATCCTCGGTTGGTGGTGCTGTGAGCTCCAGCACAAATTCGAGCTCGTTCGACGAGAGAGGTGGATTGCCGAAGGTAACCCACTACCCTCACTGGGTGAGACGGCAACAGCGTCTCAGGATGTCCTTTGGCAGAGGGCAAATCTCCTGGGGCTACAGTGTGAGACGAGTCTGGTGGAAATGGCAGTCGACCTGAGATCTGGTCTTCAAAAGCCTGATTGGATCACCAACATCGAGGAGCTCAAGTACTACATGGGCGAGCGCTTTGGATACATACATTGTGCATTCAAGATAACCCTGGAGAACAACTGCGTATACGTCTTCGATCCCACGGGCATTCAATTCGGTCCTGAATGGGCAGTCCTCACTCTTTGGGAAGAATATGTCTTGGATCGACAAGAGACTCTCACTCTTTCGGAACAAGTCGACTTGCAACGACAGGCCAAGGACATGCTGGACCTGGTCGTACGCCCATTGGGCCAGAACGCAGACTGGCGGCTCCAGGGCTACCAAGGCACATACTAACTCGCTCCTGGGCAGTGTAAGTTCCTCGCAAGCATCTGACAGCGTCGTTCGGTCTCTCAAACTGGGTAGACCGTGTCCTCGTATGGAGATGGGAAGCAGGGCTTGCTTGCCTGGGAGTACGACCGAGAGGAAGGCCCCCGTGGCGTAGGGTCGGTCGCTCACCGAACTTTTCCACCGGTGCTAAGAGCCCTCAACTGCCCCGACATCCTGTTGACGTTCGTGAGCCGAAGACAAAGGTCAGCTATCAACTTTAGCTTCCACCAAACCCCGATTCTGCCCACTCGTCTCGACTTGAGCATCATTTGCTCCAAACCTTCGAACATCGGTGCTTACAGCAAATCGCGACAACCTCATTCTCGTCATTACGCAGCGATACTGCTCCCCTCTGCTCGCGAGCTTCGACAGCGGTTACGAAACGACCAGTCTCGACCCATCTCTTCGCATTGCGCGCGCGTCTGTCGGTAAAACGATGCTACACAACTTGACAGACACGCGATGGGATCGACTGGTGCATATAATGGGCGGCTGCATTGTTGGATGTCGGCGAGACGTTGGTGTTGCGGGAAGGGAAAGACATGTCGGAAAGATGATGTTCGGAGATGTGCTCAAGCGTGATCGGATGATGCATTCCGCGCCACCTTCGGCGCAAACTTCAGCACGAACGTCTTCCTAGATACGGCACGGGCAACACGCGATAGATGCTTCGATCGCGAGTTGCGTGATCTGTTTGCAGAATTTCTCATCGAAATCGGAAGTCTTTGGTACTTCAATGTCCCAGGATACCTACAGGGACATCTACAGTGCGAAATAAGGCCCTTACCAACTCGACTTTTCTGCAGCGGCGGACTTCCTATCCATCCTTATGCCCACGGCGCCGTTTCGTCACACCGGTACGGAAGGTACCTGGACACAACTGAGGTCTTTCAGTGAGACACCGGGGCTTATCACAAGAGCAGCATGGCCGGAAGCGCGCTAGGAAAGGTATGTATAAGGGCGAGGCACACCAAGGCTACGCATGAGTCACTGCATACGACAAGGTTAAGATGCCTCACTATAAAGAATATACTACATGGATACATGCTACATTTTGAACTACATACGAGGGCATGAACATAAAGTTCGAGATCGACTTGAAGAAGTAACAGTAGAGTAATGTAGGCAACTTTCGACTGGATCTGACGATAGGAGAAGTCAGACCACGAGCCGTTTTAGCTGTCACTTCAATCTAGGCGATGTACCATCAAACCTGAGAATTGAGCTCTCATATTCATTGGGACATGGCCGTTGGTCGTTCCACTATTGAAGTGCCATCCTTTTCCTTTCCCCTTTGTACATGCACTGTTATCGTTCGGGTGTTGTGTTCTTGTCGTTGTAGAAGACCTGGGCTGAGTTAAAAAAAAGCCTTACAAAGTTGCGAGCGAGTAAATAGCAAATTGACACTCTCAAACAGTGCTCCTTTCTTTCAGCATAGTTAGGAGGAATAACCCAAGATTGAGCGTTGAATACTACAGGGGTTTGTCATCATGGTGTCGGTAGCCCGACGGGGCCAAGATACAGGTATTGGGGAGGGAACGGGGAAGACTTAGCTCGTGGAGGTCCTTGGAAAAGGACAGTGTCGGAGTTGAGCGCCAAAGGCGAGAATGCGACAGCAGAGTGTCGCTTGGAGAAACTAGAAGCGTTAACGGTGATCATAAGAGGAGGGGGTAGAGGAGTGGAGTGAAGCGCTCTCAGGTATCCAAGTGTTGTGATGATCATTAGGGGTTTCCTTCAGCAACTACAACTGTCCGCAGACGATCATCTTGGAGCACTTGTGAATAGCGATGACGCTACAGCGTGTGGGTGAATGGAACAGGAAGGGGAGACTCAGCATGGTATTGTGTTGCGTTGTAGCGATTGTCGCTGGCCGCCGTGGTGGCTTGGAGTGAGAAAGAGTTTCGAGATGACTTGGGGTAGTGAAGGTGACTGGGGAGGGAGGCTGCCTGGTGAGGAGCAAATTCATAGGTGGACTGTAGGTAGGGTACGTGCTGCGCTCGCGGCGTTTGGCCTTGATAACTCCCCCGCGTCGAAGACAGCTCCCAAGCCAACACAGTCCACACACCAAAAGTGAGTATCTTCTTCTTTTTGATTGCTTTGAGATCAAGTAGCTGACAGAAGCCTTTAGTCGACATCACAACACACACAATGACCACCGCTTCCCCTGCCCCGTCGTCCGCTCTCGTCTCTCCTCCTCGCTCATTGCGGAGCATGACGTCTTTGAGCAAGACATCATCAACAACGACGCGGCCATCGCCCAGATGGAACTGGCGTGAGCTTCGCGCAGCCCGCATCGTGAAGCGGCGCTTTGAGCGCGAGGTCATTCTCCTCGGCATCGAGATTGACATCGCCTTGGAACGCGAGACCAGGAACATGGAGTGGCTTGGGTCACTGAGCCAAGTGAGTTCTTCGAGTCCAATTCAGCCTTCAATCTGTAAACTAATGTCTTCTCAGGAGGAACTCCGTGCCCGCATCTATCTCGCCTGGAGGCAGTCTACTCCCAGTAGGCTCGTACGCCATGGGAGGAAAGACGAAGAGGAGGACGACAACGATGATGAAGAAGAACCGCTCCTACCATCCATTCACGCACCTGTGACGGGTCTTCCCCCTGGGCGTTCACATCAAAGTGCAGTCAAAAGGCAGCAGGATACGGCGGAGTATTGGAGGATGTCAGTGACTGATATCATGCAATGGAAAGAAAAACTTCTTCCTCAAGCAACTCGCAAGCGAGAAGACTCAATGAAAAAGGTCGCGTCGGCCAGAGATAGTGCAATACTGGCGACACTGTGCCAGTGGGGCTGAGCAAGCCCAGTGACCCACCAACTGGATTCAAAAATAAGGAGAGTCTCATACATCCGTGAAGCAAGCAGTCCGCGCAACGCGAGAAGCAAGTACGCTGAATGGTCGGGCTGCTCACAAAGATGATGACAATACATGGTGCGAGAGTAGGAGGGACGGGGGATGAGGGGTTTATGTACTGGTCTCTCGCTTGGCGTCCCAGCCCTCACGTGACTTGACGCTCGGTCGTTAAAGTCTGGAAGGTCTCGGTTATGGCTGATTTTCGGGAGCAACTTGGGGCGCTGGACGTGGGAGTATACAGTGACGTACTGAGCCGCCCAGGTTGCTGCACTCAGATCAACGTCCGTGCCCTTCTGACTCTATCAAGTGCTGCCGCCCATGTTTTTTCTTCGCCAGAAAACTACGTTTGTCGTCCTCAATTTTTGAAAACACACAGGACGCAGCTTCGGCTCTGCGCGGTGACTGGCTAATGAGGACTTCTCCGAAGCTTACATCCACCTGTGGTCCGGGACTGCCTTTGGGTTCAGTCCTAGACTCAGTTTTTGACTACCGTTTACTTCTTTTCATTGCGCTATCTGGCTTGCCAGTAGCTTCAGGAAGAGAAAGGAGGGCTACGTTGCTGTTTCACATCAAATGGCTCCACCCGCAACGACCTTGTCATCAGCAGGTGGCTTTTCGGCGGGCTGTCTGTAGTGTCAGAGCACTCAGTAGTCGGCAACTCACATTGTGCCAGAAGCTCTGGAACATATCAATGGATCGAGTCACGCCAGAATGTTACGAAAATTGGATGGGGAAAGTGCAAAATCGTGTTTTGTTGTGATGTATCTACACCAACGCCCCAGCGCCCTCGCTATGCTCCGAACCCGGAACCCTTATAACGTATATGCCGGATTAACGACGGCGATCTTGCAGCTTTGTGCGGAGGAAGGCGCTGCGAAAAGCGCGATCGCGGGCGGCGGGACGAATACGATTCCAGAACTAGAAGTAGATAGTCAGCATCGTGATTACATTGGATTGACAAGCCCAAAGCACACAAAGACGGGAACACTTACGCTTTGGAGACGCCTGGTCTCCTCGGCCTCAGCGCGAGCAGCCTGCTCTCTCTCTTGCTCCTGCTTGTCCTCCTGGTTCATCCTCTTCAAGTAGTCTTTGAAGAGGAGGTACGCCATGTTTGTCGCGAGCCTTGACAGCGCCATGTTGGGAGGCTCGGCCTCTCGCGCACGCGAAGCGATCTCCAGATTTGCGTTCATCCGGGCCCGCGCGAATGATGCCGATCCATCGTCCATTTTTGTATGGTGATGGCCGGAGTGTTGTGGGGTTGGTTTGGAAGTTATTGGTGAAGTCTTCTTGAGTCTGTCGCAATTGTCAGCCTTGATTATCATGATACTCATGCAGCATAGCACGATCGCAATGAGAATCGGAATTCAAAACTTACTGTACAAAGAGTTGGTGGTTCTGGAGTTCTGTCAGGTCCAGTGACGAGGAGTAGATATACCACTGCGGCCCGCGCAACTCGTCAATAGCAACAGATTCGAATAATAGATATCAGACCTTCGGCAGAGAGCTACATCGATTACTATTGTGCTAGAAGCTTTCAACATAGTCTATGTATACGGCATGCAAATTCCAGTCGAGTCACAATAGACTCCAGCCCGGCAACGTAGAGGTCCCTCGACCTGGAAATCTCTAGATCACCTCGTACTCACGGGCGCCTCATCGCATATGCTCGCTATGTACGCAACACGTAAACTCAATTTGCATCTACGACCTCGACGGCTCACTTTTATCTGGATGGCAGTCAGCATTAAGCTGACACGTTTTGCACCATTATGACGTCTTCTCTTTTCCCCTTCACTTCTTGGCATGTACAGGTTGTAATCTTCCTCCAGGCAAACGCGCGTGGCCTTGGTGCTGTCGTCGCTACGTCAACAAGCTCCATCAATTTTGCCCTCTCCCACCTCCTCACCATTTTCCATCCACTACACACTCGCGCCCAATGACCCACTTCTCCCTTGCGTCTTTTCTCTTCATTCTTGCATTATCAGCACCCTCGTCACTCTTTTCTACAGGTTCCTCGTCGTATGAGACGGCAGTGTCAAACCCCGCAAGTATAGGAGCGATAACAGTCACTCGACCGCGGCGCACACCACCACCGCGTCACCTCCAGTCAGCAGCTTCTGACATCCAGACTCTGCCTCTCGGCGTTTGGGTACTCGTTCTCTGTATGTCCTCCTTTCTTCTTGTTCAGCCCCACGTCCGAAGATGATTCCTGCCTTTGGCAGAAGACTACACCTTCTGAACACTGCAGAACCGCTACTCTGTGGCCGGTTCGCAGTTATGGTCATACCGAGCTCTCTGATAGACAGCATATCGGCAAATTGCGCTGAAAATCTTACTGAAATCGTATGCTGACAGCTATCTTGTAGTCTCTTATCCTTCCTGCAAGGTCTCTCGAAGGTGACCTTGAGCCGAGCGTATGATAGAGCGCGAAAGCGACGTGGAGCTAGACTCCAAGCTTTTGAGAATGTCGAAATGGGGTGTATTCGGTAGAGGGCGTGTACGGAGGACTTGGTGCTGTCATGAAACTCCCAGTATGCGTCTCAGACTACAAGATCTTCTGGTTCTTTTCGCGTAGATACCGAGACTTTAGCTCTCCCAAACTCCGCCAGATCTTCTGTCCTGTAGCAGTGAACGTGGGACTGCCAATATGACACTGAGGACGAAAATCTAAACGAAGAGAAAACTTGCTCTATCGTCTTTTCCTCGCCGCGTAAAGTGCAATTTCCCGCTTCAAACGGTGAAAACACCTCCCCCACTTCCCTTCCCAAAGCGTGCGTGTGCGCGGTGAAGATGTGTAGGTACAAATTCGCGTCTCTGAACAACTTCTGCTCCTTAGCCCTAACACCCACACCCAAGTAAGTATACCTTCTCAAAACCTCTTTTCCTGTCCAACTATCCACCTATACTACTATGGAATTATCAGTTGAACATGGAACAAGCTAACAGTCTCACAGTCCATCGAAACACTGACAAAAATTTCGATAAGTATCAACATGCCTCCCGCTCCCCGCCCTCACCGAGTCCTCACCGTCTCGCAGCGCATGGCGCTTGGCTTACACGCCATCTACAAGCGCGTATGTACTTAGTTGTTACAATACCTTTAGATTGTGGCTAATTGTATTATTTTAGATGTGCGAGGTGATATACGATCGGTCGCTGATCGTACGTGCGGGCCTGATGCCATACCAGACCGCCCGGTACGAGGCCTTGGGCCAAGAGCTCACCATGCTCGAGGGGTACACGACGGGGCTGATGGCACAGCTGTTTGACGAGCTGGACCGGGAAGTAATGCGTAAGTTTTATCCCCTTGTGATTCAATGTGATTGCATTCGAAGCCAATTCAACGAAATGCCTTCATCGACACCACCTCTACTATACCTAATTGGAACAGTACTGACAACCCAATAGACTAGCCACACACCCCCTCGCTCGCCGGCGCCCCCTCCCCTCGCCCTCGCCCACGCCCGTTGCGCCGGTGCTGCCCTACAGGGACAAGATGACCTCGGGCGGAAACTTTGGGCCCTAGGCCATAACGATTTGATACCCATTGAATAGACTGTTTCCTCTTCGCCATATCATGCTGTCTTGTTCTCCTCCGTGCCAGTGATGTGTATAGCTCAAGAAGACCTACGCACCTATCAGCTCCCCATCCCCAAGCCATATGTATGCCTCACGCCGTGTTACAAACTTCGTATCACAGCATAACGAGCGGCATGTAGGGTCCTGGGATCCTTATATTCATACTTACAGCGGGTATAAAGGGAATGTACATTCCAAGCCCTACTCCTCCAACCAGTCCGCGGCACTACCAATAGCATTACTAACAATGCCGACCCACCTCTGCACCCCCTCTTCACTCTCCTCTTCGATCGCCTCAACGATACCAGGGAATGTGGCACCAGAATAGCCCGTCCACTTGCCGGGAGCGAAGACGACGTGCTTGAACCAGCTTCGTCCGTCCAGACCATCCGGGAACAGAAACTTCCTCTCTAGGTACTTGTACTTTGTGTTGATGCCGCGAATAGCGAGGTATAGTTGCACCTTCTTCCAGGGCTGCCACCAGGGAATGTCGCCAATGTTGGCGTATTGGGTTGCGAGGTCAGCGGCTGTGGCGTCGTGGAGGATGGATGCGAAGAGGAAGTGGGAGACGGCTTCATCGAGAGGCTGAAAGACTTCGCTGGAGTCTTTGTTTGGCGGACCGGCGTCGAAAGCTTTGCGTTTGACGGCGTCGACGTAGGTCTGGAGGCCGACCGCGTAGTCTGTAGCGTTCAGTTGGAGGATGGGTGTCTCAACGAGCTTGGCTGCTACGAGTGCCCACATCTTGGCGATCGTGGCATGGTATTCGAAGGTCGGGTCGCCGTACATCTTCATCCAATCGAATGAGTCGTAGTTGCTGTGGTAGTGGTAGACTGCTGACTTGGAGTCAAAGCCGAAGCCCATGTCAATGCATGGAATGCCGGCGAAATCCTGGAAGGCGGTGAAGTCGCTGCCAGAACCCATCGTCTCAATGCGCTTGTCCCAAACATCATAGACAGACTGGCCAGCGATGGTCTGATTCGGGGACATGACCATACGAGCTGGTGGATGTTAGCTGAGGCTCAGTAATGGGATATGAAAGCAAGCTTACCGACTTCCTCCACCACACTGCTCATCAAGGGCGCCGCTGAGAGCTTGAAGTTCGGGCCTGCTGTGGCAACATCGACATTCAGATATGCAACCGTGGAACCAGAGAGCCAGGGCAGGTACTCTTCAACCCACTCAGTGCTGCCAACCAACCCATACTCCTCTCCGTCCCAGCTCGCGAAGACAATTGTTCTCATGGGCTTCCAGCCAGCTTGCATGGCAGCGCCAAAGCTCCGAATGACCTCGTTGAGCGCTGCGCTGCCGCTGTTTGGATCGCCTGCACCGCCAGCAATCCAAGCGTCGCGGTGATTGCCGAGAACGACGACTTCATCGGGAATGGTGCCGTTGATGATTCCAATGACATTCCACAAGGGCGTCGTAACGTAGTCCTGCTCGTTGACCAGGTTCAGCACGAGGTCGTCTGGCGAAGGCCCAATGTTATATTCTACGCCCTTGTAGTCCAAGCCACCGCCGTGCCAGTGCTCGTTGAAGGATGAGGCTTTCGGACCGTGACCATTGAGGGCTTTGAGGAGGGGAAGCGCATCGAGGTAGGAAATTGGGAGTGAGGGGATGTGTGGCATCGCGTGGTCGACGGGCTGGCGAGGGCAGCCGGGTTTCGAGGGATAGCCAGGTGTCGTAGGATCGCCTGGTGCGAAGCCTGTAGTTGTTAGAATGGCACAAAAAGAGGGAGGGCATCAACCTACTCAAGAATTGGACGCTTCCTCGCTGGACACTGCTGGGCTCTCTGGCCGGTCCGTCGGGATATGTCGCAACGCCGTTCTTCTCGGTGACCTCTCCATCATCACCTGGGTCGGTGTACATGGCAACACCAATCATACCCAGCTCTTGCGCGCGCTTGACCTTGAGGCCGCGGAAGACGCCTCCGTATTTGGCCAAGGCGATCTTGCCAGCCAGACTGACGTTCGCCGCCTGGAGCTCCTCAAAGTCTCTGTATGTTCCGTAATTGACGAAGACGTAAGGCGCCGTCACGTTACCGGAGGCGCTGTAGCCGTGGAAGGTTGGCACGCGATCTGCGAGCTGACTTGACTTGTCCTCGTCCAAGACGTCTTCCTCCAGTCGCGCCTCATATTTGACCTTCCATTCTTGCTTTGTGATGCTGTCAGCCGCGTCTTCCTTGTCGCCAACCCTTTCCATAAGAGCCAATCGGTGGCCCTTGGGATAGTTGATGTAAACGTCGTAGTCGACAATGGTGCTTTCAACTCCCCATTCCTGCCATCTTTCCCTGGTCCACAACGCCTGGCTGAGATTCTTTCCAGCAAGATGCGGCCCACTCGTGTAGTATCTGCTCCACTCTTCTGCCTTTTCAGCACTGGGTGTTTCCAATAGTGCCGCCTTTAGGCCCTCGAAGTCCAGGGCCGTCTTGCGCGCCCATCCGTCAGGTATTTGTGAGGTCGACAAGGAAGAGGCCGAGAATCGTGATGCAGGGGCTACTTCGTCTTGAGTGGGTGGTGCAAAGGCGAAGAGGAAGATTGCAGCAAGTCCTCCAACGATTATTGTTGCGCTTAGCAAAGTGGTGCATACGAATCGAAGACGATGGTGTGGGTATCGGTCGCGATGGGGTCGGACATCGACGCGCTGGATCAGCGGGGTGCTTTCGTCGGCCATGGTTGCTGGCTTCTCATTGCTCGCCGGGAGCTGCATATACAAACAAGATGACTCTTTCACACCTGGCCAGAGGCAGTCAGGACTGATGTTGAGATAAGAGACAGCTGCGCGGAGCTATGCCGGACACCGAGGTCGATGGCGTCACACACTTATCTCGTCCTATCTTAGCGCAGCTGCCATGTCAGGGGTCTGAGGAGCCGCGGAATTTATCGCGAACCTCACAACTTCGACCGCATGGCAGCTCTAGTCCAGAGGGCCACGCATCGTTGCAAACGTCTCTATTAATGCGATGACATCTTTCGGGGGTTCTTTCCACGCAATAGTCCGTTCCTTAGTCATGTGACCGGCCCTGCGCGCAGCGTCATACGGCGATCGTACACCATGCAATCCACCTGGAGCTTCATATCTCTAATGATTTCGCAAACTACGGTAATCACGGGAAACAGCCTCTACGGTGTCAAAAAGTCTCCCTGTAATCTCGCGAAACTTCTGCCATGTCATCCAGTCCATATTCTCGTCTCCATCTCTCTACACAACGCGCTGTCCTTTTCCTCAAAGATTCATGTCCATCAGCTTCTTCCGGTTCTTGATATCCTCGGCTTTCGAACCGGTGGTTCTTACATTGCCGTCTCCAATAGCGAATGACCAAAACAGCCAGCAGCTCTATCAAAGGCTCTGAGCGCAACGACGACATTGTTTCTTCTCGTCATTTTCCTCACTATGTCGCCTGGGTAATCTCACCCTAAATCTCTTTTCGTGAGCTTGACTCCGTTCGATCAATAAAGACGTTGTGAAACTCGCATAAAGCCCGTCATTGCCATTGTCGCATTGTCAAAGGCGATGGCTATACTAGGTTGAGGCAACGTAGGTGGATTTATACTCATATTATCTTCTTCCTTGTGATGGTCCAGAAACCCACTCGAGCCCAGGACTCAAGCAACACCACGATCCCAATGCAAAAACAGCACGTCGAGCCCGCAACACGCAACTCAATGGCCACTCCCTCGATCAAAGCCCCGCAGCTGATGGGCATTACAGGCGACAACTGCGCATCCTGCAAGTCGACCACCGTCCCGCTTTATGATCTGTCCTGCCATGAGAGCGACGATCTCCACTGCCGCGACTGCCTCACCAAGACCTTCCACGCCGTCAATGACCAAATTGTACGATGCCCTCACTCGGCATGCCGTCGCTCCGTCGGCTTCGAGCAGCCTACTCCTCTCGCGCAGGACTTCCACTTAGACAACGACTTCTATGACCAGGAGTGCATTAGCAAGATCCGCCAGCAGCCGGAGGTCATGAACAACCTGATCGCATTCACGGGCGAGGAGGCTGAGGTCATCTTACACCACGTCTACACCATGTTCGAGGATCAGCTCATGGACCCCATCGCTCTCGGCGGCGTCGCTGGCCACATCACCGCGCGCGCGGAGAACTCGTTACAGGCCAGCTTCGCCTGCAACCCCTTCGTCTGTGGGTTTCTCGCTCAAATGAAAGCCACGTCGAAGCTGATGACCACCCCATACGAGCTTGAAGAAGACCTCAATGCCCTTCTTTCTAGGTTACTTCACGAGTACGCTCAGCTGAACTACGGGAACGAGCTCACTCGGCACGGTATCGATTTGGAACATGAGAGCGAAGTGCTAGCTGCTGCACTGGATAACTACAAGCCCTTCAATGAGCTCAAGGGGAATTGGGAACTGATCATCAAGAAGTGGGTGGAGCTGCTGGCTTGGAGGCATTTGGAGCGCCTGGCACCGCCTGAAGGAGGTGCTACCGAGCGGAAGAATCGTCAATTTTAGAGCATGACACGTAGGTCAGAATCATCTTGCAGACATTCCATCGTACAGCATGCCGTCTTTTCAATCAATATAATCAACAAGCTCATCTGTAGCCTGCCATATCTGTAATTATACGTCTTACCAAAAACAAAATGCTCCCGCACTAGCCCGTCAACACGCTCCTTGTCCGACCAATCCCAACCAACCACCGCACTCCCCCACTCCTTCCCTTTGCAAAACTCACCCTCACTACGAATTTTAATCTCCCGACGTTCTCCCGTCGGCGTGACCGCAAAAGATCCGTACTTTGCAGACTCTTGGCGCTCTCCCTCCCACTATATAAACAGCCCATCCCCCCGCCCGAACCACCAACTCAGGGTGGAAGAATCGCCTACTGCTTGCCTCCGGGCCTCTTTGTTTTCCTCGCTTGCTTTCTACACTTTCCTAGGATAACCTGCTAATTCGGCCACAGTCATTCCAAGGCTTTCTCCGCCTTCGCATACGATACGGCGGCACCCAACCTGCCTCGCAAGAGCTAGGACTGAATCCCTCTCGCATTGCGCAGCGATTGGGTAGAGTGTGGGCTCTCATTGAGTGCAGTGATTTGTGCACTGCCTTGAGGAAGGCTTTTGTGATCTTTTGTTGTTGTGATTTCAGTGTGCTTTGACTTGGCTTATGTTAATGACTTGACTTGACTTGACTTTCTTCTATCCTTGATGCGATGCAACGTCTACGATGTATCTCTCACTGCTGTTACGTCTGCTTGGTGTCACTGTATCATCCTGCGTGTGCTACGCATCCAATGTTCTCATTGCTCTGATGTGTCACTCTGTGACCGATCACATACAAGGCGCTAGCGGACGGTATGCTGCTCTTTGTGTGTGTTCTGTGTCATTTTCCTCGTTTCTCCTGTGCTATCATTGATTTCCATAACATGCACCATGCCAACGAGTCACCCTTTGCCACTCAGCCCCACAACCTGCAGGCCTCAACTTTTGGCCTCTTCCGACGCGAACCGCTACGCGACCAGTGCTGTCTGATGGAAGACGATGTGAGGAGTGTGGCCTTGGAGGTGGAGCTCCGGCGCAATAGCCGCCGCGAAAACGGTCGAAAAACTATCGAGGACCTCGCGCATAACCACTGACTGATCAATTGGAAGCCACACGTGGACCCATCGTAGTGCGAGAGGTCCCAATCATCCAGGTTACTATCGAGCACGTCACACCCATCGACTCGCTTTTTGCTTCTGCACGCTGACTTTTGATTGTCAAGGTGTTGTACTTGCGATCATACTCTCCCCCCACTGCCGTCACGACTGCCTCTGCGACTACGGAGCGAGACGAACTCATTCCTTGGGCACGCTGCCAACCGATCCCAGCCCCACGCGAGACCGACACACAATTTGGAACACTCAGGTGTTGCCATTCAAGTTCGTAAGATTCACGGACAAGACATATATCTAGATGCGAGGGAGGATACAGGAGACGTTGAGGTCATGCAGTGGGACGCTGTAGGCCTGTTTGACAGTCAATCTCTCATGCGTTTGGAGGGATTGAGTAAGGTTCATTCGAAGATACCAAAGAGTTTTGCTGGATAGCATGGGCAAGCACAAGGTCCATCTACATCACAAGTCCTCAAGTAGAGCGATAGAAGTGCAAACATCGGTTAAATAACCAAAGCGCTATGCTACAAGAAACGGGTGTATATACACAAAGAAGCGAAACAGTCGTCGTATCCAACGAACGAACCATCAAAAGGTTATCTCTCTCAGAAGAAGGGTATCCATCAAATCATATCATCCCCAGCGTTTTTCCTCAACGCTTACAAGAAAGAACGAGCATGGCGGCGAGCCTTGGAAGCAGAGCCGCTGGCCTTGCCCTCGAGCCAGCTGATGAAGGTGTCGATGGTGAAGCTCTCGGGGAGGGCGTCACCGCCGGTGGAAGGAGCAGCTGAGGGAGTAGCAGAAGGAGCAGTGGAAGGCTCGGCCTCGGGGGTAGCGACCGGGCTGGAGGAAGCAGCGGGGCTGGAAGGGCTGGCGGCGGGAGCAGAAGGGGTGCTGCTGGCGCTGGGAGCAGCGGAAGGGGTGCTGGGCTTGGTGGGGGTGGTGCCAGAGCCGCCGGAGCCGAAGAGAGGAGGTCCGGGGACGGTGTAGTCAATGGTGGCGCCGTAGGGGCTGAAGAGGATACCGGGGTCGGTGGCAGTGTAGAGCTCAGTACCGATAACACCCTCTGGGGTCTCGGTGCCGGAGCCAGTGACCTCAATGTTCAAGCCTAGAAGTTGAATTAGTGATTGGTTCTTCATGTGACTGGAGAGGTTTTCTTACATTGAGGGTAGGCCTGGGCGCCGTTCGCGTCACCACCACCGTGGAGGGCAATGATCTCGTGGCGGAAGACGTACTTGCCAGCGGCAAGGCTCTCGGGGACAGTGACGGGCCAGGTGTTGTTCTGACCGATCATCTTGATGGCAGCCCACTCGCCGTCCTCGTAACCGTGACCATCGATCTTGGTCCACTTGAGCTCCTCCTTCTTGACAGCGGCAATGTCGCCAGTGTAGCCAGCGACGTAGGTGATGACGGGGCCGACGTGACTCTCGGGCCAGGTGTTCCAGTGGAACTCAACGATGCCACCGGCGGCGACCTTGGCCATGCTGTCGGAGCTGCCCTCGGGACTGGCGGCCTTGTGGCAGATAATGTCGGCATCGCCGAAGGAGTTGGGCTCGACGAAGCCGTTGTCGAGGTTCTCGGCGTACCAGCCGATGTGCTCTGGCACCTTGCCGTTGTTCTGCTTGGCGTAGTAGTAGTCGAGGCTGAAGCCCTGCTGGAAGACACCGTCGATGGTAACGCCGTTGACAATGCCGTGGGCAGTGGCGGTGGCAGCGAGAGCCGCAATGGCGCTGAGGGAGGTAACGGTCTTGTACATGTTGACTGATGTAGATGGAGTTTTTCGAAAGAATGGAGTTGGTTGGTTCGAAGAAGACGAAAGTTCGAAAGTGGTTGAAAGAGTGTCTGCCGGCTTCACACAGTGAAGGACTTGATGAACGAATGTGAGTTGAAAAGAAGGGACTGGTATAGAAACCGAATGAAGCTGTAGCGATGGTACTTGGAGTGAGGTACCAGGTGCCCTATTTATTCAGTTCAGTCTCTGCTACTACAAATGCTCGGCATACATTGACCCACATCCTGGGCGACTCGCAAAATGAGAGCCCAGAATAGCGGGTTCATGCTGGGCGCGCTGAACTATGCATCCCGCGTTGTTTGAATCGCCATGTTTCCTGTTGCGGAGAGACAAGCGACATTGTCAGGATGCGCAGGCCATTTCCTGCCTGCAGCCAAGAGCCATCCCACGGCTCCGGACCAGTTCCAGAATCACTGCGCCCTGTCGCAATCCAGTCCTCGGTCTCCGGTATGCATCGTACGTTGCGTGCTCGTCGTCATGAATCGTTCCGGTCGGTGTTGTTGTGGTTTCGGGTTCGAGCGACAGCGTGCAGCGGGGCCGCACGAAACGTGCATCCCGCGTGTTCCTGGATTTGCCCTTGCATACTAGACGCCGCCAAGCGCTTAGTTGTTTCTGTCAAACGAGGTGCAGAGAGCGCCGCACTCTGTGGCGCCTGTCAGACGTCTAGATCCGATCGTGCTGGGTTGGTAGATGTGGTGTTGATGAACGGTAGGGTTATTGCTCATGCCTTCGATGACGGGCTTGAAAGGTACGTCAGTAAGACGGTCCGGTTGCCGAACACCAGCTGCCGTGACCTCGCCGTGTCATCCCATCTCCAAGACACCCCAACCGACCAAATCTGACGCACTGCAACACCAAGCTTCCTTCGATCCTGCACAATATCCACACCGATGTTGTCGACTCGTCAACGTCGCGCGCGCAACCGTTATGCACCCCTGACAGCGTAACCGATTCCTGGGACCCACTCCGTGCCACTCCACCGAACTTCGCATGTGCAGCCTGGTTTCAGACGTGAAACGGCCAATATTGCCCCCAATGGTAGTGAGCGGAGATGCATCTCGATCGAGGCAGGCGTGTTTGACGACATCGTCGTCGATATTAATCAAGTCAGGATTCCGGCGGCGGCGCTTCTTGGATGGCGGGCGGTGCAACTGCATCTCAGGCGCGGCGCCGTCGACTTTAACATCTTTTTACCTTTGTCTTTATCCGTTCTGCCTTTTAGGCTGCCGATGTATATGGGGTGGGCCTGAGGCTGTTTCTTCTTCTCTATGTCTCAAACGTAGCTCGTGATGAACATCCACACAGAGTGATATGACGGAGCTGCCGTCTCTTGCCTGTCTATTACAGTGCGCCTCTCTCAATCAGTCTCATAGTGCTCCGCAGTCTGAATTTTTCCATCGTCTTCCCAGCCGCTCTTTCATGGTTCTGTTTCTACGGCGCATGCTTTACTTCCACCATACATATTGTCAATCTCCCTCAGCAGAACTCCACGTGGACGTCAGGCTGCGTTGTTCTGAATTATCTGTCAATATAGCGTCCTTCAACGACCTCCTGGGCGTGTCGTTGTCTCGTTCTCTCCAAAGTGATGGTGTGACGTAGTCGCGATGTGCCGTCCAGCAACACGGAAACACCGCACTGAGCAGCCAGCATCTCAGTTCTGCGTGTACCTCCAGGACCCTTTGTAACAACTTCCCCGTCACTGCGAAAGCAGTCGAATACCTCCCCGCCCACTCATCGTGTTGCTCTCCCTTCAGCTAGAACATGATGTCACCATCACTATCCCACATATACCGCGTAAACCCTCCATACTCTATCAAAACAACCCAACACAGGTCTCCCAGTGAAGTGGTAACACGTTCACCATCAGTTCCCTGTAAGGTACAGAGTGTCAGTTAACGCTGGCATCGGAGTGTCTCGGTCACTTGACTGGTGATAGCTGTGCTTTGCATTGTTTGTAAGAAACGCTAGTTCGACCCTAGCAGCGACCAAGTACATTATCTTTTTTTGTTTGCTTCGTTACAGCCTTTGTGTAAGCAAGGGGCAGGTAAGGTGAAGGGGAAGTTCTTTGCATGTGTGTGCCGTTCTAGCTGTGATCTTCGTTGGCGGCATGTTTGGGGTGAAGGACAGTGCATTTTTTTACCCACTTTCTTTTCAATTTTCTTCACAATTCTAATGGTTCTATATGTATTGTTGTGCTCGTTATCTCTTCATCAAAACATTTAGGGCTTCTTGGTCTAGTGGTATGACGCCACAAGCTAGCAGGTTCTCCGCAGAGGCCATGTATAGTATGTGTAAGAAGGTAATTTCTTGGGCCTGCTTCCATGCCTTAGCTGCGCGCCCTACTCGTGGAAACGGAGGTTCGACCCCTTCAGAAGCCATCATTCTTTTTGCTTAGGTGGAGGGTCCAGGTGAAGGCCACATCGGCTTGTTTTTTGGTCCATGTCTTGGGCACTTTCTCTTTTGAGGAATACAAGTGCGATACGGGTGGTGTATCTACGACTTGCGACGTCAATGTAGACTCTACAGCTCCTTATGCTTCTGCATTGGGTTCGTTGTGTTGCTTTTGTATCCTGTAAAGCCTTGTATGGTATGGCACCTGTTGGCTCAAAAATACATGTAAGCGGCTACTCCAGCCACGCCTGCATACCACCAACCAACAAAACCGCGATACCTAACACCCACTGCGCAACTCCAAAGGCGCCCTGCACATCGTCCTTTTTTATAGTCCACAGAATCGCAAAGACCACACTACCCAAGCCGCAAACGCCCATCGTCACTGCCCAAACGCGCTGCGCAAGAAATCCCTCCACGAGATGAACGCCCCAGCCCATACCGAACTCCAATCGCTGCCGCCGCTTCGGACTGCGAAGATATGTAATCAGCTCGCCCTCATAGTCCTGCGGGTGCTTGAACAAATGGAGGAGATAGGTGCTACCAACAGGCGGCAGGAGGTCGTTGGGCTCGAAGGTGTATGGATGCTGAGACGGCGCTGCAGACTTCTCTGGCTCGCTGGTCGAAGCCGAAGAGGCAGCGGACTTGGGCGGCATAGACGGCGTCGCACGGATATCAGCAAATCGATTGCGATGGACTTCGAATTGAACGAACTCGATAGTCGTCAGCCCGCGAAGACGAGCCCAGTTGAACCACCGTCGATTGAGCTGGTCGTAGTGCTCTCGCAATGCGAGCGCTAGATCTTTGTCGCTTCTCACACGCCCTTCGTTGACATCGAGATGGACGATCTTTGGTGTCAGGCGGCCCTCGTTCGCACAGGTCAGGAGCCAGGATTCTTGGACGAAGGACGGCATACGGACACTGAAGGGGTTGCTGGCGACGGTACGAGACGGGCTATACTTGGAAGGATCGCTGCCTCTGGTCCAAAAGTTAGGCCCGCCATACGTCGACGACGGCGTAGTCAATGTGGACGCTCTGCTAGACGAGTCAAAGATGGAGGCCATCGACGACGCGGTACTGCTTTGGCTGCCAGGACTATTTGGTGTATGAGCTCTTGGGCGATTGAGATAAGCTTCGAGAAGACGGGCAGCATTGGGTCGCTGTTCGATAAAGTCGTCATACAATGGCTCACCACATGACTACATCTTGTTAGCATGGTCCAGAGCAAGAGTATGCTGATTCACTGACGCAAGTCCATCGCACCCGCACATGCCCCTGCGGCACGGGCGGTTCAGTACCGAATGTATCACGAAGCAATCGAAAACCTTCATAGGTTTTGTCTGACAACGCACTCAATGCAAGACCCCAGTACCTCAATGTTGTGTTTCGACACCCAGGAGATGCCATCCGTATTTCTGCTTCCGGAGGTAACGGTATCTCGCCAACATGATCGTCAATCGATGGCTCAACGATGGTGGGTACTGCGGGCTTTTCGAATCCATCATCAAGATCCTCATTCCCTGGCTCAATTTGATCTAAAGCTCTTCTTAGCGCTTCACGGAGTTCATCGGCACGACCTACTCCTGCTGACGCAGGTGATCGCATAGCATTGGCGTCCGCGGCATCTATTGATGACGATGAAGATGACGCTGGCTTGCGTATCCTAGGTGACCTCTTGCGACGCGTTGCTGGCGACACATGAGCTGACTTGGTCTGAGGTACGTCGGTGTTCAAACGTAAACCATGTTTGGGCTTGGAGGGAACATGTAGATCGTCAGCTGATGCATGGCGGAGATGCCGCGGTTTGGCCACACTCGTATGTCGCATCGGTTGTGACCGGGTGGCATACTCCTCAGCCAGTAGATCAATTCCACTCGACTTTCGAGACACCGGACGGATGCGTTGGCGCAAAGTAGTCGAGTTCACCAGATCCTCTACAACTTGACTATCGGGTGCAAGAGTTGTCGATCCTACGCGACGCTTGACGGATTTGTGAGCATCCGATCGTTTGAGATCCAGGTTCGCCACTCGACTCTTCACTCGAGGACGTGTCTTCTTCTCGACACGCTTCCTTACAGGTCCAACGACTGACAGACCGCGGGTTGGCGTCTTCACGATGCTGGAGACTGAGGCCGAGCGAGTGGGAAAAATTGATGGGGTCCGAGATGATGGTTCTACGTCGGTCTGATCTCCATCCATACGGTCGTAGATTGAGCGAATGTCTGGTATCAGAGTCTCAGCATCACTGAAGCCGTCCTCTGCGATCGAACTCCTGGCTAGACTATGATTTGGCAGATGGCTCCTTGGTGGAATGGCAGACGGCAGTGGTCGTTCAATGCCTGATGTGTTGGAAGTACCGATCTCGAAGATATCGTCGCGACCCAAAAGACTGTCGGCATTTGATGCAACAGCTGAAGGGGGAGAATACAGCTCCGCAGGCAAAGTTGCCGAGTCAAGCTCTGGAGTCGCAAACACCCGTTCTGAGCCAACCGCTTGACCCAGATCCACTTCGGCAATCTCGTTCGAATCGGTTGAGCCTTTCAACAAGCGCACCACGTAGCCCTTCCCTTTCTTCTTGATCCTGGCCTTGATGTCGGTAAGTCGCTTGGATTGTGTGGAAGCCGTTGAGTCGCTCCGCGAGAACGACACATTCCAATCCGGCACTACCTTTTTAAGAAAGTCAGGAGGCACATTGTCCAGGTCGGCCCAGCCTTGCCTGTCGTGGAGAGGAGTACTTGGTGGACTCGTCTTTTGAGGAACTGAGCTCTCGACACTAGACTTCAAGCCATCTCGTATAGCCGTAGACGCGGCAACATTAGGTGCGCAACTCAGAGGTACTCCGATCGACGATTGTTGTTTCGGGCCCAGGTTGAAGACGAGCTGGAATTGGCCAGGATTGCGTGCATCTTCTTGGAGATTGAGAGTGAACGGCACCGATTGTGTCTTTTCATATTGTGGAAGAGGTGTTTCGCGCCCCGCATCAGATGTCTTTGGATCATTGCTCATCGGGTACTGTTGATTGGAGCGCAAAGGCACCGGAGAAGCGATTGAAGAAGCCTATCCCAATGCGAAAGTCAGCCACCACAAAATGTCACATGTCCACTTTAGCCTTGCGATGACAAAGGGTCGCCCTGTTCCAGCCTGAGAGCCATAGAGACTTACCATGTTCGCATAGTGTTCACGCCGCGATGCAGGAACAGTCGCCTGAGGGACGCAAAGAGGGGCGGCATCATGATGGTTTTGACCAGTCCAGGCTGCAGTCAGCTGTAGTTTCGACGAACCAGAGATGACTGCTGCGGTCGTTCCTGCACTGCCACCACTGCTGCAGAGCGATCAACGAGGCTGTCGTGCCGACCCGCTGATTGGCGAACTTCATCAGCCGAACGCAGCCAGCATCACATGCGTAGGTTGCCTCATCTCTATCTGTCCTCTTAACTCTGCCTTATCCGCTCGATGCGTGGATGTACGATTGCGCAGCCTCGATACCTCGTAGTACCTGCTTCTCGCCACCAGACGCGTTGCTGGTGTCGTCTTTTGTGCGAACCTCCTGGCCTTCTTACTGTAACGCGCCACCACAGCTCAACTCGCTGGATCTATCCCACAGGGTATGAGACAATACGCGCATTGCATGACTGGTAGGTGGGATGCGCAACGACAACAGCATCGATGATGTTAAGATAGACTTCGTGGCTCGGGGTAGCGAGCTGTCGCGTTCGATGGCACCCGTGGACGCGCCTTCCCGCTGCCAATGCCATGCGTCATGCCACACCCCATCTTCCACTTCCAGCCCCCAACTCCGACATATACATATACCACTACAACAAAACTTCGGCATCCCTCCGATATCCAAGATCTTGGCAATGAAGCTCCGGAGAGACTCTCGTCACATGCTCCCATCATTCTTCCGGACCAATCTGTACAGAGCTCATCCTCCGCGCCTCGGCACATTCGATGACTAGCCATTAGCTAAGTCAGCTAAGGCTTGCTCGGTGTATAAACTACCGCCTTCCCCGCAAGAGACGAAGATCCTTGTTCCCCACAATTACTCCGGACAGCGGTCTCCAGATTCCCGCCATTGAACGACGTGTTTTTTGCGAAGAGCAAGGATGTCTGCCATGTGTGGCAGGGCAACATGACGTTAAACGGACAGACTCCGAGAACTACCTCGCGCCACCGACCGGGAACAAAGTATCGATCACATGGTATGATGGCAGATCCCGGTTGACTGAGCGGTAGGGTTGCATTGGCATTTGTTTATATACTCTGTTGATACTGGCTGCGTTTCTTGCTTCATCTTGCACATCTCTCAAGCCTTCAAGATGCGTCTCTCTGCCCTCTTCTTGTCGCTCATCGGCGTCGCTACGACCGTTTCTGCGCTTCCTTCCAAGAAGGCAGAACAACCTACCTTCTCTCGCAATGTGATCTTCTCGCCGCCTAGGGATGCCAACTGGACCGACCCTGGTGTCCTTTACGCGCGCAGTGCTCAGCTTCCTGACGGTTCGCTCCTTGCAACCTGGGAGAACTACTCGCCCGAACCACCGAAGGTCTACTTCCCCATTTTCAAGTCGTCCGATGGCGGAAAGTCGTGGAAGGAGATCTCGCGCGTGCAAGACACACAGAACGGCCTCGGTCTGCGCTACCAGCCATTCCTCTACGTGCTACCTGAGGCAATTGGTGGCTACAAAGCCGGTACCGTTCTTATCTCTGGGTCCTCTATCCCTACCGATCTCTCAACCACCGACATCGTTCTCTACGCCTCGAAGGACAGTGGCAAGACCTGGGAGTTTGTCTCCTCCATCGCTAAAGGTGGCGAGGCCCGCCCCAACAACGGTCTCACTCCCGTCTGGGAGCCCTTCCTGATGATGAACAAGAAGACTCTCATCTGCTACTACTCCGACCAGCGCGAAAACGCTACCTACGGCCAGAAAATGGTTCACCAGACAACCACCGACCTCAAGACCTGGGGCGCAGTCATTGACGACGTCACCTACCCTACCTACACCGACCGCCCTGGCATGCCCACCGTCGCCAAACTGCCCAATGGCAAGTACATCATGACCTACGAGTACGGTGGCGGACCCGCCATCACCACTTCCTACCAGTTCCCCGTCTACTACAAGATCGTGTCCGACCCCGAGAAGTTCGGCGAGGCTACCGGTATCAGCCTCAAGTCCACCGACGGCACCATCCCCACTGGTTCTCCATATGTTGTCTGGAGCTCTGCCGGTGGCAAGAACGGAACCATTATTGCAAGCGCACACAGCAACTCGGAGGTGTTCATTAACAAGGGTCTTGGAGAGGGCCCTTGGGTGAAGGTTGCTACTCCTGAGGCAACCTCTTACACCAGGCATCTTCGCGTCCTTCAGGACCAGTCTAAGTTGTTGATTATGGGTGGTGGACAGCTGCCGCCTAGCAACAGCAACTCTGTCACTGTTACCGTTGTTGATATCAGCAAGTGGTAGACGGGATGTATGGTATAGTAATATACAAGTAAAAATAGTATCAATTACATGTGAAGTCAATATTCTTTCAGTTGATTTCTACGTGCTCCCGATGCTTTGGCATAGCTCCGACATGAGTATGCTTGATCCAACTCATATGTATCTTACGCCACAATGATAGCGGGATATAGATGCTCGAGCACTAAAGCAGCTTTCCTCCTTCCAACGCATTCGCATTGTCTCTTTTGGCGAACGACATCGAAATACCTCTGTTACGGTTGCGCAAGGCGATCTACAGGACAAGAAGTTCTATATACCAAACTGCATACGAAGTAGCAGTACCCGCAATACGTCTCTGCAACAGATATTGAGTAGCTTTCAAAAGTGTCGGATGAGATCGTGTTGCAGTATCAACAATCTGAGATTCTGGGCGGGTTGTGAGGGATGTAAGAGTACGTGCAATCGAAAGCGACCAGCTATTAGACCTGCGGAAGCCTAAAGCTCGCTGCAATGTGATGCCGAGTTGCACACCCGGGCTATGACGATGTTCGCGTGTCAACGCTCGCGTTCTCCAAAGAGTGATGGCTCACGACCCCACCTAGCGCCCCACTAGCGCCGGCCCGACCATTTTTCCTAAGCGAGCCACCGTGGGTCGCTGAATTTGGCTCTCGCGATATCTTCGAACGCCGCAGCAATTCAACGACAAGCCCACGGAACCGCCTCTCTCCACCCTCCAATCCCAAATCAACCGCAATCATGCCCGGAGTTTCAGTCAAGGACATCGAGTCCCACAAGTTTGTGGCCGCCTATGCCGCCTTCTTGAAGCGCCAGGGAAAGCTTCCCATGTAAGTTTTACCTTTGCGCAACACCACATGATATCGAATGCTAATGTTTTGTCAGTCCAGGTTCGTCTCTATCCAGCGGGTGAAGGATGAAGCCTGAATCCCGTAAATGGGGGATAACCTCAGTTCGCTGACCACTTATCTACAGGCTGGGTTGACACTGTCAAGACAAGCCGTAAGCACCGATTCCATACTCCCATTCCCGAGAAACTTTCCAGTCTAACATGCGCAGACTCCAACGAGCTTCCTCCCCAGGACATTGACTGGTTCTACGTCCGCGCCGCCGCTGTCGCCCGCCACGTCTACATGGTACGCAAAATGCCCACCACAACGAACACATGAAGGTGCGGAATACTGATGAATGGCACAGCGCAAGACCGTTGGTGTAGGCCGCCTCCGCAAGGTCCACGGCTCGACCAAGAACCGCGGTTCGCGCCCCTCCCACCACGTCGACGCCTCCGGCTCCGTCGACCGCAAGGTCATGCAGGCTCTTGAGAAGATCGGTGTGCTCGAGCAAGACGAGGACAAGGGTGGCCGTCGCATCACACAGTCCGGTCAGCGTGATTTGGACCGTATTGCGCAAACCACCCTCGAGGCTGAGGAGGAGGAGGATGACGAGTAGATTATCACCTTCTATGCGGAATATGTGTAAAAGAAACGAGCTGTCTAGCATTTGATTGCGGGGCGGTTTTCACGGATCCACCACGGTTTACGGCTTATGGCGTTGAAAGACATGATTGAGTCGGGCCTGCTTTTAGCCTAGGACTTCCAATGACACTGGGCTTGGGCCTCAAAAGCAACATGATACCCTCTACTTCGACAATTGTGTGCATTTTCCGATTATTACTGTGACTTCGCCATAAATATACTCGCACACGACGCTGGAGTGTGAGCGAGTCTTGAGACCATCCAAAATATATCATCGGACAAGTGCAATCATTCCGGCTCTACTAAGAAACAAGGCTTTCACAAGTCGCATTGCACTCAGATGCCAGGTGTATACGATACGTTGATTCTATAGCAAATTCTTCCAGGCACATCTCCCTCAGAACAAATCCGTCATAGCACCATGACTAGCATCCCCCACTAACCTCGCATACTTCGCCAACACACCCCTCGTAACGGGCATACTAGGCGCCACCCACTCCCTCAACCGCCTATCAATCTCCTCCTGCGGCACATCCATATCAATACGATTCTTCTCCGCATCGATCGTAATCATATCGCCATTCTGTACGACCGCAATAGGCCCACCGACCGCAGCCTCAGGACAGATATGTCCAACGATGAAACCATGAGATGCGCCAGAGTAGCGCCCATCAGTGATAAGTGCCACGTTGGTTAGTTTAGCGCCCATGATGGCGGCCGAGGCTTTGAGCTGTTCAGGCATGCCGGGACCGCCTTTGGGGCCTTCGTAGCGGACAACTACGACGACGTTTTCGCCGTGGGGGATTTGGCCGAGGTTGAGGGCGCGGTCGAGTTCGTGTTCTTTGTTGAAGACTATGGCTTTGCCGGTGAAGATTAGACCTTCTTTACCTGTGATTTTTGCGACGGCGCCCGACGGCGCGAGGTTGCCGCGAAGGATCTCGATGTGGCCGGTGGGTTTGATAGGGTTGTTTAGGGGGCGGATGAGGACTTGGTCTTGGGGGAGGGACGGGTAGGGTTCGATGTTTTCGGCCAGGGTTTTGCCTGTGACGGTGAGGATGCTGCCGTCGAGTAGGTTGGCTGCTACGAGCAGTTTCATGACGGATGGCATACCGCCGATGTCGAAGAGGTCCGCCGCCATGTACCTTCCTGATGGCGCGAGGTCGGCCAGGAAGGGGATCTTGTTGGAGACGCGCTGGAAGTCGTCGAGTGTCAAGGGGACGCCTGCTGTACCTGCCATAGCGAGGAGATGTAGCACGGCGTTTGTGGATCCGCCTAGTACCATCATCATAACGAGGGCATTCTCGAAAGAAGCTTTTGTTAGGAGCTTCCGGGGCGTGATGTTCTTCTCCATACAGACTCGTATCGCGGCGGCGGCTTTGGCACATTCGCGCATTTTCGCTGGAGAGGTCGCCGGGGTTGTAGAGGAGTTGGGGAGGGTCAGTCCCATAGCCTCAATCGAAGTGCTCATTGTGTTGGCCGTGTACATTCCTCCGCAAGCACCAGCTCCTGGGCAAGCATTCCTCTCGATATCCTCCATGATCTCATCTGGCGAGAACTTACCCTCTGAAGCGCTTTTCAGGTTCTTGTATATGTATGCGCCATGGCTTTCGTAGCAGGTCGAGATGTTGATAGGCTTCTTCAGTGTCTCGGAGTATCCTGGCATTATCGAGCCGCCGTAGACCATGAGCGAGGGACGGTTGTGTCGTGCGAAAGCCATGATGACTCCAGGCATGTTCTTGTCACATCCGGGGATGGCTATGCAGGCGTCGTGGTGCTGGGCGCATGTTACGGTTTCGATGCTGTCGGCGATGACTTCGCGGGTCTGGAGGGAGAAGCGCATTCCTGGATATGTTAGATTGTGTGGACGCTGCCAGCAGTGGTGAAAATACCTTCTCCACCCATTGTGATTCCGTCAGATACACCAATTGTGTTGTATTGCCATGCCAGCATGTTGTCGTTCAAGACGTGCTTCTTGATTTCCTTCCCGAGATCCAGCACTACCCTGACATCAGTATGCTACGTCGACATTACAACATGGCCTATATCACGGCGTTCGCATTCGTCTACTCACAATGCATGCTGCAAAATCATCAGTATCATGGCAACGAATCCGAAGGGTACACTGACTTGCAAGGGTTGCCCTCCCACCAGACGCTTGCAATTCCCACGTGGGGCTGCGTCTTCATTGCTTCCCGTGATGGTACACCGGCGGCGTATAGCATTGCCTATGCGACGGAGCCATTAGTGAATGGGTGCTTCAATCGCCGTGGCACCAGGGTAGCGGACCTGGGCTCCTGGGAAGTTGTGACCGGCCGTCAATGTGGATGAGTACTTGTTGAGCGCTGGCTTGCCATCCTCAAGCTTCGCGTCATCGGGAAGATGTGGAAAGCTGAGAAAGCGCGGCTCTTCTGGTTCACGCTGCTTCTGGAGGTTGCGCGGGTCCATGGCGGCTGGCTTGTAGTAAGCAGTAAGAGAGTATAGTGTTATTGATAGAGTAGAGAAGGTACACAGGTAGCTCAAACAAGATGATGCGGGAATCGGCAAAGGTAAAGTTGAGTCAAAGGATGAAGTAGTCGGAGATACGGTGATAGCTAGCAGTTACCGTGTATACCCAGGTACTCCCGTAGCAGGGATCTACACATTCGTCGGCTGCCCTAGTGACGAAGGAGCAATCCGAAGGCTCCCAGCGACGTCTGTGTGGGGCGTCAACAGTCCTATGTCACGTTGCGCTGGAGCCAACGTTCGGAACGATGGAGGGGTCCGTCGGATGAGAACATGGTAGACGCGTGAGTTTGACATACGCTGCCATTGACCAATGCGACGGGCCTGATTGAAAGCCGATTATGACGATTCGAGGCCATCTAGCGCGGTGTGGTTTGGTCTGGGGAATTTACTTTGGTCGCGGCCAAATCCGGTGTGTGTCGGCGCAACTACCGGTGCGGCTTCGGCTTGACCACATGCGGCGCCTGCAACGGCGAAGTCGCTCGCGGGGTTTTTCTGGAAGGACGCCAGGTCGCGATGGGAATGGCGGGAGCCTCTCGCATGCATCCTATGAGTCTGGCGCTCTGCATGGTCGTCGCAGCACGCAAGGCTGCATGTCGGTTATGTACAGTATTCATCTGTCCATGTCGTACCGCGATGGTCAGGTAAGTCGATCTGACCCGAGTACCGGGTCGTTCCCAGTAGGAGTACTGTATTCTGCCTTGGGCAGGCTGGAAGAACTGACGATGAAGAGCACATGTCGCCGGTGTATCGGGGCGCTGGCATCACACCGGAAGATCCGGATCACAAGAAAAGCACGCGCAAATTGGCAACAGGTCTCAATCAGACGGGGAGATGGGAGGACTAAGTATGGTTCACCATAGAGTTCGCAATCGATGATGGTCAGGGGAAGGCCGTTGGAAGAAGGCTCCAGCATCCCTGCCAAGTTCCCACGATGGACGTGAAAACGCCGCTGCCGAAGCCTGGCAGCAGCCCAACCCAACGTCATACCGCCCATGCGCCCATCGCAAACCTCTCTACTAAGCAATTCCCATATCGCAAACACTCCCACGCGATTCCCTGCCGAGTTGGGGGTTGGAAGACACTATCGCACAAAGCAAAACCGCTCGGTGCCGCTTTATCTCTCCATATCGCTGTGTCAGGATGATATCCTCCTCAGATATCGATCGCGCCTTCAGATCCCAGATTAAGGAATACCCTTCGTAGTCGCGCATTTGCCGTTGCCAAACGTGCGCAAGGTTTCCAATAAGAGACGCTCTCAGCACCGGCTCTTTCTCTCCAGCGATCCGGGCACGAGAGGCACCATCTCATTCGATTGGCTGCCGCCCAGTGCTCGTCACCGTCCCGCACGCCGGCAACCCGAACGCCCCGTCGCATATCCTTTCAGCATTCCAGCACGAAAGGGGACATGGAGCCTCATTCGCGTCCTGGCTTGTTCCGCAATGGCACGTTGCGTCTTCCACAGGCTCCCCTCGCTGCCTCACCCAGCGACCCAGTGACACGGACCGCTTCAGACCTTAATCTCTGGTATGGGCACAGTATAAAGCAATCCGCCCTCCGTCTGCTCCGGCTTCTCAACCCATTCGTAGTTAGCGGAGACCGGTTAACTCTGACTTTTGTGGGCATGCTCCAACTGACAGCCTTGTGTGGGTTTGGATCTGTGCTCTGGTATCGGAGTAAGGGAAACAAGGGAACCGCCATCAACACCCAACATGTATCTGATACCGCAGCTGGTGAGTGTTCCAGGGACTAGCGATACGCGTGGATGCCATCCATCACGTAGCGTAGCTGGCGATCATCTAGCCTTGTTTCACTAATTCTCCGCAGATGAAGCTGCTGGTACGGACCCAGGCCTTTTGAAGAAGTACTCCACCATTCGCTCCTACACCGTCCCGTCAACTGGCTTCGTGTACCCCAGGCTCCGGACCTTTTACCGTCCACATCATCAAGAGGACAAACTTCCCAAGGATCCGTGTCCTGTGCCTCTACTGGTGTTCATCCATGGCCTTGGGGGCTCTATCGCTCAGTTCAGCCCCATCCTCATCAGTCTTTCCAACCTTGCCCCGTGTCTGGCCGTGGACCTCCCTGGGTGCGGTGTGTCAAGCTTCGAGCCGAAGTCATGGGACGCCTACACTACAGAAGCCCTGGTGCAGCTTCTTGCCGTCGTTATCGAAGCACATCGCGGAGTCAATGATGGACAGCCTGTTGTTCTTGTTGGCCACAGTATGGGATGCTCACTTGCCGCGCTCCTGGCTTCCCCAACTTCACCTCATGCAAACCTCCTGTCGCAGCATGTCAGCGGCTTGATTGCCATCTGTCCCAAAGCTGAACCTCCGATGGAAGAGGAAGTCAAGAAACTGCGCTCCGTCACGTTGATGCCTGCCGTTCTCTTCGATTTGATTAGACGTTGGGATAGAAGAGGAGGTGTCAACAGCAAGAGCGTTCTACGCATGGCGGGAGTGGATTCTGACGACGAAACGAAGAAGCTACAATTGCGCTTCAACAAGCAGAGCCGAAGTGCTGTGTGGTTGAGGATGGCCCGTGGAATGTGTCCCGATTACTCCAGTGGCTCACCGAAAAGAGGTCTTCCTGGCAAGGAGGTCTGGAAAGGACTAAACATACCCGTGTTCCTCGCCGCCGGTGAAACTGACACAGTCACTCCTGCGTCTAACGTCAAACAGATCGTCGAGTTTCTGGGAAGAGATGTCAGCGCCATCCAACCTCCAAGCGAGATGGCGAGTCTGCCCATTGCAGCCGCCCCTTTCGTACCCTCCGCAGTCCTTCCTGACAACGACAACCCAGGACGTACAGAGCACCAAGATTCCGGTATCGATGTCAAGGACCTACCAAAACTAGAAGACGACACGAAGACCATCGGATCAACATCAGCATCCACTATGAACGTCAGTCTCTCCACCACCTCAGAAAACACAACAGAAGGCAGCGTAATCACCACCGACGGCCCCCTCCTCTCCGCCACGACAACCCCCATCACCCCCACTACCCATACTCCCTCCCCGCACCCCCGCCGCCTCGTCGTCAAAACCGCCATAATGCCCAGACCAGCCGCGCACTCCCTCCTCTTCGCGCCCTCCACGTCCCGCATCATAGCCGGCCTAATCAACACCTTCTTCATCGACTACATCGACCCGCGCCTCTCCTTAGCGTGGCAACTCTCCTACCTCTCCACAGAGGGCAAATGGGACGTCAAGAATCTCGCGAAATGGAAAGCGGTACCTCCCGTCTCAGCCCCCATCGCAGGCGTCTTCCGCGCCATGAAGACGCTAAGAGAGGTCGATGAGGAACATACGCCTAAAGTGTTGACGAAGCAGTGGAAGGGCAAGTTATGCGCTGTCATCGACATTTCGCATGATAATCCTGTGTATGACCCCAAAGGCCTAGAGGAAGGAGGTATTCCATACCACAAGTTCCCCACTGTGTCCAAGCAACCGCCTCAGGCAGCAGAAGTCAATGACTTTTTCGACCTTGTCGACAAGATCCGTGCGGAGGGGAGGCTGGGGTTGATTGGCGTGCATTGCCATTATGGGTTCAACCGCACGGGCTTCTTTCTGGTGTCTTATCTAATTGAAAGGTTGGGATATAGTGTCGAAGATGCTATTGAGACGTTTGCACAGGCAAGACCGCCAGGGATCAGGCATAGCCATTTTATTGATGCGCTTTATGTGAGGTATTGTCGGGGGTTGAAAAGGGCGCCTACGCTGTGAGAGGCGGGCGTTCCTTTACTGGGCTGGCTTGGCTTGGCTGGGTCGGGGTCGGGGTTTTGTACAGTATTCTTCTTTTCTCATTGTTTCGGGGTATTAGGATGGAAACGGAATAGGATTGGGGCTCTGGTAGAGTGAAGTTTGGGAAGCGTGTGCGTTTAGGCGTTTGGTTGATGCTGGGTTATATGGGCATAGTATACGGTATTGGGATCACATCCTTAAATGACATGATGACATTGGTATCGTCTCAAACAAAGCTCTTTTCGGCGATACATACGACACTCCGAATCTTGTACTGTGGACTATTCCAGCACCATCTCTAGATGGGATGAGTGTAGTTCTTTTTAGGTACAGTATATCTCATTACTACACGAATCAATGCTTTTCTCTTACACGTTGTTTCTTAGTTGGACTGGGGACAAGAGGTAAATACTACTAATTGGTCTTTTATTGTTACGACTCGCACGTGTAGTGTAGTGCAACGAACTAACTACTACCTATCGATAGCTTTAGTACCGCATGCCGTCATGCATACGCTAAAGATGGGCAAGTTCGAGTCGTTATATTTGATCTGAGCCTTCAAGAGTACAAAGAAGGAGAAGTTTTGTAGGCAGCAATTGGAGTGTGTAGATATATCATAGAACTGGGCTCTCGATGTCGTTGTGTTGTAGAATCGATGCTCATGTTTTCTTGTGTAGTTAGAAAGACACATGTCAACATAACAAAACGTATCACCAAACCACCACCACCACCACCACCATTCAACCAAAGTTGTAGCACACATGAAGCAGATTCTCTCGGAACAATCATGTATTACAGAAGACGGCGGATTGAGAACCGCCTCCCCCACCCATCTTCGCATCGCTAAACAACGTGAGAAAACATATCTCACACTCCCTCCCGTCATTACTCGGCTTGCCTCTTTTTAAACACAAGCCAAGTGTCGTTTCGTCAAGATGAGAAAGAGAAAAATGTACAACTACAATGATAGTGATGTGATGCCCCACCATATAAACCCTATCCAACGTGTGATGACCATTTGAGACGACGTCGTCAAACCGTCTTGCTCCCTTCCTTTCGTCAGCTCGACATACTGAGATGATGCGGCACGACTCCAGTCGCACCTTCATGCCTGCCTCCTACTACCGTGACAACAGTAATACCCCGACCTAATCCAACCCCTTTCAGCCCATTTTAGCGCCCTGCTCCGCGTGAAGAAGAAAGAGAATCCGCTATGCCGAAGAATGCGTTCGTTAGTAAGAAATAAGAGACTGGGTAAAGACATGGGTTGAAGCGAATGTCGTGAACGCGTTGAGCATCTTGTTTCTTTTTGCACCCAGCCAAACCATGCTACGATAGGGCATGGCTAACCTCATTTGCCTCGGCGGGCAAGTTCGTCTGCCTGGTTATGTGTGGGTCCAGCACCCCTTGCTATCGCGCTGTAGAGTTTGGTTTCCGGGCTTGCCCATGGTAAGGCAAGCGACCTTACGATCTTCATGGCTTCTGGTCTTGAGACTGCGGCTCGGGTGTCGACTCCACACCCTCCATAGCGCCAGTGTCTTTGCTTCTTGAGAAGGGGCCGCCTTCGGTGGTAGTAGGCGTGCCAAGCCTATCTGTGGGATACTTCTCCAGATCTTTGTGGCTTGTTGAGAAGGTCGATATGACTGGCGTGTAGTTCTGAGGGTGATCAGCCTGTGTGGGCGTCTTCGCTTCGGGCCCGGCTGAGATCGGGCTGAGTAGGCTCTCAGGCCCGTTGTTGGCTTCAGGTGGCAGCAATTCGGGCTGCGGTTGTATGGCACCGACTAGACCATTCCAGCCGCCTTCAATGTCGCGCAGCAAACGGACGTATTCCTCGGGCACAAGACCGCTCTCGCCAGTCTTTGGGTCTTGAGCTACGAGCCAACCTTGACCATGTCTGTATGACACCAGTATCACTTGTCCTTCTACCAGCGGTAGCTCGTTGTCGTTCTCGCGTGCGAAATCGAATAAGGCGACGGCCTTGCCGTGCATTTCCTCATCGGGTGATGCGATGGTGAACTGGTAGTCGCGCGAGAATCGGTTGTCATCGTGGATGTAGTCCTCGGGCTCTGACATGTCGTCGTCTGAGTCGTACGGCGGGCCCTCAACATCGGCGTCGGTATCAGCGTATGCCCGTTGCGGGAGGGTGGTTGCGAAGTGCGAGTCTCGTCGTGAAGCTCCTTCTGGCACACCGAGCCGCGATGACTCGGGTGGATATGTGATGTACTCACCCCCAGGCCCATTTGCAGCCTCGTCGCTGACGAACTGACTGCTCTCGCCGTTCATAGGCAATATCGAGCCCCGCCGTTGCTCCTCGGGGTAGCCTCTCCGCCCACGCGTGTGATCGAAATTGACGATATTGGACTTGTGCTTCTTGTGCCGTGCGCCATGATGGCTTGTGACTACCGGACTAGATATGTCATCGTCCTCGCTATAGGGCGGGCCGCCGTCGTATGCTGTTTGTGGGAGCTGCTCGCCGTTCTCGTCCCAAGACCCCGCGGACCAACCGCCTCGGTCGCTTCGCCATGCCACGGGTGGCGGGTCCGAAAGCCTCCGGCTGTGTTCGCTGGCCGGTGTCGAGATATCGGAAGGTTGTTCCGGAAGAGGGCCGTAGAAGAGCGGGTGCAGCGGGTCGTAGGCAAAGTCGCGGACGAGCGAGTAGGGCAGACTCGAGTGGAAGATGGGAAAGGCAGTCGACTGCGGCCTGGAGCGGACAGATTGGTGTGTGTTGGAGGTGTTTGAGAAGGTCGAGAGTCGCTTGTTCATGTAGGAGCTGGCGCGCTCGAGCTTCGCCTTGGATGGCGGGGAAGTGACGAGCGGCGGGAGGGAGGTGCGATTGACTCCGACTTGCGCCGATGCGCCCGGGTCACTCCTGGGTGATAAGACATCGGCCGCCATATCTTGCTCGCTGTGGTATCCGCGGACAGCGACTCCTTCTGTGATGTTCTTCAGCCGCTGCGAGTCGGCGGCCGTCTCTGGTGCGGAATTGGCGTCTGTCATGCGCGGTAGATTGCTTGAATAGACAAGTCGGGCGCCGGCGGTAACTATATGGAGTTTTGAAGCGCGGTAGAGGGCAGTGAGGGTGGCAGAGTAGGATGCGACGCAGCTAGGCGTGCAGTGCAGTCTTTAGGACTCAGTATGCAGTTTGCAGTACTCGGAAAACTGCCGCGGGAGCAGAAGACGGGCTCCAGGTGGCCAGCGCACAAGGCGCACAAGCAGCGTTCGAATCAGCGCGACCTGGACTGGCGACGGCAGATGGCGCAGTGACTCGATGTTTGTATCGGATGTTTCGAGGCGACAGTGACCAATGGGCCGGCGGCGCGCTTCAGGCCTTCTGGAAGCAGCACGTCGGCTGTGCAGATGCGCCTGGCGATTGGGAGTTGCACGGCGGGCGTGAAGATATTTCCACTGTAGAGCGGCTGGAGAAGCGCTCGCTGGGGGTTGTGGGGGTCAGGCCTGGCGCTAACACTCGCCCAGTGAACGGTTGCTGAGGTGCGCACCCGAGGGCCAACTTGGTGGCTTCGAGGGTACCGTGCAGGAGGGGAACGGCAACAGTGCGGCTAAGGGGCGACGCGACTATAGCGAGGCTCTCAAGGTTCTGGATGCTGTGTAGACCAGCGCGCGCGTGGTGGTGATGGCCAACTCTATTTTTGGCACCAGGCGGCGGGGAGTGCTAGATGCCAAAGTGTTTCAGGATCGACTTGACAGCGCCGCCAGTGGGCAGAGGCATGGAAATGTATTTGTGCGGTTGAGAAATATCAAGCAGAAGCAACGAGTCAAGAGGCCTCGAGACAGCCTTGCTGGCATCAACGAGGGGTGTGTGTTCTGACGGCTCTTCCTTTCCATGATTGCAAACCCCATCAATGCATGCTTAGGCTACTTTCACCTTAGTAGGCGTTTCAGGCCATCGACTAGCTGCATGGGGACTGCGCTCGCGCCGCCTGTCGAATGCGCTGCCAGGCCCGCGAGCATCTTCCTTGGGCCTTCTTCACCGCGTCCTGTCACGAGGGCAAACACATCACAGTCGACTCGGATATCATTCCCTTCGCCATGTCATGGTCCTCTTCCGACCACATTCCCCAGACCAAGACGCTGTGTGACAGGTGCGTTTGAGCCGGGTTACCTAGGTGTCCCGTTTGGGTATACAGTATGCTTGCGCAATTGCATCACGTCACCCGCGATCGCTTTTAATGAAGGCGATCTCCCTATACGAGATGATGCTATTGTCCGAGCGCTTCAGGAACAGGTAAGAGTCTGTTCCAAGATTCCCGACATGAAGCATCGCCGACCAGCCCCTCCATTTCGAGGGTGTTCGGCGCCCCGCGTAATCTTTCAGCCGACGCTTAGTCAGCCACTAAGCAGACTATGACCTGAGCTCGAGCTTGACAAAGACTCAACCTTTACAGGCCTCGTGCCTTCCACCACGACCACCACCTCAACTTCTCATAATCATACGCGTCTCTCTATGCATGGGACTATGAGCTTGAGTAGTCGCCTTAGTCACTGTAAGTTTGCTCCTTTCGTGTGCCTGCGTGCCCCCTTGAGATGATGAACCCATATTGGAGCTGTCCTAGGCAATCCTCAGGAATTACCTGGGATGTCGTTGAGGACTCACAATTAACGCTGAAAATTCTGATCTCTTGTGAACCTTGTTTGATTGCTATCTATAATTGCGTGGAACCACAACTAACGTTTGTGAAGAAATTGCAGAGCTGCCCGGTCTCGTCACATCCCCCGAACCACGACCCGACCCCGCCGAGGATGGCCACTGCCGACCCACGACTGCGCGCGAGGCAGCAGGCTGCCGCCGCTGCACCTCCACCACCCCCGCCGCCGCCAGCTGAGCCCGCTTCCATGGGTACGGACGGCGCCAGCGATGCGCACGCAGAGCAGAATATGGTACCGGACGATAGCTTCAAGCTCAAGTTCTGCACTGTGTGTGCGAGTAACCAGAACCGGTATGTCATTCGCTGATCCGCAAGCCAATCATATCGCTAACTTGACTAGCTCCATGGAAGCTCATCTTCAGCTTGCCTCAGCCCATCTCCCTACTATCAGCTTTGGTACTGGCTCTCTCGTCCGTCTACCCGGTCCGACCATCACGCAGCCCAACGTCTACAACTTCAACAGCACCACCTACCGCGCCATCCACGATGAGCTCGCCGGTCAGAACACGGCGCTCTATACCCACAATGGTCTGCTTAACATGCTTGGTCGCAACTTGAATATCAAAGGCTACCCTGAGCGCTTCCAAGACTGGGTGCCTGGCAAGCCACGTCTGGACCACGCCGAAGACAAAGGTTCGCAGGGCACAGAGTCTGGTGTCGTTGACGTTGTCATAACCTGCGAAGAGCGCTGCTTCGATGCTGTGCTGGAAGACCTACACAACAAAGGCGGAAAGCTCAACCGCCCTGTCCACGTCTTCAACGTAGACATCAGGGATAACCACGAAGAAGCCCTCGTTGGCGGCAAAGCTATCCTCGACCTTGCGCTCACTCTGAATGAGGCCGCAGCTAAGGAGAGAGAGCAACATGGCGATAGCGGATGGCAATCCGGTGGCGGAGCTGCTCGATCTGGCTTTGACGAGCGCGTTCCCGACATCCTTGCGACCTGGCAAGAGCGCTGGCCCAACATGCCCGCACTCTGGAGTTTGGCCTGGGTCTAGTTTCCTCACGGCGTTTATTATCCACATTCGATACCCATACTGCATAGCGAGGCGTTCTGGGCAGGACATGCTTATCTCTAATGAGTTACCAACGAATTCACGATTCCATTCAAGATAAACTTTGGTGTTGACCGTCTTTCCCGTGTTTGTTTGTGACGATCGCGATTGTGACATCCGACATGACGTTTGTATCACCAACGCCATAGCGCGAAAAACGCACAAACACCCCGTCTGCTGTAGCTTCGAGGCACGGTCTGCGGCTAGCCACGTGTACAGTACCACGCGCGTTGATGCTAAAGTCAAAAGTAAATCAACAACATTACCGTAATTTCCCTACATTTCGATCTTCGTCTCTCAAGCTTCCTCTGCAAGGAGATTGCGGATTGGAGATTCGCCACCAAAACACACATTGTCATTTACGGCGCGTCAACAACATGGCGGGAAGTCGTCGCTTTGACATGATACTATTACTGATCGCCACGCTCGTCGCGAGTGTTGTTTCATCGCCTACATGGATGTCACCGTCGACATCATCGTTGAACTCGAGGAGAGAGGGAAACGGGACGAGGTACTGTGGATGGGAACTCATGCAAAACATTCGTATGTCTACTCACCGTCATCCACCTCTTACTACCTACATGCATCTTCCTTCTTTACCAGCCTTCCTTGTTTCACCTCTCATTCTTATTTGTTTCTCTCTCGAACACATCTAACACTACTCCAGAAATTCCCATCGCCAAACTCGGCATCTGGTACGCCGAACAAACCGGTGATCGCTCCTTATGCGTAAAGCAAGATGATGGATCCGAGTATTGTACTTGCGTCTATCAGTGCGGGAATGGGGTTTGGAGGAACGAAGGAGGAGGGGAAAGCAATAGCATTGTTGCCAAAGAGGACGGTGTTGAGAGGGGGGGAAGTGATGGAGGAAGTGGGGATGAAGAAAAAGACGAAATTGGTGAGCGGTATGGGAACTGGGTACGAAAAGGATTGGGTGACAAGTATGGAAAGTGGAAGTATGAGGTGGGGTGTAAGAAGTATTGTCATGCTGGGGTCTGTGATGGGCAGAACTGAGGGGTAGTAGAGCAAAGTGAGGAACATGACGTGGATTCGCGGAGGCAAAGAGCGTGGTGGTGTTCTTGACGAAGGTCTTCTGCTACTCCCTGATCTTGCATCTAGGTAGCGATGCTGAAAGACGCATTCTTTCAAACACGGTGTAACTTATCAATGTTTCTGACCACACGCACGGTAAGTTCGTGGTGTTGAGTTGCATGCCAGCCTGCTTTTGCGCTGTTAGCTGTTAGCTGCTAGCACTAGTCGCATTGAACCTGGACGATGTACTTCTTCGATGGTATTCCGTATCTACCTACCTGGTGTTTACATGATGTTTGTAATCCTCTCATATTGGCGCTTAGCGTGCTGTGAACAAGAAGTCCATCGACAGGCATTAGCAAAAAGATACCTTTTACCGCACCACTAGGACCTGGGGCTAGTTGAAGGCGTGTCACGACATCTACACTGGCAAAAAGATCGACGTTGGCCAGATTCGAACTGACGCTCCCGAAGGAACAAGATTTCTAGTCTTGCGCGATAACCACTCCGCCACAACGCCGTGTTTCTATTGGCTGATGAAGTGTGAGAAACTATTGACATATATGGTGCGACAGCAATGATTCCATGGCAAAGCAGGGCGGCCGTGTTCGGACGAGTTTCGTAGTCCATGCACTTGGAGAACCGCCACGGGCCGCTCTAGTCTATCTTCTTCGAGCGCCGAGTACGAACGGATCTTAGTTTATCCCCTTCGAAGGTTCTATGGCACGCGCGGAACCTGTATAGCTTGGTCCCAAACAAAGTTTAGACGTTTCCAAATTTCCCGTCTCTATCTGAGCCAGCGAACTCAAAACACGTGCAATCTGCCTTGAACGATCTAGATCACATCGTCCACGATCTGTTCACGAACTGCTCACGTCGATTACCAAGTGTCATCACTCGCCGATCGGATCTCGCCAGACTAGCCGGACCAGGAACTCGTGTTCGTTGAGTTTGCCCTGCAATCAAAATCTGCACGGGCATCATACCTGAAGAACACCTAAGGAACGCCAGTTCTTCTCATGTCTTGGTAACTCCACGAGACAACATCACAATCTTGAAGTCAAAAATCATGGCGAACCCGGGTGGCCGGCCGTGGCATCAAGTCCAGATGCAGAAAGAACGGCGGAGAGCCAATCGTGCAGCATCCTCTGAAAGGCAACGCGCGACAGGAAACGTGCGCGCTAGCGCTAGGCGTTCCGTCTCATCACCGCCCTTCTGCATGCTGAGAAACCCGTTGCCTTGGTCATTGAGTCCGTCGGAACGCCAACGTCCCGCCATAAGCTCGGCCGTTACAACACGACATGCGTCAGTTCAGTCGGAATGGTTGTCTTGGTCACGATAGACGTCGACGCGTGTTTCTGACTGCGAACCAACCAAGCGCAATTTCACCAGAGCAAAAGTCGCTGTCTATCCTTTCGTCATCAACATATCGCAGGCCAACTAATTCTCAATACTTCTACCTAATCTCTACCGACAGCCATAGCTGCTAGTTGTCTGAAACTGTCGTCTACCGTACCCTTGATGCGATAACACTAGTCCAGCATGGTGTATCGCGGGAGACCTTCAACGGGGTGCAAGAAGTGTCGCGAGAGAAAGATCAAGGTGAGTCCAGCTCTATTGTATGTAATCACGTAACCTGGCTTGGTTTTTCCTACAAGGGCATGCAGTGCGTGGTGTTCGCGTTGGGCGCCGCAACCCGCGACTAGCTTCTTCCCAACTGGGTATCCTGTGCGAGAGCCTATCCCCAGATCACACCCATTCGCAAACAGGCATTCATTCCGAGATCCTTGACTCGAGCCGCTGACTAGACTATTGCAGTGCGATGAGCGACCAGAGGGTTGTCTCAAGTGTGCCGAACGCAACTTCAAATGCCCGGGATACGATCGAACGGTCGACGCCTTCTTCCACGACGAGACCAAACATGTGCAGACAAAAGCAAAGGCATCAAATGCGAAAGCCATCGCCGCACGTGATGCGCGAGATATCAGAGATGTACGAGAGGCCTATCTCCAGATCATGGCCAAACAATGTCCGGGGACCGCCATAACGGCATCACTCATCGATCAAGGCATCAACTTCTTCATGTCGTACTATTGCACGGGAGTGGATCAGCCGTCCATACAGTCAATAGAGTACCAACAGCATCTGTCTACGCACGGCTTCCATCCGCTCGTCTCTACGACAATGACAGCGCTGGGCATTGCCGGTGTAGCCAACCTCTACATGGACCCTCGTCTGAAAAGTGAAGCGACACGCTGGTACCTGGAGGCTATCAAGATGGCCAACAAAGCAATTTCTTCGCCCGAACATGTAAAGGCCGACAGCACTCTTACTGCTGTCAACCTGCTTAGTATGTTCGAAGCAACGTTCAATGACACCTCTCTTGCTGGATGGAGTAACCACGTCGATGGTGCTGCATCTCTCATCAGACTCAGAGGCATGGAGCAATTCTCTACCCCTGCGGGACAACGCATGTACCTCCATACCATTGGCCTACTCACTATGAACTGTATGGGAAAGGGCATTCCCCTTCCTCAATATGTCCACGATCTGAACAGCGAAGTCATTCAGCATTTGGATACACATGACCCAAGAAACCGATTCTTCTTCCTTCACATCAAGACCATCGACCTACGAGCTCGCATCCTCAACCAGTCAGCGTTCTCGTTGTCGGAAATCATAGAGTCGGCACTTGAACTTGAAGACATCGCTGTCAACATCTTCAAGGATCAAGGAGCGGACTGGGAGTACGACGTCGTGCATTGCGAGAAACGAGAGTGTATCTTTGAGAACTTCTACCACGTTTATCCGACTGCCACAGCAGCTCAGACTTGGAATTGGGTGCGCTACAACAGAATCTACTTCCACGACATCATCCGGAATTGCATCCTAGCCGGTTTTGCATCTACTCCACCAACACTTGCTGGCAACAGATACCACGAACAGCTAGCGAGAAGTGCTCACACGTTGTACCAGTTACAATCTGACATTATAGCTAGCATGCCCCAATTCATGCATGACGTTCCCGATTCTGCGCCGAGCAGAGCAACAACCCCACCGGATGACGATTACGACGAACCGCGCACGTCGGGACGAGGCGCACCCTGGGCGAGATCGACTTCCCCCACTCCAACAAGCCCATACCGCATAGCTCTCAAATCCCTCGATGGCAACTTCCGAGGTAACACATACGGGCTCGTCAAAGCTCTTCTGGGGAACGGATCAGTCAAGGATCGGCTTCCTATCGTACGCGTCGCAGGAGGCTACAGTACTGTATGGGCGCTTTACGTGGTACGTCCTATCTTCATCGTCAGCAGCATATCCTTGCTACTAACAACCCCCATCACAGGCCGCCGCCATGCCCATGGCCTCACCTGAAAGCCAAGACTTTGTCCAAAAGTACATGTCGCGCATCGAGCACGAGTTCGGCATCAAGCAAGCCCGCGTCTTCGGCAACGCCCTGCGCCTCAAACGGTACCTCGACCAGAAAGGTGCCATTGCGTTTGGTATCTGTCCGCAGTACCTTCCGCCCGATGGACCAGAATCATATGTTCCGCATCAGCATTTATACAGCAAGGTGGGTCAACGAGCTCCTGAACTCTTGACGGAGGCTTCGTTCCAGGCTGCGCTTCCTTCGTTGGAGGATATCCTGGCGGGGCCGAAGTGTTGAACTGAAAGAAAAGAACCTGACGTTTACAGGTTGACGAGGTGATGGAAGAGTTGCCGTAGAAGTCGTTCGTTGACGATCGGGATGCATGGTAGGACTCGGTCGACTTCACGAAGTCTTCGGTACGGCGAAGTCTGTAGAAGCTGTCAGTCGGCCATCCGGGTATAACAAGACTCGGTCAACTCCACAAGGTATTCAGTACTGCTAAGTATGAGCGAAGGCAGGGGAACATCGCAAACAGCCTGTACAGGGCGACGGACGGGCATAGTGGCCTTCCGGCGCAGACTTCGGTTCCTCTCGGTCCGGGCCGCGGCTTCGTTCATGCTGCAACTGTCAGCGGGACAATGAATACTTCCCAAACGCGCTCGTGCGTACAGTACCGCCCACTGGGAAATCTTTTCGACGTCACACAAGACCGGATATACCCCTCCTTCTGTCGGAATACAAAAGACCTTACGCCACCAGACTGTACGACTTCCGCAGTCAATTTGCATCAGACTCAACCCCATCGACAAAGAGCTTGTGTCAGACATGTCTATTCCCTTCATTCCACAGCCGGGCTCGCCTCTGCTCCAACTTCCCGGAGAGCTTCGCAACAAGATCTTTCGGAACATCTTCAAGCACGGGGGCCACATCTTACTGGTACCATCATATGTCGGACAGGCGACAGGTCCCTCGGCGCCAGTCATGGGTTGCGCGATACCAGACATCGAGTTGCTTAGTACCTGCCGCCAATTCTACGACGAAGCCAGAAGTATACTTCTCTCGGACAACACCTTCATGCTCTCTACGCAAATGGACGCTTTCGCCGACGCTTCGACCCTAGGATTCCTGAGCAGGTGGATGGCGGGTCTTGGTCCCAATCGCGATTATGTCCGCACAGTGGTCATCGATCTCGAGCCTCTATGCCCGGGACGCTGTCAGTTTGCTAGGGATAGGATCGACCTGAAGTCTGTTATGATGATGATCTGGCGATATCAGGATATCCTCACGAGCCAAGGCAACCGACAGCGCGCGAATATTGAGCTGTCGTACGCGTTCTCGGGACGACAGCTTCGTTCACATAACCACACGGGCATTCCAACCCCATACCCCATCAACGACTCCAATCTCAATGCGATGATTGCACTGTTAACGCCTCAGCGTAGTCCGGAAATGAGCCCCTATCTACGAGCACCCCGGTCGCTTCACAGCATTCAGGTCACACTCGACGGTCTACGAGCCACGTTCATCCTGAACAAGTCTTGCCATCATGGCCCCGATGCTACCGACTTTTCAATCATTTTATACGATGTGGACAGCAACGGCCAACTTGTGAGGATGCCACTCAACCCTGTACTCCGTATCGCGAGCCTCTTTAACACAACCTCGATCAAGAACAACCTCATGGGTATGCTTGTGGACTCAAACATATATCATCGTCTTACGTACAACATCGAGAGCCGCACAATTTCACAGCGCCTACCCGAGCTATTTTCGATCAATCGCCGCTTCCGAGAACTTGCCCTCGAACAGTACCACAACACACATGTCGTTGGGAAGATGACGTCGCGTAGCGCGCAGGCTACGTGCGATGATTTTTCATCGATGCAGGATTGGTGCGCAGCTAGTCGACTGTTCTTCCGTGGCAGGTCTGGAGATTCCCCTGGTATTCCACCTACTCTCAAAATGCGATTCGAGCTGCCGGAGCGAGAGGACTTTTCACGTCTCAGGATCCCAATCACCAATATCATCATGGCAACGCTCGAACTCCCTGTGAGCTCAAATCTGTGGGTTGAACAGTTCAATGGCGGCCTGCCCCTGCAAATCAAGACGGGGATGCTATATAGGCTGCAACGACAGATGTTTGTCTTTCTCGCCGACATACTGTACCTAAACCCAGATCGCAGTAATGAACCCTGTCCCGACGTTATCATGGACGGCAACTGTATCATCAAAGAAGTCGAGTATGAGCGAGACAACGGTAGCAAGTTCCTGATCAACTATGAGAGGGAAGGCATGGATCCGGAAGACATGGAAGAGGAGATTGATTACCATATCGCCAATCTGATAGAACGAAACGAGGTGGATATAGCGACTTACGTACCCACTTCCACTATCTGTCATGACGATGACGGTGGGTCCCACCACCACTTCGGGTATGACTTCAGCGCGCCCCTACACCCTTCTTTGCTGGGGGTAACTATAAGGCTTGGGTGTTTCTTACAGGGAGCTGATACGACTGGGGAGTATTGGGACTAATGTTACTGTGGAAGGCACGGGGATGGACCCCAGGTCAGGTAGTTTGATGTATGTGGTAGCGCTCAAACAATCTTAAATTGACCATCTGAATGTCTCATGCGCCATGTAAATCAGCGAAGTCTGATTGTTATCCAGCGTGTATGCCCATTGAAGTTTTCTATCCTCTCTCTACGTCCACCGCCTTGTACTACGCCAACGTTCAAGAGCACCTCACCCTCAGATCATGGTCCCAACCGAGACGATGCCTGCAGCCAACATCTTACCGCCGCCATACTCCTCCCGCCAGCTCCGCCGTTACACCCGCTATCCTAAGCTCTACGCCGAGCGAAGATATCCGCTTCCCTCCAATCCCTCCAGCCAGCCCACCAAGCCATTCCGGCTCATGAATCTCCCCATTGAACTCCGCTATATAATCTACACCCCCGCACTTACCCTCCCCTTCCCCATCAAACCCTGGCCTGAAACCGACAACCCCATCGCCCCGCACCAAATCGCCACCGCAAACCGCAACATGCAGTACCTCAAAGTCAAGATGCGGCAGTGCGGCGTAAACCTAAATATACTAAGAGTAAGTAAACAAATAAGATATGAGGCAACGCGCGAATTCTACAGAGAAAATGAGTGTCGCTTTAGCGGGATGAACGGGTGGATGGTCGCGAACGCATGGATGTTCACGACTAGGAAGTTTGGATGGCAGTATATCAAGTCTATCACTTTGCCGTTACCGATTCAGTTATCGACGAAAGGTCAAGCACAGCAGCGGTAGGCAATGGTTAGGCCTGCGGTGAGTAAACGCGCGGTCGCTAGACTGGCGAAGCAGATTCCTTTTAATGTTCCTGATGAGTGGGGGGTACTCGAGTAGTTCAAGGGATGTTTGTGTCGCGTTGGGGAAGTGTATGAATTTGAGGGTGGTTAGGCTTGTGCTGCCAAAGTGGTGTGACATAGAAGTTGATGATGAAGGGGTAGTAGAGGAGTTTTTTGGGCGGATTGAGAAGTTGAGAGAAGTTGTTGGGAGGGGGTTGGGAGTTGAGGTTGTGAGGATTAGTGGGGAGAGGAGGACAATAGGGGCTGCACTCCCGGCAGATGAGAGGCAGAAGAAGTTTGTTAAGGAGAGTGCAGAGAGGGGGTGGGAAGTTAGGACGGCGAAGTGCGATAAGTTTGGGAGGTTCGATGTTGAGGGTGAGTGATAGCGGACAATTATTCTATCCATCGGGGTTTCTCTATTATTGCTATACGTTATCATCATCAAGCACAGGATGCGCAACGGAACTAAATTGGTACAGTCTTTCTATGGCGCATTGCTACCGATTGGAGCTTCTCCTGATCTACCAAGATAGTGACCGTCTTCCTGCAAATTGCATCGGGAGAGGGGTGAGGCCTGAAAAAGATAAGCTCACCGCCATCTTTCAGAAGATCTAGAAGAGCATGCACACCCACGCTGGTCATCTGGACGCCTTCTTATGCGGACGGATACCAGCAGCCTAGATGAAAGCTTCATTTCGAAAAGTACGCCTTCATGCGATTGGCTGCTGTGAGACCAACAAGTTCGGATCTCAAGGGATGTGAAATGACTTCGATGTTCCTAAAAGTGCGATTGAAGATCTTTTGTCACATTGTTTCAGTCTAGAAAATTTTCTTGTCCAATCTGCGCTTGGGCATCATCGCAGCGGTCAGTTGTGCAATGCTGCTAGCTGACGACGTGTACATTAGTAGCTGGAAAGGAGATGCATGTCGTTCATGTTACGGTGAGGATTCGAGATGGGATGATTCTAGAACGGGCTATTGTCGTCGCCTGTGCCGTGCCGGAGACTTTCGCAATCAGGGTTGGGAGTAGGAAGTGGGGATGTGCAGGCGCCACCTCCTGCAAGATCTGCGCCACAACCCCGCGCCACACTATTGCGGTCCGCTGCAGCGGCCCTTTCTGAAACCTGGGCTGTACATTCTCACTTTCGATATTACTCCGTCTTGGACGACACAAATTCGTATCCTCCAAGCATAGCTACACAGAACTAGAGATTTCGAAGGACCGAACAAGGATCCCGACGTAGTGTTGACGCAGGATGCGAATTGGAAGTCGAGGTATCGGAATACAACTACCCGATCGCGACCGCGAAACACGGCACGACACGCGCAGTACCCACCCACGACTCTACCCACGACTCTACATCGATCAGTAATCGACATGCCATGGCACAATACTACTAACCACAACAACATGTGTATTCCGTGGATGGGCTGAGCGATCGTTTGACGAACAGCCTTAGACGTTGTCTCGAGTCGCAACGCAGCTAACCTCCAGGGCGGTTGGCGTCAGCCGGCTACATCAACCCGACAAGCAAGTCCTGTCAGCGACTCTTGAACACGCGGGATCCTAATCAGCGTGGTGAACAGAGGTGCACCCAGGAACGGCACCTGGGCGTCATGCGCGACACCTGTTTGCGCGACATGACGTGCCAAGACGCCTCGAGCTGGTGTTTTAAGCCCTCCAGGAAGCGTCACGATTGGCGGAGATACGCAAAAGAAAGTCATCGAAACAATCTCACACTCTAGCCAAATTCTAGCGCAAGGCTCGCCCCGTAGCACGAATCGTAAATATGTCTTGGCAGGACCCCAATGATGTTCCCGGAGAAATGCTTGACTGGCCAGACGTTTTCGAACGACGAGCGGAAATTTCGGTTCTCCTTGGCGTTCCAGATAGGTGGTTACGCTGTGGATATTTGAGCGGTTTCATGTCAAAGCTTGGCATTTTGGCGAGCGTTGGCGTCGGTGTGACAGTCTGGATTCAGCGCTAGTCCATCGGACATGTAACGATTTCCTGGCTTCTGGGTGGTAAAACCATGGTCGTGTGCGTTCGTGTGGCGTTCAGGAACAAGATGTCTCCCTCGAACTCGTCTCTCTGAGATGCAAACCAGTGTCCAGTCTCGTTGGTAATGATGGAAGGAAGAGTCGAACATGAAAGAAGGCGCTTACTTGACAATTGCCTTCTACCAACTCCACAATACAAATGAGCCTGACATGGGTGCTATCGAGATATCTCGCCCTGGGCGTGTTTCCGACCTCCAAGCCCCACCAGAGCACGGCCTCTGACGTCCTCGGAACCCTGCGAGCGTCTTCTTCTGGGCCATCCTACTCACATACGCATGATGCTCTGGGCCTGGGCTCATGAGTACCGCCGGAGGGGGACAGTACCCTGTCTTCCACATGGCACATCTTCGGACGAATGTGGAGTGCCTCAGTGTGGTACCCAAAAGACGAGTTGAGGGGAAGTATAAGTATCACAACGACCACCGGCAAAAAAGGAATCACCACCACCATCACATTCATTCAGTCTTTCGTTGCTTGAAGCATCCACTTTCGCTACCTCTTTCAGAGACTTACATTCTTTATACATACTTTGCCAAAGCATCCTCTTTCGACTTTCCAATTTCGATCAACCAACTCAATCGTCAACATGAAGTTCTCCATCGCCATCGTTGCTGCCATCACTGGCTTTGCCGCCGCCGGCCCTGCCGCTGTCACTCCCAGCGAGTTCTCCTCCTTCGCCAAGCGCGCCTCCCTCCCGATCCCCGCTTCCAAGGGCTCCGTCACCTACAAGGCGCCCCAGCAAGTCAGCGGAACTTTCGATGGTGGCATGAAGACCTACGGCCGTGGTGCTAGCTGCACTGGTCAGGTCGAGGGCGGTGACAAGGACGCTGTCTTCCTCATCAAGAACGGCGGAACTCTTAAGAACGCTATCATCGGAAAGGACCAGATTGAGGGCGTCCACTGCGAGGGTAAGAATTCTCCCACGTTAATGTTGATTCATACATGGACTAATCTCAACCAGGATCCTGCACCATCGAGAACGTCTGGTGGGTCGACGTTTGCGAGGATGCGCTTTCCCTCAAGGGTGACGGAAACGCCATGATCAAGGGCGGAGGCGCCCAGTCCGCTGATGACAAGGTCATCCAGCACAACGGAAAGGGCACGGTCACCATTGACGGCTTCAGTAAGCATTCCTTCCAATATAGCCTCTTCTGAACAACTACTAACACTTCTCAGCCGTCATGAACTTCGGCAAGCTCTACCGTGCCTGCGGTAACTGCAAGAACAGCGTCGCCCGCTCCGTCGTCATCAAGAACGTCAAGGCCTACAACGGAAAGGTCCTCGCTGGTATCAACCCCAACTTCGGCGGTACCGCTACCATCTCCGGCACCTGCGCTACTTCCGTCAAGACCATCTGCGAGGAGTTCCAGGGTACCAAGCCCGGCTCTGAGCCCAAGTCTGTCTCCAAGGGCCCCTCCAACAACTGCAAGTACACTGCCTCCGCTATCAAGTCTTGCTAGACGAGTACTTCGACTCGCTCGATACTTTAGTCGAGTGAGAGTGTTGTGGTCATCGGAGATGACGATGTGGTAGATGTGGATTTTGAAACTTCTGAGGATTCTTTGTATATATAACCTTTGCGCACATGCAGTGCATGTAATAAACTTGCTTCAAGAATATCTGTCTCGATATCACGGTGATCCGAATTTTGCCTCAGGCCCTTTGAGTTCGTGTGTCTGATACTGAAGCCACAGTGAGGATGCGACGACTACTCCACACTTGATCGCTCAGATTTCTAGTTGCAGGGCGAGGCATACAAAAGAACTGCGCCACAGTGACAGCGAGGTGCTGTTGTTGAGGTTCATTGGTCAGTCTCGGCGGTATTGGGGGGCTTCTGTAAGATTGATTAATCTATCATCGACTATCTGCACCTCATTTAATCTGCTACGGACGCATCGGAGCTAGTGCCTGAGCAGATGAAACACAATGAGTCTTTCCCAAAGTTGTAAAGATCAGCGTCAAAGTAGGTGGAGAAGGGTATGACTTTTGGCATTGAAGTTGAAGACAGTAACACGGTTCCTGCTTGCGACACAGGCCCACTATACAAGTTTGGATTGCGCTGTGTGTAAGGAAGCGCTTTTGGTTTGGAGGAAACAACAAGATCGTAGGAAAGAAACGGAAAATAAAATGCAAGTAAGCAGGGCGGCGACGCCATCGCTGACACTGCGCCGAGCTTTGGAGAGAATAACAGAAAGCAAATAACTCCGCCACCCTGGGTATAAAGCGCCGGTGATATGCAAAGCACAGGAGCAAACCATCATGCACTGCGACGCTTCTTCGCAGCTGCTTTCTTGCGAGGTGGTTGGCCTGCCGGATCCTCCGCAACGAAGGTCTCTTCGTGAGCGCGCTTCTTGCCTTTCGATACCTTCTTGACCTTGGGAGTCTCTTCGCTGTTGGAGCGCTCCTCGTTGTCCTGATTTTCCTCGCCTTTGTTCTTCTTCTCGCTTTTGAAAGCCTCCGCGCTGCTCCCATTCTTCATGACCTCTTTACCTGCCTGGATCTGACCAGCTTTGTTCACGTTGGCGGTCCTGTTGGTCGCCGTGCGATTGATCAAGAGGCGGGGGTTGGCGATAATCGTGAAGAAACGGGAACCCTTCATGATATCTTGAACGGACGTCTTGGATTTCTGCACAGTTAGCGTTGAGTTGTGTAATCACCAAGATAGAAGACTTACTTCAAGCAGTTCCCGAAGACCTTCGAACCGATCCTCAAACGTGTAGAACATTGTTACTTGACATTGATCACGCTCGTTCTTGTCGAAGATCTGCTTGGTCCAACCTTTGGTGTGGATGTTGATGAGCTCTTTCTACGATAATTCAGTGAAGGCAGGGGCATACACTTCGAAGATGACTTACGACAAGCAGACCAGCAGCTGCGTTGAATTCTTCCGGGGTATAGTAGTCAGAGTTAAGGCTCCAACGATTTTTTGATGCACCAGTTCCAGTCTTCTCCCGGACGTTTGTGGTGTTGCACATGGCTCGCTCAAGGGCATCCACGCGTGCCTTGATCTCCTTGTCTGACGTGGGAATGGTCCCGTCATTGGCCGGCGCCATCCACATCGTACCACCGAACACAACTCCAGTGTTGGTACGCGTCAGGGTGATGGACTCTCCCATCTGTCCGCTGATACTTATCTTGTTTTGGAACTTCTTGATCGCGACCCGGGCTTGCTTCTCTATGGCGAGGATGTGCTTGTGTGCGGCGCTCGCAGCGTCCGCATCGACCGCAGCTTGCCCGCCATCTCCGGAGTCCTCGTTCTCGGACTGATGGGGCGCTGATGCGTCGTCCCTCGCTGCTGTGTGGTGTTTGACGCCTGTCTGGTGGTTGATCGCGGGTGTGCGCTGTATCGACGATGGATCAGGGGTTGTCGATGTACCTGACGGCGCTACTCTACTTCGCGATCCTGGTACACAGCGCGGCTCTGGTGCGCATTGCGGTCCTGATACATCTTGCGGCTGTGGTAGATATCGTAGCCCTGGTGCATGTTGCAGTCCTGGTACTTGAAGCGGCCGTGGTGCATATTGTAGCTCTGGTACATGTTGCTGCTTTTGTGCTTGGTAGCCGATTGCTCCGCGAGGAGGCCCTGATATTCGGTCCATAGGTGAGGTATGAACTGACGCTGACGTACGAAGTACTGGTGCTTGGAGAGTTCCCGGTCTGTGAAAGGCCGCTGGTCCGTGGGTAGCATCTGGCCCGTACCCCACCGATGTTGCGTGAACTGATCCATTGTTGAGTACGGGCGATGTTACATTGCTCCACGGAGGAAGATGACCCATCGATGGTGTAGGGGCGACGGATGTTGGACGCTTCTCGTATGGTAGACAGCCCGAAGACAGCGCTCGGACCGGATCTGGTGTTTGATTAGACATTGCTTGGGTGAACTCATCGTTGTAAAATGAGTTTATTCCGGTGGCGGGATGCGCAGACATCTGAGAAGAGATGTTGGGTGCGCCTAGAAGAAGTTAGTGTGAGCGCAAAACACAAGTTATATACCATAGTGACGTACCGAAGGCTACGTTGGTTTTTGAATGGTGCTGGTGGCCAGCGTTCCAGTGATTGTGTCCTCCTTGATGGTTCCAGTCAGGGGCAGACTGTCCGTGTACGCTCTCGCTAGAAGGGTACATATTTCCTTGATAGGGAGAGCAGTCGCTGTTGTCTACGAAGCTCTCAGATGGAGAAGATATCCAGTATTGGCCGTAATCGAACACGCTGGGGTCGTTGTACCTGAAGCCGTCCTGTGCGATTGAGCTAGGATGTGTTGGAGCCACCGGCGCGATAGGAGCGGTCGATGAGATAGGGTTATGCTCAATGTACTCCATGAAAAAGTCGACGTCGACTTCCTCAGTGATTGGGTAGTCGGTCTTCTTAGTTGAGGGGTTATCGGAATTCATTGTAGAGATATCAACGTCGTGTGCGATGAATCTTGCGGGTTGTAGTTGTGAATCGAAGTGGTTGAGGAGATTAATCTTTCCTTGAGAGCTCGAAATGAAACCCCAGAAATACTACCATGGAGGTACAACGCGCTAGGAGTTTGTTTGTGGCGCAAAGCAGAAGGCTCCCAACTAGGATAAAGTGGGTCGAAGGGTGAATCACGTGTTTACACACCGGCCGCTCCAAGGCGGGGGAGGGGCCATTCGAAAAGTAATCACTACAGAGCCAAGCACGAAAAATGAAGGCTACCGAAATGTGCATACAGGCGGCGAAGTCAGTACCGCGACTACGTATAAAACTCCGAGGTGTCGCGCTGTATCTGACCGGTCAACTATATAAATTCAACTGAATCAACTATAAGTAAGCCAAATCCCCTTGACGCCATCTCATACACGGTGATCTTAGCGCAGGACTCTTATCATGAACTTGATATATCTCTTTCCACGCTCGTCTTGCCGCATCCTTCCTGCCGTACCATTCGAAATACTACGAACTCGGTGAGTCGATTGCAAGACATCCCGCAAGGATCTGTGAAAGAGAAAGGGAAGTTTACTTACTTGCGGGACCGTATACGACTGCCTACCTATAAGTGTTCGAGGAATCCACGCCACTACTTGACTACTACCGCCGAGGTGCTTGCCTCAACCTACAAAACACTCCCAAATGTTGCCCTCGACAAAATCTTCCGGCAAACGCAAGGGATTCTCGAAAATCAACAATGACAACCACGCCATTCAGACAAGCATGCTCGCTTTCTCTGGGATGGCAAGCGGGAGACGACAATGCCGACTCAACTAACCCCTAGGTAGACATTCTCTGTTCACTGCCACTCCCACCAAGGCATGCCAAATGGAGCAACTAAGCGACGCAATCTCTAATAAACTTTCAACCGGATCAAAGAGCCCAAGAGAAGGAAAGTAAGACCATCCATCAGCCACTCCGTAGCAGATAAATCGGATGGTACTATATCCCTGTCGACACATATTCACTGATCTTCGCGACAAGAACTTCCTCTGGCATCTTGCTGAAGGTAGCATCTTCAGTGATGAGATCTGAAAAGGAGAGATCGAGCGATTGGATGCAATGGAGATGCGGAGCGAGCTCATCAATCTGCAGCCGCGTGTCCGCTGCAGCAGAGCAGCGCATCGCGGCATTTCGAAGAGCATTCCCTTGGACATGAGTGTACTCGAGGAAAGCTTGCGGAAGTGTGCAGCACCAGTCCTCGAAGGAAGCAAGAAGCTGCCGTGCACTAGGCTGAGTCCATGGAGGTTTGTCGTTGATTTTGAGGTGGGATCAATGCGCGCTAGCGACGGTGAGTCTGCCCCTTGTCCCTTCACAACATACAACTTCATCCGCTTCCACCAAACGTCGACAGCATCATCAACTTTGCTACTGCCGGGTTCGTTCTCTCTGCCGGTGATTCCAGACACTGGAGTGGCAATTATGTCTTCATGTGACCAACGGTCCAACCCTTTCCCGACGCTGGCTCCGATGGCTGTGCGGCCATAAAAGTCGACGGGCCACGCCCACCACCGCCACCGCGACCCTCACAATGCTACACCGAACGCGATCTTACCAAAGCTTCTCCAATTGAGATTATCGGGAACACAAGCTCAACTGACGGCATGGTACAAACACTGCCTTTCCGACGCGTCTGATGATGTCGCCATCGCCCGGGACAAACATGCCAAGGCAACATCTCCTCCTTGCCGCGCACCAGCCAGTCCATGCAAAATCATTACACTTCGAAACTTTTCGCGCCCATATTGACAGCCACTAGCATCCGACTCTTTCTTGAACATCGCGATGGCATGCCACGCCATGGTTGTGCGGCTACCGATGCCTTCGAGCCACTCAACTGGCGCAACCTAGACTGCACCTCACCGGATGAACATCCTCTAAGTAAGAGCGACTTCCAACACGAGAATATCACATTCAAGTGAAATGGAAGTACTCTCTTCCACCTTTGTTCCAGGTCTCGTTCCCGATCAAAAATGTCCACCTTCCCGCAGGGTAAGGAAGTCACATGACGCATCCCGCCTGGAACGCTCGTGCTTGGAACAACCCGGGGGGCACCTGAAAGAGAAGGAACAACATTATCTCAAGGTATTACGTCGCATAGAACGCATTGCCGCTTGCCAGTCTTGATCGACGAAGATCCGTTCGCGTCTTTACGGTATCGACTTGCGCATGCATACGCAGGACATACAACGCCTCATCAGAGAGCCGGAGAGAGCACAGAGCGAAGGTCTGGCAAGACGTTGCTTTGCCGCAACCCAAACGGTGTCTAGTCGGTTGGGCGCTCTGCCGCTGCCAGCTGCAATCGTACATACTGCCCGATCAGCGACGGCCTCGCGCATCAGTATTGTCGGCGGCCTCGCAGAGGTTCTTGAGGTATGCTATTAGCTCTTTATGTCTTTCAATTCAACAACAAGTCATTCTATGTAAGGTCATTAGTATGTTAACACATGTCACAGGCAACATCGCAAGCAGTCAAGGCTATTCACACGACGCCAACCTCGCCCAGTATTCCAGACAAGGCAGACATCACGACAGTATACACTATCGCCATGCAGCAAGTGTTGTGGGTGCTTGTAGATCAGGGCAATGGGTCGTGGGTGTAGTAAACGCTCTCAGGTTCTGAGGTGAATGTGAGAACCTTGAACGACGCTCGGACGCTTCCTACTCACGCCTGTGCTGGTCGATACACACGCAGCTCTCCCAGACAACAGGCTGCGATCACAACAACAAACCTTCGTCTCTTTCACAGAGCACAATGCCGTGCTCTCGGAACTGATATCCCCTTTGCGTACAGACCATTCGCGCTTGTCACAGGCGACCTTCAATTTCTACTTCACTCTGTCGTTGCCTGGGTAAACACTACACCATATCTACTTCAATCAGCGTCCTCTCACTAGCCAGAGAGTCAGCCCTACAGGTATAAGTGTCAGGAGACGCAGGCATTTCACCTTCCACGCCGTATAGATTCTCATCAATTCTTCCAGTAAGTTCAACCGGAACCGGAAATTACATGCTGGAACTTGCTAACATGTGTCTTAGTTGCAGCCAGTTACCGTCGAAACCGAAACCCCCCGCTGCCAGCCTCAAGCCGACAACATGACCGACCACGGCCCCGACATGGACACCCCCAAGGGTATATCCAACAAGACCCTCATGGTGATCAAGAGCCATACTGCATCTTCCTCAACCCCCGTTGGTGCTCGTGCTCTCGATCCCTTTCCCACTACCATTCCCCGCCTCGCAGATACGCGCCTGGAAAAGGTCCCCAGTGGTCTCAAGGATCCGTCTCGCCTCAAGAAAAAAACATCGAAATGTCTAGACAAGGACGAGGAGATTCCAGAGGTCGACGGCTTCCGCTTCAAGACCCTAGATGAAGCTAGGGCGCCCATGGACGTTCCTCAGTGGTATTCTCCAGAGGTCGACCCCTCCATCCCCAATACCGACGAAGAGTATCGCAAATACGTCGGGATATTGGTGCATGCTTTCAAGGACATGACCCGCGCCAAGGACACCCTGGGCAACGCTTACCGTAAGCGGCTCACTCCGGGTGAAGGTGTCTATTACCAGGATTGGGCTATTGAAGCGTGCTCTTGGGACATCGTCGGCATGGCCAAGGACATTCACCTAAATGGCTTCAAAGTCCGCATCTATGATAAGTCCATTATCGACTCTATCAGCCAGACCCAGGATTGGACCTTCGAAGAGCGTATAGAATGGATCTGTGAGGTGCTCAAGACCTCCAAGCAGATCGGCGTTACTCTGATGAAGAACGAGAAGACATGGACTACGATTGGCGCTCCCCACAAGCTGTACGGTAGCACCATCGTCAACTGCGTCTCGAATGCGCACCGCGGCCAGTGGATCAAGGCCGGCCGCGGCAACGACCAGAACCATCAGAATCGTTCGATTCGGGGTAGGCGTACAGCGGCTGAGATGATCGCGTCCGGTGACGACGATGCCACTGATGATCCTGGAGCAACCCCGGGTTTGGAGGTTATGGTACAACCGCGAGAGCCGGCTCAAAAGCGTCAGAAGCGTAGTCTCCTGGGTCAGAACGTCAAGCGTGCTGTTTCGTATAATGACGATGCGATTGTCGTTGACTCTGGAGTCGAGGCATTTCCCGTCAAGACGAAGACGGACGCTGTGAACGCCGCACAGAAGCATATCCTCGCCAAAGGCTCTGACGAGCAGCACCCTGGTGCCGTCATGGACGTCGCCTTCTCATATGTACCACCTATGAAGCCTGTTGTCGCGGTCCCCGGACAAGATGTTGGCAAGAATAGCACCGAAGCAGGTGATTTCATCGCCAAGGATGCCGAGTTGCGTGGTCATGTCTATAAGTACGCATCCAACAAGGACGCTTTCAGCAAGGGCGTATTCATCGAGGGTGCTATTGGCAAGAACGTCTTTAACGACGGCGGTGACAGCTCCTCCAAAGACAAGACCAAGAAGAAGACCAAGGACACCGGTTTCGTCAACTACCATTGCGGCACCAAGGGCATGGATGAGCTTGGCTCCAACAGCTCTGAGCTGTCCGATGCACCTGATGATCTGCTCTCTCCTGGCTCTGCTTCTCCAACTCGCAGCCACAAGCAGAAGAAGCTGCTGGACGACCCCGTTTCCAGCGAGGAGTACACCAAGCTTCGGACTGAGCTGAATGAGCTGAAAGCGATGCAATACGAGACCAGTAAGAACCTGAAGACACTGCGCGAGCAGGGCGGCTTCTCGACTGTGGAGCCTGAGGTCCGCGATGCCGCTGACATGGAGGGCGCCCGTTCGTTGGCTGCGTTCCGTGACGACTCTTGAGCAGCATGACTCTGCAGCATATCATCGCAGCAAGCATCGTAGCATGATCACACACACGTTTGGTCGTCCGAAGAACAGCATGGATGACAATTTTGCTCTGCCTTTCGGTGGAACAAGATTCGGAATGGAGATCATATGGAGATAGTTCACGGTTTGAAGGTTGAAGTAGCACATGAAGTCACGACGTTTCCAAGGTTCGACTGTAGTTCTTGATAACTTGATAACTTGATAACGTCGCGACGGATCAATTCAAATACGTTCAAAAACATATGTGCCTTGTCTGGTCTGCATGATTGAAATGAAGTCCAAATCGTATGTATGCAGGTCGGTGATACTAACCTTCCTGCGGCGGTCAATCTTAGATACGTCAGCGCTAAACTTTATCGCCAGTAACCTCGGAACCTGAGCTCCCTGCTTCGCAAGTAACGCGACGCGCAACGAAATCCGACCGCAACTATGCCTTTTATCATACCGCCAGCCTTATCGCATAGGTTTCCACCTCCACGAAGACCCTACTTAAATCATCCTTCATCGTCCGCTCCGCGCGAATTCCATACCTACACCTCCCCCGAACTACGATGACCACCCGAAGAAGAACCGAACACCTGGAAGACTTCACCGCTCACGAATGGTGTAAAGCCCTCTTCGCCGACCCCTCGATAACGCACATCCACGATCGCCGCCTGTTTGACGCCCGCGACGGCTGGAATCTGCTCTTCACACGCGGCCTCTTCACATCCGACGCGATCCGCGCGTTTCTCGACTTGTGGAAACCGGGTCATGGGAAGCGGCGGGAGGTTGTAGAACCCAACAGCATAGTCACACACACGGATACAACATGGGAGGATATCGTGCCGCGCGACAACCCGAAAGAGGCGGCCAGACAAGCAGCGAAGGAGGATATACAATACGATCTCTCCGACCCGGAAGCAGCGGAACACATCGTGTTAGTATCGCTAGCACATGATGCCGACGGGAATGTGGCGAGTCTACATGGCGGCGTTACGGCGTCGCTGCTGGATCATTGTATGGGCGGCCTTATACTCAAGTACTATGGCATTCCGAATGCGACGAGTGAGTTGCGGGTCAAGTATAAGAAGAATCTGGTAACGCCATCTGTGGTCAAGGTTAGGGCGAAGATCATGAGGGAGAAGGGGAGGTATGTTGAGGCTGTGAGCTGGGTGGAAGATGGAGTGGGTGGAGTGTTTGCGGAGGGGTGGGGCAGTTTTGTCAAGAATAGAGTGGTTATGGCGAAGATGTAGACGGTGGTGATGGAGGCGGAATATATGTGTGGAATATAAAAGGGATGGGGTGTGTATGAAGGGATGCGCTGAGGTGAATGCTTATCTTCAACTATACACAGCTTCGATGACATACATCGCACGAATCTCAAAATCAAGGCACGCACATGTTTGGATCTGAGGCGCAGCCGTCCTACGCGATTCATGCATTGGGATCAACAGTCCAGATCTTCAACACCAATCCCCATCACACCGGGGCACGCTCATCCACATCCACCACCACGGCACATTCATCACGCCAATTCAGGCTCTATCGCAGCAAACCCGATCTTGCCGACCCCTACCGCGCAACTTTCTGTGTCTTCTCGGCCTCTCCAGTATTCCTAATACCCGACGAATCACATCGCGCAACGTCGTCGCATCGCGTTTCAGATACCAACGAATCCGTTCTAGACCATCCCTTCCTAGCTGTCGATCAGGAGATTTTTGCAGAAAGCCCAGAGAAGTCTTCTTATCGACAACGCACATGCATGGCATTTGTTCATTTACACGTGCGGGTGGATAGGCCAAGGCGCATGTGTGACACCTGCTAATTTTGGGTCGGGGCACGGCGTGGGTGCCGAGTACGCTGGATGGATGAAACTAATGGCATTTTATGCGTTGTGTTGAGGCTGAGTTGTGTATTGTGGGTAGGTTGAGTGGTATCTCATTATCTTTACGCGTCAGCCCTCGTCCCTTGTCCTTCTTCCTCCCTTCGATACCTTTTCCGTCATTCTTTATTCGTCGCATCTTTTTTTGCGCAGACACTCTTTGGTTGTTTTTTATATGGTTCAGTGAACCAGTACGTTCTTTACACAAATTACATTCTTTTTTTGCTTTGATCAGCCTACGTTCAATTCTGCGAGATACCATTATACCGATTTCAAACCTTGAAAATGATACCTACCTACATCACCAAAGCCGTCGCCCTCATCGTGCAAACCGCCGCAATCCAGGCCCCACCGCCATCGCCCCCACCGCCAGCGGCTCTACTATCGTCATCAAGCACTCTCGCTGCATCGCTCAAAGTCTCATTCCCAAACCCCGGTCTAGCACTCCTTCCCCAACCATACTGGTGGTGGCAATCTGGCACCGCAGTCGAAGCGCTCCTAACCTACGGCTCCACCACCGGCGACCTCCAGTATGAAGACTTGCTCAAAACCACCATCCTGAGTCAAGCGACCCCCGCAAACGACTTCATGACCATCGATGCAACCGGCAACGACGATCAAGCGTGGTGGGGCCTCGCCGCTATAACAGCCGCCGAGATGGAACTCCCGCAACAAGGAGCCGTCGCCTGGGTTGACCTCGCAAAGAACGTCTTCGACCAGCAAAAACAGCGTTGGATCGATGGCAACAACACATGTGGTGGTGGCCTGCGCTGGAAAGTAGATTTCGGCGAAGACGGCCAGAACGGCTGGCACTACAAGAACGCCATTACAAACGGACTCTTCTTCCAACTCGCCGCCCGCATCGCGCAACTTACGAAGGATGCTGAAATCCTATCCTGGGCGGAGAAAACATATGCTTGGAGTACAAAGGTCGGACTTGTGGACCAAGATTTCAATGTCTACGACGGCACGAGTGAAGACAACGGATGTTCAGATCTAAACCACAACATGTGGAGTTACAACGTGGGCGTTTACATGTACGGCGCTGCAGTCATGGCTGTGCACACCAAAGACGAGAAGTGGACGGAGAGAACACGCGGATTTGTCGCTTCCTCGAAGAGGAACTTTGTAAATACCGATACTGGCGCGCTTTTTGAGAGCAAGTGTGAAGCAAAGGATGCTGAAGAGCCGTGTGACACCGATCAAGTCTCTTTCAAAGGGCTGTTGGCACGCTGGTTGGGTGCTACGGCTGTGCTGTTGCCGCAGGTCAAGGAGGACGTGGAGAAGATTGTTAATCCAGCGGCGAATGCGGTGCACAATGGGAGCATTCTGAACTTGGGGCCTATTGAGAGTGCGTATGCGCTTGAGGTCGTTGATGCGAGTTTGAGGATGCAGGGGTTGGGTGGGGAAGGGACGATTGGAGTTGGCAAGAGCAGGATGGCGAGGAGTGTTGCGGGGAGGATAGCGTGGTGATGTAAGAAATTGATTGCAGATACCCTGATAGATTTGCTTTTTCCGACATGAGGCCGTTCTCTATCGCAATCACATCGTGTCGCGCACACTACCACCATTCCAAAAACATCTCCACGAACATGCATCTGCCGGATTAACCCCTGCTTTTAGCGTCATCGCAATCGTATCGCGGCCGATCTCATCTTCGATTTGCGGGTGCGCTATCTACGCGGCTCGATGTTCCAGTTCCCTGGGGAAGCTAACGGCGTGGCTTGCAGCCCCTCAACACCAATGGAGCTATTAAAGCTCTCATAATGACGTCGCAGGTACGGAAGCACGGAAGCTTGCCAGGAACGTCAACAAACATCATTTAAGATACGGTCTCGCGCGTCCATTGACCTCTCATCTTATCGCGCAATTGTTGCTTTGTTGTTGTGCAATTGACTGGTAACGACATCATGCCTTCTATAAACTCGACTGTAAGTTATTCCAGGAGATAGAACAGTTAGGCAGGCAGGAGCTGACTGATAGGTGCAGGTATTCCATGCGTATGCCTATGGCACAGCATTCTGGTACGCCCTGCGTGGCTTCTGTCGCGTGTACGACCCCATCATGGTCATCGGCTGTACGTTACCTTGAGTCTCCAACCTTCCTACCCCGCTCTTCAAAGCCTCAATCCCCTGATGTTCACTCTCTATTCCAAGACTAATACCAACACAGGGTTCCGGCCTCCATCGCAACTAAACCTCGCTCCCAACGATCTCGAGGCCTACAACGTCCGCAACGACGGCTGGTGTCTCGTCACCCTCGCGCTCATCCTCGTCTCCTTCACCAACGCCATACCCTTCAACTCTGCGCCCGCAACGAAACTTACTACCATTCCATATGCAAAGGCGGTGGTAGCTGCGACGGTGTTTCATCATATCACGACGGGCATTGGCGCATACCAGCATTACAAGATGCCGAGTCATTACAATACTAGTATGAGCATTGGGGTGTGGGGTAATGTGTGGTTGACGTTGACCGGACTGTTTACGTTGGCGATGTTACAAAGTGATAAGGGAACGATGCCTGTCGAGGAGGTAACTAAGAAAGTGAGATAGGCGCTGAGGAATGGGATGGGAGGATAGAGGGTGGAAATGCAGTGAGAAAGAGATATTGATGGGAAGTTCGAAGACGAGGAGGCATGGAAGAGAAATGCCGTACAGTCTAAGCATGAGCAATTGCGACTGTAACGTATTATGGGAACGAGCGACAGGATACGTATCTAAAAGAGGGAAAGTTGTTCAATCATCACTATCCAAAACCTGTGCACTTATGCCGAGCTAGTCGTCGCCTCATCTAAAGCAAGGTGACTTCCAAGTCTCGGAACGTCTCTCGAACGTCCAAATACCCTCTCTTCCCTTTCAATTCCACCTCCACTTCGACCTCACTATCCCTCAAAACCCTGCGAACCTATACCTGGGCCATCCTCCAAACCCACTCACATACCCGCGAAAGTTCCAACCCTGTCTCGTCATCATACACGGCGTACAATAGGCATTACGTCGAAAATCGAATTGATTCTGCTCGCGGCACCTTCTGGACTGGCGATAAGGGATACCGGGTCGATTGAAGTAGCGTGGGTCGTTGATCTGGTTTAGACTGGAGCGGAAGTGTTGGCAGGGTGGAGCTTGGATGTATTCAGAGTGGGCGCAGCGTTCGTAGTGGCGGTAGATGTCTCGGCACATGGCGTTGGGTGGGCCTAGGTAGTGGGAGTGGAGTTGAATTGACTTCGAAAATTTGGGCAGGATAATTTGGTTTAAATCAGGAGGGTCGATGTATCGTAAAGAGCTCATTTCAGTGCCTTGCTAGAAGACTGCGAAAGTCCCACCGTATCTCCCCTCTTATACCCATCCTTCCATGTTGCGATCGTCCAACACACTCATGTTGAATCTCACGGGAGCCAACGGTTGACCGCGGGGAAGTCGGGCAGTAGTCTTGAGGCAAATCCTCGCAATGTATGAACAGCGCGGAGTTATTTCATAACACCCTCCTGCTGCCTCCCACCGGTGAAGAGTATACGTACCGAACAATGTGTGGCTTCATCGAACCTTGGAATGCAGGTTACTCTGTTCGCAGCGAATGTACACCCTTACCGTGAGGCATAAAAACTAGCGCAAACGTCTTTTGCGAAGCCACATGGCAGAGTCTCCAAACTGTTCGATGTGAGAGGACAATCTGCCGGACTGTTGGGGGCAAATCGGAATGAAGCCGTGGCACGCCATGTGTATAAAGTAATCCGGAGAAACTTGCTCAGCCTTACGTAGATTGACCCAGTTCCCCGGTTCTGGAGGGCGGGTGCGATTGACGGGTGCGAATGGTCTGGAAGTTCATCGTGTTGTGATCCCGCTGGTCTAGACTTAATGGCTTTGGACGTAGTACAGATGACGAGTAAGTTTGCTGTCTGAGCCAACGAATCTTGACGAAGGTAACGGTAGTATCCGGGCCGTGACCCAAGTGGAAAGGGGCGTTCGGTATATTGTCACAATGAACAGCGTTGCGTCATCTCATAATCGTAGTTGCCCGCAAAGGTCGATGTGGATACCTCTCCCAGCCTACGTGCATCGAAGCTGGAGGTGATGCGAGATGCTCGGCGTCTGGGTAGAGAGCGTTGCATGGAACAGTATAGAAAGCCGTCAATGTCTCTGCCGAGGTTGTGGATGTCACGTTGAGGTCGCCTGACTTTGGACGTGGAAGTTAGAACACGTGGTTGCACGTGAAGCCAGTGCCACAAGCTCGTGGTAGTGAAAACGTGAAGTGAGGCAGTCACGATCGGTGAGAAGACAAGACGCAATTGAGGTGAAAAACTTGTGATATGTTTTTTATTGATGAACGCCTGACCAACCCACCTGGGTATAGGTCTTGAAATGCTAGCTAAAACGCCGATATGTATGCAAGGGGTATCGCTGAATGTAAAATCAAAAATAACCTCCCAACCTTCATGATCATGCAATCGTTTTCATGCAGTCATCATCATGTGTGTCCGTCATCAGTACCTGTGGCCTGCCACTGGAGAGCGCAGTATGTATGTAACAGAAGAAAATGCTGAAATGCAATAAGAGAGTCGAGTACAGGCGGCTTCCGCAATCTAGAGACCCCTAAACTTGGCACCGTTCCTATGGTAGATGCTGTGCACTGCACGAGGAGTGATAGCCGGAGGAGTGATTGCTGGGGCAGTGGGTGTAGTTGGAACAGGTGCTGTTGGAGCAGGCGCTGTGACAGTAACCATGACGGTGTCAGTAATGGTGACGACGCCATTGTTGCCAGCTGGTGGTGTTGGTGCAGCACCGGGGCGACCTGAGAGTGTTGGGATCTCCATAGTAGCGCTGGAGGCTGCGGAGTTGCTGGGAGATGGCAACTGGCCGGTAGCGGAAGGAACGATGACAGAAACTGGAGGAGAGTTGCTAGGGGCTGGAGGTGCACCGCTTGGAGCGGGAACAGCGCTGGTAGTGACTGGAGGTGTAGCGCCGGCGGGAGGAGTGCTGTTGGTGGGGAAAGGAGCTTCGCCGCCAGAGCCAGAGCCGGAACCTCCACCTGGTAGTGAAATCTCGGTCAAGATAGGGAAGTCCCACTCGCCCTTGGCAAGATCGGTCAGGATAGCGGTTCGCGAGGCGAAGTCGGATACGGCGGCTGTTCCTGCATCTTGCTGGACAAGAGCGAACTTAGGCGAAGCATCGGCGGACAGGGCAACATCCGGGGATGTAACGTCGACGTCCATGCAAGTGGTGTACCATTCGTTCTTGCCCTTTGGAAGACCGTCGTCACCACCCTCCTTCACGCCACCAGGCCTAGTGTTCCACTGCCATGTCCAGTACAGGGTGTATGGCTTTCCAAGCTCAGCGCTCTCCGGAATCTGGACATTTGTTTCACAGAACTGCGCGTAGTTGCCAGGTTGGCCTTCGACAGCCTGACCGAAAGCATAGGCCGGAAACTTCTTTGAACGTTCCTTGTAGGTAGGCGTGTCGTTCTTCTCGTAGCATCGACCGTCGTTGTAGTTGTTCACGGCAAGCAGCTTGCCACGTTTGTCTCCGCCACTACCATCTTTGGTCCACTCCATGACTGTGGAAATCTTCTCGTCCTCCTTCGGTTCAGTAGTGCCGTACACGAATATAGTGCCACCCGCCTCGACAGGTGGCTTGCCCAGCATGTGACCAGCAGGCTCGGTGACGTGACCATTTTCCATATACCGCAGCGCGACAAAGCCACCAGGCGGCGCTTGCAGACGCGGATACTTGTCTTGAGACTGGACCGGTTTTGTTTGAGAAGGGTGACATAGCGCCGTTTTCTTGCTGATGTAAGCGCCCTCTGTTAGAGGAGGAACTAGATAGTTCATGGAATCTCCGTTGTATCCGTTGTCGGTCTTTGCGACGTAGCCTCGGGGGTATCCGTATTGGCCGACGTATTCACCCTTATCGTTGATGTTGCGCATTTGCTCGATCCAACTGTGGCCCATAGCGACAGGGAAGGCGACGAGCGCGGCGGTGAGAGTTCTCCGTATGCTAGGCATCTTGATGTGTGTTGTAGTGTAGAAAGCGAAATCTTGCCCTGCAAGAGTAAGGTGTGGGATGGTCGGTGCCGGATGTCTTATCAACTTCTGGCGATACGTATATCCTGACGTGAGTGTTGTTGTCAAAAGCGGGACAACTGGGAATTGGTGTATAGGAAATTATATCGTGACGAAAAGTGAAGTATCGGCTTGGCGGGCACTGTGAGTGGTCGCGCCGTCAATAGTCGTGTGACTCGATCCGTCTTCACCTCGCACGTAACGATGCTATTGTTCAATGACAATAGTACCGGACCTTGTGAACGACGCACTGCGCGCTCTAGGCTACAAGAAAATAAGAAATGCAAGAGAAGAAGTGAAGACGCACAAGCCGGATGTGAACACAAACTGCATTATCACGCGGCCATAGTCCTTTATTCAGGCGGGTGGAGGTGGTGAGACAGACGCTGTTGAGCGTTGTAAAATCTCCGGCCTAGAAGGGAAGAAGCGACAGGAGCCAATAGAGAAGGAGACACACGAGGTATCGAAACACAGCGCCACTCCACGCGACGCCGCACGCAAGCTTTCGAGCCTGACTGTGTGGGTGTAGGATGTGTGTTTCAACGCTGGCCGGTGCTGTAGCCGCCAGCCATGGCTTTCCCGTCCCGCAGCGTGGTCGCGGCGTAGCGCGCTCTTGCTGCAGCCTCCCGTACTCTCCGGCGCGAAGATCGGCCTCTGGTAGTCGGTAGTTGGCAATACATGCGCATGGCAGGGCTGCGCTAGCCATCCTCAGACATGCAGAGGGGCCGTTGAGTGTCAGAGGACCGTGTGCCGTTGATCTACGACACAACGACGGCAGCTAGGCATCATCTAGATCGATGGGATTTCGGTGAGATGGGTTGGAATAACGAGAGCCAGTGATTGCAATACTGTGAAGCCTTTTGCATCGCCCACCATCGTGAACCCACAAGGCGCGTGACGCGTACGAAATCACAAAGCGGGTAGCTAAAGAAACACCCGAATTGCCAGAGAGCGAGTCTAGAGCCACCGGACGACAGGTGAATGTGTGCCGGTGCAGCGCTTCGAGAAGGAAGGTGAACCCGCAAGCGACGGGTGGTGGGGTGAAGGTAGTTTGGTGGAGGCTCCGCTCTGTTTCAGGTCAGAGCGCACGCGGGCGTTGATTGGTCATCGGCCGCCACGCTAGGCTTCAACCTAGGAAATAGAGATATCGCCTGATTGGAGCGCATTTCTCCATTTCACGATGCCTGCCAGCTAGTCTTTTCCCACGACCAGATTGACGCCCATCCAGTCTCTATATTTGACAAGCGAGATTCCAGACACCTGGCCAGCTTCATGCGTCTTTTTTTCTTTTCCGATGCCGAGCACAGGCTGCGAGATGAGATGTTTATTGCGGTACCCTCTCATCCATACAGGCACACTGCTATCGCTCCCTCGTGTTTCATCGATAAGGGAAACGGCGGGGCGCGGAACAGCCCTGAGGCAAAGCAAACGGCAAAAACGGGGGCCTGGCCAGCATCCCCGCCTGTCAAACGGCTCGCAGATTACAGGAACCAAACCCGAGGCTAACCACGTCGGATATCCTTAGCAGGTGACCTCGTGCGGTGGCTACCCAAACCTAAAGACTGAGATGTGTCTTCTGGAAGGTGCCATTTCATCTCTCACAATGTCCTTACATGTCGAAATGTTATTGCAAACACGTCTCGACTTTGGGGTTTCGAGGTTGGCCATGTAGCGCTTCGACAGGTGATGCCTGTAGGATTCATCAGTTTCCAAGTACAGTGGCAAATTGATGTGGGTAGCATCTTCACGCCGTTGACGTTGAGACCGTCTAAAACTCGATCAAATATGCTCACGCAAACAGCCATCTGCTGTCTTGGCAGGCAACATGCGATAGCATACGAATGGCTAGTTGAGTGATGGGCACCACAGACGTGAAGAGCTCGTCTATCACTACGACAGCCTCGTATAAGCACTCCAACAAGACGCTGTAGCAACAATAAGCTGCCGTCAAGACTAAAAATACACAACTGCCACGCTCGGAAACATATCAAGAGTGGAAACTACGATTATAGCTCGTCGAATCTAGCTGCTTTAACTACTTGAACATGTGCCAATACACACTCGTCATGTACACGTGTGCTCATACGCCCCGCAAAGGAACCTCTTGATTGCCAGCAAGTCTAACGTCGTCGCCAAATCGCTTTAGTCTCTGCAGCCGCGCGCAGTCAAACATCATCGAAGTGCGATACGAGAAATCTTGCAATGCGTGTATACTGAGAGAGCACCAGGAAGCGAGGACGGAAGAAGTTGGGACACGGAGAGAGGAGGGCAGACAGTAAACTCACGAGGAGTAGTGAGTGAGGAAAGAGGAGCATCCTTGATCAAGCTAGCGTCCTTTGGCACAACCTATGGGGATACAAACGCACCCTGGACGCTTTTCTTTGCAACCACAACATCCTCACTACCTACTTCTATCAATTTTACCATCTACACATTACCATACCATCCACATCTACAACAATGCCGTCAAACGCCGCCCCATATGCGCCATCTCAGCTCGATGCGATGCTAAAGCGCGCCCGTGATGCCGCAGTACGCGCCCATGATGCCCAGTTGCGCGTCATCAACGGGGGGCGAGCAATGCTAGACGCGCGAGAATACGCGCACGACGCTGAGCGCCGACGCCTGGCTATCGAAGCCGAGAACGCGGCACTGAAGCAAGAAATTCTCAATTCAGAGCGGCGCTTGGAGCTGGCGCAGCTAGCAAAGCTAGAGCAGGTACACCTAGAGGACAATTTGAAGAAGTTGGATAAGTTGGAGAAGGACATTGTGGTCTACGAGCAACGTGAGGAGGAAACACAGTGAAGTATGAGTAGCGTGGAATCTGTTGAATATGATCTAGACCGCTAACGCGTTCAGGCTCGACAAGACACGTATTACGAGGAAGAGGAAAGGAACCAACACGTACAATGCAATCCGTCAAGGGGACTATTTACACGGGAGGGATGGATAATGCGGCGAAGTAGGCCGTAACTGTCCAAAACATTTCACAGCATCACGATAATGCTCTACATGCATTCAAGTACCTTCTCGCACCATCACCTCCTTGACATGTGAATACTTCCCGTCGTTCACATGGGCTCTTGCATAATTCGATAACTACACTATGCACGACTCCTCCCCACTTGCTCCCCTGCACCACCAATCGCCTAGTAATACGCACCGCCACTTCCCAGACATAAATCATGCCAACTCTCAATATCAAACCAGCAAACTGTATCTGCGCTGCGACTATCCACTCCTTCTCCTGCCACTGCCACAGACATAACTACACTGTTACTTGCCCAGAATCAGCTCGCCATCATCGCCCAGCAATCGTAGGCGTCGAGCTACATTTGAAGCCGTGCGACACATGTGCAGAAAGACTGGGGGATGTTGAGGGAGCTTGGCGTGAGAGGCGAGGGATATGTCCGTCTGAGCATGTTGAGAGTGAGGGAGAGGTAGAGGTAGAAGAGGCAGAAAGCTCCGGGTCAGAGGAGGACGAGGAAGCAGTTTCGATTGTGACTGAACACTACAGGAGCACCGCATGCAAAGAAAAGACCCTATATCCAAGTACAGCAGGAAACGCAATAGCAACCCAAAAGTCTACATCCCGACAAGAATTTACAAACTTTGATTTTAATACCGATGTAGGCTCCAGGGTGTTTAGTCTACCTTCAATGGGGTGAAAGATGTGTGTGTGGCACGCCAATGCAGTGTCGTCAGCAACCCATGGTACCACGTCGCAAATTGCGCGCACATTACCAATGTATGCTTCAAACTCAGCGATAACTTGTACAACCTCACAAAACCCCCTCTTCTACTCAACGATGCATGTCTATGTCTCCCGCATGGGCACAGCGACGCATCTGTCTTATAAGATACCAACATACACCCGCTTTGCGATATACTGCTTCCTGTGCCTGTTATCAGTAGCCATCTTTCAGATCCGACCTGCTGGAAATACCGATATCGCTGTTCAGTTACTTTGGATGACAATTCCCTTCATCTTCACCTTAATCTTCTATACTGTCAACGATCACAGCAGCGATGGAAGTCCAAGATATGTGGATCCAAGTCCGCCGTCGTCATACACAATACCATTATCAATATCTCTCGTTCTCCTCGGTCAAATCGCAATATGGACGCGAACCTACCTCGGCGTCCCTTCAACCTTCGCCACACCTAATGGCGCAGACGTCCAAGCATGCAGCCTCCATTTCGCAATGTCCTTCTGGATACTCTCCGAGTGCGAGTACATGCGCTTATACTACTGGCACGCTCGCCTCCGAGACCGCCCTTTCAATCTCATCACACTCAGCGACTCCATAGCCTCAGCAAGTTTCGACTGGACCTTCACGGTATCTCGAGACTGTTGCAGCTACCGGGTGCCATGCCAAGTCAACATGCCACCGCGAAACGGGTGGTGGTCACTGGAAGCACTCTTTGGAGTTCCGCTCGACTTCTTCTATATCATAGCCTTCACATGGGTGGGAATGGTCTGCCTCGTTTATCCGGTCAAGCGTTTCGCGAATCCCGATCCTGATGGCGATACATTTCCCATCAGATACGCGCTCGTGGAAGTGTTCTTCACACCACGGTCGTACTTTTTTAACTGGCTTGATATTATACTCCAGCGGCCGGTCAGGCTGGTCAACAGGATGCTGTTCGAATTGGTTGCGCAGGGTTTGAAGAGAGCTTTGGGTCGGTGGAGGCGCCGTGGTGTACGCGGAAAGGTTAATAGAATCGACCTCGGGAGTACGAGTGAGGCACCCGCGTTGTACATCCCTCGCACCGATATGTCTGACCTCTGGGTGAATAGCGAAGAGATTGCCTGGTGGGCGGTATCTCGTCAGCTCTACGAAACGCCCTGGAATGACTGAGATACCTCAAATCACGATGGAATTCTCCCGAACGATATCTCCCTCAGCCTTGCAGGGGCTCTTCAGCCCCTTTGTCGCATACCTAGGTATCTCCGCCAACGTCACGTCGGCTCGCACTCGCTCGTCAGTTACGACAACTATTCGAACGTCCTGAATATGAGCCAAGCCTTCAGTATATGTAGCTGCGAGTGGCTATAGAGGGACACGAGCAAAACGAGAAGGGCCATGGTCAATACGCGAAGTACCTGGCGTTTGCACTTCGCTGTTACTGAAGGAGCAGGCTGAGCTTCGGGTCGAAATCTCGAGGAGAATTGGATCGAGAAGAGAGCGAATTGGAAATTACAAAGGATGACAGCGCCTTAGGGGAGCTCAGGAATTTCTATCGTGGTTTCTTTTGTCATACATGGTTGCCGTGGTCGCCCCTTCCTTGCTTAGTCAAATACTTCACGATAGCACTCATGATAGCAGGCGCGTTGGGTCTACAAGCGCCACAGCTGCGCCATTCAACACACTGTAAGCAAATATCTTTTTTGGAATAAATGGCGATCGCTTTATAATCGTGCGCATGGATCATAAGTAGATTAGTGTAGATTGTCGAGATGTAAGTGAAGGTGGCGTTTCTCGACGATTCCTTGGCGGCACTGAGCTTTGTCAGCCACTAGCGTCCGCGACATTCAGCCTAGCTTCGAGCTCCGCGCATCGCGACATTTTCCCAACACCGCGCGCGCGACAACCTCACACACCACACCATCGCCGTCCACCTGCCAAAGCCGTCGCGAGCCCCATATACCTCATTCAACACCCCGCACAACCTTCACCATGGCCAACTACCTCGCCTCCATCTTCGGAACGGAGCAAGACAAAGTCAACTGCTCCTTCTACTACAAGATCGGCGCGTGCCGCCACGGCGACCGCTGCTCGCGCAAACACGTCAAGCCCTCGTACTCGCAGACGATTCTGCTGCCGAACCTCTACCAGAACCCCGCGTACGATCCCAAGAACAAGATGAACCCGCAGCAGATGCAGATGCACTTTGATGCGTTTTACGAGGATATCTGGTGCGAGCTGTGCCAATATGGACTGGTGGAGGAGTTGGTGGTTTGTGATAACAACAATGATCGTATGTCTCTCTTATCGTCCCCTTACCCTTCCCATTAGAAGTAGAAGAAACTTGCTAACGCAACCTTACAGACCTCATCGGCAACGTCTACGTGCGCTTCAAGTACGAAGAAGACGCGCAAAAAGCATGCGACGCGCTCAACTCGCGCTGGTACGCCGGCCGCCCCATCTACTGCGAACTCTCACCCGTCACGGATTTCCGCGAGGCCTGCTGTCGCCTTAACAGCGGCGAGGGCTGTGTCCGCGGCGGCTTCTGCAACTTTATTCATCGCAAGGAACCGAGTGCCGAGTTGGACCGCGAGTTGGACATGTGCACCCGCAAGTGGTTGAAGGAGAGAGGTCGGGACGCCAGGAGTATGAGCAGGAGTCCTACGCCGCCTGCGACGAAGGGTAGATTCTAGAGGAGATCTTCGGCCTCGGCTGAGGTGTGCCTGGAGAATGGGGATGTATGAGTGTGAAAGAGAAAGGAGTTTTGGCGTTGGACATGCTCGCGCTGTTTGGGACTGAGATATCCGTTGCGGGCATGGCTTTGCAGATTGGCATTTGTATTATAGGCTGGGAAAACATGCTGAAAATATGTTGAAAAAATGCTGAAAGTGAATGATGCGCTGGACTAGATACGTAAAAGCATTCTTGTCAGTTCACATCAGTCTCTCCCTACTACCAGGTCATGCTCAAGTGATGCGCAACACCGATGGGATTTCGCAACCGAAGGAATCTACCCTTGAAGAAGTGGAAATGATGCCTAAGCAGAGCTGACAATGCGGTTTACTCAAACCAAAGCTCCCTCAATACATCGTTGGCTTCCACATTCAGGCGACTCTTGCAAGTCAAGGCACGTACGCGCAACATGTTGAAGTTTTGTCAAGAAAAAGAAGCAGATATCGCATTGGTGGCCACGTAGGACCTGGTATCATCTGAAAGTATAAACATCGAAAAGAAAGAAGCCGCGGATAGCAGGAACGAGCATCCAAATGCCCAAACCACCAGCCCAATCCAACCCTGAATAAAAAGACATTAAACGCCCCCATACACTCCGTCTATCCCAAAACACACTCATATATACACCGTTCCTTCATCCCTCCCATCCCCTCTCATTCTCAAATGATCTTATGCTGTTTCAATATAATAATCGCAACAACCACACCGGCAACAAGCATCAGGAAGCAAATCCAGAAACACCAGCAAATCCACGTCCGCTGCTTCGCTTTGCGCTGCTGACTAGCGAGCCACGAGTCTCTGTGTGACGCGTCAGCCGTGATGGTCGTGGTGAAGTGGAAGCGGGATTGTGGGCGTCCGGAGAGGTGGCTGAGAGAGAGGGTGGAGAGGTTGGGGGTGCGGAAGAAGGAGTGTGGGCGAGATGTTGATCGGGGTGGGTGTGTGGGGGATGAGGGGAGGGGGGAGAATGGCGGTTGGTAGGCGCTTTGTGTGGTGGTAGAGGTGAGCTCTTGGATGGAGATGGAGGGGCGGAGTAACGGTTTCGTGGACGGCGTCTTCTGCAGTTTGGAGCGAGGTCTCTCTTTCTTTTTCTCCTTCTCCTTCTGCACCGTGTGCGTATTCATTCCGCCCGAAAAGATCTCCACAGACAATGGCGATAACGAATTCGAAGCGGCGTAGGATGACCGTGTGGATTGCAGTTGGACCATGGGCGGGGATGTGATGGGTAGGTGTGTTTGGGAAGTGGGTGATCCAAGGGGAGGGGATAGGGAACTGCTGACGTACGATTGCTTGGTGTCCTGGGGGTGGTTGATCTTTTCCAGGTCGTCTTGGTGGACGGCTACGCTGAAGCGTTTCCAGAATTGGGGGTCGCGGACCATGTTGAAAGGTGCGTGGAGGATGGGTGGATTGAGGTAGCGAGGGTACGTAGGAGATGGCGAGTTAATGCGGTGTGGTGGGCATGTACGTTGGAGGTGGTGATGGAAGTAGTGGTAATGGAAGTAATGACTTTGTTGCCGTCAAAGTATATGTACTCGTAGTAGGAGTGGTAGTGCCGATGGTATAGGTTGATGAAAACAATCGATGTTGATGTAAAAGGCAACAGTCGACTATTAACTTCTGTCGAACTTCCCACTAGCACGAGCGTTACGACACCAAACGACAGATGCACGATGTCGCACAGCAACACGCGAGATTGTTGTGGGTATGCAGATTGGAAAGGGTCCAGCAGAGCCAGGAAACCGCCGCGTGTGTAGTGAATGACACAAGGTAAACCTTAAGTCGGAGTAGTTGATCGACGATGGTTTGGCGAACGGAAGGTGACGTCGTATACAAACAGACAAGGAGCGGCAGTAGTTGGAGATCAGAAGAAGATCAAGGCGATCGTTTACAGTACTTCGTAGGTGCAGCACTTCAAGGCGCAGTCGTGACGTGAAAGAAAAGTAGTTGTTAAGGCGAGAAAGAGGAAACCACCATACTTAACACCTGCCTGTCTATACAGGCCCCTAAAACAACAGCCGATGGGGCCCTGCACCCATGTGATGTAACACTGCTTGCCTAGACTCTCATGTCCAGGTGTCAAAGCAGGACTGCGATATTGTCGTGCGAAGGGGCGACCGGTGTGGTGGTTTTCGTTGGTTTCGAGGTTCGGCCTTGCGGGTTGGGTGTGGCCAATAGGGAGGCGCAAGGCGGATGGCATCCCTGTAGGCCATCACGCTGGACACATGGCGCCGATGGCGGCAAGGCGCGGGAAATTGGAGAGAGGGTACTTAAGACGGGGGATGCCTGATTGATTGGTAAGGCCATGAGGCTGTTTGATTGCGTGCATGCGGCTCTTCGAGGCTGAGAACAGGTCTACTCTACATGCTTGGGCGGTGTGTTCAGCTCCAGCATCGTCGCACTCCTTACTATTACCACGTCTGCGTGGTCGGGAGTCATCGAAAACTACATCGCCGGATCGTCTCACCTTCCGTCTTGACGATGCTTGAAACAAGGCGCTATACGCAAAACATGGCTTGACATGGCTTGACATGGCTTGACAACGGCCTTGCAGCCTCAGCGCGGTCCCACCCGCTGTTTCTGTCGTTCAACATGCCTAGGGCTCACCGCTAGGGTTCCCTAGACTGGCAGCTCATCATCCCTGCTGCGCAATCCCAAACCTTGTCATCCCAATCTTGTACGACTACGCAATTGTTTACATTCCTATTTCCCGGAATTAGCTGCTGCACAAGGATGCCACACGAGGAGCTGCCGTTCTGGCTCGTCAACGTGCCTCGAGATCAATGGCCGAGCGAGTGTCCCGACTTCCTAAGGGACATTAGTGACAAAGACAAGGGCATCATCGGGACGCCTGACGAGGAGTACAGGGTGTTGTCGTGGGACGAGGTGCGGGCTATAGTGGGTGAGATTGATGAAGATGCGACACGCGATAAGCGAAACGCTGATGGCAGTGGGTAGATAGCAACCGGGTAGACAAGTTTCATCGCTTGCCAAGTGAGTTGAGGCGGTACCGGCAGTTTACGCATCGGCTGGAGAGGGACTATGGCAGTATCATGAACTTCATTGTCAACGAGCGGCTGAAGTGGGGAAGCATGGAGCCGGAGGGCGAGCCGTTCCAATTTGATGGTGCGTTCGACATTCACCTTACCCGTCTTGACATGACATTTACCCGCGCAGAGGACATCAAGATCCTGTACAACGACTGGCCGTATGGTATTGATGCCGACATTGTCCATCTCGTCGTGTGGACCAAGTTTGAACTCGACGACGACCCCGACACTGGACTCTCTACGGCAGAATCACACAAACAGATTGATGAGTATGTGCAAAAGACGTTTGCTCCCAAAGTCAAAGAGCTGGTCTGGTTCAAGAATTGGAAGAGCCTGAAGAGTGTGCATGCAGTCGAGCACTTTCACGTCATGCTGTACAGGCCGGACACAGCGTTTTTGAAGGAGGTCACCAACGGCGACGTTCCGATGACTGAGAAGTTTGAGTAGGTGACGGAGGATTTAGCAGGCTCGCGGGGTATTCCAGACGGCGGCGGGATATTTGAAAGCCACGGGGTATTTCAAGGAAGTTGGCAGTTGTCCTGTAGACACACTCGCGCGTCATAGAAACATAGAAGCGCATCAACGGAATGTTTATTAGATTGATAGCGACGTTTGTAGAAATGCACAATCTGTTATTGATACCACCAGAAGTATTCACGAATTCCAGCCTTGTTCTGGCTGATCCCCTGAAGATCATCCGGTTGTTGGGACTGATTGGAGCGTCATCCAGTGGCGTACGTGGCGCAAACTGCAAACTCCGCGTGGCGCAACTTCGCCGTGCATAACCAGCAACCGTCAACCATCAACAACGGCCTACTCTCCTTTGACCCAAGTACGCTGAGCTGTCGCGCGGACTAGAACTCGAAGAATGCTAGGCGCATATTCCTGCAGGACCCTCTGCTATCTGTCGCCTATCGTCGAATTACAATCGCGCGCCGGACGGGGAGCCAAAGCGGTGAGAGGCTGTCGGGTCTAGCGCGGACAAAAAAGTCGCGGGACGGCAAGGGGCCTCCTCCACATTTCAGTCTGGTCGGCACCGAGTGTCGTGAGCACCGCCTCTACTCCCCCTCTTTCTTTCCTTACTTTTTGACTCTGCGCGTCTGACGGTGTGTTGCGACGCCAATTGCGGGTTTCGGTATCGCAGAGGTCCAAAATTGGAGACTCGACGGACTCTTAATAGCACACCGACCACGGAGAGTGCACGAGGTACGCCGCAAGAACGAATATCCGGCGTGAATGTACTGACACGCAAAAAGGCCTTTTGACATAGTCACACGCGAGACTCGCATCCAATCCCCCTCCACGCTGCGCACAGCCACCCTACGCGTCATCCCATGCGAGCGCCTCTCTAGAAGCCCTCACGCCCACTGAATCAACTTCAGTGGAAACACCTCACCATGCTCGGATACCTCACCAGCCGCTGGCAGGGCGAGCAGAAGAAGACGGGCCCCGCCTGGTTCGACCGCCACTTCAACCCCATCCTGCTCTCCGTCGCGAAGAAGGCATGCACGCATCCAATCCACACCATTGTCACCATTGCCTTTGTGGCCAGCTACTCATATCTGGGCGTTCTCGACAAGGGCCTGCTGGAAAGTGGCATTGAGGAAGTGTCGAGCCGCGTCGACTTCACCACTCTTCTGGCCGGCAGCAAGAGACTCAGGATTGGCGAAGAGACATCATGGCAGTGGGAGGCTGAGGAGCCCAAGACTGCCATCTACAAGGATAAGGTAAGAATATATATTCGTAGGGTTTGAGATATCCAGCTAACAAATCAGACCGCCCAGGAACTCGCCCTCGTCACCCTCGTCTTCCCCGAATCGAGCACCATCAACTCGGCGCCCTCGCAGCAATCCGTCCCCAGCAATGTCTCCGCCGAGCTCCTCCCCAGCTCCTCCAGCTCCTTCTCTACCTTCTCCCACGACACGTCGCTCGCATTCTCCATCCCCTACACCGAAGCCGCCGACTTTCTCCAGGCCATGCAGGAGATTTCTGCGCCCGAAGATGCTGCCCAGTCGCAGGGCTCTGAGCAGGAAGGCACACGCGAGGAGAAGAAGTGGATGATGAAGGCCTCCAAGAACGGCAGTGCGCCTGGAGGTGTACGCAACTGGATACTGGACTCGTGGACGTCTTTCGTGGATCTTCTCAAGGTATGTTGTTTGGCGATTCGACGTGAATCTGGCTAACTTCGATAGAACGCGGATACCGGTGATATCGTCATCATGGCCCTCGGATACCTCGCCATGCACCTGACCTTCGTCTCTCTCTTCCTCGCCATGAGGCGCCTGGGATCCAACTTCTGGCTGGCCACCGCAGTTCTCCTGCAGTCCGCCTTTGCCTTCCTCTTCGGTCTCGCTGTTACAACCTACCTCGGTGTCCCCATCAACCTGATCCTGCTTTCCGAGGGCCTCCCATTCCTCGTCGTCATTATCGGGTTCGAGAAGCCCATTGTCCTCACCAAGGCCGTGCTCTCTGCGTCCCTGGATGGCCGACGGGCGGCTGAAGAGAAGCGGGGCGCGCCCTCGACTATCCAGTCTGCTGTACAGACTGCCATCAAGAGGACCGGTTTCGAGATTGTCCGCGACTACTTCTTCGAGATTCTGATCCTGGTTGCCGGCGCCATGTCTGGAATCCAGGGTGGTCTACGACAATTCTGCTTCCTCGGAGCCTGGATCCTTTTCTTCGACGCCCTCATGCTCCTGACTTTCTACACCGCAATTCTCACCATCAAGCTCGAGATCAACCGAATCAAGCGCCATGTGGCTCTTCGCAGAGCTCTTGAAGACGACGGTGTCGATGGCAAGGTCGCCGAGAACGTCGCCCGGAACAACGACTGGCCCAACGCACGCGATGTCCAAGTCGCCAACCACACGACGACTGTCTTTGGAAAGAAGATTACAGTCCCGAAGTTCAAGATTCTGATGGTTGCCGGATTCATCCTGGTCAACGTTCTCAACGTGGTAACCCTCCGCTTCGGTCTTGCTCCCAGCAAGGTCGCTCACGTTGCTGGCGTAGGTGCCACTCCCCCGCTGGATCCTTTCAAGGTTGCCGGAAGTGGACTGGACCACATCTACGAGCAAGCCAAGGCCACCGCCACGTCTACTATTGTCACCATCCTCATGCCCATCAAGTACGAGCTTGAGTTCCCGTCTATCCACTACGCCGAGCCGTCCATCACCGACAACGAGTTCGCTTTTGGAAACAACATCAGCACGCACATTGTCGACGGAGTACTGAAGAGCTTGGAAGACCCCTTCCTCAGCAAATGGATAGTCCTTGCCCTTGTCATGAGCGTCGTGCTGAACGGCTACCTCTTCAACGCCGCTCGCTGGACAATCAAGGAACCCCACCAGCCGCTCGCCCCAGCTTCTCCCTCAGAAGTCCAAGATGGAGCGCCCACTGTGCCTGGAACCCCCCGCGTGCCTTCAATGCACATGCCTACGCCGCCCCGCACACCCGGTCCCGAGGATACTCGATTGCAGCCACTTACTCAGCTCGTACCGCAAACTCCTGTACTGCCTATCGGTCCTTCTGATGAACAACAACGACAACCAAACCGTGCTGCTGAGGTCCTTGAAATGATGATCAAGGAAAAGCAAGCTCCCAAGATGACTGACGAAGAGCTTATCGAAATGTCGCTCAAGGGGAAGATCCCAGGTTACGCACTGGAAAAGACACTTGGTGACAAGACCCGCGCTGTCAAGATCCGACGTGGTCTCGTCTCGCGTACCCACGCTACACGCGAGACCTCAACTCTCCTCGAACGCTCACTGCTCCCATACAAGGACTACAACTACGATCTTGTCCACGGCGCATGCTGTGAGAACGTCGTTGGTTACCTTCCCCTTCCCCTCGGTGTCGCTGGACCTATCCTCGTTGACGGCCAGAACTACTTCCTCCCCATGGCAACAACTGAGGGTGTGCTTGTAGCTTCAACCTCCCGAGGTGCAAAGGCTATCAACGCTGGTGGCGGTGCTGTTACTGTTGTTACTGGCGACGGCATGACCCGCGGACCTTGTATCGGATTCGACAGCCTGACACGCGCTGGTGCGGCCAAGATCTGGCTCGACTCGGAAGAAGGTCAAAGAACGATGAAGGACGCATTCAACTCGACTTCCCGCTTCGCCAGGCTCCAGTCTATGAAGTCTGCCATTGCCGGTACCAACATCTACGTCCGTTTCAGGGCCACCACCGGTGACGCCATGGGCATGAACATGATCTCCAAGGGTGTAGAACACGCTCTCACCGTCATGGCAACCGACTGCGGCTTCGAAGATATGCGCGTAGTCACCGTGTCGGGTAACTACTGCACAGACAAGAAGTCTGCCGCCATCAACTGGATCGACGGTCGTGGCAAGGGTGTTGTCGCCGAAGCCATGATTCCCGGTTCTGTCGTCAAGTCCGTGCTGAAGTGCGAGGTTGAGGATCTCGTCCAAATGAACATTTCCAAGAACTTCATCGGATCGGCTATGGCGGGTGCTATGGGTGGTTTCAACGCCCACGCGGCGAACATTGTCGCTGCCATCTTCTTGGCAACTGGACAGGATCCTGCGCAGGTCGTTGAGAGTGCCAACTGCATCACCATCATGCACAAGTAAGTTATATCAGTATGGACTACGTAAAGTTCATAGCTAACATGTATAGTGTCAACGGTAACCTCCAAATCTCCGTCTCCATGCCCTCCATCGAAGTCGGCACCATCGGCGGCGGTACCATCCTCGAGCCCCAATCCGCCATGCTCGACCTCCTCGGTGTACGTGGCGCTCACCCAACATCGCCCGGTGACAACGCCAGGCAACTCGCTCGTGTCATTGCCGCTGGTGTCCTGGCAGGTGAGTTGTCGCTCAACAGCGCTCTGTGTGCGGGCCATCTCGTCAAGGCGCACATGGCACACAACAGAAGTAACGTTCCTTCTCGTGCACCTACACCTGCGCCTGCGACGCCTGTGACCGGGGCTCAGACGCCTGTTACCGGAGGCGGCCCGCTGTCTGCGTTGAGCTCTGCAGGGATTGCGCCGAGGAGATAGGGTTAGAGTTAGGTTTGGCGTAATTGGGTTGTAGATATGTTGGTTGGGAAGATACCTGGATTTGTTTTGCGCATATATCAGGATTAATCTGGTTCGGGGTGAAGGAATGGGATGGGATGGGATGAATTGGAGGATTTATACATACGCATTCGCAAGAATATGGGTCTTCTGTTGTTATGTTGGAGGATATGGAGAGGACCAGTATATACATCATTAATGCATTTGAGATAAGATTATCTGCGCGGTCTCTTTCGTTTTTTTATGGTCGGTCCTTCCTCATTCAGTCAGAAAGTTCACCAAAGTAGCTGGAACAGCAGGTGCGTTGGGCGGGTACCCTCGTTTATTTGTTCTGGTGAACTCACGTCAGAACTTCACGTACTCGGCAATAATCCAACCGCGGTGAAAGGCGCGTGCTGGTACCTTCGCGAATTTGACAATAGAGCCGAAGGCAATACTAGCTTTGGAACTGCTGCGTTTCACTTCACGTCAACTACCTAATCAGCTATAGACTATTACGACTTTCGTCAGACAACTGCCCACCCTTCTTCTCCTCCACAGAACATCACCGAGACTCAACTACACCACTGCATTTCAAATTCAGGCAGCATGGGTGTCTCCACCAGCGTCACGCTCGCCGATCTGCTCAGCACTCGATGTGTGCCTATCCAAGTTGCTATAATGGCCTCGCTGGGCCCGTTAGAGACCATCGCTCTGATGTTGACAAGCAAGACCATCAACAAGAGTATTAACGAGAAGCTCCTAAGTGGAACGTTCAACATCGACGCTACACTAAAGCCGTTCTTCCAGGAACACTCTTATCGGCGGCCATTTCGCCTACTGCTTCTTCGCCAGGCTTCCTCGTTTCGACTGTATCTATCTATATGTCGGCCAAGAGGTCGATGCTATGATCCGATATCTGAAAGTTGAAGGTTACGTACGAGATGCAACCGACGCAGAGGAGGGCCCCATTCGATACCGCGACGAAGAGGTGGTATCAGATAGGATATATGAGAAAAATGGACCTGAGGGCCGCAAGCTGAAAGTTATGATTATCGGCATACAGATCCAGTCCCTTACACATATGGTCTTGCGAGATGCGTATGCGACAGAAGCGCTAACATTCATCGCCTGGAACAAGGCATACCATCTGTTGCCTTATACCTCATTCATCAAGAGGGAGATGTATCTGCTGCGTGGAATCAAAGAGACAGACCCATATGATCTGAAACTTTACAGCGTACGCGGTATGAAAGTCAAGAGCGCGCATTGGAATGCACACAACGAGATACGCCCCACAGATTGCCAACTGCTCACTCGGCTTCGACGTGTAGGAGATGAACATACCTGGGTGATGCCTCTAGACACAGAGTGTGTTACACCATCGTCTGTTCCAGACTCCGTTCTTGAGGCCCCCACGTTTCGTCTTAGCCTGCCGGAGTGGGACAGTAATTTTACCCTCTCCTACGAGATGGACATTTGCACCGAGCTTCGCCATCCATTACTGCGACATACATACTCGACTACGAAGTTCAATGTCGGAATCAAGACACTGTACTCCGAGAAATCAGTCCAGCTCTACAACCGACTAAGCGAGGCGACTGCGATTGAGTTGACGAAGATGGATGAAGACGAGCGGCCCGCTGAGTACGTTTATTTGGTGAACGGCTCGGGCATAGCGTGCTCAATGAGAGAGTTCGTTCGACCAGAAGATTGGTGCTATTTCGATGAAGAGATTAAAGCGTACCTGATGGCTGCGTAGAAAGAGCAAGTAAGATTGGAAGAAGAAGAAGAAAAGGCATTAAGGCTAGACCATAGATCGGCGAAGCGAGCAAGGCAATCTTGAAAGGCGGCCTGCAAAACACGGGAATGCAGGATAGTCAGGTCGGAATGTGGGGATGAGTAGATGTTCACGGCTGTAGCAACATACCACTTTACATGGAATCCGATGTAGAAGTTCGGCTTTTGATGGTGCAATCGCGGTCGTAATGATGTCATGGTTCGCGTGTTTCGAAGATCACCAAAAAGCTCGGGTCTGCCCTCAACATGAAGATCTCAGCCTTTCGATAGTGCATGGCTTGGGCGACACCAGCAATAAGCTTTCACAAGCGAGCGCGATGTTCTATTAGTACGAACGTGTGGAGTGAACATGTGTGCGGCGTGCATACAACACCTGGGGAAGTTGCCGACCAGCAGTCACCGGAGCAAACGCCGCGGCAATATATACGACACTCCCCTCGAGTCAAGCAACCGAGCCAAGCATATAGCCAAGATCTGCATTTCACCGACCATATCTCCGTCGACTATGAACGAGCATCGCATCGGCAACTTGGCGGGTAAGTGACGTTGCAAAGATCATGGCCTGGGACCGTGAGGTGTCCGGCGCGACGATCAGTGGAGAGGTATATGAAAGATGGATGCGCAGGCGCTGGTAGTTTGCAGGCCTCCATCTTCAGTATCGCCACGAAAATCATGTCGAGCATCATCCCCGTGGACCTTCTATCATATGCGACGGATCCGTCGTACCTGAACAGCATCGTAACCACCAATGCTTCGAATCCAGATATCATCAACCTCCTCGCATACGATGAAAGCTTTGCATCTGTAATCGGCGAAAACGCAATAGGACGACTGCTGGAAACTCTTGATTGGGATGCTTTCCATGAGGCTGGTGTCTACAACAAAGACACAAACAAGCTTTACGTGACGAGTAGCTGGGCTGGAGACCTGAACAACCCCATCAACGTTACCGTCATCGATCTCGCAGACAACTACTCAATCAACTCCACGCGGATTCCAGGTGTCGCCGAGGCCAACGGCGCAACATCCTACTATCCACCCGGCACCCAAACCAACGGCTCAACACCGTCACGAGTACTATACTGCGACCAAGGCGACTTCGTCAACCCAGCAGGTCTTGTCTCCGTGGACCCCGTAACAGGCGAATCCGAACTCATCCTATCAAACTTCCTCGGCCGAAACTTCACATCACCCAACGACATTCGCCAACACCCCGTAACAGGCGATCTCTGGTTCACCGACCCAGACTACGCATACGTTCAAGGATTCCGCCCTGAGCCTAGCCTCCCGAAGCAGGTCTACCGCTTCAGCCCATCCACAGGCCAAATTGCTGTCGTAGCAGACGACTTCGTTGAACCCAATGGCCTTGAATTCAGCCCCGACTACAAAACACTCTACGTCTCCGACACGGGTGCCGCGGGGTACAGTCTAAACGTCACACGACCAGCCACACTCTACGCATTCGACATCACACACGACGCAAAGCGACTAACCGGCCGCCGCACATTTGCCTACTCCGATAACGGCATCCCCGACGGTCTGCACACAGATACCGAGGGTAATGTATGGGCTGGATGTGGAGATGGTATTCACGTTTGGAATCCCAAAGGCACGCTGATTGGAAAGATTTGGGTTGGTGTTACGACGGCGAACTTTGCCTTCTTGCCCGGTGCGGTGATGGTGTTTAGCAATAAGCAGCTGTGGATTGTGGAGAATATCAAGGCGGTGGGGAGGGAGGTTGCTAAGGACTTTGGGTTGTCGAGCCATTACTGAGATGGGAGACGTTTTTGCGGCAAACTACACGTTTGGCTGCGATGCTCATTGCAGCCATCATAACAAAAGAAAGAAAAGCACACTATATGGTGTTTATACAAGTTGCGCAAGCAGCAATCATATTACACGGCGCTGCATATAATCCTTCTTCTTACGCTCCATGGCAATGTCTACAAAGCTATACTCCAGTCTTTGTACTTTTAGTATACACGAATTCAACGAATAACGAACAAAAACCTCCATATTCACTTAATGAATTATACAAAGGACAGAATCTATATGAGGGGGTGGTGAATGCCACCGCGAAGTCATTGGACATTTCATCAAGATGGGAAACACGTGTGAAAGGTCTGGCTCCGGCTGTGGTGAACTGCTATCACGCTCGCAACCTCTCACCCTTGGAGTATTTCAAGGCTCGCTACCGAGGCTCTCGTTACGGTGTAAACTTCCACCACAACTAACACCAGATCTTGTGGCACCACTGGATCTGACCAAATTCAAAAACAATCCTTCCGTACGGCACAACACAAGATGCCTACACAGTCAATACCCCAATGCTCTGACCCCGATATGAGGGCGCCTACTCTACAAGACTATCTTCGGCAAAACGGAGGCACTCAACCAAAGTCGGCTTTACATGTGTCACCGATAAGCAGCAGCGACATGACTCTGCAATTCAAGAATGTCGACGAGGCCCGAGCCTGCCATGCCGAACGCAGCATGAGCTGGCATCCACCTAGGAAGGACTCGACAATCCCTCGAGACGATGGTCAGCGTAAATCCTACGTCCGCCGCTTGAGAACAGCAATGCTGGGTATTCCTCTCACGTTGGAGACCGCCAAATTCTTCGCCACGCGATGGAGACATTCAACCAGGAGCAACCAGCCACCTTACCATCTCCGCGATATGTGGACAGTATGCGAGGAGCTGGTCGGAATTGCTGAACGCCTCCACAACAATGGCCCAAGAACGCTATTAATATACGACCCTGGTGCCTTGATAAAGGCGGCTATATCCAAACGGATGACATTTCGTAAGCGCATCAATTCGATGATTGACCACTTGTTGATGTCGAAGAACGCTGTCGACTGCTTGATGAGGGGCGAGCAGCGGATCATGTTTGTCGCGTGTACTGGTCGGATTCTCAGGAAGAGATCCAAAGCTTTACATACAGCGACGATACAGACTCTCGATGAAGGCAATATCGCTCCACTGGTTCCGTCTGTTCCTGCGAAACAGCCGCGTAAACGATCGGCTGATGCTGCTCAATTGGGAGACAGTATAGATAGACCGACGAAGCGTTCGAGAGGGCTTGCAGCGCTTCGGAGTCCTGAATTACCGGAGAATTATTTTGAAGAATTAGGAAGGGAGTATTCTGTTGGCGCATCAGCCTTGCTATGATTAGATTGTTATTTAGTCAGCGCGCATTTCTGGCCTCGATGAGGAATAACTTTATTAAAAGAAGTATACACATAGCTACCTTGAGTGAGAAACATTTATATTGACACAAGACTAGTTGCGAGCATTACAAAAACCTCGTCTTAGCAGTGTTAGACCTGCCGAGGTCTTCAGAATTCTAGAAGTAAAAAGCAGGGACTCGCTTATCGTACGCTAGCGTCAACACCCCCTTGCACGGCCAAAGATCGGTCTGGCCAGGCACGACCGACACAAATCTCTCGCCTTCTGTCAACCAACAGTCACGATAACGTACCCACCCGCATACCCAATTACCCACAATGGCTTTCCTCCGATCTTTCAATTCTGGCATGAGTATACGTGACATACGCAACTGACCCACAGCCCGCGCGACGTTAGCCATCTGCCCTCTATTAGACAAAGAGGGGTGTAGTCTCTTCACCGTATACTCCGTGGACTCGACGATAGTATTGCTTTTTGACTCCCAAAGGAGCTTCAACTCGTCCACACGATTCACTCATCTGCCGCTTGCCGTGCTGCTAATCCCATCGACACTGCTACAATGGACGCCACCGAAAGCGACTCGTCCATTCCTATAGCCAGTGACTCGGTCTTCAGCATCTCACGCCCTTCTTCCGCCTCCTCGATACACCCGACCGATACGCCGAACGACAAAGCGAGCGATCCCCCAGCGGGCGCACCGATATCTCCCCTCTTCCAAGTCCGACATACACCCACCGCCGGCCGTGCAGTTTTTGCTACGCAGGATATACCACAAGGCACAATAGTGTGGCGCTCAGAAGATCTTTCCCTCTCAGTTCTGCTACGCGAATACCGACGTGAGGTGTGTGGGCAATGTTTCGGATACGATTACGGGCGGGATCTGGATATACGGGATAAGACGGTTGGGTTTGCTTTCTGCTCGGAAACATGCCAGGAGAAGTGGCGGGAAGAGAACGGCGAGGTCGGAGTTCAGGCATGGACTGCGGTCGAGACTCTCGTCAAGAAGCGGAGCAAGGAGGATAGCGACATGGTGGACACCGACTTACCACGCCCACAGGTCAAGGAAATTCAGCAGGCGTGGGAGAATGTCGGTACACAAGCGGCGCTGATACGGGCTGCACGAGAGAGCGAACAGGCAGCCGGAGTTACTGTCACCAAGCAGCACAAGAAGGCCGTGCAAAAGGCATTACAGCAGAACATCACACCCGACGTGATGAGCTTCTGCGTCAGTGGCCTGGTCTGGCGGTCTCTCCACCCCGACCAATGGGAACGGGTGGAGGCGCTTGCAGACGACAAGACCCCGTACCACAGCTCCGACGACCTTGGCGCCTTTACAAGAACCTACCTGCACCTCCTCGCTATCCTGCCGCTTCCGCTGCTCCCGCTAGTTACGGCGGAATCGCTCATCACGCTCTCGTCCCGTGATTCGCACAATTCCTTCGGCATCCGCTCCCTTGAGGATGACGGCTCGGAGTTCTTTGGATACGGGTGCTGGCCTGCTGCGAGCTACTTCAATCACTCGTGCGGGCCGAACATCGAGAAGAGGAGGGAGGGCAGGACGTGGTTCTTTAAGGCTGGGAAGGATATTCAGGCCGGGCAGGAGCTGTGCATCACGTATCTTAGTGGGGAGGAGAGGAAGCTGAGTCGCGGGAAGAGGATGTTGAGGCTGAAGAAGACGTGGGGATTTGATTGTGGGTGTGTGAGGTGTGAGGCGTTATAAGTGAAAGTAGTGCAATAAATGGTGCGAATAGATTGAAAGTTACAGGTGTCACAGCCAGGCAAACACATGTTCTATATGCCTGACATTGTACATGCTCTATTATTAACTTTGGTTTGCCCGTAAGATGTGGAGAGATTGGGTGCGTCAGCTATGTGTGGACTCGATTGCGTTTCAGAGCGCTGCCAAGTGCGGGATGTTGCTGTCTCCGTGCCGGCCGTACCCTGATCTTCTCACGGCTACCGGCTCACTAGTGACATTGAGCGCATACGGCAAACCTTCTTTCACGCACGCATTTGTCGCATTGCTCATTCCAACGTTGACTTGACATGACGCTGTTTTTCTTGGTGTGACAGGGCGGCCAGCATGTGTTGCCATCCGCGCTTGGCCACGTTCATTAGTCATGCCACGAGGGTCCAGATGATTCCCACGAGGATATCGTGGGAAAGGGTCTATTAGTTATCAGATCCAAATATGACAAACTGAACTCCGGGATCTTTACCGGCCCAGTCCTATGTCAGTCCCCATGTCAGCTCCGCTCACAACCCTGCGAACGCGCAATGATAGATGGGCGGTCCGACTCCCATGCGTCAAGACCTTGGATTTGGGCCGACATGGCCGGCACGACCGAGACTAGAGCTACATACATTATTGAAAAGGTCTCGTGGCCTGCCCAATGCGATCTACATGGATATGTCTGGACGCCGTAAGCGGCACATATGTTTCAGCCCAGACGTCGAGAGAGGGCGAAATTGACGTCTTCAATGAAGTTCCCCACTAGACGGTGACGTAACGGATCCTCCGCGCTAGCTGGACCCTGCAGGCTGCTAGGCCGTTGGAAACGCGAAGAGCGAGAAATTAGAACTGCGGGCGCGCTGGGAGGACGCATGCGCCATGAGATTGCCATATCTCAATCCTGACGGGGGAAGGGGCATCACGGGCGCCGCCCTGGTCTTATATGCGGTCATTGGGCTGCGTTCAGGCCGTCTCGGGACCCTCTTCCAAGGTCGGAGTGAGGTTTGCATGCAGCGTGGCGTCGGCGGCAGCGTCCCTAGCGAGCCTCTCAGCCTCTAGATGGAGCCAGGCTCGACTTTGCGAGTCTACTGGCAACTGGGAGGAGGCTGCCGGAGATTCCGCGGGCGTCAGCGTCTGCCACTATTGCTGAAGAGTATTCGCGCGGAGTAGCGCAATGGCCTCGTCCAAGCAAAAGACAAATAATCTAGAGACGATACATAGAGTTCGGTTTCCTCTTCCTTTCTACTACTGCAACACCTGCCGCCGTTACTCGCCTGTCCTGCCATATCACGACCCCATCGCGATTTAATCCTTCAGCTCTAAACGCCCTCAAACTCAACCCTTGCTCGTACTAGCGGAAGCCACGAGATCTCCCAGACGGGACGCGGAACAGAAACGAGCGTCATACCTCCACCGAGTCAATCACCAATAGACAGAAACGCAGACGATCATCGAGATCGAATCCCTACATGCAGTCCAAGAACACTTCTCCCCGCGGAGGACGTAAGAAGATGGGCCTCCCAGTCATCGAGGTACGATACATTTCGATATACTCCAGAGATATTTCTTCTCTGCACGATGCACAACTAGAAGCTTCGCGAGGCGCCACGGGCAGCAGCACGCATCATATCGTGTGCGTGTGGTGCAGCTTGTTTGGCGATGATGTAGCCTGCAGCGTCATGAAGCCCGTGCGCCAATGACGCAACGTCGCTCCTCTCTTGTTCCGGCTTCACTCCATCCTTCGTCCATGCATGACCTTCTTTCCAACCAGAGTTTCTCCCTGACCTCCCCCTCACTACACGAGTATTCCCGCCGTTCTACCGCCCGTCTACTCTCTGCCCCAACAAACGGCTGCACCCGCTTGTTTTTTGCTTCTCTCCATTGCAGCCTCCTCGACCCCGCTATTGACGGGCTTTGTAATACATCTCCCGCGTCCAGACACTAAACATGGCGGCGATACAGAATTTTAAGAACTTCCTGCGCCATGGCAAGCAGGCCCGCCAGAACGCGGAGCCCACGACCAATGTCTCCAATGTCCACGCCCAGTCGCAACATCAACGGTACAACCAGCACCCCGACCCCGTACATCATGGCATCTCGGAGCCGGTATTGGACCACAAGCCGCTGCAGAACCACGCTGCCCCCCATGGCGACTACTCCGTCGGCGCTGGCGCTGGCGACAACCGCAACATTGCCGCCCAAGCAGGCGACGCAGCAGCGCACGCCGCCGGTAGGGACCACAAGAAGCAGGCCGCTGCCAAGAACGCAGGTGTCGACCCCCAGGTACTCGAGCGCATCGTCGCAGAGGAGCGCGAGGCCAAGGGCAAGCTGCCTAGATATCCCGGCCTCGAGCGATGGACCCTCCTCGAGAAGATGGGCGACGGCGCCTTCAGCAACGTTTACCGCGCTCGAGACACGACCGGCCAATGGGACGAGGTTGCCATCAAGGTCGTCCGCAAGTTCGAGATGAACTCACAGCAGGTTAGTATTACCCCTCCCTGCCCTCCTTGCCCATTTCTTAGTCACCCCTATCCTACACGTTGAACAGTTGGGTGTTTTTGGACGTTACCAACGCGAGGCCGGTGTAGGACAAGCATGTGCATCCGGACTTCAAGACGCCAAAAGCAGCCGAGGTGCGATAATATAACCCCCGATGCTCGACTCAGCATCCCCCTTCACGACGGGCTTAAAGGGCAGACACTAACTGCCCTATAGAGAGCGAACATCCTCAAGGAAGTACAGATTATGCGCCAGCTCGACCATCCCAACATTGTCAAGCTCATCGACTTCTCCGAGTCGCGGCAGTACTACTACATTGTGCTTGAGCTGTGCCCCGGAGGCGAGCTGTTCCACCAAATCGTCCGTCTGACGTACTTTTCCGAGGACCTATCCCGCCACACCATCATCCAGGTGGCCAAGGCACTGCAATATCTGCACGAGGAGGCAGGTGTTGTCCACCGGTACGATCTTTGGTCACGATGCCAAGCATAGTCACTGACGTCATATCACAGAGACATCAAACCCGAGAACCTTCTCTTCTACCCCACACCATTCATCCCTACCCGCAACCCAAAGCCACGGGGACCAGATGATGAAGACAAGGCCGACGAGGGCGAGTTCGTCAAGGGCAAGGGCGCCGGTGGTATTGGCCTTATCAAGATTGCCGATTTCGGTCTGAGCAAGGTCATCTGGGATACGCAGACTATGACACCGTGTGGTACCGTCGGTTACACCGCCCCTGAGATCGTCAAAGATGAGCGCTACTCCAAGTCCGTCGACATGTGGGCGCTGGGATGTGTGCTCTACACGCTGCTCTGCGGTTTCCCTCCGTTCTACGACGAGTCTATCCAGACTCTCACGGAGAAGGTCGCACGCGGCCAGTACACTTTCCTGTCGCCCTGGTGGGACGACATCTCCAAGTCTGCACAGGATCTCGTCTCCCATCTGCTAACCGTCGACCCCGAGAAGCGCTACGACATTAACCAGTTCCTCAACCACCCATGGATACGTGAAGCAGACGAGCCCACATACTCCGCCTACGACGCCCCACCGCTCGCCACACCCGCCGCTAAGAAGGAGCGCCTTCAGCCAGATTTCTCCCACCTCGAGTCGCCGGGTGCTCGCCGCATGGACTTCCGTTCGCCTGGAGCGGTCAACTTGCGAGAAGTGTTCGATGTCAGTTACGCTGTGCACCGACAAGAAGAAGAGGGCAAGCGGAAGAAGCAGTTCAAGCAGGGCTACCGCGGCGCGAACGCTATGAACTCGCTCAACGCTCTTGATGAGGGTGAGGATGACGACGAGTACGCTGCCGAGTCCGCACCATACGATCCAGCGTCGCAACATCCCCCCGCAAAGCTTCCCAAGTCTCAAGGTGCCGATGTATCCGGCATGGAGCAGAAGATGCGCAACACCACACTGTCCGCCGCCGCCCAAGCTCGCCAGCAACAGCAAGCACAACCGAGACAGCAAGAACGTGGCTACGGCCAACACTCCCCAGCTGTTGCGGCTGCGGCTAAGCGCCAAGTCAGGAACAAGGGTGCGTTTGAGCTCAACATGGACAGCTCGACATTACTCGGCCGCCGCAACAAGAAGGGTCCCGAGCCCAGCGGCCTGAGGAACAACATCTCCGTCCAATGACAATCCTCGCTTGCGAAAGATTGGTGAGATGTGGATGAGAACTGTGTCATGATGGCGTTTCTGCGTTTCCTTAATCACTCTTTCCCTGCCCTTTCCCCGGTTCTTTCCACGAATTTTGGTTATATCATGTACGCGAGCTTTGTTTGTGTGTTTCTCCTCTCATGGCATGGCTTTACGGTCTCTTGTGTCTGTCCCCCGGTATGATGGGAGCGTATGACATGAGGCAGGAGAAGAGAGAGGTTTAGGCATAGTATATGAAGCTTTTGGCATGGCGATGGATGGATTATAGTAACATCCGATGTGGCGTGGTCGTCCATGTAGCATGAATGATAATGTTTGAAAATAACTTTCCGCTCTCTCGTGTACGTAGTATGATGATGGCGTATGTCTCACTTCTTCTTTCCATACTTCGCCAACCACACAGCCGCCTGTTCCTGCGCGCTGAGTGGGGGAGGCCTATCACCCAGGAATGCTTGCGCTTGCTCGCTCAAAGTAGCCCCAGATGCCTGCGCGTTCTTCAATCTACCGACACCAGCACCGAATTCCTCTTTCTTGTCTTCGTCAACCTTCTTGCGCTTCTTGTTTCGCTCCTCTTCTGCTTGTTTGTATTCTTCAAGCTCCTTGTCTCTGGCAGCGAGGTCGGGTTTGAGACTCGCGATTTCTTCTTTCGCGTCATGTAGTTCTTGCTGAGAGCGGATGAGATTAGGTTTGAGGTAGCGCTCACGCGCTTCGGCGTTCTCGGCGCGAGTTTGCACTGTGGAGGGTGGGGATGCCATTGCCAAGGATTAGGATGATGATGGCAGGTGGTGTAGTAATGATGATGGTGATGATGGTATGTGGTCTTGAGCAACGGAAGATGTTGGAGAAGTAAAGACGTTGTAGCCGTTTGAAAAGAACTTAGAGGGTGACGTCTTGTGACCATCGAGAACTTTGGTAAAGACGCTAGAGAAATTGACAGTTCATCTTCACCTTCGCCGTGAGTGTTGATGATAAGACACAAAAACACGGGTCACCGCCCAACTCACCTTCCATACTGACTACAGCCGTGAAGGATTTGACCAAATGAGGAAGGAGCCATTGCAGCAACATCAAAGGAACCGCAGTGTTTTCATAGATTGCTTGTGACGTGTCATTGCGTTTTCAGCTGCGTGACTGAATATTGACTACACGTAGAAGTCGACGTTTTCATTCAATATCGTGCATGTGAAGTCGGCTTCCGGACCTAATAGCGAGACATAAAAACCATCATGGGCGCCCCTATCCTCCTGATTCTCTCGCTTTATATCTACTCATAAGTATATTCTTACATCAACAACCATCTCAGAACCATGACTTCCCTGATCGACCTTCTCAGTCCCCGGTATGCACCCATCCAACGCGTTCTCCTCGATCATCTAAATCCGGGCGCTATCGCAAGGCTCACCTGCACCTGCAAGGCCTTCGGCTGTTTGTGGCCAACGCTGATGGCTTCTGACTACAACATCAACTACAAACTTCGGCATTTCTTCAAAGACCCTCGGGAATTCCGGTCCGTTCAAGGAGAATGCGGCGCTTTTCTGGAAGACTGCTTCCAATCGTTCAACGCTATTGGCTGCTTAAGCTTCATTGTGCGCTCGAAACTCGAGTGTACGCGATTAATTGTAGCGGTTGAAGCCACCCGTAGGGCACCGCTAGTGGATTACCTGGCTTCTGACGGCTTTGTGCATTATGATCCATTTCCACAGGAACCACACCTGAGTGAGGGTCTTTACTGCACAGAAAAGCTAGGTGTTGACGGCGAATTGAGGCATGTGGAGCTTCGCTACTGGGACACTAACCAATTAGATGTGCATATGCTCTGCCGTCGAGAGACCCATAAGTTGCGCTTCCTGACGTGGAACAAAGCATATACGATATTCCCTTACGAGACCTTTGTCAAAGAGACGTGTCATCTGACGGAACCTGACGACAAGAGACTTGAGTATTACGTATACAATGCACAGTGCCTAGGGAACGACGAGAAAAATTGCATGACTGACGGAGTACTGGGCGTGGAAATGGATGGACCAAGCAATATATTTCGCAGGATAGGAGACTCGCGGACCTGGATACTCGATCTCGACACTGCCGGTGTCGCAGTACCTGAGACGCCTGACACCATACTTGAGTCTTCCAGTTTCGAGCTTCGACGTTGCTCTTCACCGTTTATATACAGGGCTTTCAACGAGTCGCTGGGCATCAAGGATAAATATCCGAGATATGATCAGCTATATGAGAATCTCAGCCACGCAGTCCTCAAGTATCGGTACCTGATACCACCGGGCACTGGCCATTCGGTGATGAACAAGAAATGCGACGCTATTCTCAAGAAGTTGGATCGCTTGACACGACTTGAGCTGAAGAAGATTCCGGAAGCAGAGCGGCCGTTGGCATATTACGAATTTGAGAGCGGAGAACTGAGAGCCACCTACATGCGAGATGCTTTCACGCTACAGGCATTTACGCTCCCAACCACATGGACGTTCTACGACGAGGAGATTCTTGCGGATTTGGATGATGCATGGGAGAGTCGCGACGAGGTTTGGGTCGAGGATGAAGCGGAGGGAGTGCCCCGAGCGACTAGATGGACGTTGATGGCTCAGTTGATGCGGCTTTAAGCTATGAGTTAGCATATTGAAGTTCTGAATCAATTATTGCGCGCGATGCTTCCAAGTATCGGCGATGTTCATAATTCGTGTGCGTAGTTCTTTCGATCAAATGTAGTGTACCATGTCAGCTTTGCGGTAGTGAAACTCTAAAGCCAGCGTACCTATGTATCGTGCAGTCTACTTGCGACCTCAACCGGTAGACCGCGGGGACCCGGTCTCACGAGGATACACGACTGCTATACGTATGTTGGATGAAAGAAGTTTGAGCGAATAGGTGATACTTGATAAATGAGCAAATGCATCACTCCTGCGCTGATACGAAGCCTGACGTCTTACTGGTCTGTGCGAATCGATAATAATAGCCCGTCGAAACGGCGGACACGCGTCGGAACATACTATGATGTAGTTTACTTTTTACAACACGCCCCTTTGCAACATTGTCACTATATAACCTCTATCAAGGGGCGTCGCTAAAGAGTAGTCAACCGTCGTCGCATCGCCACCATGGACCCTCTTCTCGCCGCCGCCGAAGCCGCAGCCGCCGCCGACACAACGTCAACCCCGCCAAGCTCCCCACCTTCCGCCGAGACCCCCCCAGAGAGCCGCCTCTGGGGTATCAGCGACATCCACCTCTCCTTCAAGGGCAATCGCGACGCTCTCGAGAAGCTCCTGCCGCACCCACACGATGACCTCATACTGTGCGGAGATGTCGGCGAGTCGGCAGAGCACTGTCGGCTAGCCTTCACCAAGGTCAAAGAATGCTTCCGGCAAGTGTTCTGGGTGCCAGGGAATCACGAGCTGTACACGCTGCCCTCGGAGAAAGAGCATGGCGCGAGGGGCGAGGCGAAATACATGGAGTGCGTTGCGATTGCGCGCGAGTACGGCATAATCACACCAGAAGATCCATACACGCTGTGGGAGGGCGAAGGAGGTCCATGTCTGATTGCGCCCATCTTCACGCTATATGACTACAGCTTCAGGCCTAGTCATGTCAAGCTAGAGGATGCGCTGGAGTGGGCGCGAGAGAAAGACATAGAAGCGACCGACGAGCACCTCCTGCATCCCGACCCCTACTCGTCGCGTATCGAATGGTGCAATGCGCTTCTCGAGAAGACGGAGAAGAAGCTCGCAGCGGCTGTCGCATCGCACCCAGATATCCCGTTGATCATAGTAGGCCACTGGCCGCTGCGCGAAGACCTCGTGAAGCTATTCAGAGTGCCGCGCTTCTCACTCTGGTGCGGCACAAAGAAGACCGAAGACTGGCACAACAAGTACAACGCAAAGGTTGTCGTCTCTGGCCATCTGCACATCAGGCGAACAGACTGGATAGATAATACGCGCTTTGAAGAGGTCAGCCTGGGCTACCCACGGCAATGGCACGACTGTCAAGAGCGAGGCCTCGACATCAACGACCTGCTGCGCGAGCTAATGCCAGGCGCGGAGACACCACCAAAAGACCGGCGCAATACGGTCTGGAGGCAGTTCGGATGATTGACTGCATTGCGAGATACAATCTAATCTTCGATACCCGAGATCATGCTTTGTATCCCCCGTGACTGCAGGTACGTCTAACTAGTCCAATCACTCCACGCCAATTCCTCACGTTCGGCAGCCCACGAGCATGAATCCACGAATCTAATGCATCTCTCGTTTTGTTTCTCCAGACTGCAGCATGTCACATTCACCTCCCCTGCACCTGCCTGATGCGGACTCGGCCTAGTCTCGGCCAAGCACCAATGGCTCGGACGCGATCAGCCACGCGCTTTATCCTTATTCGCCGGCATGCAACCGTCGTGGTTCTCAATCTAGTCGATCGACATCCTGCGTTGCCTTTCACGCACGTTTACTCCGAGCGTAGAATATGCAACGCCTGAATCGTCCCGTGCCGGACGCCGATGCGCTGCAGGTACCCCAGCGACAACGTCGGAAACGTTGTTATGCGTCCAAGGGAGCTGGATAAACGGCCAATTGCTAGCGGTATATGAGGGCATGTGCGCTGTTTGTGTGCTTCCCACGGTTCTGCTCGTATCGCGCTTTTGCTAGTCTGTATCGTGAACTTCCCCATTGGAATATCGAGAGACTCGAGTACTCAGTGAGCACGATATCGGGAAGAGCCGTACGATACTGGAACAACGCCGGAGCCATCATATAAAACTACCAGCAGCCGCCATTCTTTGAAGAGCAAGCCAGTCTCTCGGTTCAACGACATTGTCACTCGCTTGACACACCTCGTCATTCATTCCTATTTCCATTCGCTTTGAGCGAAAGTCAAAATGTTCAACATCGCCGTCCAGCTTCTTGCAGCAGCGAGCGTCGTCCTCGCCTCCCCTGTCAACCTCCAAAGCCGTGCTGTCATCGCCCATGATGCCGTTGTTGGCTTCCCCGAGACCGTCCCATCTGGCATCGTAGGACAGCTTATGCTGAAATACAAGCCCTACCTCAAGGTCGAAAATGGCTGCGTTCCCTTCCCTGCCGTCAACGCCGCAGGTGACACAGGGTAAATTTCCCATCCACATCCCTATCCAAAAAAAACCCCCCCGTTCTAACCCCCTCCAGCGGTGGCCTCCAACCCTCCGGCTCCTCAAACGGCATGTGCAGTTCCTCCCCTGGCCAAGTCTACGCCCGCGCCACCGCCCACAACGGCGCCTACGCCATCATGTACTCCTGGTACATGCCCAAAGACAGTCCAGGCCCCGGCCTCGGCCATCGCCACGACTGGGAAAACATCGTCGTCTGGCTCTCCGCTCAGTCCACCACTGCTACCATCCGTGGGGTCGCCATTTCTGCTCACGGCGACTACGACAAAGTTACCAACCCCAGTCTTACCGGTACCAGGCCCAGGATTGGGTATAGGTCTATTTTCCCGGTCAACCACCAGTTGATTGAGACGACGACGCAGGGTGGAGAGCAGCCACTTATTGCGTGGGATAGTATGACGGCTGCGGCGAGGAGTGCGATTGAGAATACGGACTTTGGTGCTGCGACTCCATCTTTCCGTGACAGCAACTTTGGCAACTACCTCGATGAGGCTTTCATTTGAGGAATAGGCGTAAACAGCAGTGTCTAGCATAGCATGCCCGAATCCTACACATTCGACTGAAGTTGTGCATTTGTCTTGTTTGACAGCGTGATGATCAGATGTGGTTTTATCATTTGCTCTCCGCCACACAAGTCTGAAATCCGATTCACGTCTAGCAGATTCACACATTCATCCTCCTTCCAGCAAACTCATGGCAAACTGCTCACTTCTTTCCACATTCTGCACTTGAAGCGAACTCCTTATCAACCGAGTGAGAACGACTGCCAAGATACCATTGTCATTACGAACTATTCAAACTCATAGACCGTATCTATCTACCCGTGCGACAACTGAAGGTGCGCCGAGCCCCACAGCATAGAATATGGAGGGTATACGGGCCGAACACAAGCCCCATCCGTATCAGCACGCCACACGCATGAACCACCGCCTCACGGCTCAAGCCGAATACCCAGGAGGAGGACCCGCCGGCGCCGTGTACTCCGGCGGCGGAGCCTCACCAGCAGGCGGTGCAAATCCTCCCGTACCCACATTCTGCTGCTGCCCACCAAGCACCCTCCTAAACGCCTCTTCACGTGCCTGCTGCAGTTCCAAGCGCGCATGTTGTAGCTTCGCCTTTGCCTGATCGACCTCGCCTTGCAGTCCCTTCTCCTGCGCTTCACGCTGTCTAATAATCTCCCCGCACTTGTTCCCCGCACGGTCAACCTGTGCAATAGACTGCTTAACCTGATCGTGCATCTGCATGTCTGAGAAAATATTGTCAAACACGACGTCGCTCCATATACTACCCATAGCGATATTGAGTTGACCCAGCCCAGGTATTTCAGGCGCAACCTGCTTGACCTGCTGTTGTAGCATGCGGACTTGTTGGATGGAGCTCTCGGCACGCTCGAGGTAATTCCGCTTCTGCATACTGGCCATTGTGCCTCCGCCAAACATGTCGTATTGCGACATGCCGTATGCGCCATCGAGGTGTTCGCGGGCGGCAGACAGCTTGACAGACGTCTGCCCGAGGAGGAAGAGGATGTGGCGTTCGCGCTCGAGGCGTTGGGTGAGGTCTTGGACGTGGGCGTGCGCAGCGTCGCAGGCATCTTCTTTGCGGTCTTCGTCGGGGAACTCAGGTGTGTGGCCCGCGAAGATGGAATTGTAGAGCGCGTCGAGGTCGGCTTGGAGCGCGTTGTGGCGTTGGGCTTGCGAGGAGATTTCGTTCTTGCGTGTCTCGGCTTCGGCGCGGAGTTGTTTGGCGTAGGCAAGTTCGTCTTCGGCGCTCTTTTGCTCTTGGATTGCGTCGAAATACTCCTTTTCTTCTTTTGCTGCTTTCTCGGCGAACTTCTCCTTCTTTCCGCTGGCCTTGTGGGCGAAGCGACGGAAGTGCGAGTCGCGGTACTTTTCATGGTCCTTCAGCTCGCTGGCTGTCTTTTGCTTGAGGTCGTTGACGCGCTTCCTGATGTTATTGATTTGCGCATCGAGGTCCGCGATGTAGGCGTTCTGCTGCTTGAGCTGTGACGGCGCTGAGTCTGTATCCTCGAGGCCACGAAGCAATACCTCGTTCTTGTGGGCTGCCAGCTGGATCTTGTTGTGAATTGACATGGTGGAGCTTTTCTGCAAGGGAAGTTTGTGAGTTGTAACAAGGCGTGATACGATTGGGAAGTAGCCTGATGGCTATATATCTAGGTAGCAGCTAAGCACAGCCTACCTCTTCGACTCCTTACGGCAAAAGATCATGATTGTACTTGCTTGGCAGTCGGCCTGACGGCACAAATATATGGCCATTCCTTAGGCTATTGGGCGCCTGATTTCCGAACCGAAATGTTGTCCTCGTCGTGGCTGGTGGTGTTGAAGCGGGGCAGGCAGGTTCCTACGTCACAAGGAGCGAGCCTTGGCGTCCAATGCGGCCTAGTCGTGGCGCAGACGGCTGAGCCTCAATACACTAAGAGCGCGTGGCAACGGCTATCACGTATCTTGTGTATTCCTATCGTGCCGGATCCGGGGTGAGCTGTGAGGCATTTGCAGACATCAGGACCAGATGGTGAGGGGCAAGTTTAGGTGGAGAAGTATGGATGGCAAGTATAGCCGGCGTTCCTCAAGACGGAAGGAGGTGCCTAAGGACACCGCACCGTTGCTCAAAGCCCCACCTCTGACGCCGTGGCACAACTTCGGGTGTTTGGTACAGCATCGGATAACCTCAAAAGCTCAACAGCATCAAAAGAAGAGCTTCCTCTTCATTGCACGCATAACCATTAAACGCCAGCACGCAAACAAGCAGGTCATCCAACATGACTACCGAGAAGCTCCAGACATACTCGCAGAAGCCCCGCGTTTTCATCTTGTCTGACATCTCGAATGAACCCGATGATGCCGAGTCGCTGTGCCGGTATCTGCTGTATTCCAATGAATTCGAGACGGAGGGTCTTGTAGCTTGCACTAGTACATGGATGAAGAACAAAGTGCACCCGGAAGACATGGAGAAGATTATTGACGCATATGCCGATGCCGTCGACAACTTGAACAAACATGTACACCCGAACTGGCAGTATCCAACGGCAGAACATATGCGTGGGTTGATTCGCAGGGGCGCCGAGGTATGTTCCGTTTGCTAGATACAAGCTTATGCAGCACGTCACGTGTGGATAGTGCTGATGGTGTTCAGACTTACGGAATGTCAGCTGTTGGCACAGATATCCTGCTATCTCCAGGCGGGCAGCTGCTGTACGATCGAATCGTCGCGCCCTCCACCCAGCCATTATGGATCCTTTGCTGGGGTGGAACAAATACACTCGCCTCAGCATTGCTCAAAGTAGACGACGACTTCGAACCTGAAGACTCCAAGCGCTTACTCTCACGTCTACGCGTTTATGCCATCTCCGACCAAGATGACACGGGTGCATGGATCCGCAACAACTTCCCAGACGTATTCTACATTGCTTCCATTCACGGCTGGAATCAGTATGGTTTGGCAGCGTGGACCGGCATCTCTGGCGACAAGTACTACGGCTTCGATGAAGGTGGACCAGACTTCACCAAGATGGAAAAGAGCTGGATCAAAGAGAACATTCAGATCGGGCCACTCGGAAAGGCGTATCCTGACTACCTATTCATCCCGGAAGGAGATACCCCGACATTCCTTTACCTCATCCAAAACGGTCTGGGTGTACCTGACTGCCCCAACTACGGGTCGTGGGGAGGTCGCTACGGGCGAACTGACATCAGCACCGAAGGGTTGAACAGCAATCACTTCAGCGATGTAGTGGATAGAGTCAAAGTTGGCGACAGGACGTACACATCCAACCATGCGACTATCTGGCGCTGGCGCGATGCTTTCCAAAACGACTTTGCCGCGCGCATCAAGTGGAGCATGGAGCCTGATTTCACAAAAGCAAACCATCACCCAGTCATCAACATCAGTGGATTCAAGGGCTTAGCGCCGGTCCAAATCACCGCGGAGGCCGGATCAAAGGTTACCCTCGACGCCTCCGCTACATACGATCCCGATGGCGGTAAGCTCACTTTCAAGTGGTGGCATTATCGAGAACCCACAGCGACGCAGTGGTTGGTTTATAGCGAGGTTGCGCAACTTGTGATCAAGAAGCTGGACGATGAGGGCAGGAAGGTTGAGGTAAGGCTTCCGCCTCCGGAAAAATGCGCGGTCGAGCTCATGAGCAAGAAGCCGGTTGCCCAAGGTCAATTGCTTCATCTCATACTTGAGGTGACGGATAATGGCACGCCGCCTCTGACGAGCTACCGGAGAGTGTTGATCCAGGCGACCAACAAGGATCTGAAGGGAGGTGGAAGGGGAGCTGGTTCTATTGGCGACGCGATGAAGAAAGCGTAACCTCTTCTAAGAGAAATATAGCCGCATTCCGATCGGTTTGATCACAGCCAATGAAGCAATACATCCATGTCGATGTGGTCGCGAAACACCTGGGATCGTGTGAGCTTTGGGCGACTAATTTGACATCCGGGTAACATGCGCGACACTGCAGCACGCGTCAAAACCACAAAAGACTGAACCAACAGCGTGGGTGTGTGGGTTGCTCTCAAAAACGCGGTGCGTTCATAGCGTACTGCAGACCGGGATTTGGTAGATGAAAGACCCTGGCGCCAGGCCGCTGACGTCATGACACCCTGGCGCAGCGACTTACAATCGCCAGTGACAGCCATCGGTCTTGTTACTGATGAGTTCCGCCGAACGCAGAAGGGATAACCCTACATGCTGTAGAAACTACGTCTCGCGTTCCCGTGCTCAAAACAGGTTGTCGGCTGGCCACACACGTGTAACCACGGCGATCTCGTCGATCGTGCATGACGTAGCGTATTCGCACTTGAGCTGTCATACTAGCATTGACCCGTCAAACCAGCCTCCTGTCTAGACTTTACAATGACATTGTCCGAATTGCATTAAGAGGAAACACCACCAAAACAAGCACAACAGAAATCGAAATCGACGCCTGCAAACTCACCGAACCAAAATATGGGAGAAATTCACGTTGGCGGCGGCCAGTGCAACGTCCCCGAACATGAGATCAAGCAGAATGCAGGTGTGTCGGCGAGTATGGCGCTGCAGGCTGGACAGAAAGCATGGGAGTTGAGGCAAGCTGCGCATGGCGCGAGCGACGCGAAAGCAAGAGAAGAAATTCTGGCGAAAGCGATTAATAAAGAGATTGAAGCAGAGTCGTTTGGAAAGGCGGCAAAGTACACGCAGTCAGGTGCTTTCCAGGGACTGGCCGCTGGTGCCGGATTGGGGGTGCAGCCGGGCGTGACCATTGGAAAGCTGACCGGTGCCCTCGTTGGTGGCACGGTGTCTACAGTGACTGGACTGCTTGGTGGTGGTATTGGATCGGTTTACGGTGCCATGAACGGCCCAATGTGGGATCTGGGAGAGATGGCAAGTCAGGGTGTCCAAGGTGTCGTTGGTGACTTCCTCCCCGATGTCAAGTCGACGCCATCGCAGAAGAAGGCTTTGGAGAAGATGGTCATGCAAACCAAGGATACGCAGGCACCATCTAAAGAAGAGCTGGAACAGATGAAGAATGACGCACCGGATATGATGCCGCAGTCATGGTCCCAGTCCGCGAAAGACATGACTGCTTGGAGACCAAGCATGCCGTCAGCAGTCAAAACCGCGGGAGCTGGAATCGCGGGAATGGGAGCCGCCATGAACCCTTGGGGAGGTGGAGGTCAGCAACAGCAACAACAAGGCACATCACAACCCAAGCAACAACCCCAAAAGCAAACCCAACAGGCATCGAGTCAACCAAAACAGCAGTCTAAGCCCCAGGCCCAGAAAGCTCCTCAATCGAAGCCGCAGCAACCGAAGACAAACGGGACGCAACCCGCAAAGCAAGAAAAGCCCCAATCCAATGACTCCCCCAAAGAACCATCGAAACCCCGTTCCCAACGACCACCAACGACCCGCGGCCCCGCAAACCCCCAATCATCAACCCAATCCACCCCACCCTCTCAACAAAAGCAGACACCGAATACACAACAAACGTCTACCAAGTCCTTATCACAGAAATCCCAATCCACGGCGAACAAATCTGCGAATGGATCTGCTCAGCCTAAAAGGGTGTCGTTCAGCGATAACAAAGAGAACAATGCTCCGGCTGCTGCGGAGAAGCCGAAGAGGAAACCGAGGAAGCTGGGGCAGCAGGGTGTTGGTAATGCTGGTAGTGGTGGAGGTGGTAGTGGGAACGGGGGTGCGGCGAAGAAGGCGCCGAGGAAGTTGGAGTCTAGGAAACCTGCTGCGGCTGCGTAGATGATGGATTTTGTAGAGAAAGGGGGAGAGGGGGTGTAGTTTGCTGAAGAGAGGGAAATATGATGCGATGGAGTGTTATGTGATCACGAGTTTTTGGAAAGGCAGTGGTAATGCATGGTGGATTCGGAGCCGTTGGCGACTTGCATGTTTGTTGGATACTAGACTTGTTGAGCACATGTTGTTATGTTCAGATTTTGTACAAATGTAATTTAGTGAGCGATAACTGTGTCTTGAGACATCCGTACATATAACGACTTTGGGTGGACTATCCCAAACTCTCATGTAACTACCATCCTTCAAGCGTATAAACAGCCTTCAACCGGCTTCTGGACTGCTTTGTCGCTAAAAGAACAGTGTCCAACTTGATCCTTGGTACCCTCGATCGTGACACCCCACTTCAACGGACGCTCGACAACATCGTCTAGACCCTCAACCTTTCCACCATATCTGTGCTTTATATGACATGCCGCACTGATAACCGCACTATTCGTGCCTCCGAGTGGCATGTCCGTCGGATATTTACAGAATCCGGCGATAGTCAAACAGGCTGCGACTAAGAGACATCCCATAATGATTGCGGCAAGTAGCGCCGAGTCTGAAAACCCTAGACCGGTCAGAGAACCTGAAGCTCCCTCGTGATGGAACCAGTCTCGCAGCGTCGGCTCTAGCACGCCATTTTTGTAAACAGCAATGGGTGCGATGAACAATGTCTGCGAAATGAACCAATGCAGTAAGATGCTGGCGACGATAAGCGGGAGGCTGAATTTGTACGGTAGAGAAAGGAAGTACGTAGAGCGCTGGGTAGAAGCTGGGAAGGTGACGCGAAGTGCAGCTCGTTTATGTACGTAGCTCGCCCATTCGCGGTTCGCGAGCATCGTCGTAAAAAGCCCGTTGTAGGTGATGTATACAAGCGATATGACCACCTGAGGCGCATTGGCCACAAGAACGTAGGGTATCAGGGATTTGGAACCGAGGTATACATCGAGGATAAAACCTGATACGGCCAGAGTTAGCACTTTGTAACATGAGCAGGCTGGAGGGTTGCAAATTGGTGCAGAGAGTCCAAATGAATTCACTTGATGTGAACTTACGGAAACTAACGTTCCCAAAGCCATTCCACCGGCAAATTTGGTCGACTTTGAACTCGGAGGCACCTGGATCTGTGCACGTTACCCAGCGACGGTCAATGCTGCTGTAAAAGTATAGGGCTGTAGCTATGATCATGGAGTATCTAGAGTGAGTTAGAATCTGTGTTGTACTAAGAAGAGTCAGGTGCGTGGTCTCACACAAAAAGCAAACAAAACCAGCGCTTGCCGCTGACAACACTGTACCAGCGAACATTATTGCCGGGCTGGTGATGATATAACCTCCGCGCTTCCGATATCTTATCGTGAATAGTCATGAGACAGCAATCTTGAGTTGAAATGTCAGGTGTCAGGATGAATGTCTGGATCGCGTCGCCGACCGTAACGATCGTTTCGTCATTCATCCACCCAAGTATCATGAGCATGAGAGTAGTCGTCAGGATGTTGCACGCGATGACAATATACAAGATGCTCTGGTTGAGCTGTACCTGGCATCGCTCGGGTGAATATTCACTCAAACAATCTGCAAAATTTGAGTGAGGTACGTAATCCACAGCCTGATGAACTTACATAAGAGATGAGAAACAAATTTTGGGCCGAACCACATCTCGGTAATGTTCATACCGTAGGCCAACAGTGAGCTGTTGCCGATTGCACCCCCTGTCTCTTCTGAGTAGTTTGTTGCCATAACAGGGAAGCCGTTACCAGCCCTTATGAAGGCCGTCTGGTAGCGATGAATGCACACAGTGGCAGAAATGTTTTGGAACGGAGTCGCGCTCAAATTCTGCTTTTCCAGAAATGTGTCCTGTAGAGCCTGGAAGTGGGGACGGTACTCATCATCACCATCCTCGAGCTTCCATCCTCCCCTCGTGCTGAGGAAAGATTCATTTATCATCGTCATGTCGACGGCGTTCGTTGCTGTTGTCTGAAATACAACTGAATTGTACCTTGCTATGTTAGATACATCTCAACTTTGGTATACTAAGCGAATTATCCTTACAGTAAATGCAAAGGTAGGCTGCTCACAGCAAGCAATAACCAGACAGCTAGCCTTCTCTTGCTCATGTTGGGTAGATTTCTTAGACTTAAGACTCCTACATCTAGCGACTTGCCCTTCTTGTGGGCTTTATTAATTTCTTCTCTTGTAGGTGCTACAAGTCGTTGTAAACAATAATTGGACGCAACCAACAAGGAACTGCTTAGTATGTTGATGAGTAGTTGTAGACTTGTTGTTAACCGTGATGAAAAGACGCAGTTGCCTGCATATATCGTAGCGATCCCGTCGTGTGGTTTACCGGCCGCAGCAGCTACTATGGCGCATATAATGTTGAAAAGCAAGACCAGCGATGAGCCAATAATGGCGAGAACAAAGCCGCCGCGCCAGCCGCTGAATCTGGCTTGCCGTTTGTAGATTGATAAGAGGCTGAAAGTAACTGAAGAAACAAGGGTACTTGGGGAGTACTTCATCTTGGAATACAGTACCAGCGCTTACAGAATGATAGTTGAACGGCAATGGGCCGTTATGTATCCGTTTCTCGTCCAGCGTACGCATGCACTGCAGCCAACACAGCCCTCGTGAACCAAATATGGAACGATTTTAAGAAAGACCATGCATCCGAAAGTAAGCAGTTGCTGCATTGAGTACCCATGTTATTACGCATACGCCATAACCAAGGAGAAAGCTGAACACCCTGGAGCCTACATTGACGCTAGGGTTTCTAATTTGCGTCTTTGATCCCAGTGTAGTCTTCAGACCTGTTCGGTGTTTTCCTTGCATAAAGTGCTCACACAATCCGTGGGGGCGAAGCCTGGAGCAGTTCCTCGAAACGATGTGGAACTGATGAGGACAAGGTTCGTGATAGGTGGCTCTCGACATTATCTTATCAGAGCACGGGCGCATGACGGCAGGTCAAAAGCCTTGGAAGTCATCGACCAAGACCCAATACTTCTACACTACACTGTTGTTGCATCTCTTCAATTGCGTTGACGTTGCGCGAACCGTACCTTTGGGTTCGGTACACCGAGCACTGCCCGGGCCCGGGGTAATTCACCCAGCCAATGGGATGTTTCGCAGGAGCAACACACGTAAGCCGGCCTGCTACCTGGATAAGTTTCGAACGTATCAATGCCGTGAAACTGCTCACCAGGAGATTTTGCCACATGCAAGGCAATAGGGGAAAAGTTTAGAGATTCGACGTAGGTTTGTGTGAATACCAAATCGGCAGGCTTTAACCGAATTAATTGGCAATGCAGCCTTCCCTCGCCATTCAAGTGCAAAGTTTCATTCTCCCATCTCTCGTTCTAGGTACTAGCAGCAGCACGTGATTGTGGTGTACCTTGGTTGTTGGGATAAGATCTTACTGAGATCTATGGTTGCGATAGACTGAAGCCAAGGCTTACATTCGACACGTGATTCCCTCGCTAGTTCTGCCTGCGCGTTCCTCTATCCGGGTACTTCTTTGCTGCGCCTTTCGGGTTAATCTACACTGCAGCACAATGATAACCTCTACCGGTCAACCCACGCAATCACCATGGATCTTTCCTACCTCCTGTCGTCTTCGCTAGCCCCAGTGCAGAAGACTCTCATTTCGTACCTCGGCCCGAAGGAGTTCTCGACCTTGGTGCGGGTATCCACAGACGTTCGCACTGCGCTCAGCGATGGGCTTCCTTCATACTACCAGAACATTGAGACAAAGCTCAAAACCTTCTTCGAGGATCCCAAGGTGTTCAGACAAGTTCAAGTCAACACTGGCGCGATCATTGGCGGTGACTTTGCCCACAAGTTCATCGCTAACGAGCTACAAACTCCAGTGCAAGAACTATACATCTATACACAGTACTCAGACGTCAAGCCCTTGGACCTCCGTACCTCGATAATCGACTTTCTAGAGCAAGAATGCTGGACCGCTGATGAATACAACAAGACGGGCTTGACCGTATTTCGAAAGCCACAACGGACTGAGTATGATGGATTGACCGTCTGTGTCTTCGATTCGATGGATTCTCCTTTCTGAAAATTGCTCAAAGCGGCTTCATCTACCGCGACATTAAACTTCATCACTTGGAACAAGGCATACTCAGTGTTGCCTCAGACGACCTTCATCGACAAGGAGTGTTACGTATTACAGAATCTGGCTGCGGATAAAGCCGCGGGTATGGCAAAGCAACATGGTGATTACCTTCGGGGTTTGACATGCGACGATGTCCAAACTCGATTTCTGCATTGAGATGATAAGTATAGGAATCTTATTACACGCCCCCGCCGAATCGGTGATAAGTATACGTATACGATTGAGCTCGACGCCACAGGTATCGATCGCAGCACAGTAATGATACCACAGACCGTCCCGGAGTGGTCTACCTTCAAAATCAAGCTCTGACGTTGGAGAAACAGAGATGATGAATGTGAGCCGGTATCGCGTTACTTCATGGGTGTACTTGGAGTAGAAAGCGCTGTCCTGAAACAGACTCATGTCGTCTTGCTCGAAGACGAAGATGATGAAGAAAAGACCAGGTCTTTTGAAAAGACGATCCACCTCGTGCGCGAGGCCGTTAGATTGACGCTATTAGAGCTTTCGAAATTGCCAGAGAGCGAACGCCCGAACGGACACAACAACGTAATGAATGGTAGGTCTCGCGAGTTCGTGTGGAAAAACACCAAGGTACCAGAGACGTGGTCATACTACGATGACGACTTTATGAAGCAGCTGGAGAAGCTGTGGAAGGAGTATGAACGCGACGAAGCGGAGAAATGCGACGGACGGAATAGCAAGAAGTAAATTGTCGGCAAGCGAAGCGCAAGGAGCAGTTTGGCGGTTCGTCGGATGAGAGCGAGGATGTAGCGGCTTGATGGAGAGCGGATGGTTGTGCGTGGGAATATAATATCAGTCATTCAGCTGGATTAGCGTCATATATAGCGGTGGCTAGCGTGATGCTGAAGAACGATCAGCGTTCTGACCCCAAACCTTACATATCTGGATGCATGATCATTTATGATTGCCTAAAAGTTGGATGACTTTACTTGATGATAGTCTGCTGTGCTGATGATCGTTCGGGCTGGCCAATGCGGGGTTCTTGGTGGTCAAGCAGGTGAATGAAGCTGATACCGGGGATTGCCGGTTAATTCTCACGACTATGCGCGATCATACGGTGTATAGATGAGATGAATCGGATGGCGACGCGGTGACGCAATGTGAGGTGATCAGGGTGAGGAGCCGCTTCCGTATCGAGGAGAATGTTGTCAACCAAGCCGCAAATGTCTGAATGCGGCTGTGACGCGTTCAGTCGCGCTGTCGACGCGTCGGAACTCCATCAGCAATACGCCGCCCACTACCACCTAGGCATTCGCGCTCCGCCCTTCGCCATGGTGAATCTTAAACCCTAGGCATTCTTGGTACCTCCAGAATGCGCTCCTGATTTGTTGTCCTGGTAGTCTACAATTCACTGTCGATGAACTACTGATTCACAGCAACCAAGGAACGACCCAGTTTACAATGCCGCCCTTGATTGTGAAACTTCGGCATTAGCTTCATCGTATTTCCAGGCGGTGAAAGCAGCTCGTGTTGGAAAAGCCAGCCATCAATGTTCTTACTTGGACTCCGACAGTATTCGAGTCCTTTTTCCAGGACTCCATATCTATCGCTTAAACATTCTCCAGCCGACGTCGGCATCACCTTCAAGTATTTGCAGTCATTGCCGCTTCACAGTGTATAAGACTTCTCTCCATGGAATACTCTCGACAGCAAGCAAACATAGGCGAACATGGCCCTCGAATTAACTGTGCTATCTCGATGCTTCAAGTAGCAAACTTGCAAAGATGATGAGATTCACTAAGCGGGAGCGCCTCGACAGGTTAAGAACATGTGTGAGCTTTTCCTTTCCACCTATCACCGGCTTACAACCTTCCAAGCTCTTAACCAGGTACTCTCTCCAACTCGACCGATCAGAATCCGGGTGATACTCGCAATTTCTCCTCGACACATCGACCCTGTTCACGGAAGACCTCATGTCTCAAGAATACCACCAAGACAACAATTCTTCCGACGACAGCTTCGACAACCTCGACATCGGCTCCCTAGACTTGCAATTGCTCCGTAAAGCTCAATCTCAAGCAACTATGGATAACGAGAGCGCATTGTTGTCTGTCTATGACGGCCCTGTGTACTTTGCTCAATCTGGCATCCAACCCTATGACATAGGGAATTATCAGCCGAATGATCTTCCTCTATATGCACCTGAAGATGGTCAGCAGCAATATAGTTTCAACGAATACAACCAACCAACGCTCGAGCAGCTTTCACACCAGCCTTTCTCAGGCACCCTGCCTCTTCGTTATTCATTCATAGAGACTGACAGCACTACGAATGCGCCACAACACGCGGTCGACGCACACGCGCCATTTAACGACAGTTTCGGCTACATGACACCCAGCCCATCGGCACAATCTCACGCTGCTGCACTTGCTCCAGTTCAACCTAACCCTTATGGGCTGGCATTTCGGAATCTGGCAGAAGCGAAAGACAGCATGCTTAACCGCTACATCGAAAAGGACTGGGTCGCGCCTGCCGATGACAGCACTATTCCAACTACCGACGAAGAACGAGCCGGATACGTCGCCGAGCTACTGGACGCAATGAAAGATACTTTGTCCTGCCCAGAAAAGCAGGACAAGTTCCGATTCATAGACCGTTTGGCTCCGGGCGCCAAACAGTTTCATGCAGAGCACATGGAGAAAGTATGCTGGCAGCTCGTTGACACCGCCGTAAATCTACATGTCATCGGCCCGAAATCATTCTCCATTTACGACACGACGCCACTGAAAACGATGTGGCAATCACGCTTCCTTACTTTTGGTGAGCGTATGGGTCATCTCTGTGCACTCTTACGGCTTTCCAAGAGCCGATGCTTCTCACTCATCAAGGGCGAGAATTTGGAGACTACAGTAGGTGCGCCTGCCCAGCGATACTCAGGTACGCTCCTGAACAATCACCAGAACGAGAATCGCCAGGAGTATATCCAACAAGGTCGAACGATTGTGAAGGAGAAGAAGGCTACGACGCCACCAGAAGATAAAGCCTCAGGCACGGACGGTGATGAGGAACTCGATTCAAGTGTCGCAATCAGCTTGCCTTCAAACGAACCTGAAGAAGAATTTTATTCAAATGTCGCGATGAGCCTGCAACCATCAGAGCCTCTGCCACCTGCCGACGTTGGTACAAGTGTTTTCGGTGACTTCCAGTCCAACAACATCCAGGCTGTCTTCGAGTACGCGGGCGACAACAGCGGGCAGTACGAGAATAACCAGAACGTCAATGGAAACTCGTACGATTATGGCCTTCAACCTGTCTTCAATCACGCTCTGCTCTCGCCTGGGATGCTATCTGCGAACATGCTTTCGCCATCCGCCTCCTACGCCCCACTTCTAACGCCATCGTTGCATGGAATCTATTCTCGGAGTACGCAGCCATCGCCGGTGACGCCGACAACGTCTTATATGCCGCACATGATGGAAGGCTACCCGTACACTCCGTACTTTCACCCAATGGCTATTCCTAGACCTAACCGAGTGTTGAAACGTAGTGCCGAAGACGCGCAGCTCGAGGCACATCTAAATGGACCATTTCAGCGTCCGTGCTTGGAAGATCGTGAGAACCCACGCTACCAGAAAGGGAATGGATTTTAAAAGAGAGTGAAGATGTTGAGAGCCTTTGAGGAACGCTTCAAATTGTAGGACCGCTATTAGCTGCTGTATTTGTAGCTTGATCGTATCCAATGTCACGTTATTGTAGAACCTGGTACTAGATAGGAGAATAGATAAGATCTAGTACGTAGCCACCCATATCGTGACAGTATCGAGTAAACGTGCCCGTTGTTCCGTCGAGTTCGTAGATTACAACGGAGCTGGAGCCAAAGGAGTTTCAGATGCTTCAGACTCTGGAGGAGCTGTTGGACCCTCACGAGCGCTTCTCTCGACCCATTCTACAACAAGCTTCGGAATCCCGGAAGAACCTTGTTTCAGCAGTGCCTTTGCGTTATGCTGAGGCAAGAGTCTCTCGTTACCCTTGAGGAAATCGGCAGTCAGGACTCTGGGTTTCTCTGTCTCGATGGGTGGTCGTTGCGCGATGAACGCCCACCACACTATGCAACAAGTCAGCCTAGCGAATTCAGATGGGGAAGTGAATCACCTTACGATTTTTTTGAACATGTGAGTTCTTCCACCTCGTCTCAAGTGCTGGATAGGACTCCTCGCTGGGATTGCCAACTTGAGGATGATCTAGATTTCGGTGTGATCAGTCAGGAAGTCCCTCACATGAAGTTCGTACGGATATACTTACGCCACCCATAAGTAGCAGTAGTCTTCGCTTCTGGGTCTATCCAGTCCATCGAGTGATCTCCATGAACGCACTTGCTGTATTGGTATGTCCATTCGTCCTCTCCGTCTTGTTTCTCTATAGGCCAACCAAGAGTGTTGCGGAATAGGCTTGCCATCTCCTCATTGCTGGTATAACCAATGAGCTCCTCTCCCTCCATCATGGCATAGGTCACCTTCCATAGGTACTGCTCAAGGCCGACATTGGGATGGTGTTTGGCTTGATTCTGAGCCAACACGTCCGAGTTGGTTAATATCAGCTTAGAGAAGGCGTACTTCTGTTGGCCCTCTGGTGTCGACAGATCATAGGAGGTTGACATTTCAACCGGATGACCCTTCTTGCAGCGCTGTTGAGGAGAGAGAAATTAAACGATCGCCGCACCAAGTTTATACCCCGAGGGTATGAGCAATCATATAACATGACTGGATTGCCTCTGTTTGCTGTGAGTCGTACTATCCGGCAAATAGCCACGAGCTAAACAATCTGGTTGATGATGAGGAGTTCGGCGTCGCGATAGTCCTTGCATGACCTGGCGCACTTAGGGGATGAGGAGCGCTTTTGGGAGAAGGCGTACGTATGGGATCGAAAATGGCGTACTTGACGCTGTGAATCGCACATTCATGTCGTCGTAGTCCTCAGTCTTCTTTCCCCACATCACCTCTAGCCCATTCTGGGCCTTGCCCTTCTTCCTTGTCTTTCGCCAACTTCCTCTCAAGCTCCAACCTCGCTTTCTCGCCAAACTTCTTCTCCCACTCCTTGTCTCGCTCTTTCTGGGGCGCAGCAAACTGGGTGCTAAGACCACCTCGACTCTTGACTTGCATCTTCTTCTCCGCAGCCTCGTTCTGCTTCAACTGCTCTTCGGCGCTCTGTATCCTGCGCTTGAGACTGATCTCAAACATGTCTCTTCCTTTATGTTTTCCCTTAAGCCCGTTATCGTCTTTGTCGAAGTACACTGCCCAGCGAAGTCCTTCCTTGCCCCACGGTGTATTCGGATCTTCGTCGGCACCGTCCCATTCGTCGATGGCCATGAAGCCTTCCCAGCCGTCGAATGTGAGGTGCGTCTCGTCTTCGGTCCAGTCCCAGACACCGACATGATGCATAATGCTGCCGGTACGGTTCGAGTAGCGTAGCTCGTACGTCTTCGTGTCGCAGTAAACCCAGTTCAGCATCGGCGGGTCGTCGCTGATGGTGGTGACTAGCCCTCTTTCCGGCGGACTCCTGTCTTCATCTGGGTACGCAATGTAAAAGCCCGCAAATGGATGCAGAGGCTCCTTCCCTTCCCCATCTATCCCATCCGGCCACATGGGCTTGTTGTCCGCGTCCCTCGGCACGACCCAGACTTTATCGTGGCGCACAACGAGGATGCCATTGTCAATTTCTTCCTTCGCGATCGAATCGGGGTCGTCGCAGGCTACGAGGCAGTTGAACTTCCACATGCGCGACTCGTTGGCGGCTTCTTCGTTCTGCTTCTTTTGGTGCTCGACACCTTGCGCGACGCCCGTGACGACGGGGATGGCGACCACGCAGCCGCCGAGGAAAATGCTCAGGGGAAGCGCCATTTCTGATTATGCAATCGAGGTGTGCGATATTAGTTACTGGGTGGTGGCATCGTGGTAGATTGAAAGGCCGCTGTCTGGTGTGCTTTAGTCGACGCGAGGTGGGATGCGAAATCGCGCTGCGTCATGATCGACAAGGAACCTTTCCCGAATGAGCCTAGTCTCACATTCCGTCACTGCCACGGTGCATCCAGGTTCACGGCAACTACACTTTCTCAGCTTTATGTAAACTCCACGGTCAGCGCCAAATTGTATATTTTGTTTCCAAACCACACCGTGTTCTTGGTGTCTACCTAATGTACGCGCGCTCCACGGGACCGCCGTGACTAACCCCAGCTTACGTTTGGCTCAAAACGCAGAGAAGACAACACATGCTAGTTACTTATTAACAGAAGGAGATTCACGATGAGAACTATTGTACGTTCTTATTATTTCGTTGTCTTCATTAGCTACGACAGTAAATGCACCGAGTCTGGTTGGTCGGCTGGGCCCACAATCTCATCCAGTCGACCAAAGTTCAAGATGGATAATCGCGTAGAGTCAGAGGTACCTATTGTACCATATAGCAGTGTGGAGTCTGGTAGGTTTGTTGCTCATTTATGAAGATACTATTCTCTTCTCTTCTCTTGTAAACTCCATCTTGTCATCTCATCCCATCAAGAACTTCACCAGCAACATGTTCTGTCTCCTAGCAACCGTCGCCGATGCACTTTGTGTGCATCCAGATCACCTGGGTGAAGATTTCAGTGTCGGATACATACCGTCATCATATCTCGCTTTAAAACATCGCAAAACATCTAACAAGCCTCCGCGAGCGGGTCGTCCACTCTGTTCGAGCATATCGGAAATTCTCGATAGAGCCAGAAGCCCGTCACCATGCCCATTCGCCCACCAGCTGCCAGCGCATCAGTTGGAGCAGTTTCCGGCATATGAAGAGAATTACGGCGACTGGGAAGAGTGGAAGCGGAATAATGATCAGGTCACAGTCAATGACCACGACATCGACCACTGCATTCGACACTGCGTGCATCTCATATGCCGCGACATCACCGATAAAGACAGGAAGCGCAATTTGGAGTCCAAAGCATGCAGGTGCTGCAGGCATCCCCCCCTACTGGAAGAAACCTCCTCCAACCAAGAAAGGATCTCACGTCTTCGGCTCCAAGACATTCTCGCTGCACAAAGAGCATACGAGATGACCGGCCATGACGAGACGATCACTCTGAAACTTGACTCCGCCACCGCCCTAGTAAAAAAGATGCGAAGCATGGGATATCTCAATCTTACCAAGTATCTCCGCGCATCCAAACACTTCACAAGAGATACCACACTACATTGTGCGCAATACCTCGCCGCAACGCGAGCAGCCAACATCCTCATCTCCAAACTGCTCAATTATCTATCAATCACGCTATCTCCCCTCGAGAACCAAACCCGCACTCTCACCATCGCGGAGCTGGTCAAAGAGATGACGGAAACCATGCGATTGGACATCTTCTGGTGGATATCTGAATGGTGTTTCCGCAACCAGGTCGAGAGGAGCGATAATGCTATGGAGAGAGCGCGGAAGTTGAAAGGTTGCTTTGGCATGGCAAGAAGGGATTGGATCAAGGGGAGAATGAGTAGGGGAGTTAAGGTGCTGTTTGAGAGGATGGAGGGAGTTGTAGTGATGGTTATTGCAGTATTGTTGTGGTGGAGTAGGATGGAGTTTGTTTCCGCAGGGGAAGGGAGGTGCCAGAACGTCGTGGCGGAGATGATATATGGAATGGAGAGTAGTGCAAGCCAGAAGAACGGGCACTCTGCGTAATCAAGCTGTATCATCGCCAGCATTTATTAAGTGAAAGCTCTGTTGTGCATCCACTGCCATGTATCCATAGTTCAGTGAACCAGAACACAGCGCTCAGTGTACGCCTTGTCTGACCACAACGTTACTTTTCACACAACCAAAACTATCTCAACCAAGCCCATCGCGTTTCACCTCCCTCTCCCGAGCAAACATCAATCAAGCACCCTTTCACCCGCAATCATGAAGTTCACAGAAACCGACTTCCTGGCCGCATACCCATCCCCACCTCCACGGTCACCGCTCCGTCTCAAAATCCCCTCCTTCAGCCTGCGTCTCCCCGTCGCACTCCAATCCCCCCTCTTCGACGGTATAAACGAAGATACAAACATCCATCGCTTCCCCGCCTTCCAAGACGTCCTCAATATACGCAAGACCGTGCCAACACCAGAACAGCATTGTACACTCCATTGCTCCCACAAAGTGTGTGTGAGGCAAATGACAAAAGGATTTGGTAGCCCGATATGTCAATGCGTTTCAGAGGAGGAAGAAGAGTGGAGTGTATCGTGGTACCGACCTGCTATGGAGCTGGAAGAACTCGATTTGATGTCTATAACGGAGAACACTGCTAAGGTTAATCCGGCACAGGAGGTCGATATCCATATCGAGGACGCCATGAAGATAGTCGCGTATCTAGAACCGCGCGCCATGACTCGTGCGATGGACGACGGGTATCTCAGACGCGCTATGCTGGCCGATTTCGGCCAAGATGAAGAAGTTACGACGCGTGATGCAATTCACCGGTTCTTCTATTTAATGCGGATGTATTTCGGTCGTACGCTCCATTCGCCACGCCATCGCGTCGTGAGCATCGAACAGCTCCGGTGCGAATTGGATGTGTATGTCTGGACGCTGCTGGATGAGTGGGTCACGAAGTATTGCGACCGTGAAACGCAGAGGTTAGTGCTGGAAAATAACGGTCCAATGTGTATTCTGGACGCCACCTTTGGTGCACCAGCGGCAGTACTGGGGCTGTGGTATGAGTGTGTTGAGGATGTTCTTGGGGTACTGATATGGCGGGATGAGGAGGTGAGATGGCGTAGACTAGAGGGTGTGATTGGGTTTTGTGTTTTGTTAGTCATATTCTTATTGTTTGTCGGTATCGTGTTTTCGGGGGGTTGGTGTCGCATATCTGATGGCGATAAGGCTGGGTGAAAGTGGAGAGTTGTTGGTATCAGCATTCAGTTATGAGGGTTCTAAACCAAGCCACACTTTCGGGGTCAATACGATTGCTGCGTATTATCGTATTCATGTCAAATATATGAGCTCATCTTTCCACGTACTCAGCATGGGGCAAATCGCTACCTGCGTATGCATATGCTGGAACGAATAGGCCTTCATCAGCCCAACAAAATGCAAACACACCGCAATCACCACAGCGATATGGAAGATCTGGTGCGACGAGAGCCAGAGGTCAAATCTGCCTTGTTTCCAGCACTCTGGGAATTTCGTCTGTCTTCTGTTAGTCCAGCAATCGTTGAGTGTTGTGCAACACGACTACACACTATAAAGGGACCCAGACTAGCCAGGTAGACGAATCCAGAAGCTAACCCCCATCGTAAGCCTGCCAACTCGTCCATTCGTTCCCAACCATACAATCGAATACCATTCCACAGCGGAAAAATACCAGCAGCGGCAAAAGCGACGAAAAGCGGAACTACAAGAGCCTGTGCCCAAGATTTGGAAGCCAGAGGCGAAGCGAAGAAGAGCAGCATGATAGCGCCAAAGGCCGTGAACTATATTTGATGTCAGCAGCTTATAATTCACGTTGCAGCACCGAATCATCTTACAATAAGCATATAGGTGCGCATGAGCTCTGCCTCGCAGGTAAACGTATAATATAGCGTCGCAATCAAGCTGCCCCAAATAAGACACGTGATACCCGCAAAGTCCAACTGCTTGCCAGCCGTCGCCACAGATTCTGAATGGTCGAGGAAGATGTGGTACGTGACGGAGAACGACATACATAATACCGCACCGCCGAGGAATGCAGACAATGCCGGTAAATCACCGTTGCGTGGGGAGGGGAACCACTGTTTTGGGCCGCCTAGTTGCGGGAGGTTGTAGATGGTGAGAAGTAAGACAAGGACTAAGAAGAGTAGGTGGGTGTAGATGTTACCGGTCTCGTTATGGAGGTATGTGAGGCTTTTGATGGATTGGCGATATGAATTGCGGGCGGAACGGTATTTGGTGACGATGTATTGGTTTTCTTGGCGCCATTCTGGTAATTGTTCGTAGTTGACGAGCGGATTTTCGATGGATGGATCGTGTTTCTGCCCTGCAGCGGTCCTTCGTGGTCCCGGAGACATCTTCTCGTTTTGATTGCGCATGTTGTTCTTGGTGATAGTAATTTCAGCGACCTACTGCTGCAAATTCGAGCATTTGTAGCTATAATAACTCACAGAACCCACCTCTTCTCGCAGATGACGTCTGCCATGGGCATGCTAAAACAGGTACAATAGTTGGCATCGCCTTGGCTAAACATTGGCAACTGCTTGGGGTGTAATGGCAGCGCGCTTCCAATTTGTAGTCGCATTTGAAGGCGAAGTAGCCGGCTGCTCGGCAGTCCAAGGTTTGCTTGGCTCAATCTTCGACTGGTAGACTGCCACTAGGCCACATCTGAGGATGCAGTTTGCTTGGCGCACATTTAGGCCTTTGGAAACCGTCAAGCGCTGATTCGTAGCGTTGCCGAGGCTCCGTCGTTCCAAGACCCTGGAAGCGTAGAACAACATTCCCGACGTATCGACTGATATTTCGATGGAGGACTGTGTGCTTGCTGGACCCCGAAACCGACTTTCATACGGTTGAGTTTTGAGGATAAGTCTCCATATGATGTTGCCACGCCACCAAGTCCAAAGGTATAAGTGCCTTGCCGAGTTTGTGTTGGCAGACTCTGTCGAAAGAGCATGCCCCCAGAGCTTTCATCTGTTCGCTTTCGCGTTGCTGAATCGCCTGCCAAATCGTTTTGTTTCGGTTCGTACTTTGTTCCCGATACCCAAAGCACATCCTCTTTCGTTGGGCACCTGTGTGTTACCATGTAGATGTCTATATATTGATTCAAAAACTCCAGATGCATCCACTCATCTATCAGGACGAACGTCAAGAACCAATTGAGAAGTAATTCCGCACGACTGTAGTGTCCATGCCAGTCCGCACTTTGAATCATAGTATGCTTGTCTGATAGTAAGACGAAGGTTGCGCCTACGCATCCGCGAAGAGCTGCAACTTCTATGCTCAATTCTAGCAGCAGATTTGCTGGGGGTGCGTTCGGTCTAAGAGAGATCTCACACCTGCCTCGCTCGATTGGTAAAAGCTATAAGTTTGTCTTTCCATGGCAGTATCTTTCGTACGTGTTCGGGCTGGCATCTTCAACCTCCTTGTTTATGTATATTCTCGTACATACGACTCCATCTCACGAAGCAGGCACGCTTCTCAGGCGTGATGTTGGTGATGTCGTCTCCGGTGATCCATTCAAAGATGATCTCTTCGTCCGAACGCATGCTCGATGGGAGTTCGAGGTCCGGATAGGCCATTGTTTCATTCCATTTTTTCATTCCCTTTATGGCTGAGGACTGCAGAGCTGATTGGGCGCGTGCTGCTGATGAAGTTGGGGTGAAGAAAACGCCTGGACGATGTGACAATGGAACCCCGCGTAACCCGCACTAGGCCCGACCTGGAATGCACGGGTTTTGCTGGTCTCGCAACAGCCGAGACTATGGCGAGTGGTACAAGGATTTGCATTGAAGTGCATGAATCCTCCAGACATTACTCACTACGCACATAGAACTCAGCGAGTCCACCTTTTCCTTCTGGTTGACGTGGCGCAGTAGTAGTAGTAAGTTCTACACTCTACAGCCAGAAGGAAATCATTCAATGGTATATCGTGCTAGAAGTTCCACAAAGAATCATCAGCCAAAGTATCAGCTAATCACTCCGTCCAACACTCACTGCTGGCGTCGATAAATTGCTCTGGGGTATCCAAAGTTTTCCATTCGTTTCGCCACTTACTCACACCTCCACCGCTCATCAGAAATGACCCTTGGCTCACATGATTGCGGAGATTGGGATTCCCATGCATCTCATGATGATCGAGCATGAGTATGAAGTGTGGACGGGCACCGACTTTGAAGGCATTCCGCTTTGAGTAAGGTCACTCCAGTACGGTGGGATGTATAGAAGCCAACTTGTCTCGCATACGCTCGACTTGGCCCCTCCAATGCAATAGTACTGGCAGCGTATTTGCGTTCAGTATTTCTGTTAGATGTGATACACGTATTCCATTCTTGTTGTGGATGCGGGCCAGTAGCTTATTGTAGTGTCCAATATGCTCCGCGTCCTGATCACTCCGAATGTAGATGCCGATGCAACTACACGGTGGGTCGGTGACAAAGTGCGATCCTATATGGGAGTGCAAGGGTCCAAGCGGGAAGTTGGGCGGATGAAGGAGGCCTCCAGTGGGAGCATTGCTGTTCAAGTAAACATGACAACTACCACGATATGTCTCGAACCCGCCGGTATATAGGCGCTCGAGACACGGATGCAGCGTGAACTGCGTAAAGTCCAGCCACTGCGGCTGCGGTTTGAAGTCGTCGTCCGGGGCGGGATCGATGCCCCTCGCCCGGCGATATGCATGGCGCACTAGCTCTGCAACGGATGGCTTGAGCATATGCGACTGAGTAAGCCAAGCGGGTGCATACGTCCAAATGTTCTATCCTTTTGTACTCAGGCCGAACAAAGACGTTGCGTGGACCTTTTCTTCAGAAGCAAGTAGCTCTTCGCGGTTTACATGAAGGTTGTCATTGTTAGTCGAACACACATCGGAGTATTCGACCGCGTTCTGATGCGGTGTATCTTGGAAGGGGTCTCGGAGGATGCGCTTCACAGTGGCTCGCCATAGCGTACAGACTTGGCCGGCGAGCAGTTGGCTTGGAAGGTCTGCACTGCACAAGACATGCTCGACTAATTCCGGTAGGTGCAGGACATGATGAACTGCGGATGCAGTCAAGGAATGACTTGGGGTAGACACGTCACTGCGGTTTGTCGCAGCAGGCCGTGGGTCCAGATTAGATGGGTATCTCGCAAGCTGTGCGTCAAGTAGCGCAACAACGGAGCACCTCCAAGAATGACTTTTGCGTACAAATGTGGGGTTGGTGTCTCTGTCCGGGCTAGAATAGACAGAGAAGTAGTAGTCGGGGTCTGAGGATGACGATGCGACAGACAGGGGAGGGGGATCATCTAAATGGGCTGCCCAGCCAAGCCATCGGGCTCGTGGTTCCCGGGAAATGGTTGATGGATCCTCGATGCCGAACCATTTGAGCAAAAGATCGTTTTCTGAAGCACCATCGCTTTCCTGCAGGGGGATAGTGGGGTCTGCCATCTAATGTGCGAGGCGATGTAGCGGAGTCGGGGGGTCGGAACGGTACTACCTCGGCATATCGATGACTAATGGACTAGCCGGAGCTCGAACAAAACTCTCCACGCCGCCGCCACCCTCTCTTCTTTTTCCATATAGAAAGTTGCACCCACGAAATTTGACCTCACTCTTTGTTCCTCTACAAGATTGAAGTTGACATAAGCTGGGGAGAACGAACATCTTTGCCCCCAAGAACTGCCTGCCCCTACCGAATGGGCTGTCGGTCCCGTGGCTCCGAGACATTCCCTTAAGAAATTTTCATCAATTGCGACGTCTCCCTTGGCCTCGAACGATACCGATACGTATACGCACGAGTGACACGATGGATGCATAAGCGCGACCAAGGCGGTAGAAGTGATCGCTTTGGAAGCGCTGCACAATAAGATGGCCCGTAAAACCAAGGCGATTGACCACATGGTCAATCGCATGAGCAAGGTGCGGCTGGTGGATGAGCGCGCTGCCCGACCGCCGCCCGGTGTTCAAGAAGATGCGCAGGAAGATGACAAGAAAGCTGTGAAGCGCCAGCCCTTCCGCTTCTTCGATCTGCCATCCGAGCTGCGGCTGCGCATATACGAAGAGCTTTTAGTCTTCCCCAAGACCATCGACCTCGACCCTACGAATTACCGTACCGTTGCCCCCGCCCTCCGCCTCTTCCTCGTCGACCATCGCATGCACGACGAAGCGTCGCGCGTCTTCTACGGTCGCAACACCTTCCGCGTTTTCCCCATACACGGGCGCTACATAAACCGCAAGCATCCGCTACTTGCATGGTTCCCTCGTAAATACCGCGCACACCTCACGCGCTTGGAGCTGCGACTGGGGCCGGGCTTCACGAAACCGCCGAAATGCTGGGTCGTGGATAGCCGGCTCGGCCTGGCGGCGGTGAAGAAGGTGTACAAGCTGAAGATCTTTGTAGAGATTGACCCGGCATCGAACGAGGTGTTTGAGGGCTGGCGCGTAGGGAACAACTTCTATACCGAGTACTGCGTCGGGCTGCTGAGAGGCTTGCTCGCGCAGGTGCCGTCGATTGACGATGTGGAGTTTGACGCATACCCAAGCGTGTCCAAAGACAGCCCGCTTCTGAAGGGCCTGGTAGAAGAGACCAAGCTCAATCAGAAGCGCGTTGCCTGGGGCCCTGAGAGGGGCTGGGACAAGATTGTGGAGGTTGACTTGGCCAGCGTGTTGCAAAAGATGGGGCTTGGAACTCAATGAAATGAGTCTGCCCCATTGCATTCCCCGCTCGTGCTGTCATGCTACGCACTGTACACATCGCGTCATTCTTATGTATATTCATGTATCATTCTGATTCGTATACCCGAAGTTGCTTGACCAGCTCGCTCTTTCCCTTCTTGCTTGCGGGTGGTGGCGTTCAGCCGTATCTCGGTGGCGACCTCTCAACCCCGCTCTCACCGTGCCCAGGACGTCTTCCATCTTACCTACTTACAAATACACACAAACTTTCCGCATCAATTGCGCAACTCGCACCAAGCTTCTGACAGGGAGATTATTGGAAGTATCTCAAGCTAGTCTGGAACTTTCGGTCCTCTCTAAGGCGCCGCATTCGGTGTGAGGCTGCTAGGAAGAGCCCAGCGATAGCAGCTCACCGCTCAAGATGTCTAAACCGAAGCTGACCGAGCCTATTCCGCCTACACCTCAGGCACTTAGACCTCCTTCCCCATTGGAAGGCGACCCTGCTGCACCGAATCCAATTCCAATCGAGGATCAATACATCAATGAGACTCTGGACACCACCCGGCGCCAGATCCGGTTGATCAAGGTCTACTACTGTGCTGCATGGCCATATCCAGTGAACGAAAGCATCGACTTTGGCTGCACGATCCACACATACGACACCGACAAAATGCCACCCTATATCGCCCTTTCGTATACGTGGGGTGCTTCACTTCCAGTACGCGATGTCTGGATCAACAGCAAACGTTGTGTTGTCCGTGAGAACCTTTACAACTTCTTAGAGTCTTTTGCTGAGAGCGAGATGCACGAGAACGAGCATTTGTGGGTCGATTCGCTCTGTATCAACCAAAGGGATACCCGAGAGCGCAACCATCAAGTTAGCATGATAGCTAATATCTATCGCGACAGCCAATTCGTCATCACATGGCTAGACGAGTCCTGCCGTCAGTCGCTCCAAAACATCTTAAATGGATCGCCGTCGTCCATAAATCTTCAAGACATTCATCCATCTGTACAGTCAAGGATCCGTCGTGTGCTAGGACTTAAGCAAGATATGCCTAGCATGTATTCGCTCAAAACTGCCTTCAGATATCAAATAGCACTATAGCCTCGACCAAATTAAGATGAGCGATGTTGCAAAGTAAAACAAGAGTTTTCATCGGCTGCGTCTGCCGCCCAATATTTCGGTATAGAACCGTATTTAGGTCAGTACCGCATGTCTTGTTCCAGCTGATACGTGGCCCTCAATCGACTTTCAGGCATCCATCTTGCACGACGGTATTGTTCTAAAATCGTAAAATGTCATAGTTCTCCCCTTTCACATCGTCCTCATACTCCTTCACATCTACCGACCTCCAAGAGCTTTCCTTCCCTGGAAGAGTACTGAATATCTTGCTCATTGGGTCGAAACAGAACGAACATTTCTATCCATGACGTAGTTCTTTCAGTTCTGGTGAAGCAAACGGCCATCGTCTTGGCAGTCGCGCTCTCTCACTTCAGAATCCTTGACCCTGCAAATTTTCTCGCTACCAGTGAATAATCTTCCTTCTAGTGTCGCACCATCATTCCAACATACTGATCGCTCGAGCCACGCTGATTGAAACCGCTCCCGCAGCGTGACTGCAAGCGACATGAGTACGACGCCCAGTACGCCAGCCGGTGGTGCGACTTCCGCTTCCGCCAGTGACGCGGAGTCAATCGACACGGCTACCACCAAGATCGCAAACGCACGAGCAGACACGAGTACAGCAACTGCGACGGACAACCCTTTGTCGCCAATCTCACACCCGATCAATCCAGATGCGCCTTCCTTACTGACACTACCTGGGGAGGTTCGCAACGCTGCCTATGAGGCTCTCTTTGTATACGATGACCCTATTCAGGTTCACGCGAACAACATCAGCTATCTCGATTACCATTCCGGAAGTATCGTCGCCGGAACTGCGCTCTTCCAGTCATGTCATCAGATCCAACATGAGGCCACTGGTGTCTTCTATGCACGAAACGTATTCCGCCTAGTGCTCCCTAAAGATGCATTTGGGCGTGGTGACTTTACTTGGGCTATGGCCTGGCTTCGCATGATTGGCAAACAATCATCTTCTCTTCGCGTCGTCCAGTTCGACATCAGCAATTTGCTTGACCAAGACGAAGACTTGGAGATCTTGCCGATACTGGAATACACCTGGAAGCCGGAACACAAGGACATGACTGCAACCTTGGTGACACCACCTGAGAGATTAAGCATGGGTTTCAAAGGCAGTCCGAAATGGTCCGCCAACGACACGACTAAGATCAACAAAGGCTTGAATGCGCTCATCGCTGATCCCTCCAACGTTCTCAGGAAGTACTGGATTCCGAACATGCTGTTGAGGGTCAAGCTCGATACAAAGGGATCGGAAGTATACGTTTCATACCGCCATAATCATCGCGGTGGTGGTAACTGGATGACGAAAGGCCGCATGACAATCAGCGATGAAGATGAGTTGCGTCTGATTCCGCCCGACAGGAAACCAGGAATTTGTGACCTCATGGCCATATCTTCCATTAAAAAGATGCTCTTCGATCTGGTCCAGCCCCCAGAAGTGGAACCAGCCTTCGACTTGACGAAACAGACTACGAACATCAACCTGAGAAGCCTAGCTGGAGTGAATCATTGGTTACGTCTCATGATCATTGCGGAAGTTGGCGATTATCACTCGACCTTTGAGTTAACAGCTTCGACGCCGAAGTACAACTTTGCGACCGAGCTGGAGAGGTTCACAACCATCCAACTACGGGGCCACCCATGCTACTTTCATCTGTACTTCGACCTATCGGAACACTTCACCCTTGACGATGTTCGATTTGACGCACTGCAACTTTTATCTGCGATGAGTCCGGTCGACCGCGATGTCCAATTGAAGATCGAAGTACGCAATCCGCTCGATTCTGAAACACCAAACCAGACTTTCACGTTGTTCTTGAGCGAACTAAAGGTCAGCGTTCTCTCCTGCATATACAACTTCCTGAAGACCTACCCCGATCGTGCCCACCTTCCGTGCCCTAGTATCTGGACGAATGGATGGGGTCAAGCGAAAGAAGCGACATGGGGAGATGAGCTCGGGTTGGGACCTCTGCAAATCCCATACCTGGACAACAGTCATGGTGGAGTTCGGTGTATCGATAACACGTTTGCTAACACTTGGCATCCGAGGCTCAACAATGTTGCTCCAGGCAATGGGAACACCTTGATCGAGTTTCTTAGGGAATTACCCTAGTGGCGGTAGAGCTATGGTCTGACGATATTGTCGGGATAACTCGCTAATGCTTTTTTAGATTTTTGGATGCGATCTCGAGCTCTTTACTGCATTTTAGAGCTCTCGTGTTAAGGAATTTCTTTCCTTCGCCCCACGTAGACGGATTGGAGTGGATTCGGATACCATGAATGTTTAGTGATAACTTTTCACTCATCAGTCTATCACATAATTTCATCGTGTTTGCTTTTCATTTCCACATTGTCCAGCCACTAACTCCCAAATTATGAAGAAAAAGTTGCTGCACACAGAAGTGCATGAGTTCATCGCCTCTTCATCAGTGACAAAAGCAGACATCATGAGGTGCACAGTCATGTACAGCTCGATAGCACAAGTTACATAGCTGCAAATTCGTACAAAAGTAACGTTCTTGGTCCTTGGAACGTGTGGATATGACTGAGCTGAGCCACGCCATCTATCCCATCCACTCCTCTGCTTGCGCTCGACACCCTCGGGTACCAGATTGCTTGGAGAAGTAGACATGCCTTGGGTGTTTTGCTAATGCATATGTTATTAGGGTCAGAAGGCTGCTGCGTAGAGAGTTTGATAAGAGACCCGAAGCGTACGAGAATATGTAGGGTACAGGGCGTTCTCCAGGCCTGTGAATCACGAATTAGGCCCCTACTCGAAACTCTGGTATACATGGGTCGAAATAGGCTCGCCACCGGGGGCTAGAAAGCCATCAGCTATTTCACTCAGAGCTCGATTTCCTCAGGAGTTCATTCGACAGCGAGCAGAGCCTGGTACCATCAACTCCAACACCAACAAGTCTATAGGCCGCGACCAACATCTGCAACGTGCAGTATAATCACGGTACAATAGCAACAGAAGCAAGGGCATTTGAACGGTGAATATTGTATTGCAATGACTATTCAAGCTTCCTCAATTCCCTCCTGACTCCCCGCCTTGACTTCCGTTGGTAGTGCAGTTAACCTGACTCTCAATCCCGTCAATGTTCAAGCAAGTGTACTGGTTCGTTCCACTCGGGCTTGTAACGTTTACATTCTCGATGTTGATGTTCGAGCAGACCGTCGGGCTGGAGCAAACCAAGTACCCAACAAGCGGATCGTACTTCTTGCTGGTCGTGCCGTGGAAGTTCTTAATCGTGATGTCGGAGATGGTGAGGTTGGATGGGAACTATTATCATGTTAGTCATCGGAAGAGGTTGGGACGTTGGTAGGGAAACAAACCTCATTGCAAAGAGTCAAGTTTTTCTGACCGTAGCATTGAGTAATCTCAATCGCGTAGTCGACGTTGGAAATGGTCATGCCGTCGTATGTAATGTTCTTCACGGCACCGCCGCCACCTCCACCCTGAAGATCGCCAGAGAGAGCCGAAGAAGCACCAGGCCAGACCTTGATACGCGCACCATCCGAAGCATTCGACATGCTGATGTTGTACACGTAGATGTTCTCGACGATATCAACTTCGCCGGGGTACTGGCCCAGAGATCCAACACTAATACCGTGGCTACCATTGCAGATCAGGTTCTGAACAACGATGTTGGTGCTGTTAGGCTTGAAGGAAACGCAATCGTCGCCGTTGTCGATATGCGAGTTCTGAATCACAATGTTATCAGAGCGGTACGTGTCCCAGCCATCCGTGTTCTTAGCAGGGTTCTTGCTCTTGCTACCACCGAAGATGTCGATGTTGTCGAACACAACGTCGCTGGAGTTGGCAACAAACGTGTACCATTGCGGACTGTATCTAAACTTCAAGTCGGAAATGGTAGCACCTTCAGCACCGATGACACCGAAGAGGATGGGGCGCAGGATGTAGATGTCCTTTGCGTAGAGGTCGTACCAGGCCTGGCCGTTTCCGTCTAGGGTGCCGCCGCCGTAGACGTTGACGTCCTTGCCGCCGAGCTGGAAGAAGGTGGTGGCGTTTTGGTAGATTTGCTTGAAGGAGTTGGCTTGCCAGTAGTCTGTGTCGTTTGTGAATTGGATGGATCCTTGGATGTCTTTTTGAAAGTTAGCCATGGAACATCATTTGAATTTGGAGACGACATACCAAGATCGATACTGTTGAGGAAGGTGAGATCTAGCGCCGTTCCGATTGTAAACTTCTGGTCCTTCGGGAAGACGACATGGCCACCGTTATTACAACTCTTAATCGCCTTCAAGATGTTGGCAGAGTCATCCTTGCCGTTACCGAGAGCCTTGACGCTGCAGGTCTTGGTTCGTGGCGGCGACGCTGGGCATGCCTTTTTGGGGTGAAAAGGATACGCCGGGTGGTGTGGCCTCTTCGACGCGACAACCTTGACGCTTCGCTCATCAAGGGGTGTCGATAGTACTGCTGATGCTTGCAGCAGAGCGCACGTGAAAAGTTCGGTGACGCGCATATTGGTAGACGTATATGCGATGATCTCAATTGACAAGCTGGAGTTCGACGTCTGTAGCTCTAGAATTTATCGCGACCCCGACCACCCTAATATACCCCCATCACATCCTTAGCAGCCGTCCGAGCCGCGGCCTTGGCCCTGGAACCAGCTCAAGATACCCGCTCCCGTAAAATTGGATGGCGCGGAGGAACTCTTCGATCATCCACTTCATCCTGGGGTCCCCTCACGGCCACAAGTGGCTAAACGGGCCAGAGCTGTGGCGCTAAGCCAAGATCAGCGAAGCTTTCCCCACACGCCTGGGCGCTTGGCCAGCGCGATTGGTGGAGTTTCTCCAACCCCAGATTTCCGGTGCTTCTTGCCCCACGACAAATCCCAAAAGACGGTCTACGACTTCTACGCGTCAACGGCTGTGTTCTGGGGTGAGGTGACTGAACGTGGCGGTTGAAGATTTTGCCGCGGAACGGCCGGCGTGGTTAAGCATGGTGGCTGCTTGGAAGGGCTGGGCCTCGTTGCGATACTTCCATCATGGAGATGGTATACAATAGGAGCGAAATTACCGGAGCCCGCCCGGATAACTAATCGCGGTAAGCACAACTCCAGCTTCTCCTGAAGCCTTTAACAGCTATTCGCCTATCACGTATAACGTCTTGGGTGAACGCAAAAGCATACTTCTGCAATGCCCAGAGCTAAGCGCGCTGTCTTCGTTCCGTCCTGAAAGCTTAGCAGGTAGACTTCTCTGTCAATTCAACGACGTGCGACAAACCATCGAGAGGACCGATACCTAGGGAACGCGATTGTACAAAAGGTCAATCAGCCCTTACTTTTCATCTCCAATCATCCCCAACGGACGCTTTAGACACGTCGTTGTAAAATACTACTCTCATTTGTCGCACTCTCTAAGTATCAGCTGAATGAGATTACGGTATGAAGTCCGATACTAGGAACGTTATGGCCTGCATGTCAGAGTACCGCGGAAGTAAAATATGCATCCGCTGAACCGGGGTCTGCGTCATTCGCTTGAGCCTGTCAAGACGTCTGTGGAATTGACGAGACGACAACTCATCTCTTGAACCACCAACTACACGCAAGGATCTTCGAGAGGAGAGAGGAGTAGATGTGCAATCACGTTGATGAGAAGGAATGAAAAGCCAGTAGAAGAAAGCATTGCTATGCTACGAGAGAAATAAGCTCCCAGTGACGGTAGGCCGCCATTGCTATGCCCACTGTTGATGTGATGATGCACTCAATATGCGTCGTGACGCTACTCAAAACCTATGCTATGCAACCCGCAACTCCGTATCTTCCAACCAAGACCAAAGAAAACCTAGGATATAAATTTGAAAACATGATACAGTAATCAGTACACCGACCGAGTCCGACGCATACATGCGCCCTCCCTCCCCCTTCTATCTCTAACCAGTATAAGCCCTATACCCCATCCCCGCCGCATCCTCAAACACACACCCCGATCCTTGTCCGACCGCCATACCCATACCCATTCCCAAACCAACATCCTCGCGCCAAACCCCTTGATCAACTGGCGTCCTCGGCTCATCTGCACTCGGACTAGGACTATTGCTAAACAAGCCACCCTCTGGACTCTGCTCAAGCACATACGCCGTATCCCCAATAGGCAGACCATGTGGCAGACCTTGCGATAGCGGATGTATTGACATGGAGTGCGAGAGATCGTGACGGTGTTGCGACATGGGACTACCCGGGTAGGAGCGTGTAGGTGCGGAGAAGAGATCGAGATGAGTGTGGTGATGGGGACCAAGGACATTGGCGTTGGGATTGTTGAGGGTGAAGTCGTCGGTTCGGGACGAAGAAGAAGATGGATAGCCAAAGTCCACGTCACTTCCGTAGTATGGGCTCGGCGGATAAGCGTCTGCTGGTACGCTGCGATAACTCGGATCGAAAGCCGAGGGGACAGATCGGGAGATGTACTGGTCGTTGCCATTGCGATGACCGTCGTGCATTCTTCCGCTTCGTTTCATCCTCGCCGAGCGACGTGCAGCTTGACCGCCCTTGGCGCCGGAGGCTTGACGCTGAGGCTGCGGTTGCTGAGTCCGGTGGCCGCGTTTGTTGGGCTGCTTGCTGCGGTAGCGGGTTGTGGATTTGACGCCTTCGCGGATGGCTTCTTCGGTTAGGCGCCACATGAAGCCCTTGCGGGATTCTTCGCCTGGTTGGTCGACTTTCTCGAAGGCCTGTGTGGGTTAGTATGGAATGCAGGAGAGGATGGTGAAGGAGGAGGGAGTTATGACGCACCCCATTCATTGACAGATTGTGTCGGATACTGTTCTGCCAGCCTTTTGTCTCCGAGGCGCTGGCCTTGTCGGTGTTGGCCTTGAACCACTCATAGATATCGCGGAGAATCATTGTATTGCTGGGTGCGTTGAGCAGGGCTTGGTAGATGAGCTGTGCGTACGGCTGCTCTTTGTCGATGACGCCATCTCCAGAGAGATCATGAGGATATCGAGGGGGATCATCGTGAGGAGTGGATGCACGCGTCAGGTCGGAGTATGGGCTCTGGTAGCCATTGGAATCCTCAACCTTCATGTGCGCACCATACGGATGATGGTCGAAGTCGTTGCTTAGCTGCATGAGCTGGCCGCTGATCTCTTGGTCTGAAAGGTCCATAGCGTCGAGGTGGCTCGGCGGTTCGATGTGATAGGCGGTGGGTGGATGCGAGTCGGTCATACTGATATCAGCAGGAAGGCCAGGGAGGTCAATGCCGGTGTAAGATCGGGGGCAGCTTGCGTTGGAATACTGAATCGGGTACGCGATAGTGAAGTTGTCGTTGTAGGACATTCCGTTCTCGGCGTAGTGGTAGAAGTCTCCAGTACCAGGTGGAAATGGGTTAGACGCATTGTAACCCGCGCTATTCTGGGTCATGGAGCTGAGGAGAGGGTTGGTCGGTGCAGTCCACTGCATTGGCTCTTGTTCGTCGAGGCTCATGACGGAGTGCGGGGCAGTGGGGTTGTTTGGAGGTGCGGTTTCCTGATCGGAAGGCGCGGTGAGCGGGACCTCAATAGGCAGCTTGGGGGACAGAGACAGCAGCGGACTGTGGGTGTGGAATGGAAGCGGGGTACAAAAAGCGTCTTTGGAGGGCTGGAAGGGTTCACAAAAGGCGTCTTGAGATGACTGGACGTTGTCGAATTCAACACCTACGTCTGCGGAGGAAGGCCGATGAGGTGACTCCGCATGTGGCATAGCTGTTGTGTTGTCGGCCTCTCACGGGTCTGGACAGTAGAGACAAGGAACGTATCGATACGAATACGCAAACGTGTTGTGTGAAACCAAAAGACTGGCAGAAAATGAGAGTAGTAAGAGGCGATGCTCACAAATGAAGCGGCCGTCAGGACATTAACATGCTCCGCTATGCCCCGGCGAAGAGGATTGTCTGGAAACCTGGTCATTGTCACCTAGACGATTTTTGCGCGCGTTCCTACTGCCAGCACACCTGCAGGCTTGATGCTGCGGCGTCGCTTGTATGGACAAACAAAGGATGAGATCTCATCGCAAAGACGGGGGATCTGAGGACCCTGGCCGCAGCTGCAGCTGCAGGACTAATGTCACGGAGCGACAACCACCGATACAGCATCACCGCCTCACGGCCCGAGACGCAGCCTAGAGACCCTCATTGCACTACTCCATCATCTAGTGTGAATGACTCTCTGTACCACCACTGCAGCCAACGATTGCCAACTTGACACCGGTATACGGGAAGGTGCATACGCCCACTCACAACGTCAAGATGCGCATACAGGGTGGCCCACTTGTAACATCAAAACGTCCATCCGCCTGTACTGCAGTCTCCCGCTCTTCGATGTTCCTGTCCGCCTTCGGTGCATGTCCTGGGAATTCTCCAAGAGCAAGAGGCAAGATTTTGTTCATTGCAGAAGTCAATATACGTGTCCCAACTATCTTTCTGCGCTATATTGATCGTCCTGACAGATGTGTCTTCCTTCAAGGACTTGCGTTCTTCGCTTGGAAGTTCGTTCCCGAAAAGTACATTAACAGCATATGTTCTGCATGCGCAAGGATGTGACATGATGTGCTGCGCCTGCAAAGAGGCAGTAGGCGAGCAACCGTTTGGGAGCAGACCCCACAGAGACCTGTAACACGACTTCTACCATTTTCCTTCCGGTGAAGCTCATTCGTAGTCTTTGCCCTTGCCCAGGTAGAGCCATGGCCGTCCATGATAGTCCCCTCGTCACGGTCCTGTCACCGCTCGAAGAGGAGTGTACACCGCCAACGGTCCCGGATAAGAAGATGCTGCGCGTTGTGAGGGAAGGACAGCTGGGCAAAGTCACCGCCAATGTAGTGGTCACGGGTGATGGCGCAACGAGAGAAGCCTGGACTTGCACTCTTGCTCGCATGAAGAAGTACCTATCGATGAAGGAGAGTCCTGTGCAACGTCCGCCCTGTTGCTTATCCTATCGCGCCGTTTGGTATAAGAATAGGCCAGGTACAGGCGGGGTAGGCTGTGAAGCGTCCATGTCACCCAAAGGGGGCTTAGCTACTTTCGATAGTATATCTGCCACGATGTTAGTGTGATGTCGTTCCGGTCATGCGATCTTGACATACCTTCTTAAATTGGAAGTGGAGTTGCAAGATGCCCTACATTGCGTTAGCCACGTAGCTAGTACGACGGGAGATGGTTGGATCCCAGTACGGAGAGAAAGTTCATACCTTGTCAAAACTGCTCTTGAACCCACGTTCTCTCTTGGCGCTGTAGTCCCATTCTTTGTCGATGATGCGGAAGGCAATATCCTCGTAGGGCGGGCCGGCGATGAACCGGATGAGGCACGTGTCGTCTTCACCGGCCGGGGCGAAGGACTGGCCCTTCTTACGGCCGTTCTCCCGTTCGATCTTGTAGGTGGGTGCTTTCGACTTGTCGATGAGGTCGGGATAGAAGATGTTGAACTTGTAGCCCTGTACGACCTTTGGTGGGGGGTTGTCGTGATCGTAATGCGTTTGGTTGTACTTGTTCCATTCATAGCCCATCTGGACACGGTTGAAGTAGCGGGGTTTCCTGGGCTTGTAGCTGCCAGCCCACTGGGGCCGGGCGGTCGTGACTTCCTCCTCCGCCGTAAAGATTTCCTCGCCTTCCTCCACGCCTCGCGCGACTTCTCTCTCGTATAGCGCCATGGTTGCCTTGGAGTAGTCTTCTTTCTCGACAGGGGCAAATCGTGAGGCGCTCGTCGTTACAGTCTGGCTCGTCGTGGGCTGACTGCTGGTGGTGGTTGGGTCGCTGGATTTGGCCTGTGACGGCACATAGCCAATCTTCTTGATCTTTCCCCTTTCGGTCGCGAGACTCTCCAGAAACGCTTTCTCGTCCGTCTGTGGTAGCGCTTTGTCTTCGGCGCGCAGCTTCAGTAGGGGTTGAGGATCGAAGGCTGCATCGTATTCGACAGTCGTTGGCTGCGCCTCGCTCGCCTCATCGGTGCCGTTGAGCATAGCGTATATTCTGTTCTGCACAGATGCAGCTGCGTCAGCCTGTTGCTTGCGCAATGTCTGCAGTCGCTCCCTGACAATCTCCTGCGAGACGCGCCGCAGCTTCGCCTTGGCCTTCCACACACGCAGACTCCGCAGTAGCTGTTCCCAGTAGTCATAGTCGATTGGCTCGTCAGAATCGAGCTTCTTCTTGACTTGCACCTCTAGCGTCTCCAGCTGTTCGAACGTCTTGGGTGAGAGCAGCTGATCGATGTCGGCGGCCACAGAGCTGGTGCCGCGGGCTTCAGATTTGGAGGATTTGGATTTGCGGCGGATATCTTTGCAGATTGCTTTGAGGGACTGAGGGGTTAGCCTTGCGCAGTCTCTAGGGGGTAGTTACTTACATTCCAGTAGTCGCGATTACTCCTGCTCGTCTCAAGCGCGAGGTAGTTCTCAATCTCCTTTTCTAGCTCGGCAAGATCTTCATTATTGAGCCCCTCCAACACGCCCTCTGGATCGACTATGTCCAGCTCGTGATCTTCCACCTCCTCGTCCAGTATCGACTTCTCTGTCGGATCTATGAAGCGCAACGTGACGGCCAGCCAGTCGATGGGTCTCGCGCGCCCGCCCTTGACGCGTAGTGCCGCCTTTTTCTTGGCCTGCTGCAGCACGAAGCGGTCCTCGTCTGCCACCCATGCCTCCTCTGCCGCGTTCGTCGACCGTTTCGCAGGGTTGTCGTGTGCTCGTGAGTCGGCTGACCGCTTCGCTGGAATAGACGAAGACGGCGCATTGCGCTGGGGAAGGCGATTGCGGTCATTGCGCCAGGGGGGTTCACGTGACGACATCTTTCGCAATAGGCCGAATCTGTAGTATGAAGATATGTTGTTGAGGTTTGGTTCAGGCCGGCGCAGATCGCGAAATCTTTGGCCGAGGCTGGTGACGTACGGCTGCCTTCCGCGCGTGCAGGGATCTACTCCCTTTTAGGAACAGCCTTGGCGCGGCTGCCTTTCACCTGCGCCTCACGCTGCACTTCACGTGTCAGCCCAAACCCCACAAAGGTCGCGTGTGTCACGCGTCTGCTCTCATTTGCAAACATGCACTCCGTCACCTCATTCTCTCCAGGTTGACATGTCGTGTTGGCGCGTGCTGGAGCTCTCCGAGCAGCCCGACGGCAAGCAGATTCCCCAGCTACTCATCAAACCCGCCTTCGACCTGGACTCGTACACAGTCCATCTTACCGACCTCAGCAACATCTGGAGTGAGGAGCTAAACACAGATGGCATCGTCAAGCGGGCTGCATTGGAGCAATCGCCAATCGAAGTCAGCAAACATGATGCGGCGCAGGTTGCCATTCTTCTCGAAAATGTCAAGAAACCCCTGCTGAGTGTGGAGGGTTCCATGTGTCGTGTCACTCGCAATGACACGGATGGCATCATTCTACACACCAGCATAGGTCTGCCGGAGCCTCTTGGTCGCTTGACATGGAAATTTCACTTGGAGAAGCGAATGTCGGCAGACCTTAAGAACGAGCTCATCCTCCCGCTACTTGTCTCTTCCCACATCCAGAATGAACGCATAAGCGGGCTCATCTCGACAATCGCTGCCAAAGACAAAGCAATCACTCGACTTGTGGACCAGTTCGACTCCCATGGCTTGGACCTGGCTGCCGCCTTCCCCAGTGCCGGTGGAACCAAGGTGGGACGAAAGAAAGTCAAACGTGAACAAGCGGAAAGGCACGTTCCCGCTTTACGGTCTTTCCACGAGGAAGCATGGCGGCATGATACCGAGCAATTGAAAGACACAAACCTGACTACGCTAGGCTTGTTCCAGGAAGCACTGGCACAGAGCACTCCGACAGTACCATTGGAGTTGAAGTCAGGGGATCGTGAGACTACATGGTGGGCTGCGGTACCTACTAAGTTAAGCTTGTCGAAAGCCTCAGCCAAGACTAAGGCCAAAGTGCCTGCTGCAGCATCGAAGCCAACAAAAGCAGCCGTGGATTCTGGTGATGAGACAGAGGACGAGTTTGAAACCCATGTGAACTTCAAGGTGAGTCTATGACGAAGCAACATAGGGGACAGTGACTAAGACTTCTAGACACGCGAATTCGGCAAAAGGCCAGTGAAAACCCCGGCGCCATTACCGTCTTCGCCACGTGACAAAGGTAGTGAGACTGAAGACGATAGTACTGAGGACGATGAGGATCTGGATGCGCCCCCCAAAAGTCAGAACCAGGTCCCAGGCCGGACTCCTCATAAGGCATCACTCAAGAGGACGCCCACACCTGAACGGCATTCTTCGCCCAACGTGCTTACGCCCTCAGTACAGAAGCCAAAGGTAACTAGCTTCCGAATAGGCGGAAAGTCAAAGAAAGCAACCGAGTCTCCTCCGCCATCACCGAAGCCCGTAGATGTAGAGCCAGAACCAGAGATCCTACCAACCAGAGAGTCTGTGCCTGCTTCTCAGCCCAACCAGGCGGCAACACCCAAGAAGACCCGGAAACCATTCAGAATTGGTGGCAAGGGTAAGAAAGCTGAGGATGATGCTTCACAACGCGACGTGACAGCTTCACCAAGTACCCAGCGCTTCAGAGCAACGCACTCTCCTACCGCCGAGCCTCCATCGTCCCCGCCGAAGATTATGAAAGAGATGACGCCCGTCGAGGAGTTACATGAAGAAACACCCGAGGAGAAGGCAGAGAGAAAGCGCGCTGAGCTGAAGCGGAAGAATGAGGAAGCAGCCAAGAAGCAGGCGCAAGCAAAGAAGAAGAAGAGGTTTTGAGTCGTGGCGGGCATAGTAGTCTCGTATACCGCGGCTATCCTGAAAACACCCTCTGACGACATTGTTCCAGTTCATCTATCAGGGTGATGATCGAAGCGAAGAACAACGGATTTGATATCTCTTTCACAGCGTTAATGCCTCATGTTCGACTACTCGCATGCTTGTTCAAGCCGTCATTGTTTTCACTGCTCATCTCATATGGACAGAGAAAACCATTGACTATGCAAGTAATCTAATCCAGTGTCCACGATAGTAGACTTGCCAAACAGTGTCCCTGATTTACAATAGTTCGCTTGAGGGAAGCGTGTCTAATGTTCCTGCTTGAAGTCCACCTTCACCTGCGATCGCGCGCTCCTTCCGCGTCCGTCACGTCCGTTCGTTTACCTCGTCACTGCTGGTCGCGCAACACCGCTCTTTCCCCCACCTCACCTCCCCCTTCCCTCTATACATCTTTTGGATAATCGACGTCGGCCTTGCCTGCTGGTTACGGTCGACAACCGCTGCCCGGCATCATGTGTATTTATCATTACTCTTACGTCGCGGTTTGTCGACACGCCGAATTCACCAGAATATCCTACTGCAGCAACGCGATAACACTTGGTTTGCCTAGAACGTAAGCACTTCATTCTTGAGCACAATCGCGTCTTTGCTAATAGTCACAGCGTCAGTCATTCGCCAGACGACCCCAGTACAGACGACAACCCCGGCACTCCATCTGGCTCATCTACTCCTCGACCAGCATCATCCGCCAACAATAGTAGCTCATCGCATTCGCAGTCGCATACGCATAGTCAGCAGCAGTACCAGTCACAGCATAACAACAATAATATGTCCACTCTCACGCCGTCTGAAGCTGGCCGCGCGTCGACCTGGGACGCTATCGTCCAGGAGCGAGATGCCCAGGTCCATCATCAGACTGCCTTCATCCCACGCTCTGCCCTTGCCGACGGTCCTCGTACAAGGCGGGCAAACACCCTCAACAACGCTATGCCTGTATTGAATAGGCCAGGTTACAGCAACGTCAACATTGATATCCCATTGGATCCAAAGTCTTCGTTGCATATGGAAGTCACTCATAATGGTATGGTCACTGAGCTAGTCGCTCGATTTGAGTCTTATGGCGCTTACCCTGACGTCTGCGAAGTATCTCCCGACGACCCCGACTCATCTTCCGGTATCGATAACGTCGCCGCACATCAAGAGCAAGCGGAGCACCAGTACGACTCGTATACCATTGGTACATCAGGGCGCAGTCCCCGTAAATCCATATCCACTCAATGGCTCACAAAGAGTACCGCCCCCAACCTCGCAACGGCGCAGCGTGCAAAGGCGCGAACATCCAAGACAGCATGGGATAGTGACTATCCGGATGAAGTCAAGAAACTCCGCGGGACACGCAGTTCCGTCGATCTTGGTAGGATATCTGGCAAGGACGGCGCAACCTATCTCACAAAGGAAGCGCTGGCTACTGTCGAGAACACCATAGCATCGCCCACGTCTCCGCTTAGTCCTAGCAGCCTGCATCGCTCCCCGCCGAAGCGGCCCTGGAACAGTCCCACCGGATCGCCTCTACGTAGCAGCGCTCGCCATCCATCCAGCTTCTCCCTTCGCATGTCGCCGACCAAGTCAACACACCTCAACACCGACTCGATCTCTGCAGGATACTCGCGAGCATCTAGCAGCGTTGCGACTTCGACTGGCAGGGCTTCGTTTCACACTGCACAGGGGTCGCCAGTAAGGAGTCCTGCAAGCACGGACCGTAGCTTCCAATCTGCTGCAGAGAACCCTGAAGACCTTGACGTCCCCAGTATTGACTTGTGTGCTGACAGCGATGACGAGCAGGTGTACCACGAGTCCGGTAGTCCACGATCTGCCGCTGCGAGAACGAACGTGGAAGGAAAGCGAAAGTCCTTGACGCCGAGACTCTCGCTTGTTATCCCTACGCCTGGTCGTGACAATTGTGAAGGTTCCATGGACTCTCACCTTGCCGGCGGTCCGATGAGTCCAGATTCGCCTACCCAGGTGTCTCGCATTCCTCGAGCTGGCGCCTCCAGCAAGACCGCGCTCCCCACGCGTACTATCAAGCGCGTCGAATCTGTCAAGTCTTTGCAGAACAAGATCAAGCAGCTGCAGGAAGCCATGCAGATGGATGCAGCCCAGTTTGATGCAATCCAAATACCCCTGCGCGAGACTCCCGCACCCGCCCCTCTGCGTCACGTCCGCACTGTCGACAGCACCGGTTCAACTCCGATCATCTCGCGAAGTTCTGGGTCACACAAACATGGCAAGATGACTGATGTTACTTCTAAAAATGACCAAAGACAGTTCACTCGGGGCAAGGGTCCTCCCATGTCTGCTGATACCGCCGACCCTGACCAGCCAGACGACGCACCGGAATGTGATGCTAGCTACGAGCACGCTCAAACGTTCAAGGTCGATCAAGACGCAGTACGTAATGCCGTACCAGCCAAGAGCGTGCCGTGGGGTGTTCCGACAAGTCTTGCTCATGGTACGACGCTCATATGTCCTATCAGCGTACCCACAATCGTCGTCATGATGGCTCACAACTTGAACTTAGGAAACCTAAATCTTAACACCCAGCAAGACGAGCCTGTCGCCAGCTTCACCAACCACGTCGACGACGTCGAGAATGCATCTTCATCTAGAGGAAGGGGTGAACGGTATGTACCCAGTGAGCATAATCAAGCAGACAGCGGGCGTTCATCGCAATCTAGTATGGGCTCGGATCTTCGCGCAACTGCCACAGAATTCGTACCTCAGCCACCTACCATGACCAGTCCGATCGACGCCACCACAGAGAACACACCTCTGAGTCCATCTCTCGATCTCGCTGGCCTGCCAGATGCAACGGTGCTCGATAGAAACGGCGTACCGTTCCTTTGGTACATGTACGGCGTACAGTTTGCTTACGAACAGGGTTACCGCAACGGTCGCCCAAAGTCGCCCAAGAAGTGGAAGACGCCCAGGAAACAGCGCACATCCGTCTCTTCTCCAGCCGACGCTCCGCCTTACTCCTCAAAGGCCGTCCCCATCGCCAATCCCGGACCGGCGACGCCTCCGCCGCTCCTTGCTAGACCGCGTCAAGAGGAGACTCATCAAGAAAACTACCATGCAGGATCTAGTCGTATGAGGTCAACCCCGCAGGCACTCGAGCCTAGTCCAAACCAGCCTTTCGCTCACCAGCTCGGTCTGATCGCCGAGCGGACCGCCCTGAATAGCCGTACCAACAGCAACGCCCCCCGCCACTTCGGCGTTAACCCACAGCCCTGGGTTGGTTTCCCATCTGGCCCTCACAACGCGCACCCTCCCACCTACTACACAGTACCTCGCCATGGTCACCGCAACAACCGTGATAACGGCTTATACGGCGGTCGCTGCAACGCTGCCGGCGTTCCTATTGATGCCACCGCTCCGTTCCCCAACCCCACCGCACCACAGGGTCGACCCGACCAACGCCAGAACTACGAGCCCGCAGCCGTTGATTACTCAGACTTTACTATTGGAAAGGAGTCTTGCGGTCTGGTCAACATCACTGTTGCGACAGAGCGCGCTGGTGGCGAGCTATGTAATGCATGTGCCCCCGATCATTGAGCGATTGGTCGTTTTGTCGCAGGTGGTTTGAATAAGAAGAGATTGATTAAGGAAATGGATATGGGAGTATGAGGTAGCTTGGAAAGAACAAGGCTATTGGTATCGCACTGGATACGTCGTTGAGATTGCACATGGCATACGAAGCATGGTCTTATCATGGGGGTATGAATAGGATTGATGGATGGGATTGCTTGAGTAGTAGTTGATAACGAGAAATGATTAACGTACGTGATTATGACTGCCTTTTCGCTCTTCGGTTATGACTGACATGTAACTTTTGGCAAGGCAGCCAAGAGCAAGGGTGAGCCTTGGTATCTACTTCGTACTTTGACATCCTCGCGTCATTGGTGTAGTGGTGGCTTTCTTTCAGGCCGCATGCGGCCACTAAAGACCACCTGGAGCGTGTTACCGGCGCCCGCACCATAATCTTCATAAATACACCCGGAAGGATGTATTGTACTTACAACAATTTACAGTTCTATTCTTTCGAGACCCTCGACGGCGACAGCGACATCGCCCAACTATGCATCTCTCTTTCATCTCCATCCCCCTCGTACTCTCCTCACGACAACAACAAGCCTCCGCACTACAGATATCCAATCTCTCCCTATGCGCTGTAAGCCATTCATCCTTCCCTCCCACATCATTCAGGGGAAAAACTGAACACCCTGGAGCCTACATCAACATGATTACATGCAAGAAAAGTGACCCAACGTCAACGTAGGCTCCAGGGTGTTCAGACTTTTCTTCAGATGAGGTGCTCCCTCTGCCCCTTCCTTCCTTCTCTCACTCACCCTCCCCACAGCACAAATGCGTCATAGAAACCACCACCTTCCACGGCTCTAACAGCGAATTCTGCGCGCTAACCGAACCCGCGTGTACCTGCTACCGCCGAAACAGGCTCGTGGTCGGCCTGGGCGCTTGCGGCGATGTGGAAGCGGATGGGGCGGTGATGGATGCGGGGTGTGGGGCGCAAGACTTTGAGGACGCAGAAGTGTATTTGGGGGGTTTGTGTGGGAGTGGGAGTGTGAGGGGTGGTGGAGATGGTGTTCGTAATGGTGTGTCAAGTGAATCCCTTCCTGTTTCGGCAACGACATCATCGGCTGGGGAGACCAGTATGTTGGAGACGACTGGGGGTGAGAGTATGAAGATGAGTATGAGTCAGGGTGATGAGGGGTGGGTGGTCGTGGAGACTATGATTACGAATGTGCCTACGCCTGCGACTTCGAATAACGCGGCGGTATCTTCTCGTATCGTGAGCGAGGCTCCTGGAACCACCACTACGGAGATATACAGTGAGAGCAGAGCACAAGACTCCGCTCTTGCAAGCACCAGTAACATGGATGTTACGCCGACTTTATCAGCACGGCCGAAACAGACACAAACACAAACATCCGCCCGGCGCCTCTCTTCCAGCGCCAAAGTCGCTTTAGCAGCAGGTGTTCCGTGTGGCGTAATCTTCTTCGTGGGCATAGCCGCAGGCGTGCGAATGTTGTCTTTACGGAGGAAAGTTAAAGAAGCGAATGAGGTCACGTGCAACCAAATAAGGCCAAACAAGGATGGAGAGAAGAGCTTGGAACGTGAACTTGACGGGTTCGATACGTCGAGGCACGAGATGGAAACGGATAGCAATAGGGTTGAGCTACATGTCGCAGTCGAGACGCATGAAATGGAGACGCATGCTAATAGGGTTGAACTACATGGGGCAGTTGCGAGATATGAGTTGGATGGACGATAAGTCTTGGAAGATGGTTGATGTGCTGGTGGCGTTGTGGACATAGGCTGGCTGTGCAGTCTTCCGAAGAGCGTATCGACTCATGGTCGCCTCCGGGCCTTGAATTCCCGACGCGCTACCTAATGCATGCTCATCCGATCGAAGCGCTGTCGTCCACTTTTAAAAATGCATGTCTACCCGTAATGTGACTGGCGGGCGGGCCGGACCGCCGATGCTTGAAGTCGCGTAGGTGCGATTGGTGAGGACCAAGACACCTACGCAAATCCAACCAAGGTTGGCTGAGCGCTTTGATGGGGGACATCAGAAGAACGGAAAGGTGCTGCCTGGGAACTAACGTCCTTACGGCCATCACTATGCCGAGCTGGAGATTTCTGTGTGTTCAAGTGCGCGAGATTGAGCGAAGGAGTCTGAGGCTGCTATGTATAGGGTTACTGTGGTGGAAAAAACGCAGGCCGTACGCTCGTCGTCTATTAAACTCTGTGTCTTGCTCTCTGGAAGACGAATGGCAAGGGAGGCATAGTGGTGACTACGCGTGAATTCGCTTCGAAAGCACGTGTTGGGGTGTCTTCAAGCGAAGAGTCAGACGGATTTTGATTCTGAACCATAGTTGACCGCGGATCTTGGGCTGGTCGATGTGAACGTGAACTGCGAGGTAAAAGTATATGAGTAAGCTGAACGCACATTCTGCTGCTCTCATTGACTTTATCGACCGCCGCTACTGACACTACTCACAAGACTCTGAGGACTTTGTAGCACTATACACCCTGTTAGTGACAGCCAGAGCAACCGTAAGACGCCTACATCCATCACAACGTTGGCGTAATAGCGTACTGACTCACCTTGTAGCCTTCACAGTCCGCCAACACACCAACTATCCCGACTGAAACCCAGTCTTGTCGTCTCCCCGGTCCATGTCAAACTTCGGCGATAACATGAGAGTAATGTCCACTCCCAGCGCCACAATGGGATCGATTTCTGCCCCAACGCCGCGTATGGGACCGCCGTGTTACCCAGACAACTTCACCGGCTTCACGGTGGAGCAGCAGAACGAGTTCGCTGAGCGTCTAAATGGACAGTTGCTGCTCCTTGACAAGATCGGGGACATTCAAGTGCCACGGCTGTTTCCCCTTCTATGGCTACCTGTCACGAGAGCAAGAGAAATGCAGCCAGAATATGATTCGAGGACCGATCTCGTGTATCTCCTCTCGCGCTTCCCGCCTGCTCCGTGGCACCCTATCTACGAGGAGTTGAAGCACAGGTGGGAGCGAGAGCGTCAACAGCAGGAACAAGCCGCCTACTGGGCCCACTGCCAGCAGGCACAGATGCATGAGCAGCAGCTGGCGACGGGTCATCAACAGATGCCGTCGCCATACGCTCATCCGCATGAACATGAGATGGGTGGTCCCAGTAGCCAGAGCGCGCAGATGCCCAATCAATACTCGCAGGCCAGAAATCTGGAGGAGATAACTGCTGCTGTCATACGAGCCGCCCGAAGACGAAGCCGGGATGAGACGGCAATGGAGAGGGTAGACAGCGATGTCGATAAGTCGGGCTCGAACGATGTGTCCGGCGCGCCCCATGCGGCGACCGGGCTTGAAGAGACTTCGGCGCTCAGCGCAAATTTTGATCCATCTTTGGACGATATGCTTCCGGAGGAGTATGGTCGATGGTCGACTGTGTTTGTCGAGTGATTTTGGAACACTGCATCACACCGCGAGTCATTGGAGGTAAGCAGCGATGCGGTATCCGGCTTCGACTCTCGTGAACCTAGAGAGATCAAGGAAAATACTCGAAAAAGATGCGACCGAGATAATTGGCTTGAGCTGGAGCAATAAAACCACGTGTACAGAGTGTTGTGCGAGAGTACTGTTTTATCGCGATGTTTTACTGCATAGAAGGGATAGGAACGGCATTTCAGTTGCATACATACTTTTGATAGAATTACACCTTTGACAACCCATCCTTTCACTGCCGCGTCGACGCGCAACATCGCACATCCTCATCGCAACACCATACGCATGAAGCATGGAGATCGCGACATGAAATTACTGACGTAGAATAGGCGCAGCGCGGTGGTCCGTTCTTAGTGCGATGACGATTTTCGGGGGCACTGCCCGCTAGGTGGCAACCTGCAGCGTGATCATCGAGTGCAATTCCGCGCGATGCCGACGCGATCGGACGATGCCAATGTCCGGATGTGCGGGCGTGTATATCGTGTATACCGTCGAGATGCGATGGAGAGCGATGAAGATATGCAGAATAGTTGAAGTGCGATTGTCGAAACTACGCACATCGATGTGCGACACTGCACGTCACAACGTCATAACAGGCTCGAGGTCTGGAATCCGGATGCACGCCGACACGTGATAGCGCGCTTGGCGTTTGAGGCGGAGCGCTCGGACAGCGGAATTAGCGATGAAGCCTCTTGGAGCTGCTGCCAACCTCTCCCGTCTCGCGTCCCTTTCCGTCTCTAAACCTCCATCGCCCAGAACCCCAATGTCTCGCATTCAATGGTGTCCTCGCAAGATGAGGTGGGTCTTGTTACCTACCCGGCTACTGTCAACATAGCGACACTTGTCATCTTCTTCCTCTACCTCCTCGTCTCCATCTGGCTCATCATCCGCCAGGGCCTGGGCCACAGCTCGCCATGGATCTGGCTCACCCTGCTGTCTATATGTCGGCTCACGCAGGTGTCGCTCGATTTGGCAGCCACGACCAAGTTTCCGAAATTTTCAGCGCCCAACACGACTCTGGAAAGCGGTGTTGCTATCCTAACCACCATGGGCCTGACGCCATTGTTTATGGCTACCAGTAGCTTGCTCAATACGACCACGCGCCCCAAAGGCCGACGCATGCAATGGATCCTGCTCATGGTGCACATTCCGCTCATCATCTCCTTCATTCTTATCGTGGCGGGCGGCATCGATCCCGACTCTCGAGACGGACCCACTTTTGCAGCGACGGAAGCCACTAAAGCCGGTGTCTCGCTCTACTTGGCGTGTTTCCTCGTCCTCATCTGGTCTACCACGGTCATCTCGGCGCGTCTCTACCTTGCCGACAGGGACGAGGTGCGGATTCTGACGACTGTTGTTATGAGTCTGCCGTTCTTTGTCGTCGACGTTGTCTACATGATGTGCTTTGCTTTTGAGCGCTGGCGTGTCAACGAAGGTGCCGATGGCTGGAAGAGCATGCGCTTCAACGTCATCAGTGGGGACGTGACTCTGCAATTGTGCATGTGAGTATCACCGATTTTATATTACGTCTTTCCCATCTGCTAATGTCTACAAAGGCAAATTATCATGGAATGGATCATTGTTGGGCTGTACCTTGCCCTGGGTCTCGAACTACCTAGCAAAGCTGTAAGACTGCGAAGGCAGATTGAAGACCAAATGGACCAAGCTAGGAACATTGACGTGGACGCATGGCAAGAGACGGTGTTGTGGAAGTTGCACGACAGTGTATCACGACTCGTTGCTGCGATGATCATGCCGGCCCTGCAATTCGCGCACTGGATGCTGGGGAAGATATTACGGTCCGGCCAACAAAACACGCCTTGAGGTTTTGGACAAGAAACATTGCTCTTAAACATCGACATCAGGATATAACCTCTTCTCAGAGCGCGACTGCGGCGGGCCTATGACGTCATGAAAGACATTTGCCGTCGGAACTTTTCTACGAAGTGCATACCCGGCTTCTACCCACGAGGCCACGACGGCATTTCGTTACAAATCCCATTGCATCAGCAATTGCATCTGTCGATCAGGTCTACTGAGACAATTCGCTCTGTCTCAATCGTGGCGAATTGCGTCGAGGTTCGGCTATCGCGGCCCATCTGCAGCATCCCTGCGCCCAAAACTCGCGATGCGAAACAACAAAGTCCGCCACCACGCGAATGCGCTGCTCTGTTCGCATTCTGAACCGCGTCAAATTTTTTATGGCTACAGACACTAAGGACTAGCACACTACCATGAGTGAAGATGGAAGGCGGGAGACATGAAGAAGCGCTACAGAAGACAGTAGCATGGGAAGGCGGCGGGACGATGGCTGAGAAGAACACACAGGTCACAGCTAATATCTAAAACAATACATACAACGTACTCTGCGACGACAGCTTGCTGACTTTTTCATGTAATTGACAGACATTTGCGGGCTATTTTGCGCGAGGTCACGTCTATACCATGCGCCTCCAGGGGTGGTTGGATCCCGTGTGGCATACATACCACTCAACCGTAACAAGTGGATAGTTCCTAAGACGATATATACTTCTAGCTCCAATAATGTTTCAATATCATGCTCCACGCATTGTAGCCACCTCTTGTGGCGGCGCCCTGTCGCGTGTCCCACCGCTTCAGTCGGCCATACGCCTTGCCTGATACACTCGCCTCCTTCGTACTAGTCCTTATATGAAGACCTCTCAGCGTCTCTGCTTCATGTCTTCACTACCCCAAACATTTTCTCCTTTCACCAAAAATTTCCACTGCAGTATCTATGTGCGGTTTCGAATCGTTGGAATGCAACATGTTCAGAGTCATGGGAGTGTGCGAACGCCATTTCGATGGAGCAAAAGGTCAAACACCTATCTCCAAAGATTCTACATTCGATGCATGTCTGTGAAGCCGGACTTGCAAGTATCAACCGACGGGGACATGTAGCTGCCCGCGTCGTCATTGGCTTTGTTATAACATGTGCGGTTGTCTTTCTTGTTTCTTCACTTATACATTACAATGCCGAGATCTTGATACCTGCACATGACTATTCTGCATTGCATGTGTTCTCGTCTTTCTACAGTCGGCAATTCACAATGCAGAGGCGAACTTATTATGATTTGGAGAAGCGTGTGCGATACACCTCCCTACTTTGTCGAACCGATTGGCTGGTCATACATCAAAAACCATCGCTTTATATGCCACTTGCTCCCGGAGAATTCTTTTCGTTCAACCTACAACGCACATGCGCGTCTAACTTCAATAAAGTTGTCCAAAACGCTAACACGACCAGATGCATGTTTGGAATAATGCGAATCTCTGAAAACTACAACAAGGTAGAATGATGTCTTTCCTTGCGGTTGGGTAACACGTAGACGACAAAAAGGGTGCATGATGCCCGATGATGACAATGTGGCAATAGTCATCCTCGCGTTCCCTTGCGATACAAATCAATCCTGGCCTTCAGTTCTATTTTCACACTTCTACCCCACACTTGCTGTTTTCTCAAAAATCATTTGAAAACCGAAACTTGTGTTTTGTCTGCTCTTCTCTCTTTCCAAATGCCCACAATGCATTAGTCATGTGCTGTGCTGTCTTCTCTAGTGAACTGGCTCTGTGCCCTCATGGGGCTTTTCAAAAGAGGACAGCTTGACGCCATCTTATCGTCAAGAGCAAATCCCAAAGATCTGGACTAAAGCATGGAATATGGCCAAAATAACTCTGCGCAGCAGGTTGAGCGCGACTATGCGTTTCCAGCTTTGCCGAATAAATGTCACAGGATGATGAAGTTTATAGAAATATGACCGATATGTAGCTACCTGGGTGTACTTGAACCAATGAGGCAGGTGCGAGCAGTCTTGGCATTTACGTCATTCCGATGCTCGGTACTTGGGCAAGGCTACCCGCGATAAGATTGGAGCGAGAACATGCAGGCGCGCATTATCAAGCATCGTGACTACATGCGAACATGGCCTTTCCGCGTCAATTGCAGTCGCGATAACTACCCGCGGTGATGTATGACAAGCCTTTACTCTGAGAGGATGTATAAATGGCAATTCCGATAAGTTGGTAAATGTCCGTAGTTCACGTCTTCGGTACAGAGACTGACACCAGCCATTCAGAATGGTGCGCTTTACAAGCCTAGCATTTGCAGCGCTCTGCCACGTGGTGGTTGGACAGAATATGCCTTTCGATGCACGAGAGGCGACCATCGACTCGGTACACCATGCGCTCTACTCCGGACTCTCAACATGCCGCGAGGTGGTATCTTCTTTTCTCTCCAATATCGAAGCTAACAACGACCGAACAAACGCAATCATCACATTGAACCCAAATGCCTTGGATATCGCCGACGACCTGGATGAGCAGCTTTCGACAGGAAATGCTACTGGTCCTCTCTTCTGCGTTCCGATACTGCTCAAAGACAATTACGATACAGCGGATATGCCAACGACTGGTGGAAATCTGGCTTTGGCACAGTCTCAGCCAACTTCGGATGCTCCAAGCGTTGCTGCTTTCAAGAAGGCAGGAGCCATCATCCTAGGCAAGGCTAATCTACATGAGCTTGCTCTAGAAGGCATCAGCGTATCTTCCCTAGGCGGTCAGACTATCAACCCATACGACTCCACACGAACACCAGGTGGAAGTTCGGGTGGAACAGGTGCTGCTGTCGCCTCGTCATTCTGCGTATTTGGCACCGGGACGGATACAGTAAATTCACTTCGCAGCCCGGCTTCAGCAAATTCCCTATGTAGCATCCGACCTACGCGTGGGCTCGTCACCCGGACCGGCATCATACCCATATCAACTACACACGATGTCATTGGTCCTATCGCGCGAAGGATCAAAGACGTCGCCACAGCTCTGACTGTCATGGCTACAACAGGCTACGATGCAGCCGACAACGACACCGCACTTGTCCCAGGTCCCGTTCGCAACATCGACTACGCTTCCTCGCTCTCCAGCACCTCACTCAAAGGTCTACGCATCGGCGTATTGAACGGCTTCTTCAACCGCACCGAATCATCCGAAGTCACACCGGTCAACAATGCCATGGACTCCGTCATATCGCGTCTCACCGCAGAAGGCGTGACACTGATTCCCGTCAACGAGACCATCTACAACGCAACCGCCATCCAAACTGCGTACGATGTTCAACGCTTCGAGTACCGCGAGCTCATGGATCAGTACCTGGCCCGTCCATCTCTCCAAGGCGAGCACCCTAGCACACTTCACGAACTATATTCTCGCAAAGCAATCAATGGGTCCGGAGGAGAGTTCCTCGTCATCCCCTCTCAATACGAGTATGTCAACACGGCTCTCATGTCCTCCACAGGTAACGCTACATACAACGATCGCCAAGCCGGGATCCGCAATCTCAGGCTTGCGCTTCTCAACACATTCACTTCGAACGACCTCGACGCAATTATCTACCCCGAGCAAAAGAACCTCGTTGTCAAGATTGGTTCGCCGTCACAGTCTGGTCGCAACGGTATCTTGGCCGCGTTAACAGGCACGCCGGTTGTGACCGTGCCAGCAGGTTTCTCAGAACCAAGTGACGAGGCGCCGATTGGCGTACCAATTGGTATGGAGATTCTGGGGAGGCCATGGGAAGAGGAGAAGCTATTGGGAATTGGCTATGCGGTGGAGCAATTGTTGAAGGTCAGGAGAAGTCCGGTTTGGGCTAGGGAGATAATAGAGGGGAAGAAGTACGAGAGTGTGCCGGTTATGAAGCCTAACACGGGAAATGTTCCGGATGTGTATCCGTTGGGAACGCTGGAATAGGGTTGAGGACGACAACGGCGCTGGAGACGCAGAATGTCATTGTTGTGTGAGATGTATTCGGCAAAATGTCAACATAGATGACACTGCTCGGCTTGAGGCACAGGAATATCACAGCCATGTATCAGACCAGCTGCTCTATCCGACCATGCAAGACATCATAGCCCTACCTTTGTCATCGGCTCAGACCCAAGAAAGTTCTCCTCAAGTCCCATCGTCCAACGCACAGTCGCGGCACCGGCTGCAGGCTGCCTTCATTCTGCTCGCCATGTGTAGAGACCGGGGACGATGAAGACTGTTGAAGCGTTTCGCAAGGTGTGAGGCACGTTGCGACAAAGTAACAAGGCCCGAGCGGCGCCTAGTTCATCGTATCGTCGCAGTGGAGAATGGCGCATTCGGATGCGCGCCGCATGTGACTTGAACTCTACATACGCTCAGGGCATGCTTTCGTGTCCAGACTGCTGCAACTGTCAGCTCCTCAGTTGGCATGTGTATCAGGATTTACAACGACATCAACGTACCGACGCTGCATCGTGGCTGTGCAGCTAATAGCTGCGGTTGTATAGCAGAAGATACGCCGTCGCTGCCGAAGACTGTGGCACGTGAAAGCGCGACTGCATTACTTGGGAGGTCGACCGATGTTGTGAGACACGCCTCGGTCGTTCGGCAACGGAGGTTTGCCAAGACCCTGACTAATGCGCGGGCCTAGCCGCTGGTGGCCGTCCTCTGCGCCTCAGAACCACACTCCAACCTCGCACCCCCACCGCAAGCACCAGTTCCGCCCCAGTTGCGCACCAACAGCCACAAACGGAACACTCAGGCCGGATCATGGTCGCCCCGGAGACAGAAACTACCCCAGATGCAGTATCATCACTGATGAAACCGACGATGTGCCACTAGAAAACCTTGTTCCCAGAACGGAACGACGAAACTTTCAACTGACCGCTCTCGCGCTTCAAGATATGGAAACACTGACTTGATTTGGATTGGTCAGTCTGAGACCCTGATCACCCTGATCACCATCTGCAGGTGTGCTCTGCATTCGCCTAGCACCCCAGCGCACATCTTCATTGTGGCTATTGCAGTACGGCTGATCGACGGACTTGCGCAGTCACGACTCGACGTAGATCGTATACGACAGCGACTGACACAACAGCTCTTCTCAACTCACATCAAAGTAACATTTCATAATACGTTCGAGTAGATCAATCGCCCGAACATCGTCAACTACCCCCAAATAGCACGCATAAACGTCCGCGGCCTCAGCCACGCTCAGTTTCATAGATTCAAGGGTTCATTTGTGTTCATTGCCAAGCTTTGAAACCTCAGACTTCTGAATGCTTAGCCCTAACTCGCCCTAGCCACATGTCCGTTGATCCACCGGTAAACTTTGGACGATTCATGCAGTACTGTGCGCTGTTGCTGACTACGACAAGTTGGTGCCAAGGTCGTACCGACACATCCTCATCACCGGAATCTTCACCAACTCAGACGTCTCAGTCTCCAGTAATTATCGTCGAATCTACGCCAGATTGGCTCGGTACACTTGCCAAACCACCCTGAGATCATCGAGCACACGCATCCCGAGTCAGAACTTTGCAGTTATGTTTGTGGAGTTGATGTTGCCGCAAACACGTTTCGTACGTTTTCGTCTAGCGACTCCGCACCTCATGCAACGTTTCTACGTGACCACGACGAGTTTGAAACTCCATCATACCCAGGCTCTCACGTCTTGGCCAAACCGGAGCGCCTCACCACCTTGGAACTAACCAAAGCCGATGCTGGTCACGATGCCGAATACCCTTCTCGGTGTCTGCCTGTGCTGTCAGATGTTGTATAAAGACGGCCGGCCTCGCAACCTTAGAAGAGCATCAAGCAACAGGTTCCCAACCCAGCAACTACAGTAATCACCACTACTCTTCTCTTCTATCTAATATCTCTTCACTTCACTACCTAATCTTTTCTCTGACCGGTTCAGACAATAATCAACAAAATCAACATGTTCTCCAAGATTGCCACCATCTCCATCAGCCTTTTGGCTTCCTCTTCCCTCGTGGCTGGCCACGCTGCCATCATCAAGGCTACTGGTGATGCTGGAGGTGCCGGTTCCGCCATCGGTGTCGACCCCAACACTCCTCGTGACGGCACCAACCGCAACCCCTTCCAACAGGATGCCACCCGCTTCCGTGGTGCCGCCGCAGACACTTGCGGTGAGACACTCGGTGGAGGTGCCAACGACATCGCGGCTGGTACTGCTCAGGTCATGCAGCTCAACGGCGCCACTCTTCCTCAGGTCTCTGCTGGTGGTTCAGTCATGATGACTGTCCACCAGGTCAACTCTGACGGTGCCGGTCCCTACACTTGCATGGTCGACGCTACTGGTACTGGTACCAACTGGCAAGCCGCCACTGTCACCACCAACCTTCCTGGTAACGACCGTGGCCGCAACCGGGACACTCAGATGCAGGATCTTCCCCTCACTGTCTCCATGCCCGCTGGCATGACCTGCACAGGAACTGTCGCTGGCCAGAGCAACGTCTGCATGGTCCGTTGCCAGAACCCCGCTCGTGCTGGACCTTTCGGTGGCTGTGTCCCCGTTCAGATGGCTGGAGCTGCTGCTGCTGCTCCCGCCGCCGGTGCTGCCGCCGGTGCCGCCCCTGCTGGTAAGTTTTCCATACTCAACTATCTGTCATTCAATATCTAACCCGACATAGCTGCTTCTCCCGCCGCTGGTGCCGCTGGTGCCGCAACCTCTGGAACTGCCGCCGCTCCCGCTACTGGTGCCGCTGCTGGTGCCGCCGCCCCTGCCGCCGCCGCTCCCGCTGTCGCTTCCCCTGTTGCTAACGCCGGTGCTGCTACTGGTGCCACTGGTGCTGCTACTGGCGCAACTGGTGCTACCGGAGCCACTGGTGCTACTACTGGTGCTACTGGTGCTCAGCCCGCAGCCAACGCTGGTGCCGCAGCTGGCGTCCAATCCGGCGCAGGTGTTCAGTCTGGTGCTACCGGCGCCACTGGTGCTACTACCGGTGCAGGTGTCGCTACTGGTGCCACTGGCGCAACTGGTGCTACTGGTGCTACTGGCGCAACTGGTGCCACTGGCTCTACCACTGGCTCAACTACCGGCACTGCTCCCCTCACCGGTGGCGCCTCTCAGCGCAAGCGTGAGGCTGCCCGCAACCAGCCCGCACTCACCAACGACGACCAGGAGGAAGAGCTCGACCTCATTGAGGGCGAGGACTTCTAAACGCATCGCCTCGATGACATTACGATCAGCTACGAGCTACAAAAACATAAACACGAAGGAGAAGGATGAATGGTTATGGTAATGGAATGGAATGGGTTGTATATACCTCGAATTGTTTGGAATAGTTAGTGTGGGGTGGAGCTAATTGCTTATCTCTCGGGCGGCGTCTGTGACGCGCAGAGAATAGGCTTGTCAATACTGGGTATTGCATGATAGAATGGAGGTGGAAGTGGTGGATTGCGTGGTTTACTTGGGCTTGGGAACCCTGGTCTATTACGCTCCTTAATGATAAGTTTGGAATATACGATATGGATGTTTATAACTTCTCCGCATGCAATGATCATGTAGTATGAGCTAACATTTGGCCTTGACGCCTTTGAAATCAGGCATGAAGTCAGGCTAAGCTTTTTGGATCTGCGCTAGGTGGTTCTAAGATGAGCATGATGCATGGATGGGGTGGCTATTATTGATGTGGCGTATCGCGTTTCGATGTTGTTTCATCCTGACCGGAACGCACACACCCGGATGCTGAATTATCAGCTTGACTGCGCGAGTGCATTCATGAAGATGAGTAGTCGTAGTGACTAACAAATTTGATATTAGCTTCTCATCGACCCTTGTGATGAACATTTAATGTTCGGTGAGGCTTTTGAAGTTGCGCCAATGCGACAACAGTAGAACGCGGACCGACCGCACCTGTACTCACCGCCAGCTCGATCTTCCTTTTCAAGGAGAGACGGGGTGACACATCGTTGCTTGTCCTCACAGTGTAAGAAGGCCCTTCCCAAAGCGTACGAAAGAGACACGGAATCAGCTGGAAAAGGCCAACAGAGCAGGCACGAAAGGAACGGGAAGGTGCAAGACCAGGGTCAATAGTTCGTGAAGTTTCATCATTCGTTTGCGTAGCATATAAAGATGATCTAGCATCCGGTTGAACGCTTTCGTCCCGTCTTCCACTTGTAGCCACACCACACCACTCATCACCAGATGCCGATGCTCAATTATGCAAAGGCCAAGAGCAGATCCAGTCGAGTTCTGGCACCGATGGCACTCAGAGCTACTTGAAACCCAATTCTTGAGCAGCACGCACCAACCGCCAGACTGTGTAAGGCGAGTATTGCTGCCCGACATTGGCCTCCAACCTATTGCGCCCAAATGCGTCGCGGAAGGACCCTACCAAAATCATATATGCGACAGCAGGTGCGAAGACGGAAATGTGGTAAGGAAGAGGAACGGACAGCGAGAGAATGAGGTGTGCAAGACGGGTATATTTCGATATCTAGCTATTCCGCGCAGTCGACCGAAACACTTGTAGGCCGCGTCCGGTCTGGAGCAGAACGTGTGAGTGTGGTGGTATGAGACAGGCTCGTAAGACGAGTATCTCGGAAGAGTGGACCAGAGAAGGGAGGCAGTGAGGTGTGTAAGGTGAGTGCGTCGTTGCAGATCAAGTCTGAGAGAAGCCGATGCTGCATGTCGTGGTGAGGTGTGTCATGGAAGACCGTCCGCCACCGAAAGCATCATTTCGTGGTGAGATGTGTCAACGCGACGATAGAAGTCACCATGAGGCCGACACTTCTGTCCGTGACTCACAGCCTGAAGTCTTCGTTGCTAGTACGTCGCTGTAAGAATTGAGGCAAGATGACAGATATGTTGAGGCGCAAAGGTATGGATACATCTGCCAGCCCTACGGAGACGACGAATATCGCAGAGTCCTTGGTGTTGCTTTGATGATGTGTCGATGTCAGAGGGGCAGAGACAGCGGCGGTCATGGTATGATTTCGTGATATTTCGGTGCCAGAGGACAGCCATGGTCATTTCGTCGCGATATTTTCAAATGGACACCAGGCAGGAAGCGACATGGTATCGACTTCGAGGTATTTTGAATCAAAAGCTGAAGACATGTATTCGTCCCAACGCCTTTTGGAGTGGCAGGCAGCGCCGTCATCTCAAGAACGTCTTCGTATTTTGGGAAAAGGTGAGTGAAGGTGAAGAGTTGATGTTTAAGAAAGAAGGAAGGAGCGACGTACGAATATATCCTCGCCCACGCACAAGCCCTCTCAGAACATGGTACGGCAAAACTCCCCCAGAATCATGCATCCCACTCTCGATAGGCCAGCAAAACCGCATAAACTTGTTTGCAGACTGCAAAACTTTTGGAAGCCTGCAAATGAATTTTTACATTCATACCTACCGAATACGAGGCTGTTTGAAGTAACCATAGAAATTTTCAAATACACACATACCAGCTACGGAGTTTTTTTAGAAATGGGCGAAAACCTCAAGAATAACCCATGTATTCAGAAATTCAGGTCTTCGGTATGGTTTTTGAAGATAACAAGAGTCATGTAGGCATCAAAATGTTTTCTGTGATATCATGTCTCATTCCATTTTGTACATCAACGCCGACTCATGCTACATACGTCATCAACACCTCGCCATGCTCTCTAATCCCCAGCATCGCGTCGTAGATACGTCTAACAAAGGAAAGAAAAGGCGCTCAAAACACATCCACATTACAACTTGGCTGTGGGGCCCGAGCGTAGTTACTCGCGCATGTTAACAACGCAACGAATGCAGTCACCAGCCTTCATGTCACCGAAAGCCTGGTTGATCTTATCGAGCGGTTGGCGATGGGTGATGAACTCGTCAACCTTGAGGTCTCCGCGCTTGTAATCCGAGACGAGGCCGGGAAGTTGGCTGCGGCCCTTGACACCACCGAATGCGCAGCCCTTCCATACACGGCCAGTGACGAGCTGGAAGGGGCGGGTGGAGATTTCTTGACCAGCGGCTGCGACACCGATGATGATGGATTCACCCCAGCCCTTGTGGCAGGCTTCGAGAGCGGCGCGCATGACGTTTACGTTGCCGGTGCAGTCGAATGTGTAGTCACAGCCACCGTCGGTCATCTCGATGAGCTTCTCCTGGATGGACTGGTTGCCGAGCTTGGTTGGGTTGACAAAGTGAGTTGCGCCGAACTTCTTGGCCCACTCCTCCTTTGCGTCGTTGACGTCGACTACGATGATCTTGCCAGACTTGTTCTTGGCCGCTCCTTGGATGACGGATAGACCGACACAGCCGGCGCCGAAGACGGCGACGTTGGATCCCTCCTCTACACCGTTCTTACCGGCGGTGATGACGGCGGCGCCGTATCCGGTTGTGATTCCGCAGCCGAGCAGGCAAGTGCGGTCCATGGGAGCGTCTTCCTCGATGGCGACGACGGAGATGTCGGCTACGACGGTGTATTGCGAGAAGGTGGATGTGCCCATGAAGTGGAGGAGGTCTTTGCCCTTGCAGCGGAAGCGCGAGGTGCCGTCGGGCATGACACCCTTTCCTTGTGTGGCGCGGATCTTGCCGCAGAGGTTGGTCTTGCCGGACTTGCAGAACTTGCACTCTTTGCATTCGGGGGTGCTGGGTTTGTTAGATATGGTTGGAGGGCTTGGGGGTTTGGACGTACTAGAGGGCAACGACATGGTCGCCGGGCTTTACGTTGGTGACGCCCTCACCGACGGACTCGACGTATCCGGCACCCTCGTGACCGAGAACGATGGGGAAGGCACCCTCGGGGTCCTTGCCGGAGAGTGTGTAGGCATCTGTGTGGCAGACACCGGTGTAGTAGATCTGAATACGGACTTCGTGGGCCCTGGGAGGAAGAACCTCAATCTCCTCGATGGAGAGGTCCTTGCCGGCTTCCCAAGCAACTGCAGCCTGTGATAATGTCAGCGCTGCCTCTTCTGAACTACTTCAATTCTTCGGCTATTGTTTCCGAGATCGCGTTCGCCGGTAACATCAGCGTCATCGCGCATCGCGCATCGCGAATCTTCTGCGGATCCGCATGCCAAGCCTGATGATGGAATCTGAAGCTCAAAAGAATGAAAGACAACACGATGGCGATGTCGCGGTAGGAGGTAGAAGCTCAAAGGTACGTACCTTGCAGGTAATAGTCTACACAACAATGTCAGCAACAGTTCAACGCGTCGCAAAGCTCCCATTGCAAGAAGCGGGGTCAAGCATACCTTTCCAACAGTATCAGCAGACATTGTAGCGTTGATGTCGGAGGTTCAGTAGTTCGTGGTAGAGTATTCGACGTGTGTCGAGAGGAAGTAACAAAGTACCAGCTCTTATATATACGGATACCGTCACTGAGAGGGGAAATAACACACTACTCCAGAAAGCTCGAGCGGCTCCGGTAGCTTTTGTACGAGGCGTTGTGGGGCTGATCGCAGTGATAGGTAATCGTCATAACTGCCCCTCCATTGCCCCTCATTCGCCCTCGATTCGTCGGACGCGCCTCGGTGCTGCTGCGCGTAAGGCTCGCGACTTGAGGCTCAAACTCGTAGCTGGCTCGGATTTGGCGGTTCAAGGCCTAAATGCTGGATCTTGCGTTGTGATTGGTTGCGATGGTGCATGGGCCGGGCATCTTAGCCACTTGTGGAGAAAGTGAGGTGTTATGTCATTGTCTCGGCATGTGAGCGCGGCGGATCTACTTGCCGGATTCGGACGGTGTATACGACAGGGTGATGTACATATATACGGCTTTTAGCAATGCGATTCATGGTGTTGAGATGACTTGTATGGATAGCATATCGTCCGGCGCACGTGTGACTGGAATTGAAGAGCTTTCATTTGCCGATATCGTAAGAAGGAGCCGACAGAAAAGACCACGCGCAGTAGACAGATACCGATGAGTAGCGCCAGCAGAACCATGCAGCCAAGTTAAACCCAAACACCAAACACCTCATACACTCATGCTCATATCGTAGGACTGCCCACCATCTTCCGGGGCTCCTCTTCCTCCATGATCCTCTCCGGCGTCGACCCCTTACTCGCATCCCTTGAGAAGTCTTTCCCGCCCTTACTCTTGCTCCGCAGTCTGCCCCAGCTCATCGCCCTCTTCCTCTCCTTGCCCTTGCTGTCCTCCTTGACATCATGACTCCACTTCCGCCTCACAGGCGGCCTCGCATCATCCAGCCCGATCAGTTTTCTCAGCTCTGACAGCTCTGCATGTCCCCGTGTAGTCTTCATACGGTGCGCCCATGTACACTCGCCGTTTTCGAAGAGGAACTCGCCGCCAACTTGCTTGAAGTCGCCGCCTTTGAGCGCTTTGCGACCAGTGCCGAGAGATTGGAAGATGGATTGGACGGAGTTTATGAGGACATGGGTTTGCATGTATTCAGGCTTGCTGCCCAGATTGAAGGTGCGTGTCATGCCGAGATGGTCGTAGAGTTTGCGCGTGGGGTCGGCGTAGATGGGAAAGGGGCAGCCGGTGGTCTCGGTGTACATGGGGATGAGTTCGGGGCGCCCACAACCGATGACAGTTATGAAGGTGGGCGTGGGCAGCGCGAGGAGGTCGTCGGGTTTGATGGAGGAGGCGATTGTGCGGAGGTATTCCTGGCAGTTCTGTGGTGTGTCAGCTCTGTCTATATGGCGCGTGAGTCGCTACTTACGCCGCAGAAGAAGTGCCGTATGAAGATGATCAGCTGTCTCGAGGCGACATGTGGCGCCTTGTATAGCTCCTTGAAGGGTCTGCTCTGGCCTTGCGCATCCAATACCAGCAGATCCTCCACCTTGCTCAGGTCCTTGTCGGTGGGGATGTCGTTGTTGACGTCGACGGTGCCCTCAAACTCCTCCTGTTCCTTCTGCAAGACGGGTGTTTGGCTCGACGGCGAGAACGGGGGCGTCATGCTGTCTGCGGCGTCGACGGACAACTTCGGGTCAGCCTGGTGGCCGGTTTGTGAGTGGGGTGGTGAGGGAAGTTGCGTTGTTGACAGCGGCGGTGCGGAAGTCGCGATCGGCGCAGGCACCTCGGCCGCCTTCTTGCTATCTGACTCTTCCATGGTGACGGTGGGAAGCGTGCGATAAGTGTGTCAAGGAGTTCGGGCGCGTATGTAGTGATGTATCTGTCTGTCCGGTGTTACTCAGCTCACGGATGCCAGCTGGGCCGGAGCTAGAGGGCCGCTGAAATGGTGATCGCTCGGGGGGCGCAGCACTCTCGATACGAAAAGGCGTAACTGGAATCTACCAGGTCAGCAAGTATAGAACGTCAGGCACGGAAGGCGTGTTGTTGGATATTTGAACAAAGACCCGAAACACCGCCAGACTTGCGACGCGCTGTGAGACGCAGGTACACGCAGCGACGTCAGCGCCTGTTGAAACCTGCCTGTTAGCTCCCGCTGTCGTGTTAGTCGTGATGCTTGGGTGGAATAGCGTCGTCCGCTTCTAGTACTAGGTCATCTTTCTTTTTTTCGCATTGCGGATGGTTGCTTGCGCGATAAGTGAAGATGCGGTGGGCTCGACGCGTTGGCAGCCGTCAGTCGTGTTGGCGTGACGCTTGCCGTGTCTCAGGGTATGCGCAGGGGCGGCTGCAGGTGGCGCTAGCGATACCAGGTATTCTTGGAACAACATCACGACGGGGTGGCTTCGCAATTCATCCTTCGCTTCAATTTTGTCTATACCCGTGACTCCCAAGAATCCCTTTCCGGCTTTTGCTAATGTACAGTCCCCGCAACGCCCGTTCCCAATACAGAGCCCATAGCACCTGCCTGCCTCGCCTCAACCCTGTAGAGCCACCTTCGACTTGATCCGATGAAGCACGTCAGCATACCTGCTGTAGTTGGGAAAGTCCACCCCCTGACAGTCCCTCTTGACCTCCACAGCCTTGCACGCAGTCAACTTCGCCATACCGAGGTCGCCCCTGATCTCACAGACCAGCGCAATATCGAGGAATCTATACCAAAGTCAGTAAAAACGTTGAAAGCAAACATCACTTTGACGACTACATGGCCTCCACAACCCCTGGAGAAATTTTGAAATCTAGGTTTGGAGGTAGTCACGTCGGCTTCCACTTACACGTTCGCCAGCCTGGCGGTATAGTCTCCTTCAGCCTTGTGTAAAGCCGCCAACTGCAGCAACTTCTTCACGAAATCATCTCGCTGTGCGCCTCGTTCCAGATTTGCACCACGGAAGAACCTCGTCTCACGCTCCAACTCTTGTAACAGGAACCGCCGCTCCGCACTCTGGTACCCAAACGTTGTCTCGTCCTCTTCATCATCGCTGCAGGCTGGGCAACCACATGTGAAGCCATAGTGTTTGAGCTCGTATGCGCGGAGCGACTTGTCGTGGATCATGTCGCAATATGACAGTGTGATTTCCTCACCCGCGGGGATTGGACTCATGACGTGAATGGTTTCCTTGCCGATGGAGGCGTTCCAGGAGAAGCACGCGTTTGGGTTGCAAGAGTGATTGAAGCGGGCAGCGTGTGGAAATACTGCGGCGCCAGCATTCATCTCCATACAGTTCGTCTGGAAGATACTGATTAGACTGGGTGAGGAATCCGTTCGAGCTTTGTGTTGTTCTTTAATTCGAAGAACTTCTTGGGTTGGGACTGATTCATGGATGCGGGACGGCCATTTCTTCGGATCCTGACCGTGGGAGGAGTGAAGTGTGTAATAGAGTGTCTGTTGCGAGGGGGTGAGGCTATCGAAGGCCTTCTGAACATCGGAGAGCATGTAGTCGCCAACGGGGACGATCAGGAGCGGGTCCTCCGCGAGGATGCGCGTGCCGCGCGGAATGGGCTTGAGGCTGACGCATCCATAGCCTTTTCCGGGGATGGCGCGTATCTCATAGTAGTCGTTGCCTACTACAGCAGGTGTTAGCGTCGCGGATCTCGTATGAATGTGCATGGCTGGTAGAGCACGCGCGACTGCCTCGATGGGTCGCCGAAGCATTCCGACCTACCTGGCGTTGTGGGAATCATACCGAATTCCATGGCGGCTGTGTGGTGGGTAATGCAGGTTGAGGGTGTTGAGCTCGGGATAGGCAGGCACGACCCGCCTATGAGCGTTTGCTACCCGTGCGATGACGGAGCAAGCTTTCTGACTTACGCGACCTTCAGCCTCTGCTGTCGCCTTCGTTTACGCATACGTCATGTGTGAGAGGTGAGGGCACGCCTGCCCGTCTCTGTCGACATCTCGCAGCCGTTACATCTTCAATATACCCTAATATCGCATTCAGTACGGACCATGCATTCTATCTAAGCCAGCCGCGTCCGACATCCCACCTTCTCGTCCCGTCTCACCTATCTCCATACCGTGACCGAGGCCGCGCATATCACTACTCGAGACTCCCTAAAACCACTCCACTGATAGTAGTGTCTGAAGCACTACATTGTATTTTCCCTGCAAAGACAAACGACACTGAGCACCTCCCGGAGTAGTCACAACATAATGGTGATCGAGTATGACTTACATATTTCATTCTGACTACACTGAACACTCAACAGCTGATATCGCTCGTAAACCACCTCATTCATCATCCCGTTTCTTCTCATCCCACTCCATCACCTCTCGCACCCACCTCTTCCGCCTCACCCACCTCACTCCTTATAGGCTCTTGCTTCCAGCTTTTCGTCTGCAGGTCCTCCGTGGAATGCGCATTTGTTCCCACGCTAGATATCACCAAAATGTCAGTCTCCATCACACATCTAGCTTTTTTTTTCAGGGGGATAGCCCTCACCATTTCGGTTTTGTAATCTGTCCTCGTCCAGTTGATCATGGATGACCCCACGCAGTGGGGCTTGCATGTGTACTTGATGACAATATTGTCGCACCCGCAACCGAACAACACTTTGTATCTTTCGCACATCGTTGGGCTATGGGTGGCTAATAGGGGCTTTAGCTCTGGTATCTGGCGTTCTTGGCGAGTATTCTGGATGCTGTGCTACTGGATATGGATAGTTGGTATGATGGAGGATGATGTTTCGCTGTATGTATGATTTGTATATCAAAGCAGGAAGGAGTTTAAAGGCTTTGCACATTCCTGCCGCTATCACAGGGAGATGTTCATTGCAATACAGCTTCAAGGATTCTTGATCGCCTCTTCACGACCATCGAAGGGCGAAGCATCAAACGTGGGTTCCGTCGACATATCTTCGTGTGACTCTTCGTGACTACGCATGATGAGAACGCACGATGATAACGCTCACCTCAACTAAGTGGCAACCGCAGCAACACTATATTCCAGACTTTCACACCTATTCCTGGAGGCATACGTGGACGTATAGCTTCGAGTATATTCCTCGACTAGATCTACGTATTCGGCAAGACCTTCTCATTGAAAGCGGATACTCTGTGTCACTCCCAATCGTATATCCAAATGTCGGGCTATCAGAACTCCATCATATCCTACACTCATACAATCATCACAGCAAGGGACAACCGGAGCATATCATGCATCAATGATTCATTTACTATCTCATAAACCACGCGAATTCCCTATCCATCCCGCTTTCCCCCTCTCGTCGTCGCCTCTCTCTGAATCATCTGCACGGGTTATTACACTTCAGTGTGCTCTTCCTCCCCTTCTTAAGGAATACGCTATCTGAGCATGCAAACCCTCTGCTCTTTGGTGAGCAGTGGCTGACCAACTCGTTCTTGAAGCAGCCACAGCCCATGTATTCCACTCTCTCGTATATGCACATGGCGATGTTTTGTGGTTGACGTAAAGGTGTTATGAGTACGGTGGTAAGCGGAAGTGGGAGTTAATTTGGGGGAAGCTGTCAAGAGTTTTGGTAGGCTGCCGAAACTGGTAGTGTGGTTTTGGTAGTAGTTGCTTGCGGTGGTTGCGGTAGTGGTAGCTGTTGCGGAGAAGCAAAAGAACGTGGATTCGAGGCCTAATATACCACATTCGAAGAGTTCACACTCGAAGAGAGCGTGCTGGTAGTGTCGACGTATACGCCAGAGTTAGATTTGGTAACCTGCGTTGCAGTTCTCTCAACATGTCTGCTCCTGGAAGAAATTTCAAAGTAAACTCGTTCGGACCTCCATCACGGAGCGTGGAAGATCAATCGCATCGGCCTCGAATTATAGCGGTATATTGACTGGAATGGAGACATCCTTGCGAGTTGTGTGTCCATGGCCCGAACACTGCCGTCCCTCCTGGCGATGCGCGTGGCGGCTACGTAGGCCAAGATAGCTTTCAGTGACTTCAGCCTGCGCGTTGTAGCTGCCAGGGTGATTTTAAGGTAGGAGTCCAGCTCAAGGGCCAAGCTCTTCAGCGCTCCATGGTCATATATCTCCCACGCCTCGGATTACCCACAGCCCGATCGATTTGCCGTCAGACGTCCACTCCGCCCCTAAGTGAGTGTCGCAATGTAGTTCAGCACAGTGCCCTTGCGCCTTCCTCAACAGCTCTATACTCTTGGTTTGTAGATTACTCTCGTTGCCTCGCCTTTCACGTCCACTATCCCTACTATGATCTCGTCGAACGCATTCTGTTGTACCATATAAGTGCCTCGTCAGTGATAAGAAGACACAGGTGTCGTTGATCTCAAGATGAATGCAGATAGGTCTATCACAGGCAGCGAGTGCTTCCTGAACGTCTCGCAGAGATAACGAAGTCGCCGCAGTCAGATATAAGAGATGGAAATGCGATGTGGCGATTACGCGGCTCGAGCCCTAATTTACCTCCATGTAGGGCGGCGATATACCCTGCCTTGCGTGACTGTGGCGGCTACATCGACATAGCCAAGGTCCATATCTGCTATACAGACTACGCGGCTGGGTCGTAGTGCCGGCCGTGTACTCGCATAAGTGGAACAGCGCTTTGGAAGGGATGGGCTGGATTTGCACATAGGGCGGCGGGTCTTCATCGTCCGAGAAATTTGAAAGCGTTGATGTCATGCTCATTGGCCGTGGAATAAAAGAGTGCTGCGGTGCAGGAACGCGTAGCTGCACTTCTCCATGGTTTTGCAAAGGCTGCCTTGGCTACATGCGCCACCACCGGCGGAGTATTTTTAGGGGATTACTGATGGTGATGTTCAGTTGCAAACAGATGTTGACAGGGTCGATGATGAGCTCAAGATTAGTGAGTCCATAGCAGGCTTTATAGTTGGGAAAGTGACTGGCAAAGGTTAGCGTTTGACCTACCATGCCTCATGCTCGATGAGATTTGTGTGTAAGCAAGATTTCAAGCGACTGTCCTCATAGCCAGAATGCGTATCATTCGCAATTATGTCCCCGTTCCGGTAGCGCTTATTTTACGGCGGCTGTGAGTGGTCAGGCTACGATGAGTTTAGGCGGACCATTGTTCGAGTTCCATTTGAGAGCAATTTTCGTTACCGTGCTGGTATGATGAGGCGAAATATGGGAGAGATTGAACGCGGACAGAAAGGAGGGAAACGTGTTGTACGACTGGGGTCGTCGTGTGATATGTATGTTGAGGAGATGAGAAGGTGCGGCATCTGGATGGGCGGAAGGGGCTGCGAGTCTGTTCTGGGACGCGCTAGCTGTCATCTGGCCGATCATCTCCTAGCCACCCGTGCCACCGCACCCTTTTCCTCTCAAGGCTTCCCTCACGCGAAACATATTCCAAACACCAAAACCTACCCTGGAGGTATTTAATGTGTTCTAGGTTCGCATATCTTAATGTAGAGCTTACTGAATACCTCCACTCTCCTTCATAATTCGGGCAGTTCAATGCCTTTGCAACCACGCCAAAACCCTCTCAGCGATATCTAAACTGTTCCTCTCCATGAAGAACATGTGTCCATTGCCATGGACATCGTCTTTGCCCAGCTCCAGATGATCTACCTCCACACCCGCCTGTCGCATGTACTCCACAGTGCAATGATCGTACACCGCATGGTAACTCGCTTCCGATGTCACCGTCAGCACCGGTATCTGCGCCAAATTTACCAGCTGCTTCGCTGGCTCATCTTGCATGATACATTCACTCGAATTGACATCTTTTGCAGGGATAACAACAGTTTGGATGTACGTCGCATTTGGCCCTGCCAACGGCTCGTAAGTGACTTCAAGCTCTGTGATGCCGAAAGGTCGCGCAGGACCCGATCCGAAGATCCTTCCGATGAAAGGTGGGCCCGCGGGTTCGAGCGCTACAATGCTTTTAACTAGATGAGGGCGAAGGTCTCCGACCCGCCATCCATACGCACCGGCTTGACTGTGCGCGATAATGTGCGCCTGACCGCCGATCTTATCGAGAAGAGCCGTGTATGCTTTGGCGTTCTCGGCTTCAGATATTAGGTTGTCAGCCTGATATTGAATTTGGGATGCATAGAAGGCGTCAAAGATCGGATCGCCTGCCTCGCCGGTCCCGGGCCATTGGGTGTGCAACCCTGACTGCGGCCAGAGGTTATGCGATGACGTTGAAGTGAACAGTTGCTCGATCAGGGCCGTGCTGGAGCTCTTCATCGTACCTATAGTCGGCAGCCATGGAGAACGACCGCGCGATGGCTGATCGCTCAAGTAGACAGTATAGCCGTGCGATAAGAAGAACGAAGCCCAACCTTGCCGACCATCTGGTGTGTCGAGAAACGTTGTTGCAGTCTGGCCAGTCCCGTGCATAAACACCAGGGGAAAGGCTTGGGTTGGCTTTGCCGGGGTGAGCTTCTCGACATAGATCTGGCTGACCATGTATTGCGCGGTCGTGTTTCCTATCTATACGGTCAGCATTTATTGAGAGTTTAGAAAGGCAAAGCTAGCTTGTCCTCCAAGAAAACTGCACCCTGAAGTTATACGCGACATTTTGTCTTGCAGTAAGTCAGAGTAAAATGCAGCGTATTCCTTCAGAGTGTAGCACACATACTTGGGAGAGAAGAACTCGGTCGTGAACTTCGCGTGACTTACTGACAGGTTCTGATACTCCCCACCAACGTAGAAGAACTCACGTTGCGGTGGTACGACCTCGCCAACCCCATTCACCCAATCATTTGTGCCGAGTATCCGCGCCAGCAAGGCAGTCACGTTGTTGAACAAGAGCATCGCGAGCTCGAAAGCCGGCTTGGCAAGGTACACTTACTCCAGGATAGCTGCAGGTTTCGTAGTAGAGCCGGCGCGATGAAATGTTGATGTTCAGGTTGAAGTGAGGCTGGCTTGGCAGCTTACATGCGCCTTCCACAACAGTCATAGGCCAACCACCTGTTCGAGCTTGCCATGAGATCAACTGACCACGACTGACTCAACCTGGTACAACATACACCAAACGTACTCAACGTATGTGCTTTCCGCGTCTGGTAAAGCAGAATACCGTGAATTTTCTTAGGCTGCAGCTTCGCAGAGGGGAATGGACCGTATAATGATCGCATGAGTTCCGGAAGTCGCGAGTTGTACATTGTTGCTGGATCGTAAAGTCTCAGCTGCTCCACACCTCGTTTACAACCATGCATCATACAAAAGGCTCTCGCTCAGTGGTATCAACGCGAAGTACCTACGAGCGCTGGCGTTCCTTCCGAGCGCGGGGCGCAACCGACGTCAAAACACACTTACCCCATCTGTTGGGATCAGCCGCCGCGTGGTTTAGCGGTCACGGCAGGGGCAAAGCACGCAACATATACGACCTTCCCTACGAAATTGTAAAAGAAATATCCAGATACCTAGACGATGTCGACACTACCTGTTTCGCATTCTCCTGCACAAAGTCCTACCAAATCCTTGGCCAATCTGTCGCCTCGTCGCCTTCTCCAAAAACGGCGAGCCAAGACATGATGTCTCTTCGAAAAAGGCTTCTCAGAGACGATTACTATCGAAAACGCACCAGGGCAACCCTTCACTCTATACTATCCAACGTCTGGTGCGCCAGCTGCGCATGTGTTCATGATCGTTCCGCCTTCCCCGAAACAACAATCTCAGAACCCCCATGGCAACGTGTATGCTACGCGACAATCGACGGACCTTTCCAAGCTTGTCAGCATGGTTCTTTCCGATTTCGAGAGTTACGGGATCTGATCAACGCAGAGGACAAGCTGCATCTTCAAACTCCTGAATGTTACGAGGTGTATTTCCGCTGCGTGCAATGCTGTGCGAAACTTTGGTGGATCTTTCCGAGTCCCGAGGTGATCTTGACAGTCGAAAAACGACTCGTTAATATTCCCGATCACCGCAATGTACTTGTCTCCGAGATACGCGACGCATGCACCAGGATCGATCTTCCGATTTGTCCACACATGACTAGCTCGGATCCTGCTTTCATAGAGCGACTAACGCGAGGCCGATTGCGCATGCCAGTGCAATGTGAAGCTTGCAATACCACAGTGGATGTGGGTCCCAGACGTTCGTATACCAGTAGGGGACACACAGAATTGGACATATGCATCACTAGGAGGCTCGGCTGTCTGAAAAAAGAGAGTGACCCAGTTTGGCGTGCACATTTAGAACGTATAGAAGACTAGGTTCCGTGTCTTGAGTACTTTGAAGAGCATTGAATCAGTTGTAGCCTACAATGACAAACGTTCTTGATGATCTATATACAATGGAACTAACCAGGCTTCTGATCTAGAAAGTGGAAACGAACCCTCCTCTTGCCATTTCAGTAAGTCGCAGGCAGGATGCTCAAACGCCCACCATCAGTAAGCAGGACATTGCCATTCACGTATCCTCCGGCTCTACTCGTGAGGAATAGTATTGCACCCGCCATATCCTTGATATTACCAGCTCTTTGATCGGGTATAAAGTCTCTTGGCCACGTTTTCTGGTTGAGCATGCTCGCGGTCATTTCACTGGGGTATACTGTCGGACGCTAGTCAGCAAAAGGCATGAGGAAGGGAATGCTTCGGCTTACAACCAGGCGCAAGTACATTGGAGCGAATATCGTACGGCACCAATGTCGTCGCCAATGCCTTCATGATATGTACTGCTGCCGACTTGGAGCCAGCATACGCATAGCCCGCCATCGGTACGCGGTTGAAAGCACCCGCACTACTGATGCATATAACCTGACTCTTCTGCTCGATGTTGCCGGCTTTGTTCCCTTTGTCAAGCAGCTCAAGGAATGCAACCATCGTAAAGAAAGCAGATGTAGTATTGACAGAAAAGGTTTGCGTGAAGTCGTCCATATCCCAGTTCCATAGGTGATCGCGGAATTCGGTTATCGATGCGCCCTTTTCCAAACCTTTTAGTGTTGGACCTTGAATGCCGGAGTTGGCGACAACGAGGTTGACGTAGCCGGATTTAGCAGCGATGTGGTCGACTGCTGCGGAGAGATCGGACTTCGATGTCACATCGGTCTTGAAGTAGTGTATGTTTCCATGCTTCTAAAATCACATGTCAGCATAGTCAAGCACGTCGTTTAACGAGCATACCGCTGTACTGGCTGCCTGCTTCAACACCTCCTCTCGGCGCCCCAGGATGTACACGATCGCACCATTCGCCTCGAGTGCTTGTGCTATCATCAATCCGATGCCTATCCATAAATCAACAAACTTGCATATTAGGAAAGAATTTATCCCCACCTGTTCCACCGCCCGTGACCACGGCCACTAGGCCCTTCACATTGAACAAAATACTCGGGTCGAGATCAGCCATGGTGGAGAGTTCGTATATTCCCAGCTAATTCAAGCTCTACCTTATGTAGACGGTACTGCCGTAGCGAGAATGCGCGAGGTACGGACGGAGATACCGAAGCTCCGCGAGTTGACAGCGACGTGTTGAAGCTTACGGGTTGAAGCTGATGCATGACTGCGCCCGCTATAGTGCCGAAAAATACCCCGCCCTAATGTCGCTAGGTTTCAGAGGAGCTAATCTTATTCGCTGTCGACAGACATTGCTCATCGTGTCTGCCAAGGTCAAAGACGCGTCTCTCGAGCTCTTTGAATTCAGACACGACTGCTCCTCGGAGAATATAGAATCTGGGAAATTACCGGCTTCTAGACCATCATATTAGATAAACATCGCCCGGCCGCGAACCACCTCTAGATGCGCATTACTATACATGACAGGCTGAGAGTCCTGAGCAGATGAGTTCAGACTGGGTCGATGTCCATCCAGCATCAAATTAACAAACGCGCAATCGCGGTCAATGTTCAATTATTGCAGTTCGACCTCGCGTTGTTTGCGCCTAATGCGGTCGAGCTTGTAGTCGCAAACTTGAGACGTCTTATCCCAGGAAACAGTGTTGGCGGTGTATTTGTTTTGTAGCTCTGTATTGGAGATGGGGAAAGTGCAATAGAAGAGTGAACCTCGGATGACACCCGTGAACCCGAGGCCGCGCTAGTACCGCGTGGGGTAATCAGCGGCATACCTCAATGGGCAAATGCGGGGATTGATGCCTAGTCGGCCCAATGCAACACCGAGTTGTCCAAGATGCGTCGTGGTCATCCTTCAGGAACACGTTTCCAATTCCAGCTGGATCGTGTTTGGCTTCTTGCGAATCAGCGGCTGCTTCATTCTCACTACCACTGCATTCATCTTGCAACCCAATTACAAGATGGGTCTCGCTCCAATCGAACGTCTACCCGTCGAGCTTCTCCAACCCATCTTCATTGCCGCCGACCATAACATCGCGCTCATTCAAGCGTCAACTTACATCGCAGCGCGACTCTCATCCGAATACGTCTATCACTCAACATGCGACTACTACCTCACTGAGGTACGAGGCAAGCGCGCCGAGCAGACAGCGGCTCAGACTTTCATCTTCGCCAGTAGATGGATGACCTGGGATTTCTTCAAGTCCTGGACTGTGCGACGATTTGAACCTGCAGGATGCCTCTGTGGCCTGACGACAGATGAAGGCTGCTTCGATGCGCAGTGGCCGCCAAACTTTGAAGATGCTTCACAGATGGTCTTCTCTAGAAGTCACTTGCCTCGACTCGCTTTCGTGAAGGGACGCCTACCGAAGAAGCTATTGACGGGCTCTTGGACCCAGGACAAAGTCGAGTTCCTGCGATTCTTACTCTGGATCACTGCGATGAGTATTGATTGGATGGACTCTGATACTGCACATACGGCTATTACTGCAAGAAAGAAAGCTATACTGGAACGGAATCTTGAGGCAGTAGAGCTGTTCAACCACAATCGACGCCTAGGCCGACCTGCCGACCTGGAAACAGTGCGATTTGCTGTTATCGAAGCTGGCTGCGACCGCTCCATCGTCTATGACACACTACTGGCTTCGAACATGTGGCATGGACTCAAACCAGCCCGACACTGCGCCGAACTTCACAAATGGTGTGATTCTCAAGAACTGGAAACGAACCTGAAAAGGCTATGGCTGCGGAAGAAGCTTCTTGAATCGTGGATCATGAGAAGCCAGGAAGAAGCAGAAGACGCGCGCGATCCGGCTGCGCTGGAGCTGGATGCTACCACCGAAGCTTATGACAGTGGACCAAAAGATACGCTTATAGTGAACGATCTTCGTTGGAACAAGGTATGTTCGAATTCCCAATCCACTTACTACTCTTTTTTCTTTCCCTAGGCCTGTTCGAGGACTGCACGATGCCGTTGGAATATCGAGCAGCAGAGAAATCACAAGGCCAAGGTTGCAACCATGGTCGCGCAAGGTTTTGCGCTAAACTCCAAGCACAAACTTGAACCTGCCAGCATCAACAAAGATACCTGTGGGGCTAAGCGTACACTAGATGAACCCACATAGAGGATGGATTATATCCAGAATGGCGCGTTATGTGTGCCAAACTATCAACCATAACATCAGTTGGCCGGAGGTCGTACGCTCCCCGAGGTACCGCATGTATCGTGGTCACACCTGTCCTCGTCGATTGAATTGCTGGGTCGAACACAACGGAGCATCTCAGAGCGTTGAGATATGGCTCGCACCGCCATCGTCCTCTACCAATACGGCAATGATTATGCGTCGTATTGGAGCGACAACGAAGTCCTAGAATGCTCTAGTTATGGCTTTTGAATTCCAACACCAAAGACGCCTTCCTTGAACAGGATTACATCAGATTTCTACGACCGGTTTTCTAGTCCAGCGATTATCGAATGTCACACACTAACACCTTATTCCAGCACCATCGCTCGTTCGGATGGTTTGCCGTCATACTCTCGCGACGTTACGGCATACACGGCACGACGAGAGCAGATTTAGGCGACTATTGGTATCATCTATATGGGCAACGACACTTGACTCGCGGGGCTAGTCAGGCAGGATTACAAGTTCACGATCTTTGGCTTGACATGTGGATTACGCAGACGAAGAGTCGAACTCATGAGCAGGGTGGATAGTTACGACAAGCTTTTGAGTCGCTGCCATTCTCTGACTTGTCACTCACAACTTGCTCGAACTATCACGTCCAACAAAGCCATCAATAGGCCTAATCTTGACTAATTCCGCCCCATCTCTCCGGCCATCGACCATGAACTCTTGGTATGCGGCAAACGAATCCCAACTCTGCAGTACGCATTCCACACGTGTGCTCTTTGCTTCTCGGTCCTCAACAACTGTAACTGAGTTCACGCCTTTCACGCTCTTCATCACGATCTGCGACAGCTCGCTCCACTTTTCGGCTTCTTTGGTGGCGGATGTGTCCGCTTTGGAGGGAATGTTCATGAGGACAATGGCCGGACTTGATGAGATCGGTACCGGTGATGATGTTTTCTTGGTGATAATCGGACAGTTGTGGACTTCTGGTGGCTGAGCAAGGATGTCTCCAGTGGTGAAGAGCTGTATAAGATCCTGTACAGGCTTGGTTGTCAAATGCGCATCACTTGCTGCTTGATTTGCGTATCTAGCACGATCAGCGACATGCTTTCCTCCAAAGCCAGGAACTCACTCCTCAATCATATATATCTCGGTCCCCAGACTATCATCCACCGGTAACGTGCAGACATACTGCAAAACCTCCGGCTCATGTGGTGTCGTGAACTCGATGATATTGTGGAACGCGTCGATGGCTTTTTGACGGGCAGTTGAATCTTTGAAGACCAGTCTAGCAGTAGTAAGGATAGCCGTCATCTTGTCACAATGTCTCGAACATGTAGATACCGATCGTGGCCGTTCACAATGTTTTATGGTAGTGGATGGAGATACCCCGCAAGCTCGGGACACCAGTTCCGATGCTCGGAATAGCCGACCCGGTACCTGCAGCGAGGCGCTGGTATTGTTGTAGGAGCCAGATGTACTGCAGCCACTGACTAGATACATGTCGTGTCCGCTAATGTCTGAAGACCGAACAAATGCTAGAGCCTTTGACAAGGTGGCAATGGAAAGTCATAGGATTGCACTTCGCGTCGGCACGTGAGTCCGCGTGTCGTGACGTCATCATTTACAACCAACTCACACCAACTGAACGCGCCTTCCCAGCAAAACTACAACGCTTTGCCCTCCTCAATTCATCAACCCATGTCCCTCCCCCGCTATCTCCGCAGCCTCAGACCAAATCTCACCAACCCATGGCGCGCATACTCCTCACTTAACCGGTCCATCCCCTTCAACTTCTTCGCCGGCTACACCGTCGCAAACATGACTTCCGCGACGTTTCCAGCAACATCCTATGCGCCAAAGTACGACAATTGGCCATATACAGACTCAGATTTCGTGCGATATGACGAGAATGACGATGGCGTATTTTACCGACAACCCAGACTAGTCACGCATATCGATGACCCGTCGATAGCCCGGTTGACGCAGTACTACGATACTGTGCTGCCGAAGAGTGGGAAGATTATGGACATGTGCACGAGTTGGAAGTCGTTTTATCCATTGTCGGTCAAGGAGGCCATCCAGAAGGGAGAGGTCGAGGTTTATGGTGTCGGACTCAACGCGGAGGAGATGGTGGTTAATGGCGTGTTCCAGGGCCAGGATCGCTGGCGCGTGCTGGACCTGAACAAGCCGCCACACGACGTACGCACTGCATGGGAAAACGGTCAGGACCTTCAGTTCGATGCAACGACATGTGTCGTCAGTATCGACTATCTCAACAACCCGCTAGAGGTTTGCAAGAAGCTTCTGGAGGCCACGAAAGAGGGTGGTAGCGTTCACCTCGTGATCAGCAACCGGTGCTTCCCAAACAAAGTGGTCAGGAGGTGGATGATGCTAGATGAGCGCTCGCGACTCGAGTTTGTGGGTGATTATCTCCATTTCGCGGGATGGAAGGATGTGCAGATTGTGGATCTTTGCGCGAGGGATGAAAATGGCATGCGCGTCACTGATGATCAGGGGACAGTGCTTGTGAGTTCGCAGCGACTTCCAGATCATTTGGATCCCTTATGGGTAGTGCGTGGAACGAAGAAGTCGTAAGACAGGTATCTGGGGAGGGGGTATACTGGCAAAATTCATAAAACCGCATCGTAGGCATGTCCGCACTTTGCCTGTAGCAACGAACGTGTTTTCAAATCTCTTGAAGTCTTCTCGCCTTTTTTTCTTCTACGTTCTTTCATTTTTCATACTACGTAGTCCTCAAACACCAAAACGGGCAACAACTGGATCTTCGGGATCCTTGTGGTGGTGTCGCTTCGGCTGGGCGCCTACATGTACTTCCAGCGGCAGCGAAACGTGCGCGAAAAGCGCCTCCTGGAGATTGCGGAGGCATGCGCCTACTAGCATGGCGGCTGTGTGAGGCGTGAGGACTACGAGAACCTCCTCGCCGCCTACAATGTAAGTGATAGATTAGATGGATTGATAGTAGATGGCTCTGACTATTTCAGATCCTCAAGAATGACACCTCCCTCGCAGGATAGTGCAGCGGGATGCACTTCGGAGACGCACCACCCTTCGGGGTCAACATCACAACCACTCACGCGTGTCGCCTACATCATCACCACCACCGCCCACTCGTTACGCTCGCGTCCAACGTTGTAGCCCGAGATGTATGCATAAGTAGAAGATAAATAATGAACATGAAATGGATGTCTGTGCATTCGCCCCGCCATACAATATTCAAGCCTTGCCAACCGCAAGGGCCGGCGCACAAATGCTTATTTACCCGCGAATGTATGACGTGTTAGTGTGCGATGTGAGACTCCCGCCTCAATTCGGGGGATTTTGCTGGCTTGTTTGCTTTTCGTGATGTGAGACGGTGGGTTCTGACGCGTATTTATCCGGTTCCCCATGAAGAGCATGTGCAAAGGCCGCCGATCACCCAATGCCATCGAAGTTGGAAGAACACTGAATCACATTATCATTGACTAATGCTACAACAACTAGGCTGCCTCTACAGCTCCTTCCCCTTCGTGTGAATAGGATACGCCCATGGAATGCGGCCTTGGATGCGATCTTCGCCAAAGACGTAATCTAGCACCCTACTTTGCTTCATGCGTGGAGCGACAATATACTTCATCAAGAGCCATTGGAAAGCGTAGAGCGGATAGATAAACCTGCCCACAAACCAATAGATCGGGGTAGCCCAGGCGTGGCTGCGAGTTGCGGCAGCTGAAACACCAAAGTCAAACGCTGTTGGCTCTTTCCGCGAAGACTGGTATTCCTGGAAGATTTGTTGGAGAGCGTCGAAGCTAACATCGGAGCTTGCACTTGATTTGGTCGCATTGTGTAGTAGGTTGCAAAGCAGTGCGACGTCTTGAATGCCGTTTGTGAATCCCAGACCGGCATTTGGCGTGAACTTGTGACATGCGTCGCCGGCGAGTACAATACGTCCCAAACTCCAATGATCCAGTACTCCTTCGTCCAAATTCGACATGCCGGCGGTCGAGCTATCGTAGATGTCTTTGACCTTCAAGTCATCGTTGACAGGCCAGTCTGCGAAGCTAGCGGCGAATTCGTCCATCTCCTCCTTTGTATATCGCTTCGGCTCCTGGGTCGGTTCTGGCAGCTTTTCGTACAGCAACAACCAGGCGCGTTCACGACCAGTGATCCACATGAGTGAGCGATCTTTGCCCTGGGTATTATTTCCCAGACCAGCTGCGCATGGTCGTGGTATGTTGGACCATAGACAACGGTAGTGGGCGGAAAAGGGTGGTTCCGGGTTGCGGCAGGCTGAGAATCGGTCTTCTTCTGAGAGTTTGTGCATGATCTTGCGCGTCCGGCTGTGCACTCCGTCGGCTCCAAGAACCATGGATCCGGCGAAAGTCGTTCCATTGGCGCAGGCGACTACAACGCCGCTTTCGGTCGTTGTAATATCGACCACTTTCTGGCCAACATAGTATTTTTTTCTTGCTTCGTCGGAAAGACCTTCTAGGAGAGCTTGTACGAGTTCGGCGCGATGAAATGCGATGGGCTCAAGGCCGAAGCTGTGATGAAGTCAGTGCGCACTCAAGCGTGTTTGCTAGTTGGGCAGGACTTACTTCTCTTTGACGATCTGGACAGATGTGCCGTCTGCGAACTTCTTGCCATCCTTTGTGAAGGATTTGTTGTTCAGCACTCGCTGTCCGATTGAAAGCAGCTTGTCAAGTAAGCCGAGCTGTTGCATTATCCGCATTGCATGAGCTCCGAGAATGAGACTGGCGCCAACATCGACAACGACATCGTCCCTTCGTTCCAGAACGACAAAGTCGATGTTTGCTAGATGTAGTGCATGGGCAGCTGTCAGTCCGGTAGGCCCGCCGCCGATCACGATGACTTTGAAGGGTTGATTTGCCATTGCTGTGGACTGTGAGTATGGGAAGTAGTAGATGTTCTCCACCTCATGAACAAGCTTTCAAACCCTATATATCTGTACACGCGACACCAAGATCGATGCAGGCGCTGGTGGGTCGTGGAACTGCCGATTAATACTTGACATGTACATAGCACATCGTGAGTAGATCTCGGGAACCGAAGTACACCCGAGATCGTGTGGATAACTTCAACATGCTCGGCCGAGGAGGTTAAGCAGAGTCACAAAGAATTCCCACCCTCGTTTTCAATGTGAGATAGAGGCTAAAGGCACTGCTGCCGGGGTATTGTGACACTGGTGTCATGCTATGAGAGGGCGAACGCGAATCGAAGACGCGTGCAATCGGGTGATGCTGGGTGATGCTTGGTACTGCGAAACTTCATGCGAGTGGCAACAGGAATGTCAAAAAGACCGACGCGCATGATGTAGATGCTCAGGGCATGGGTGCTGAGCCATTGCTGCAAATAGTGAGAGAAAGGAGGAACTGTCGCGTGAGCATATGAACGCATAAGCTTGTCAATAAGGTCTGGCAGTGACCCGTTGACGTCCTGTCTTTTGCATGCTTTGAGATCGTAACTGTGATGTAGAGACTGCATCCAGATTTGCAGGAGGTTGAAGGGCACAAGGGTGTTTTCAAAGGTTCTTTTATTGGTGATCGTGATGTTGTGGACTCCCGCAGAAGATCGGAGGACCCGCTGCCGATGCCCGGCGCTAGCACTAGTGTGCCAAGCCTCGATCCTCGTCTCAAGCTTGTTGGGATCTCATTCTCCGCACCACCGTCTATCCACGCATCCCCAGACGAGAAGCGCCAACTCGCTCAGCCTTTCTCACACCGCAAAGACTCTCAGATTCCATTGTCGATCCACTTTGTCGCTATCTCAAGACATGCTTCAGAATCGAGCCAGGCCGCCCCATCAACCTCCCGCTTGAAGTATTCGAGGTTCGATGGTTGCGCCAGCCAAAATCGCAGATTTGTGACGCGAAGTTTCGCGGCGCGCTCGGTGTCTTTATACCACTTTGTCTCTTCAATTTCCTTGAGTGTGGGGTTTGTTCCAATTGTTGCCACTGAACGCAGGTCCTCTCCGCGTACCACCAAGCTCAGAAATAAGCCCTGTACTGTAGTGTCTCCGCCCCATTCACTGTTTTCCATGCTCGGAACGACGTAGCGAATGTCGGCATGAGGATGCTGGCGACAGAACTCGGCCAGCGCTATCATGACATTTTTAGGTTCAAGCGATTCGTCCAGACGACACATGGTGTCAAGATCGGCTGTCGAGAGGGCGATGGCACGGAACCATCCTCGTTTACTCGCCGCACAGTTCCGCATGAAATCCACCAAGAGTTTCCCTGGTCCGACACATTGACCGCGGCTAACGAAGTGCACTCGATTGACTTGTATCTCCAGTCCTAACGTCTCCTGGTATAATTGGCGACAGGCCCATTTGAGCTGGTTGAAGTCGCCTTGAGAGTCCCGGTTGCTAAGCCTACGACCGAGAAAGCGCGGTGTGTGACCATCAACACCTTCGTCGAACTCCAAACCATCGTCTGCTTGAAGAGCGTGTGTGTATATGCGGTTGCGCAATTCGCCAGGCAGTCGCAACAAAGGGCTCGCGTTATTGGCGTCGGTAAGATCTTCTGGCTGACCACGATGCGCGTCGTTGAGCGGTGTTGGTGACATTGTCGACCTTCAGGATCTGTCAGTAATCGTCACATAGTAATGGGACCCGACTGGTACGTGGGCGAGTGAGCAACTGACCTCAGTGTAGTACATGAGCCTGGTGAAATCGCAGTCGAGGATGAGAAGGTTCAAGTCTAACCCGCGTCTTTGACGTCGTTGGCCTGCTAATCTTTCGCATAGACTAAGGTGAGCGATTTGATCGCACGTTAGCGCAAGGCTGCCGCCGTGTCCGGTCTTTCTCACCTTCACTTCGTGCACGGCCCACGTCCTGCTAGCCCGCTTAGCCTACTGCCATTGTCGTAATCTTCTCGTTGTCTTCGTCGCTACCTTGACCGCTATTCAGCTACCAAGTGTCTGCTCATTGCAACACCCGCGAGCCAAGTGCTGCAAGCCATGCAGGCTACCGAGCACTTTCCCCCGCATATGCTTCCAGACTCGGAATGGGAAGAGTTAGGACATTGCGTACCCGGTCACTACAAGGTCACCACTCACTCACCGCCGTGCACATGCATGGTCTGCCAATCACAATATCGCCTCTACGAAAAGCAGCGTTTTGACGAATATGCCTACACGAAGGCGATCGATAACCACGATGCGCAAAGTCTGCTTTCCAAGTACGTCAAACATATGAAAGAAGATCAAAAGTACATGAAGGACAGTCTGCAGTGTTATGGTGATGCACTATTGAACTGGTGGCGAACGCGACGCCCAAATGGTAGAAAGGCATTTCTCGAACAGGTGTCTCCGGAACTTCCCAAATCCAAGGAAGCGCAAGTCGACTATCAATGCAAAAGGTTTAAATTAGCAGATGCCGGATTTATGAGCACACAACATCTGTTAGAGACCAAGCGCGCGGACAGGAAACGAAACCGACAAGCGTTCCTATTACCTTACTTGAACGTACCTACACTGGCGAAAGATTCATTCACACTGCTCGGTCTCCTCCAAGCCCGTACTAGCTCGCCATTCGAGGACTGGGCAGTCTTCGACAACGACCAGCTAACGTTGAACTGGAACTGCGGCTTTCTAGATGTCAACTTCAACCGAGGTTGTGTAATACTCTACGGTCCAGATTACGGGAAGCTCAAGAGGTGGAATGCTGATTTAGCTCATCGGCGCGACGCCATGGGATTTCCCCGCGCTGAGCTTCTGCTTGAGGCACAAGCGACTCTCCTGCGAATACTAAGGCATATCATGACTAAGGCTCTCGAGCGCATGAGCTCTAGCGCTACTATACCTCAGGGCACCGATCTGCTCACGCACTCGCTATCATCGGGCCGAACTTCGTCTCAGACTGATGCGGCATGGTCCAGCTACGTCCATCAGCCGTCTTCTGCACCACCACGCCTCGATTTCGCCGCCCTCACATCAGAGGTACGCACCCGGCTTGACGATATTCACGATCACTTATGGCTGTTGCAGACCGAGCCGATATACCTACGTCGGTATCTACGGCTCATCGGTCAGGCCTCATCAATAGATGCCCATAGAAACACTGACTGGGGTGCTGAGATACTGTTGGCTGAGGTCAAAGCGATCGTCGACACTTACTGGTTCTGGCAAGGCGTAGCTGACGAGTTGGACATTATCACGTCGATCTATAACCGATTCCGCGACCAGATCGCTCCAGGCTCACCTTTGCCGGTCAATTACGAGAAGGCTCTGGGGTCATTGGAAGCCATGCTGGCACAGGGTATTGACCTGCGAGCACTGCAGCTTTCGGCACTCAAGCATGAACGTCCAGCCTTCTCTGATTTGTACGAATACATATACGACCCCGCACATAGATCCACTTTGTCGTCTCTCAAGAAGACACCTGATATGCCTAGAAAGGAGGACGAGTACAAGACGCACCGCCTGTGGTGGTGTCTGGGCAACATGCTTGGCGACTACGATATGCCTACGCGGGTGCCCTACCCCATGTTGCTCGGCATGCTGGACGATCATCTCCAGTCCTCCGACGCCAAAGAACGGAAGAAGATGGATGAGATCATGTACGAACGCTTCTCAGACTACGCCACGATGCTCAAGCTTTTCGAGTCCCTCCGCTTCCATCGTCCAAGCTACGCAAAAAGGGATGCGGAAGACTGTAAGCTTACGGAAGATCGCCTCGGATGGAGACGTATACGTCTGGCTGATCCCATTCTGGGTCCTGTTTCCAGGCTACTAGGCAGTCTCAGAACGTTACAGAGGACACAACCACCGGCCGGCGGCAAGACCCGGAAGTGGTTAGAGGCATTCAACGCTGACCATGCTGCCGCGCAAAATTTCTGGCTGACATTCTCTACGTCTTTTGAGAAATGGCACGAACGGTGTAAGTTCAGCGTCGAAGACACGAGAGCCTCGGTGAAAGTGCTGGGGTTCTGGAAGAGCGAAGACTACGAGAAACTTCTCCAGGCGAAGCGAAAAGCTGTGCTTTCGGATATCGAGAAGCGCACCAACCGCGTTGGCGATAGTGCATTTCTACCTTTGCCGCTATCTGCTCCCAACACAATGGAAGTTGATGCACACAAAGTCAAGGACAAAATCAAGACGCACGGCGAAGTCAAAGCTGACACGCCGGCGCCTCCGCGCCCCGAGGACGTAGCGAGTTCATCAAAGCTGATTCCCGTGCCAAAACGTGCGCTCTCCATATTCCGCAGCATGTTTCCGGACACCTTACAAGAGCGCTCCGCCGAGATCGCTTGGCACGCGTTTGTGCTCAGTATGACCGATGCTGGCTTCTCTTCCCACAACGCCGGTGGCTCGATCGTCATCTTCGAGGAGAACGCTGGCCCTGGTAAGATCATCTTCCATCGCCCGCATCCATCATCGAAGGTCGATCCGATCATGTTTCAGGGTATGGGTCGTCGCATGAACAAGCACTTTGGATGGAACAGGGAGACGTTCGCTATGGCTGCTAAGGTTGGCAAGGCTGGAGGATAGATGGTTTGAGTTCGGAGAGATGAGGGGTTGGTGTATCGGCTTTGCAATATGGATTGAGAAGACATGGATATTAGTGTCGCTGGGTTTCAGGTTCTCAAGACTTCCTGGAGAATTGTTTGGCCGCTAATCCGCTTCTAAGCGCTCTTTCACTATATTGAGTGGTGGATATGACATGCTGCGTACATTTTCAAGACGATCCCATGCAATCATGATACTAACGATGTGTTCAATCCGTATAGTAACCCCTGGAAGTATTCGTGTATTTGTTAACGTATATGTTTCTTGAAACGACGACGCATACAACCCGGCTTCGGTTGGGGCAGAAAAGAACCATGAAAGATCAGCTCGTCACTTTTTGGAGTCGCAGTGGGTTAGAGAGCGCGGAGATAACAGGTCACACGAGGTTGTTTGAGTGATCTTTTGAAAGAAAGAGGCGGACATGTACATTTCGATGTACCTCTTTTCGACAGTACGAAGGCGATGTGTGATGAAGAAGAGAGAGGTAGAAGACATTCAGCTTTATGTACACGCCCACGTTCACGTGCCAAAAGTCAAGCACTCGTTCTTCTCTTCCCATACTTCAAGATGTTCAAGCATTTTGGCAAGAAATGAAAATCAACGCCGACGAACAGCGTCATTCATTTGTACTCACGCGGATTTTGGAAACGAGGAAGCACCACAGTCATGAGATTCCTTGCTATTGATTTAGAGCAACGGTGGTGTTGAAAAGAAGGAGTTAGAATCTCTGGAGAAGCAGTCCACATTTGGTGAGGAGAGCGTTGTTCTCGAGTGTGCTGGTTCTACCGAAGTTTTGGAAAAGAGGAGTTCTGGGAGACAATATGAGCTGCCATAATTTTGTTTTTGGTAGAAGAGGAGTACGGAAGACGCAGCCATGGCAAAAATCGACTTGGGTTTTGGAAAAAGACCTTTTTGAAGTGGATGATAGGAAAGTAGAAGAGAGTAGACAAAAGCTGTCCTTTTCTACATCCCCTCAGCCCGAAGGATCGGATAGCTGACACACAAACCCCACCACCACCGCTCCACTCCACCCATCATCCCCGAAACGCATCGCCCTAAGCCTCAATAACCTCCTTTAACGCCTTCGCACTTCCCTCCAACTTCCCCCTCTCCTCCTTATCCAACGGCATCTGCACCCCCCTCACCACCCCCTTCCTCCCCAACACAACCGGCATACTCAAACAAACCCCCAAATCTTTTTGATACGTGCTAACAGGCCTTACAATCTTCTCATCAAAGATAATAGACTTGCAAATACTCGCCGCCACACCACCAATCCCGTAATTTGTCGCGCCCTTGTTCTCGATAATGGAGGTAGCTTTATTCTTCGTTTCCTCGGCAATGGCGTTCTTATCCAACGCTCCTGATTGCTTGGACGATAACGCGGAGGAGAGAGGCACGCCGCCAATGGAAGCCAGACTCCAGGCTACGAATTGAGATTCGCCGTGTTCGCCTAGGACGTACGCTTCGATGCTAGACGCCGCGACTTCGGCTTTAGACGCGAGGATACCACGAAGACGGGCGGAGTCGAGGAACGTTCCCGAACCAATGACTTGGGATTTGGGTAGACCGGAGTATTCTTGGGCGAAGTAGGTGAGCACGTCGACGGGGTTTGCAACCAACAATAGTACAGTGTCCTCGCGGAACGGTTTCATATCTGAGATTGCGGATTCGAGAATGGATTTGTTGCGGCCGATTAGATCCGTCCTGCTCTCGCCTTTCTTCTGCTTTGCGCCTGCTGCGATTACAACGATGTCGCATTGTCCGGCTTCTTTGTGCGTGCCGGCTCTTATGCGCGTGCTGGTGTTGCCATGGAAGGTGGCGTCTGACAAGTCTGCCACTTGGGCGTCACGGACTTCTTCTTTGGGGTCGACGAGGAGAATGTCGCCAGCGACAGGGTTCATGATGAGGCTGTAGGCAATTGTGGCGCCGACATCGCCGGCGCCGAGGATGGCGATGGATGAGGTGTTTTTAGGGTCTGACATGATGGGTATTGTGGTACGGGATAGTTGGAGAATTGACTGGGACGGAGGGGTAGAGGGGTGGCGTTGGGAGTTGGCAGGAGCACCTAGTGGATGTGGACTTCTTTCTTCTTCTGTAATCTAGTAATGCGGTAATGCAAGCTACTTGGCTACGTCATCGTGATGGCGCTAGTGCATATGCAGTCCGTAGACAGCCGGCCTATCAACATGCTCGTGAAGCAGTTGCGAGTTGGTGGAGTAACTGACGTGACCAGCTCTGACTTCTCATCACAGTCCACTCCCGTCTCACCCCCAGTATTTCCCCCCTCATGCGTTGTCCATTCTATCCTCTCACACCCACTCCACGTTGTCCTCCCGTCTCGTGCGACGCGTAGTGGTTCGAGGTAGGCGTTGGGGCAGTTTCTTGACTGGCTAGGAGGGCTTAGTTTACGGTCTCCGGGGCTACATCAAAAAAGATGAAAGCAAAAGAAGCATCGTGAAGTCCAAGTGCTCAAGCTACCTTGGGTGCGGGTGCTGCAGCTGATGCAACCACTTTCTTCCTTGGCTGTGTAGCCAGACCCTTCTTCAGCAGCAGAGGTATAACATCCGTCGCTTTGTTCCGGCTGATGGTCTTTCGGCAGACAGGACACTGTGAACGCTTCGTTTCGTGAGGCCCGGTTCGGTTCTCGCCGGCGATGAGGGCTTCCATGAGGCAGGTGTGGCAGAAGAGGTGGCCTGAACAATTAGTAAAACACTTGAGATGGTATGTATTGTACCTACCGCATGCAGTGGCTGTGAGATCTGTAGGATTGTCCATGCAGATGACGCAGTTGAACGAGTTGAAGGTGGTGACAGTCTCCTCTGGCTTTGCCTGCGCCTTGACAGCATCCTCCTGTTGCTTCTGCAGGGCCTCTTGCAGCGGCGTCTTCTGCTCCGTCAGGTCAAGCTCTTCGATCTTCTCAGGCTCGGCGCTCTCCTGCTTGGTTTCCGTAGCTGAGCCATCGTCCCGCTTCTGGCGCTTCGCCGAGGGGCCTGGGGTGGGCGACTGCGGCTTCCTTCTCCGCGGCGGTGATTCGGGGGCGCTTGTGAGGTCGACGTAGCCATTTGCGAGACGGTCAGGTCGTGAGCCCTGTGGGCGTGCGCGTGTGGTGGGCGGCATCTCTCCGGTGAATGGGCTGTACGGGCGCCAAGCAAAGGGTGAATATCGTCCGTGGTCGAGCCCGGCTGGATTGAGGATGTGGTCGAAGAAGCCGGTGGAGTAGGGCACGGGCGGGGCGCGGTACACGTCGTCGAACGGGCCCTCGTCGGCGGGTGCGCTGTAGTGGCCGAACAGCTCGCCAAAGTCGAAAGCTTCGGGGGAGTAGTGGTTGTGGTGGTGGCTATCGGGGGTGTCGAGGTTGGCGTCGTCGTGTGGGTGGGTTATGTCATCGTCGTCCCTGGGAGAGCGGTCGGCCGACATGGTGGTGGCAAGCGCAGGCCGAGATGGCGGGCAGGACAGGAAGGGCAACGTGCTCCTTCACCATGGCAGTAGCTCCAGGGCTGGGCATGGTGTCGCAGTCCCGGGGGCTTGGTGACGCAAAAGCAGCGGCCGCCCTTCGGCTCGGGCGTGCTGTATCATGCATCGCGTAGGGCTGAGGGGAACTGCATCGCGCGCCAAGATTCTGACGGTTGGACTAGACATTGAACATGACGACACCGAGTTGCAACCTCAACTACGACAGTTCTAAACTCCGACGCCATGCAGTGACCGCCGTCTACCAGTCTGACGATGCGCTGTTCATGTCGCTCCCTTGCCGCCAATGCCGCCCGACCGCGACCCGTCCATGCGCAATCACAATTCGCCAACGCCCCGAAACGATGTCTCGCCACAGTCCCGTTGCCCACACAGTCGCCGGATGCAGACGGTAGTAATGCAAGGGCGAGTCTGAGTGTCCCCTCGGAAGCCCGCTTCAGTCCCATCGGCGTCCAGCACCTTTCCTCGCACATCCACTCGCAGGTCTTCCCCGGCGCAAGCACCCAACCACCACCCGAACTTGTCGCACTATCCCAAGACCACCTCAGTCGCCATGACTTGCTCGGCAAGAACCAGGACCAGACACCGCCGGTTGGGTTCGACCTGCCTGAACTGCAAGGGACCAGCCTCGACGAGCACTTCTACAAGCTGGGCATGGACACGGCGGAACCATACCTGAGCATGGCGAAGAAACTGGCATGGGCGAATCCTCCGCCAAAACCAACCAGATGGGTGCGACGGAGCGGCTGGACCAGGTACAACAGCGACGGCACCACCGAGGCCGTGGATGCGCCAGATGAGACGATGCTCACATTCGACACCGAAGTCATGTGGAAAGAGACGTCGTTCGCATGCATGGCTTGTGCCGCCAGTCCTACCGCCTGGTACGCTTGGTTATCGCCATGGCTACTGGGTGAGTCCAAATCAGATCGCCACCTCATCCCACTGGGCGATACCTCAACACCCCGCGTCGTCGTCGGACACAACATTGGCTACGACAGAGCTAGGATAGCGGAAGAGTACAATATTTCTCAATCAAAAAACGCCTTTGTCGATACCATGTCCCTCCATGTAGCCTCCAACGGCATGTGCTCGCGCCAACGCCCGTCGTGGATGAAGAATAGAAAAAGCCAAGAGGAGCAGGACAAGGCAGCTACGTCGGAGGAGAACGCAGGTCTTTCCGGGGTCTTGGCTCCTCCGACCGAGGAAGAGCTGTGGATGGGAAGAAGCGCAATCAACTCACTACGGGATGTGGCCAAGTTTCACTGCAACATCACACTCGACAAGGCGCAGAGAGAGTACTTTGGTGAGCTCGATCGTGCGGGCGTAAGGGATAAATTGGATGACCTGCTCTCCTACTGTGCTGCTGATGTAGAAATCACGCATCGTGTATATCAAAAGGTCTTTCCGCTGTTCCTCGAAACATGTCCGCATCCTGTAAGCTTTGCCGCATTGCGATTTCTAGCTGCCGAGATCCTGCCTGTCAACGAAACGTGGGATGCGTATCTCAACAACGCCGAAGCGACATATCACCAGCTCGACGATGCTGTCAAGGAGCGCTTGGTGGCGTTGACGGAAAAGGCGCTCGAGGTCAAGGAGCAGCCGGAGGTGTATGAGAATGACCCTTGGTTGAGCCAGTTGGACTGGTCAGGGCAGGAGGTCAAGATGGTCAAGGGGAAGAAGAAGGGTGACCCACCTCGACCGGCAGCTCGCCAGAAGAAGCCTGGCATGCCCAAGTGGTACAAGGATCTCTTCGCCAAGAATGATGCCCCGATGGCTCTCACCGTACGAACACGCATCACGCCGATTCTGTTGAAGCTGGCATGGGATGGAAATCCTCTGGTGTGGTCGGACGTTCATGGATGGACGTACAAGGTTCCCGTGGATGAGGCCTTTGCCTACGATGACAAAGGGTTGAAGGTCTTGGACATGTCGGAAGAAGAGAATCTGAAGCTTAGGGATGACAGCGAGTATGTCTACTACAAGATCCCACACAAAGACGGACCGCTCGCAAGATGCGCCAACCCACTCGCCAAGGGCTATTTGCAGTATTTCGAGAAGGGGAAGCTGGGATCAGAGTATACGTATGCCAAGGAAGCACTGGAGATGAACGCGTCCTGCTCGTACTGGATCAGTGCAAGAGACAGGATCATGTCGCAGATGGTCGTTTACAACAAGGAAGTACCCAATGCACCAAAACTCGCATCTGCATCTGGAAAAGGCGCTGGAAAGAAGGTCGGCTTCATCCTCCCACAGATCATACCCATGGGCACTATCACACGGAGATCAGTCGAGAACACATGGCTCACGGCTAGTAACGCGAAAAAGAATCGGGTTGGATCAGAGCTGAAGTCGATGGTACGAGCACCCCAAGGATACTGCTTCGTTGGGGCAGATGTTGACTCGCAGGAACTGTGGATTGCTAGTTTGATCGGCGACGCGACGTTCAAACTCCACGGCGGTAACGCTGTCGGCTTCATGACACTTGAAGGAACCAAGGCAGCAGGGACAGATCTACATTCTCGGACCGCCGCCATTCTGGGTATCTCACGAAACGACGCCAAAGTCTTCAACTACGGCCGAATCTACGGCGCAGGACTGAAGTTTGCGTCTACCCTCCTCCGCCAATTCAACCCTTCATTGTCAGACGAGCAGACTACAAATACAGCAGACGATCTCTACAAGAACACAAAAGGAAAGAAGACGAACCGCAAGCAACTCCACGAACGAGCCTTCTGGCGCGGCGGCACCGAATCTTTCGTGTTCAACAAGTTGGAAGACTTTGCCGAGCAAGAACGACCCCGCACACCTGTCCTAGGCGCCGCCATCACTGAAGCACTGCAACGGCGGTACTTGTCAAGAGGCGGATTCATGACAAGTCGAATCAACTGGGCGATTCAGTCTTCCGGCGTCGACTACCTCCACCTTCTCATCGTATCCATGGACTACCTAACCCGACGCTACGGCCTCGACGCTCGCCTGGCCATAACCGTCCACGACGAAATCCGGTACCTCGTCAAAGAAGAAGATCGGTACAAAGCGGCAATGGCGCTGCAGGTTGCCAACGTCTGGACGCGCGCAATGTTCAGCCAACAGATGGGCATCAACGAACTCCCCCAATCCTGTGCCTACTTCTCCGCCGTCGACGTCGATCACGTCTTGCGGAAAGAGGTTGACATGGACTGCATTACGCCGAGTAACAAGGAGAGGATACCGCATGGTGAGAGTCTGGATATTATGGCGCTGTTGGAGAAGGGCGAGGAAGCACGGCTTGATCCCAAGCATGTTCCAAGCGAGGCCGATATGCCCACGCCGGAGAAATATACACATGCGTTTACGCCACGAACGCCGATCATGACCACACTCTCTCGAGGTGATGCAGTAGGTGATCCAACAGCGATGGCGTATCTCAAAGCGCAAATTTCCTCTTCCGACCAGGAACTCCGCGATATCCTTAAGCCCTTACGCGCAACGCCAGCGCCGCGCAGCAGCACTAGCAAGACGAAGAGCAAGAGCGGAAGTACGGTCGGCAACGAAGTCTCGGACATTGAACAAGAGAATCGCGAGATTCAGAGACAAGTCAGGCAGTTTGAACAGATGGCTAAGCAGTCTGCTGTGAGTGATCCTTGGAAAGAGGTGTACAAGCGCGCGAACGCTAGCACAAAGGCCAAGGGGAAGGCACCGGGCGAGTGGTGGCAGAATGGGTATACGACACATAACAGGAGTGCGGTGAGGAGTGCGAGGGTGTAGGATGTGCTGGGCGGATGGAGATGGGGTGTATGTTTCTTGTACGCTTTTTGTAAGATGTTTGTATGGCAAAACTTCATGTACGGGATGGGTAATGGGGCTATCTTGGGCAGATGGGCGGCGCAACGTCTGGTTCACTTGCATAGGTTCGGCGCATCGTCACTTTATCAAATGGAAATCTGGTCTCGCGTTCATCTCCTCCATCTCATATCATTTTATCTCCGCGTTTGAGATTCTCTTTCACTCGAAAAGTAGAAGCTTGGACGATACTGCGAGCGCGGAAAATTCTTCGCGCACCTAGCTCACATCGTCATGTGTGAAGATGCGCGACTCAAAAAATAACCTGGCAGAGGATGATGTAAAGAGATAACCCTGAAGACCATATTGCATTGATGCGCAAAGTCGAACGCCGTCGACCATAATCCAGAATCCTTGGCCGCAGCCATCCCAAAATCCCGACCAGACATATCCATGCCATACCAGTATCCAATCCAACCCAACCAAAAGAAAAGGAGACACGATCTATATGCCGCAAACCAAACAAGCAATCGCAAGATGCCATGCTATGTTACACGCGGTCTATACGTCTATGCCAAAGAGCACTCGCATGTATAGGTAATGACCGTCATCGCCGTCGCGATCGCTCATCGACGAAGAAGAGGAAGAAGGTGTCGGGGGTATCGCAGAAGTATGTAATCCGTCAAACATCGCTTAAACGATGAGAAGCTTCTCAACGTTCTCGCCCGCGCTGCGCTCGCTCATGCGGTTCCACGCGGCGTAGGTGAGGACACCGCAGGCGGCCCACATGACGGGGACGGCGGCTTCGGCGCCAGCTGGCAAATATGTTAGAACACTTTCTTTGTTTCTATTTCTTTCTTTTCATGACGTACTTGGGCGCTCGGCCTGCGCAGCCATCTCCATGACGCGTGCTGCACTGCTGGTTGAGCTGGAGGAGTTGGCGCGGATGGTGGCGGGTGCGATGCGCTTGCCGGCGAAGGCAGCGGTTATGGGGACGCGGGTGGCGATGCGTGCGAACATATTTGTTGATGTAGTGTGAGGTTTGGTGGAATTATCGAGTCGAAACAGCACTTTAAGTAATGACAAGTGGCGACGTGAGTAATCTCTGTGATGACACGTATAAACAAACGATAGTAGTCGTCGTACAGTAAATCCTCTTCAATGAAAGTGAACGTGGGTATTCGTAGTTTCGAGTGAATGCGGGGAAGAAAGAGGACACAGACACGGAACACGGTTTATATAAAGAAAGTGGGCCTGGGGAAGGTGTTGACAGGGCTGACGAGAAAGGAGGCGAGGCCGGAGATGGCGCGAGCAGAAAATTTAGGGGCGGTGAGCGATCCGTGCAGGGATGTGCCAGGTCGAGATAGGCTTGGCCGCCAGCACGTGAGTGGGTCGGGTGCGGAAATAGCAAATCTGAAGTCTGGGGTAGCTGTCACTTTTTGACGAAGTCATGGCCCTGGCATCACGAGGGCTGAACTCACGGTAGCAAGTCTCAAAGATGATGCATTCAATGTATTGCGACTGAATGCGACTGAGGTTGAGGCTCTCCGAGTTCCGCCCGGCCCTACTTCGCATCAAGCCGCAAAAGACCCTGCTTATGAGATCGGCACTGCGGCGCACCCCCGGCCTTCTAGACGAATCTACCGAGAATTAACCTGCCTTCGCCACCCCCAGCCTCAACAACATTTCGACAACAATTTTAGCCTACACTGTCTTATTCCCATGCATTCCAATAGTTCCGTCTTTGCCGTGCAGTCATCACCTTCCGCTGTAATACATACGATGGCCGTAAACCCTAGGTCGTCACTATCACCAAGTTCATCGGAATCTACTCATTCAGTTCTACAAACTTACTTCCACACGCGATACCGAGCGACAGCCGTCAAATCACACTATGAGTACACATAGTGTCCATCATCGACTTCTCTCGTTACCGTCAGGAAGACACGACAAGCCTCCGCTCATGCATTCTTCCATAAGAAGTCTTCAACCTTCTTCCCTCCGCATGCCTTCATGATGATCTCTCACATCGTTGCCATTGAGGGTCTCTCGGGTTATCATCTCACTGCTTAACATCGGCAGGTTCCCTAACAATGACGTCGTACATTGTAAGGCGGACACATGCTATCGCTGAAGGGATACTAACCTTCAGCGCTTCAATCACTTGAACCATTTCGTGAATACGATGGAGCTGCGGCAGCCACATGGCATATCCGAACTTCTTTGAAGCGAGCAGCAATCTCGAGCATTATCTTCGTACAAGAATCTAAGACTACAAAGCAGTTCACCCGAGCTATTGGGAAGTCGCCTTCGTACTCCGGCTGGATTACGTCCTGTGCACGACGAATAAGCTCCCATGGCGGGAAGCTAAGAAAGATGTTGTCCAAGCCTAGGCCCTTATCAATTCTTCGAGTCATCTTAAGATCGCCTATGACTTTGACCCAAAATTCTGGGCTGGGCGTGTAGAGGGTGATGAAGCTATCACATGCCGAACTGCCCATCGTGCCCATAGACATCCGCTGCTTTGCGCAATTAGCATGGCGGGGTTCTTCCTTGGGGCAGTGATAAGCATCGTGTGCGGTGTAATCGTTTGGCTGAAGATCTTCGCTCCACAGAACAGCTCAGAGATGTTGCAAAAGTTCATCTTTGGAAATTGCTTTCCTGCGAATACGACATCCTTGAACAGCGTGCGGAAGTAATCAAGGATCGGAATCTCGGGACAATCGCCAATCTGTCGTAACATATTGTAGAGATACATCGTCGCACCAAATAGTGCCTGCTTGTCAAGGATGTTGAAGGCACACGAAGAGCGTGAAATCCGAGATTGCGGACATGTAACTCCCCATCACCCAGAGAGTTTGCGAACAAAGGTCAAACGTCTTGTCGGATGTGAACGCGATCAACTTCCTCCTGAGTTTCCATGTGAGAGCAGCAACTTCGTCGTGGTAGAGCTTTCCTGAACTACTTTTGTAGGCTTTGTAAAACTGGTCCATAGCGCAAATCACCTCGTTCGCACGGCTCCAGAATGTCGCATCTTTGACACGATGTAGCCCATCTTTGCAATCCACTAGTCGAAAGAGATCTAGGTACTACATGGAGCTGAATGATCAAGACACGTATACTCAGATGGAAAATATTGGTAGATCGATGCATTCAACATGTGAAACTATCACCGAATCTTGAGACCACTCTCTATGATCACCACGCCCAAGCCTCAAATATCCTTTCACAAAAAGTCCTCCACCTTTTCATCGCCGCAAACCTTGACAACCGCATCGCGCAGTAATACCAATCCCTTTTCCTCTCGCAAGCCTCTCCATTGACCTGGGTACATCTGGTCCCAAACATCCACATGCTCTCTGACCTTCTCCAAATACCTGATGCCACATTCAACACGCTTCCTTTGCAGCATTCGCCACGGTATATGGACATGCACGGGATTCACTTTGAAGGTGTCCATGAGGAGGTGTGTGTAGTCTGGCTAGTTGCTTGGATCGATAGTATGTGTAGCGACTTCCTTCCAGACGTCGAGTATGAGATCCATAACGGCGAAGAAATTGATCCTTGCGAGTGAGAATGGACCTTCAATTTCCGGCATGATATAGTTTTTTGCGCGAAGCAATTCTACATAAAATAACTCATATAGATATCTTACATCATATTAGATAGCTAAGTCTAAGTGCTAGAACTCTAAAGTCGAGTTCTACCCTCTATTTCCTATCGCTTTTTACCGCTTCCGCTTAGATTCTAAAATTCTAGTAGAATTCCAGGTAGTTGCTTAGAGGTAGGTAGGTAGAAAGGTAGATAGTTTATCTAAGAACGACCTTCACAAGCAGAGTTCTAAAGCAATAGTTACTTCTATTTCTAAAAAACACTCTATGCAGTCAATCGAAGACCTGCGATACGCTTGTGCAGCTAAGCTCTACCTAGTAAGACCTAAATAAAGGAAAAAACAAGCCCTAATTTCTGCTTATACTAAGAGTGGTTTCAAACTCCATGCCAATTCCATCTAGCTGCAGCGAGATGGCCTCGAGTTTTACTAGTAGATATCCCAACAGCTAATCCACCAGTCACGTATAGAACCTCCTTTGACTGCCAATAGCCAAGCGCTATCGATGATGCGGATCCTAGGAAAGGACTACTGGCCGCGATACGCTGAGTTTTGTTTGCAATGTCGACCTCGACAATTTCGTTAGGGCCGTTTGTAGCTATCCAAGCACGCGTGCCCTGAGGGGAGATGGCGAAATCGTCTCCGTTGGTGATGTTCGTCGCAAGAATCTCAACCGCGCCAGTAGCAAAGCCAGTTGCAAGGGATATTGGAACCCTAGCAAAGAGCCCTTGGTCCAAGCTGGAAAAATATAGAGCATCGTCGTGAACGTGAATGCCATTTATTCCGACATGTAGACCTTCAGGCAAAGGATCAAACTCCGGCTCTTCCAGAACGATCTTGTAATCTCCGGTCTTGACGTTCAGTTTGTACACAGTACCGTTCGCCGAGTCGGAAATCAAAAGGTTGGTGGTATCATTCGTAGACAAGCCAGTCAGGCCGTTGAGTTGTCGTGCTGTACATAACTCCTGGATAAGAGAAATCTGGGCTGGCTGAGAGATGTCGCCAGAGGGTGTAACGGTGACGTTGCGCAGATCAATCTCCCAGACAGAGTTCGAACAGGTAGTCCCAGTCATGTTGGAGGAGATGACGTAAAACAAATCCCTCTGTAGCTCGGTAATGCCTAGTATACCTGTGAATGTGGGTATTCTGGCGATAGGTATAGGCAGATAGCTAGCGTTTGGTGAGATTTGGTGTAGCCAGGAAGAGACAACAGACGTGATAAGGACTTCGCCATTTTTTCGGACAGCGAGGTTTTCGAAAGTAGGAATGGTTGGGATGACATCAATAAGCCCGACGTCGAAGTTTGGTTGGGTTTCACACCGGTCTGTTGGTAGACACGTTGCCAATGCTCCTCCCAAAAGCAGAACAACCAACTTTCGCGATAGCATAATTATTGAAAGGTAGAGAGAAGAAAAACGTAGCTTTACTATTTTGAGGAGGAGCGTATTATATATATATTGGTGATCCGGGATGAGTTCCACAGTAGGACATAGCCAGCAGACGAATATCTTTGCAAGATCATATCCTAATTTCTTTCCCGGAGTTTAGGGCACCTCAAGGCCGCTCGGGATTAAAGTACACGACCAACGTAACAACTTCCTCATCACGTACCGCACGGGCAAGCCGATCACTTGAACGAGCTAACCAACACTGCCAAGATCACATCTGACGTTACACATCTCGTAATATGTTCATGCAAGAAGCGTAAGAGCGTTCAAGAGCCAGATCGGCGTTCTTTGAGATTTACAACTCACTTTTCGGTAACGAGTCACGCTATGATGGTGCTCAAAAGTGACCAACGAGAAATGCAGAAGATGACGCCGCAACCCACTAGACGCGACGCTACCCGGAAGCGAACTTTACGAGAGCGAGAACGATGTTCGCGAGAGCGAGAACGATTGCAGCAACGTCATGACATATCTAATCCACGATTGAAGCATTGCCGTTATGCAAGTCGAGTCCTTACTCTACACTCTGTCTAGTTCATTGTGCTCTTGTGAGAATTTCAACTCTCTCTGGCTGGAATTATCATTTTAATTTTTGGTGTTTTAACCCGTCTCTCTGCTGTCAATGCCTTCTTTGTAAATATGTTCTTGCCGTGCATTCTTTATTTTTCCCCTTCGAAGGTCTATCGCTTGACTATGACATATGAATTGGCTGACCTGGGCTAAGACTTGAGTCCCTTGGCAGCATCTGCTGGTAAGTAAGCAGAAATTTCTTTTTGGCTCTCGTAGCACGGCGATTCAACGGCGATTAGAAGCTACTACATTCATGCTCGAAGCTCCGGAGACAAGGTTAGTTAGCTCCGCTCACATGTAAAGCCGTTCATACATATCCATGCGCTTCTCAAGTATCCTTTAGACTTCTCTCAATTTTAGACAGACCGTTCCACTCGTTCCTGAATTACATTACGACGCAAAGCATATTCAACAGCAATGGCCTTCCCACCCTACACGAAGACATTCCACACAGCCACCTATCCCAGTATCGACCCTTCTCGCCCTGATCTCTCCACGGCAGGAAAGGTCGTTCTCATCACAGGTGGTGGTTCTGGTATTGGACCCCGCATAGCCCATGCATTTGCAACTTCTGGATGCACGAAGATCGCTATTGTTGGACGGACTGTTGCCAGCCTCGAGAAGACCAAACAAGAGATAGAGCGAGCCCATGCAGGCGTGACAGTCCATGCAGAAACTGCTGATATCGCCGATGCCAACGCGGTCAACAAAGCATTTGAGGGCGCCTCAAAAGCCTTGGGCAAAATCCATATAGTCATTGGTAACGCAGGTTACTTACCCGACACGAAGCCTATCGCACAAGCAGATCCTGAGGAATGGTTCAAGGGGATGACAATCAATGTCAAAGGAACCCTTAACCTTGCCAAAGCTTTCCTTAACTACGCCGCCGAGAAACCGACATTCGTACATGTCTCAACTGGTGGTTGTCACATTGAGCCCATGCCGGCAAACAGTGGGTACGCAGTAAGCAAATTGGCAGCCGCTAGGTTGATGGAATATTTTGCTTTCGAGAACCCGCAGGTCCGGGTTCATAATATTCACCCGGGGGTTATCAAGACAGACATGTACCAGAAAAGCTCTGAGGGTGGTTTGGATTTCCAGTTTGATGACAGTAAGTTGCCCAATCGTCTACTATATCTGTATGATTGAGCGGAAACTGTGCTAACATGCAATGTAGTCGAACTACCAGCTTCCTTTGCAGTCTGGATCGTCAGTCCAGAGGCAGAATTCTTGAGTGGCAAATTTGTCTGGTCAAACTGGGACGTGGACGAGTTGAAGGCCAAAAAGAAGCAGCTCCAGTCCTCGCAGGACCTTACGCTTGGTCTCCTGGGATGGCCTTAGATGCGATTGGATCATATAGATCACATTGTACAACGTGGTTCAGAAGCGAGCGGCCACCCCAACTCCATCGCAGCGCACGCGTAGCAACGCAGTACAACACTACAACAGATTACTATATTGTGCGCAATACTACAGTATTGTTTAGAAGTGTCGCTATTATCTGCATCCTCTATTTCTACCCTGCAAGTGTGGGAGTTGTGCCCAACCTTGCTGCAACGGCCGCAGCGCCTCTCTACGCGCATCCTCTTCGCAGTCGTCTCGCCGTCCTCACGCCTACCACCGTCCTTTTTAGCAATTAATTTAGATACGTCACCAATTATTTAAATCTCCTCTGCGCGTACGTACCGCATTTTGCAAGTCTTGCGCTTTGTAAGCATGTTAACAGCGTCTCGAAGGTAGCCTATTTCCACTTGCACTAACACTATATTATAAGCGATCTGCTGAGCCCCTTTACTTAGCTGCCCAATATGCTCATTTAATGAACTTAGTGATGACACTTGGTGCTTTTGCATGCGATTTCGAATTAGCGTAGATTGCGCCTCTATTCTCGCGGGCGTTCCGCGGTGTTTGCGCAGCTTACTGATAGAACACGTCAATCAAGGTCTTGGATCTACTGTACGAGAGAATGATCTTCATAAATAGATCGCTTTTCTTTCGAGCGTTAGTAGTCGCCTGTGGTAGGCTGCCCACGATGCGATCTTAGAGAGTAGAGCGAAGAGTGTTATATAGCTTCGCAACCTTGTAGACGCGTAATCTTCTATTGTTCTTGATCGCAATAGTAGTTAGGGCAAGTCTACAGTCTTTCTAAGGCGATAGGGGACGTTGCTGTCGTAGCATTGTCATTGTTGTGTAGAGAGTGGCGTTCATTTTGGTGAGGCTGGCGGATGAGTGGTGGAACACGTTAGCAAGCGCGTGGGACTAGAAGTCAGATGCTCTTGTGAAGTGCCAAGTAAGTCGACTGTCAGTTCGGGGTGCTCGGACATTTCGAAGACGCGAGAAGGCCGATAGGTTGAGATGGTTCAAACAGCGCCCAGCCAAGGCCAGACAAGTGTGAGGATACAACAAGCTAGCATTTTACCAAGCCTTTAGTCGCAGGAGTGAGAGCGAGAGCGAGAGTCGGTGGACTGTAAGCGCATTACCACCAGCGAAAGATTGCTTCCTTGTGTCACTTTATTTGACGCGTAGCTCACCTTGCAGTTGAATAAACGCTTAATTGGAACCAGGCGAGCTCGGCACACCGAAGTCCCGAAGACGCGAGAAGTGAGGCAATGTTTAGGTTCAACATTTTACAGTAATCTAAAGTATAGCCAGACTTCGAGACAACACTATACATATAATGCGTTGCTGCTCAAGTGCATAGCGTCAAGCATCGCATAGGATACTTTTTCTCTGGCTAAATTGTTCATTCTCACTCCTTTCTCAACCCACCCCCCCCCTTTCATCCAATCAGTGGGCATGGGGTCTCAGGTCCAAACAGATATCTTGATCATTGGAGCTGGGCCGGCTGGAGCAGCTTTGGCATCTTTCTTGGGCCAGAATGGTAACGAATATCTCTAATCTCAAGGTTATTGGATGACTACTGACCCAAAGATGGTAGGGTTAAGCGGGCTCGTGATATCGAAAGACTCTTCTACTGCCTTTACACCAAGAGCTCACGGATTTAATCCTTTTGCTTTCGGTAAGATAGCCCTAGAGGTGTTCCGTATGCCGAAACATGACTTATTCATCTAGAATGTCTCCGCGACATCGATCTTGAGGATGAAGGGTTGAGACTGGCAATTCGTGGCTCTACCCCTCTATCCATGCGATTTTCCCGAAACTTGATTGGAGAAAAAGAGTACGGGAGAGTCCTGGCATGGCAGGAGATGCCAGTCAGTGCGGTAAGCTCAACAGAATACCGACCAGTTAGAAGGGGGCTTGTCGACTAATCGCTGCTATAAACAGGGTCGAGTGAAGGAAACGACTCCATGCGAATACGTCGACTTGACTCAACGCCACATCGAACCACTTCTCCTCCGCTATGCCTCTCATCACAACTTTAAACATCGCTTCTCGACAGAACTTATCAAGGTGGAGCGTATCAGTGATGATCTTGGTATAGGATACCTCTGTGCTATTCAAGATCACATAACAAACCGGCACTTCAACATCCGTACCAAGTATCTTTTCGGTGCAGATGGGGGGCGAAGCCAGATAGCTCGTTCCTTCAATTTCAACTTCTCGATCACTCCAGGGGGCCCCAAGGCTTGCAATGTTCTAATTCGCGCAGAACTCGGTCATCTCTTAAAGGAGAAGCAGTACGCCGGCCTCCATTGGATGATCAAGCCCGACCGCAAGACCTTCCCTGGAGTCGTTGCTCACCTGCGCATGGTTCGGCCATGGAACGAATGGGTCATGGTTGCTTTTGGACCTGGCGGCACGAATCCATTCGAAGGACTTACTACAGAGAGCCCTGAGCTTGTTGATTGTTTCCGAGAGCTTGTCGGAGACGAAAATATAGATGTCAAGGTCCTGCAGATTGACCCTTGGACCGTCCGCGAAGCTGTTGCAAAAGAATACTCAAACAGCGAAAAGAATGTCTTCCTGCTCGGTGACGCAGCTCACCGTCACCCTCCCACATTTGGCTTGGGGAGCAACACTTGCATTCAAGATGCGTACAACCTAGCATGGAAAGTCGCGTATGTCGCAAAGGGCTTAGCTGGCCCCAATCTCTTGGAGTCGTATAACACGGAGCGGCAACCAGTCGGCGCAAAGCTTGTGCGCGAGTCCAACAACCAAATTCGCGCCAATTCCGAGATATGGGAAGCGCTGGGAATGACTGCTTCACCCGAAGAAGGAGTTAAGCAGCTGGAAGAGCTGACGCAGGCGACCGCTGCAGGCTCAGCTCGTCGAGTGCGGCTCCAAGAGGCTTTAGAGCAAAAGAGGCAGGAGCTAGAAAGCCTCGGAATGGCCTACAATCAGTGGTACACCTCTGATGCTGTATACCTGGACGACGAGGACAGCCCCAGGCCTACCTTGGAGGGCGACCCCATCGTGGAGGTGCAGATCAGCACATATCCCGGCAGTCGACTACCTCATGTCTGGCTCGATGGTGCTTCGCGCCATACATTGGAATCAACACTTGATCTCGCTGGGAAAGGCTCCTTTTGCTTGCTGGTTGGAGTTGGTGGGCAAGCTTGGAGGGTTGCGGCGGAAAACATTCGTAAAGCCACGGGCATTCCAATGGTCAGTTATGGCATCGGGCATGGCTTGGAATATACTGACATTCGCCGCGACTGGCATCGGAAGAGTGGAGTGGGAGAGACCGGATGTGTTTTGGTTCGGCCTGATAGATTCGTCGCTTGGAGGTCTGTTGGACAGCCCAACGACTGTGAGAAGAAGCTAAGGCAGGTACTCAATAAGATCCTGTCCAAGTGAAACCTATAGCTTAGTACACTCTATTCAATAGTACATAACGAAGTCAATAACAGCAGATGGATCGTATAAATCGATAATTGTTGACAGCAATTTCGCAATATTCTCTCCAGAATGTGGGCCTTTTAGAGGTGGGAGGGCAAGAAGGGCTGTTTGCAACAAACCATTGTAGGTACCTCACTGCAGCGCAATTTCACGCATCGATCAGGAGCCTCCGCCGGAGCGATACCATCGCTGCAAAAGCTGGGGTGGTGACTGGATGCACCAACTGAGCCATCCGTGGAACGAAGATGACTCCCCAGCCGCGCTAGCCCACATGCGGACCACCACACAGTGATCCTCCTTAGATATGGGCGGTGTCAGCAAATAAGACCCATGTTCCGTGGCTGGTCCGAATGTGATAATCGTGAAAGGCGGTTTCCGAGGGTACGCTGAGAGAAGAAGCCGCTCAAATTCCGCGCACGCCTGCAAACGTCATCGACAGGAGGGCAGCACAGCAATCGCCATCGCGACAGCCCAATGTCAGCAAACGACCCTGATAATCCATGGAAGATACGAATGCGGCAACGCCGATAGATGACTTTCGAGGGTCGCTGTGCAGAGATGCGGCTCAGGGTCTTCGCTCCGGCAGACGTCGCCGAGGGAAGCAGAGGCGCACTGGGGAGGAAGTCGCGACGGTGAACACCTCGTGCAACTCTAGACCAACGAGTTCAAGCAACATTATGATCATGTAATGAATCAATATTTGAAATACTCATCAACTGCGTTCTCACGTACGCATCAGAGAAAAAATACCTATACACAAACTCCACCCAATGCTTAGGCAGTCGAATATCTGTCCAGCGCGCAACAGTCCCATCACTAAACCCCGTTTCCAGTCCTGACCCAACATCACCCATTTCATCCCATTAGCACCCCTCTCATCCCTCATTATGACTTCCCACCCTTCCGTTGCTTAACCCTCGACCCAATACTATCCGCCCCACTGCTCATCCCCGGCACGCCATTCGCCGGCGTACTCGGCGCCTCCTCAATCCTGTCCATGTCCTTCTCGACTTCCACATCCTCCTTGATCAACTTCTCCTTCTCCTCAGTCTCCTCATCCGTCGGCGCATACTCACTGCGATCATCATCCGCATCTTTGTACACCAAAAATCTATACGCGATCCTGCAGATGAAGAACCACCAGAAGAGGTTGACTGCCTGCAGCGATGCGAGCAGAGCGAAGGTAATGTACTGACTGATCCAGCACTTGTATTGTTGCGTTTCCCAGTTGAGTTCGAAGGGCCCGACGGTTTTGAAGGTGGTCAGGATGGAGTAGATGATTTTGAGGTTGATGTAGTGACGTGTGTAGCCCCAGATGACCATGAAGACGAAGAAGTAGGGGCCGACGATGGGGGAGTCGATGTAGTTCAGGCATTTGGATGTCTGATCGTGTTAGTAAACCAATCTTGAAGTTGGAGAGAATCGCAAACTTACAGCCAAAAAGAAATCGCTCACGTCATGCGTGATGTACACTGCAATTCCCATGTACGTAAAATGAAACCTGTAGCTCAACCAAATCAAGCTCACAGTAATGACATGATGCGCAACCAACTCCTTAAAGTCCTTCCGTGGCTTCTCCAGCATAAGCAACAGCACAATCGCCTGCTGCGCCCAGTAACTCGCTTGAAGGAGATAGTACGCCTTGACAACCGCCTCGTGCGTGCGGTGCGGAAAGCCCTCATACATGCCAATAGGGTTGAAGTACCACACAGGCGTGCGACTCATGATCCAGATACCAAACGGCCCGTACAGCGCAAAGTACAGCGCCGTGTACGCCTGCTCCATGAACCTCGACTGTTTATCCCTGTTCCTGATCCCGAACCGAATCGCAATCGGGCGAATGAGTCGCTGCATGCAGAACTCGCGGGTGAAGCTCAGCACGATGATGTAGAAACCGACGAAAGCGAAATCACGCCCGCCCTTGCCGTAGTGAACTGGGCCATTGGGGTCCGCGCGGACGTGGGCGGGGATGAGCGGGTCGTCGCGTGCGAGCGGGTAGGACAGGAAGAGGCAGGCGGACAGCGGGTTTGACTCGTAGGGGTAGATGAGGTAGAGGGTGACGATTGTGAGGCCGATGATGAGGGGGAGCAGCCAGGTATGACGGATGCACTGGCGCTTGAATTTGGAGAGGTAGCGGCGTGTTGTTCGTCGTTTGGAGCGGCGGGCGGATTTCTCTGGTTTCTAGGAGACGTTATTAGCGAATGTCCTTGGCACTGGTCCGTAACAAAGTACTTGATCGGTGTCAGGGTAAGGAAAAAGTAACTCACCGAGTCCATGCTCGTCGGACTGTTCAGCGGCGGGGTGCTCGTGCGGTGTGTTGCGAGCGCCGGTACATCGACATCGCCAGGTACATCGGAACCAAGCGCACTAGATTTCCTTCTCCGTCTTGCGGCACCGTTGACCCCCGTGTTATGTGGCAGTGCGCCGTTGAGGGGAGGAAACGGTTCCGTCATTGTGAGGTTGAAGAGAGGCGTTGATCCGCACGCGGGAAGACAGGGTCGGTAGTCGCAATATAATGTACCGTATGTTCAGAAGAAAGAAAACACCGCCCAGTATCACAGGAAGCTCCGAAGAAAAGCCTGCGGCACAGAAGATATAAAAGCGGATGCGTCGCCTTCTCCTTTCTCTGGCTTTCCCGAGGCTCGCCGCAAGTCAGGCCTCGCTGGCTCGACGTCCCAAGCAATTTCCGAACGGTGCAGTGGAGCGCTTGGCTTTCCGTAGCGCGTTGATCTGCCATGTAGCCAGGGGTATGTCTTATGTCAGCGGCGTACTCGCTTAAAACTTCTATGGAGAGATGCGATTTGAATCCAATTCAGGACGAGTGAACAGTGAAGATGCTTTTTGGACCCCGATGGAGGATGATCCGGCACCCGTCGGCGGGGTCTAGGATTTGACAGAAGAACAGCGACGTGCGTCACAGGTACATGGACCAAGCAATCGAGATACGGGGATGATGGGGCGGGAAGCCACCCGGACCAAAAGCAACGGTAATCTCGAAGCTTATTTCGCTGATTATTGGTGTTTTGTATTTACATGGCTGCAGTCACCTACTAACGCAGCTAGACTACACACTTCATACCCATGAACACATCTTCGCTTATGCCGCTATGCTGCAGGTCTTAGCCTGCTCCCTGCATGACTATGTGCTTGAGTAGGCGCACCATTTGCTTTTATCTCCAGCCTTTTCCCCGCAATCTCAAGATTCTTCTTCAATTCAGTTGTGGGTGTGCCAACGCTGCTCGCTGTGACTGTACTATCCATGCTCCCTTTTCTGGAGAGTACACCATCCTGCCGCAACAAGCCTTTGATGCCACCCGCCTTCCGCGCTGGAAGCTCGCCTTTCCCAGCCGTAGCGACGTAAAGTAGGTACTTCAGATTCGGTAATGTGTGGCGAATATCGACGGGTCGCAGGCCGAGAGAGTTGGATAGGATTTCGATGTTTTTGTTGAGGAGGAAGACACCGTACTCGAAGCGATACCTCACAACATTCTTCATGTAGAGAGGGTATGTGCGTTGGGGGTTCTGATTGGCCTGCGTGACGGCAAGTGGATCATCAATGGTCGATGTTGAGCCGTGTGGTGATATTGGATACGGTAATATGACAGACAGATAGGGCGACAGCGAGTTGACGACTTGAGCGACGTAACCTAGTGCTGCGGAGGTCACGTCCGGATTTACTTCGTCGAAATGAGAGTTGGGTAAGGGGACGCCTCGTATCGTGAAGGCGAGCGCTTTGCCTTGAACAGGCTCGATAGGGAATATCCTGAGGAGGTCTTCGCAGACCCTCCGCCGTTGGCCAGTGATGTCCTCGCCAGCCTTCTCTATGAGGTCTTTGCTCTCCGTACACTTGGCTCTCTCTTCAGTCAGCGCAGTCTCAGCTTGTGCTTGCAAGTCTCGTCCTGCTTGCATCTTGTCCCGTCGGTACTTGATGTTGGCTTGAAGCTCGTCGCGTCTTCTTCGTGCTGCCACCATTCTTCGCTTCTCAGCAGTCACCGCAGCCTGGACGGTCCGCAGACTTTCCTCCGTCTCGGCGACCGACTCAACTGTGCAGATGTCCTCCTTGTTTGCCGCAAGTATGCCCTCAATCTCGTCGGCGATCCGGTCTCGCGTAATCAGCGCATCCTGAATACAGTCGTCTAGTGTTGACAGTCGCATTAGGGCGTCGTATGACGAGGAGGTAAGGGCTTTCCCGTCGGGATTATTCTTCGGCGGCGCGAGGAGCTCAGGGCGCATTCGCTCCTCTACCGGCAGATCCGTAAAGCTGGTGTAGATTCCGTCCGTCATGTGGAAGAGTATGCAGTTCTGCGGGAGTGGGTGTCTGAAACTTCCGAGAGTCCTGCCAATGAACTGCAACGACCTGAACTGCACTGTGTAGTCCAGGAGGTACTGCCAATCCTGCATCGTCTCGCTCTTCGCCCACACCCTCACGGTGAGTTTATCCAGTCGCGTGACACCAGGGCCACAGGGTCCGAGGTCGAAGAACTTGAAGTTTGGATTCATCGCCTTTTCCGCGACTTCGGAGATGTATACCGGGTCGTCCTGGTCCTCTACATGCAGGCTGAAGAAGGTATCCGCCATGCGCCCTGCGGTAATGTCTTCTAGCTTCTTCTGGCGGAACAGCGGGGTCGCATTGGTCCACTCCATAGTTGAGCGCCTTCTCAGTCCCCTTCCATATCCGGGTCTGATGGACGTGTTCGGAGTCATGGGTTCGCGCAAGCTGCCATTGCTGCGCCGCGTATCCTCGGGTGAGGTGAGGTCGCTTGAAGATCGCGAATGCGCCAGGCCCCTGCTCTCCCTCAGAGCCAGCGCCTTGGTGGGCGATTTGAGTGTACTCGGTATAGCCTCATCGTCGATGGTCCGTCCGCGCGACTTCGGGGGAGATAGACTAAGCGTGAGGTTGCGGATGGTGATGCCTTGGAGGTGCCTAAGCTTGCGATTCTGGGTGGACTATCAGCAACTACAACCCTTGTATCCTCGACGCGCATACATATGCAAGCAGCCACGGGCGCTCACGTGGTGGAGACTTGGGCTCGGCTGCCTGGGAGTCGCCGGCCATTACGTCGCTGGTCTGGTTGATAGGCGGGTGCGGGAACAGGAGATTTTCGGGCAAGTTCTCATCGGAGCATTTTTATGAGTAACATCCAGCGCCCGAGCAATTGCAATGGCGCAGCGCATAGTAGAAGCTTGCCGGGTGATTGCGCGTTGGGAGTTCCAGGTTGTCGTATTGGATCAAGCGGACCTCCGCGGCCTGGCCCGTGCTTTTTGAGACTCGCAACTTTCATCCACCAACATCGCCGGCGGCCATTGGCATCACCACCCCGCCGCCATGCCTCGATCTCTTGCCCGGCTGCGGTACAAGCCGCCACTACAACCCATCTCCTTCGCCAGCCCCACCGCCGTCAGCCGTGTCACCCCTCAGCATGTTGCGCACATGCAAAAGCAAATAGCCGCTTATGTTGAAAGGCAGTCAAATCCACAGCACCTCCGCCTCCAAACCGTCGTGAACGAAAAGGCGAGACGGCAAGCGACCGGTCAGCATGTCATCTCGCCGGTCAAGCCCTACACACTACGTGACGTGGTAGACCCAGAAGGCACTGCCAAGCACGGCGAGATTATCTACATTTTCCGCAACACCAGGTCGAACCAGATTATCTACTCGCTGCAGGAACTCTTGGATGTATGAATGACGTGCCAATCGCTTGGTCTTTGCTAATTTTGTAGAACCACCACCTCGAACAACTTCCCTTCATCGGCAAGCACTCTAAACCACCCGCCCTACGTCCTGACGAATGGGTGCCCCACTGCGTCCTCACCTTCCCTACCCCCAGCCAAGGCTACAATGCTTTCCGCAAGCTACGCGAATTCCGCAGACTGCACGAGACTGCCTGGGACAAGACGAATCCCGAATTCAAGCGCATGGATAAGAAGACGAGGGTCAAGAAGATCATGGACCAGCGCGCCAACACCAGCGCCGACTTGGCCGAGGTGCTGCGGATACAAGAGGTGCATGGAGCCCAGACGACGGAAGAGCAGTTAGAGCAAGAGAAGAAAGCATCGGCTTTCCTCGACAAGCGATGGGAACAGATCGATGCCCTGGCGAATGCGGGGCTGGCCAAGGCAAAGCCCACGGACAACGTCAAGTGGCTGCAGGGTCAAATACGGTCTATGGATCTGAAACTGAAGATGAAGCACAACCAGAGCGAGGCCGACCAGAAGAGCATAAAGGCTGCTAAGGAGAGTCTCGAGACCCGCCTGGGGAAGCTACAATACGCCCTGCGAAAAGCGGAGCAGTTCAAGAACCTACAAGAAGACCTCATCAAGCGAGCGGCGCCCGCAAATGAGCTCGGTGCGGAGGTGAAGCTGAAAGAGCTAAAGGACCAAGCCCGTATTCTACAAGAGGCATTCGACAACCCCGACCCCACGCGCTCCCAGGAAGACCTTGAGATGGATCGCGAAATTCTCGCAGGTCATCGCAGTGAGATCACCACCCTCGAGCAGGCCTTCGAAGCAAAGGCCCAGGCCGAATCCCGCGATCACTACATCGCCCGCTCCGTCTTGCCCAAAGCACTAAAGACCCCACCCGTCAAGCCCTACACACTGGAAGGTGTGAGTGTACGGTGGGCCGACATGCAAGACGCCCTCTACGCAGCCGGCAAGTGGCCCGCAGCCATCGAGCACGAGCCCTTGGAGATCAACAAGGCCCGCGGCGAAACGTTATTGCTTTCAGCCGAAGAGTACGAGGTCGAGAAGCAAAATGAGATTGGAAGGGTCATGGATGCGCTGAATCTGAGGGAAGGGGAGTATCTGGAAGAGAAGGATGGGTTGAAGAGCTCGTTTGATAGCCCGGCACTCAAGAGCGGGATTGCCATGTCGATACCGCGGGATGCTTTTAAGAGGGCGACTGTGTAGAGTGGGGTGTATAGTATGTAACAAGACAACGCGTAAATGTATTTGTGGGTGCTCAAATGGACTGATTTGTTGTTGAAGCGTTCTCGTTCACGTGTATGGGACTGATATAGCTGCTGTGCAATCTACTTGGCTTCCGCTGTGTTACGCTACAAGGTCTCGACAAGAGGTCTTCTGGTGACACCAGCCACATTGTCGACTTCAAAGGCCCTGGCTAGGAGACCTTCATCGGCGACTGCGTAGTTGTGACCGCCTGACATGACGTGTAAGCTGGTCGCAGGATGCAGTGTCGAGAAGTCTTACAAGACCTTCGCGCGCAGCCTTCACCTACGGCGTAAGCGCCCTCTGCGAGCCTGGGCCTCTTGCTTGGCCCCTCATCCTCTTGTTCGTCTTGTTATCCTTCTGCGGCTTTCCTCGCCTCTGCCTCTTCTTCCTGGCTTATCGCTTCTGCACCCATCTCCCTGTATCGCGCGTACGGTATGTACGGGACCTTGCCAAACTATGGAACGTGCGGCGGAATCTCCACCTCGGCTCCCTTTGCGGTTCGAAGAGCCGCCATGATCCTGTCGATGACGCGTAACTTCTGCAGTGCGCCAGTATTGATGATTGCGTCCGCGAAGCTGTTGATGCAGGGCAGCACCCAGATGTGGACCAGCTTTTCCTGACCAATTCGCACACCGCGTCGCTCGATTTAAAGCGTATCGAGGGAGTTCCACCATGGCTGCAAAGTTCAGGTTGGTATAGTTGTAGCGATAGTGTTGTATGGAATCTACTTACTTCCACAAAGACTACTTGTGATGCTTCATTGATGGTGAACCCGATGCCGTCGGCCTTGGCCTGGAAGCCAATGGGTGTCGTTGCACGCGATACAAATTGCCACCGGTGTAAGACGTCATCCTTCTCTTAAGTGCTCAGGGAACCAGAGTAGATCGGCATATCAATCGAGTGCCGGCGTCGAAACGCTTCTGCAATGATGACTAGGCCCATGTAAATCTGCTCCGTATCATACTCTTTTCGTCCGAGTAATGTACCAAAACCGTGCGGTATAGCTCCAGCAGCTTGATGCGTTGTGAGGTGAAAATATTCATGTGGTTCATCCTTGCCACTCGCTTATAACATTTGGTGTTTGGTGCCTATCTTGTTCTTGCGCTTCTTCCCACTCTTCTTCGTTTCTTTTCACGGTGTCGTAATTGCCGTTTGTCCATCTTTTCGTTCTTCATCTTCTACCTGTTCTTGGATGGACTCAGCGGTATCGTCATCCATCGTTCCACCAGAGGATGACAGAACACATCGCTTACCGCCTACATTTACGCCACTTCGTGTAAATGTGAATACCACGATCTTATTTAGAGTATACATTGCTATGTATACTCTCCTAAGTCAAGGACAGAATACCACGTATGCAGCAATAGCTACCTCAAGAACCTCTTTACTAGGACGCCAGCCACTTTGTCGACTCCAAAAGCCTTGATGCTGGTAGTTCCACTGACGGGTATGGGGTTGTAGCCGTCAGCATGAGGTGTGGTTTCCTTGCAAGATGCGCTTTCCGGCAATCCTGCGACCTTTCCAAGTGCATGCTTCGCTCAGGACATACGGGTACGACCATGTACTTCCTGATATCGTACAGGACTGACGGCATAAGTCGCTATACTCTGCCGCATGCAAGCGGCCAGTCGTCAAGTGTCCCGTGAAATTCCATAGCCCTCATGCCGTCGTCAAGCCCCGTGTCATAATGTTCCTCTGCAAGCTAATCTGGAAGGAAGTCGTTTCTCATTGTGCTGCTCATCAAATCACCGTCTAATGTTACTGGCGAACTCCCAGCATTATCTTGAAGTTGCGACGCCTCCGCACGAAAATCAACGCTAATCTCGAAATGCCCATTAGCGGCTTGGTCGCTTACTACGTCACAGCCCTGATCGCCTACATGTCACCCCGCCTCCAGCTTATCAATCACTGTCAATCCAGCCGAACCGGCTCCGTACGACGAGCACCACCATGTCCACATCGAAGCCTTTCCCAGCGCTAAGTGGCGGCTGCGTCTGCAATACCATCCGCTATAGGCTCCTTACAGCCCCGCTCTACTGCTACGCCTGCCACTGCATGGACTGCCAAAAGCAGACAGGCAGCGCCTTCTACCTTAGCCTGAACATCGAGTTGTACAACATCGAGATCCTATCTCCAACGAAGCCTTCATTCCTCAGTCGAGAAGTCAAGCCAGGCATTGTCGATCGGTATGCCGAGTGTCCGCAATGTCGTGTTCAGCTTTGGGCTAGTAACCACCTGAGTGAGGCAGTTGTTGAGCTGAGAGTCGGCACGTTAGACTTTCCGTCACTTATGGAACCTGACATTCACATTCATGTGGAGAGTAAATTGGATTGGGTCGTGTTGCCGAAGGGCGCGAAGATGGCGCAAAGAGGCCATGATTATAAGCAATCGTGGCCCAAGAGCAGTCTCAAAAGATTAGATATCTGCCTGAAGAGAGCGGAAGAGGTGAAGAAGAGAAGGGCTGCTGCGATGAACGAGAGTGCTCATGGAATGAGTGGAGATGAGAAGAATGCGGAGGGAGTTGTGGCGGTTGAGGGAAGTGGAGAGGGTGACAAGACGCCTACCGCGGGCGATGTTGGGGGCAACGATGACGATGAGGCCGAGGATCAAAAATTCAGAGAGACAGAGAAGGCATTACTGGAGCGTTTGGAGCGTCTGAGTCTGAAGCTGCAGAATGAGGAAGGCACGAAGAAGACGGTGGATACATGTCTTGAGGACTTGAAGAAGAGCTCATAACACGGTGCAAAAGGTCGCCAAGAGCTTTGAAGAACGTGCGCAATCTTCACCTTTTCACGGTGTCTCAATTGCGATTGATATGTGTACTGTATTGTTTTTGCAGGTCGGGATGAAAGGTTATGATGGCCTTGCTGCATGTAGACGTATTCGAGTAAGCGCTTCACCGGTAAGGCAGGTGGCATAGCCTTCGCGTTTGCCTGTACAACTGATGGTACGGACATCATGTCTTGCACTTCATGGACGCATCGTTGAGATTGCCCGATTTGCCAACTGATTGTCACCGACTTACTCTAGCTGCCGGATATTGAGGCTTTCCTGACTTGTGTTAGGGAGCGGCGTCGTATCGTAACCGACAATCAGGCTGTCATCATGAGCGACCCACCTTCGGACGCAACACCGCCAATTTACGTGAACCACCCGTTGTGGAGTCGCTTCCTGCACTGGTTCACAATACTACCTAAGAACAAAGGCTTGACCCGCACTAATAGTCTTGTTGCCGCCGCGTACGATGCAGACGAGGGGAAGAGACTGAGTACACTCCTAGAGCATCAGTACCCCCGGATCCTGCTTGATAATCATGTCTTGAAGCCTCCGTCCAGAACTAAACCTCCGCGACTGACACTGGCCGAGATTAGGATGCTATATTTCATGCAAAGTTTTGTACGCGTCGCACGCATAGGTAAAGGAGAGCAAGTATTACGCGAAGATGATCTAAAGTCCGCCATTATTTTCCGCATGAGAGCCAAACAAGAGACTGGCTTCCCCGCAGTCGCTACGTACACCGACGGCCAAAAGCACGTGATGAGGGCCAAATGGATCGATCTCAAATATGCAAGATAGCGCTCCATCGAGGCTGCCCGCAATGCCAAAGACAAGGCCAGGAACCTTGAAGACGCCGACAACGAAGTCGCGACGCGCCCGCCAGGACGGGCGAACGTCTGATCATGGCTGACTATTGGCACATGGTTTACGAGATACAATGGGCCGGTCAAGGACACGACTACAATTAGCGATCATCTGGATAACTACATCGATTGTTGTACACCTCATTTTAGAAGGTACACGCTGACTTACCCAGTACAACGGTGTGACGATATTATGTTCCTTATTCTGGAACAATGTTACTACCTCAGGACTTCAAGTAAACTTCGAGCTTCTGATCCAAGTACAAGCCACCCTTTCAATACACGTTCTATTCGGAACAGCCCTAGAATTGACCAGCCAAGATCGAAGGCACGAAATCCTCTTGGTTGTCTCATTCCGTTGTCAAAACAGCCAGGTAAAGGTGAAAGCGGAGGTGACTTCGCATTTGTTGTGGCAGCCACTAACGGGGGCGTTAGGATATATACATGCACTCACTCAACACCGAATCACTCTTCATCCTCTCACAACACTCACGTCGCAAAGACCCCAGCACAAGATGGAGCCCGTCATCGGTCCTCCACGCCGGTATGCATTCAACCTCGCTCTGATTGGCGTCGAAGCACCAGTTCTCCAGGACCATACACTACTTCGCGTGCAGAACTGGAGCTCGAGCGCAGCAACTGCGGACGGACGTGTTGAAACAGCAGCAGAAGCCTCATCAGAAGAGAAGACGGTGGCGGACAACGACCAAAAAGATCTAGGTCTTTGGGTCGGCGTTCGACCAGCCAGGGCCGATGTGCTGCGCCAACAAGCTGCCGAGCCTGTCGGTAACTACACCGAGACGCAGGTGGCTCTGGCTAAACTCAAGACCATCACGATCAAAAAGGCTTCATCAGTAGATTCAGTCATGCGCCTCAACAGTGTTCTGATCTGGTCATTGCAGGACGGCATGACACAGGTGGTAGTCCGGTACAACTCTATGCACGCAGATCGCCTGCTAGTCTACGAGCTGATCAATCGCGACCCGTTAACCAATGTAAGTTCACCTAACTTCAATCCAGGCTGTAATAGACGGTCTAAATAGCTCAATCACTCACTCTCACCAGCTATGTGAGGCACACCCCATCAAATCTTTGGACTGTTTCTTCTTCCGTCGGTACCGAGACGACAGCTTGTCTACATGGGTCGATCGGCAGAAGGACTGGACTCAGCTGACCAAGGAACACCTCGCAGAACATTTCAACACGTCTCTCAAGAATGGAGGCTTCCGCCCTGCAAGGTCACATGCGCGTGTTGAGTTCCCGCCCGAGATCAGCCAGTGCGTCGACCTCCAATCGATGGCAAACCAGTACGCTGTGACGGGCGCCCCTTAGCTACTGGACGAGATGGAGCGCGCCATCTTGGGATCGGAGGACGACTTCAAAGATGCAAAGATCCCTCAGCTTATCGCCATCTATCATCTTATGAATCTAGATCACAGGTTCGAGGATTCCGACGCCAAAGAGGCTCACCGCTGGCTCATGGTACGTTTGAACAGTCATGCACGGTGTAATAGTGCTAATAACAACAGGATATATTCCCTAACCTGACGAAGACTGGCGCTCTGACACCCGACAAAGTCTCCAAGTACGCCGCATACCTCCGCAATACCGATACCCGCGTTACCTACGGCGACATCCGCACAGGCTTGGGGGCGTACCTCTATCTAATCGACGACGAGATGTATGCTACAGCTACCAACTCTGCGATCGCCAAAGAAATTGCGCGAATGCGCCTCTACTTCCACGAGGAGCTTCAGGGACCACCTCGAAAGTGCAACAAGGTGGATATCAACTTAGAGCACTGGCTCAGCGACCACGTGAAAATGATGCAATGTATCGTGGACGCGCACGTCGACTCTCTTGTAGGTATCGTCGACTACCACGGCACAGAAGCATGCCCCGACAACCTACATGACCTCTGGGAAAACGTCGGAAACTCGCCTGATACCGACAGTGCCAAGTTCTTCGCCAAGGAGATAGTCGCAAAGTGCGACGTCACGACCAAGAACCTCGAGGAACACATCAAGATGTGCAAGCAAGCGCTCAAGGACCTTGCTAACGTGAGCGACGAACCTGATAAGGAGGACGAAAGAGATGAGGAGATGGGCTGAGATGAATGGTCAGTGGGCGGCGGATGGGAAGTAAGGGTTGACTTTGGGGCAACGACAATACTGCAGGCTGTATTCAACTCTTTCTAAAAGGCAGAAAAGCTAAGGCTGGCTGAGACATTCGTCGAGTCGTATGGCGATGATGGTTATCAACTTTTACAATCATCTGCCACTCCCTCACATTTGCACCGTGCAATGTGTCTATGCTCTGCCAATGTGTCTTCCTCGCACCACAGATCTGTATTGGTGGTATGCAGCGTCTAACGCGGTAACAACTTAGAGGTCAGACTTCGAGATCCTGGGCATCACATGCTCTTAGCAAAAGGATGATATATCGCGTAGGCTCAGGCGATGGAAGGACCGAATGGCGCGGGGGATGGAACTAGAGCGCAGCAATTGTCATTGGGCAGGAGCGGCCGAGGGTCGCATAATCAATCACGGCTCGATTAATGCTATCCTACATCGAACCACAAAGGCTGGAGACGTCGTTGTAGTTGGAGAGGCGTGGTGTTGAACATCGCCATGACGCACCACGTTTGCTTGGCGTCGGACGGCCGATTAGTCACCCACCTGTGAGGTACCTCATCTGACAGTATCCGACACTCCAACGCCATCTCGGCATCCAGCGACTCTGGGATGATTATGGAGATTCATGTCACGATTCTGCAATTCGACACGATAGACGGATTAATTGCCAGAACGCCATGCAGCCTCAGGCAACGTGACGGCGTCACGAAATCTTCTGCAAATCTGGGCCAAGTCACGATCACCGAAGGCTGTATTTTCCTATGTTTGTATCGGTATTCTACGATGCAGACATATAAACATCACCCATTTAAACCGTTGCGCATCGCTACCCTGTCTTGGCAAGCCATCACGCTCGTCTTACAATGCGAATCGGTAATCAGGATGATCGTCACCCAACGCCTTCATACTCTGGTCCAGAACCTCCGGCATCTGCATCCTCGCCTCGTCGCGCTTCTTGTTCTCTCTCTTACAACCAAAAAAGGTCACCGTCGCAGCTATGACACCGATACAAGCCAGACCGAGGCCCGTACTGAACCCAGTGCGAAACACGGGCGCCTCTTTGAACAGGAAGACATTCGAGCTAATGAAGGCACCCGCAGTACCAAAGTTGATAATCGCAGCAATAGCCACTGCGCGTTTGTACCCAGAGCCGCAGTTCATTGAGACCCAAATGATGGAGATGGGCATTGCGAGATAGCATCCAGACGCGATGAAGAATATACCCATATAACGGATTCTAGGGTCAGACGGGTGCGCAATCTCCACGACGAGACCTGTTGCGAGGACTGCCCAGCCAAAGACGTAGAACATGTATCTGCGTTGCAGCCACTCGCTCATGTAGGCGAAGATGACGGAGAAGGCAGCGCCTACAAGGTATACCGGGATTGTGTGGACCTGCGCTTGTGTTGCGGTGTAGCCAAGGCCCTTGAGGATGGTCGGTTGGAAGTTGGCGAGAGAGTTCGCATTCTCAGTGACGCCGATGTTCATCAAAACGCTGATCTATCATTAGTCCAGCCATGCGCGACGGCACATATGCCACTTACCCGGTCCAGATCTTCCAGTCCTTGAGGAAATGTAGCGCCTTCTTGAATGATATGTCGTCGTCGACTACATGACCTCCATCAGCCTGGATGCGCGCAAGCATGAGCGCCTTCTCATCGGGAGACAAGAACTTGCAGTGCTCGGGAAACGGGGGGACGACGGGCCAGCAGGCCATGCTGACGGCGATAGTCAAGCAACCTTCTATGATAAAAATCCTATTCTAAGTCAGCAGCTGTATTTCACAAGACTCCAGGGTTAACCTACCACCTCCAGGCTCCATACCCGGCGGTACCATCCATCCTAGCAATGAGCGACGAGACGAAACCGTTGATGGCGCCTGCGACGATACCAGCTGTGCAGAAGAACACGTAGCGGGTCAAGTACTCGCGCTTCGAGTAGTATGCGCCGATCAAATACGCTGCTCCCGAAATGTAGGCCGACTCAGCGATGCCTTCCAGCAAACGACAGACGACGAGTTCTTCCCATCGCTTTACAAGTCCGCAACCAATCACCGTGATACCCCAGCAGAACATCATTACGCAAAGACTCTTAGGCCCATATTTCTTGAAGGCGATTTGCAACGGGATGCCAGCGACGAGGTAACCCAGGTTAAAAACCCATACAGCGATATTGAACCTCTGGCCGATGAGGTTCAGTTCTGTCTCCATGCCCTGGATCTTCGCGTTGCCTATGTTCGCTCTTGAGAGCGAGTTAGCATAGCACGTTAATCTAGGAAAACGCTGGACAGGTCTGCAGCCTACATCGACATAAAAATATGCGAAGTAGGTGACCTAACGTCAATGTAGGCTCCAGACCTATTCGGTTTTTTTCCCTTGTATAAGGTGATAGCATCGCAACCATCAAAGGTTATTCATCCAAACATACCGGTCGATAAAGTTCACCAAGTAAAGAATCCACAGTACTGGTAAGATGCGAAAGTCAAGCTTCCGAATAAGTCGCCTCTCTGCAGCGCGATCAAAGCCATGCTCGGATATCAAGCTTGTCGGAGATACCGGTGAGTGGTGGACGTGAACTCCCTTCTCGACAACGCTGGTGTCTGTCATTTCGACGAAATGCGAGGAAAAATGAAAGAGGGGTGGTGTTACTGCTAGAAAGCCGGTCCAAGTTGACCAACAGTGACCGCTTCCTATGCAATGCGGGCAAGGACAGGGGCTACTGCGGAACAGACGAAGGACTACATTAATTACGCCCGGTCAACACATTTTTGCTCGCCGCGTTGCGCTCTCGTCGGTACTAGTCCAAGATGAGAGTAATGACCTCGACTACGAGCTGCGAAGCTTTCTGGCATGGTCTGATGTGAGGCTTTTATTGGGAAGAATTAACGGAGCTCTTACGCTTCCTCACAACGCTCACTTCGCCATGCGATCGCGATTGGCTATTGTCAGCGGAAGGATGCGCGGACATGGCATGAGAGAAGTGTCCGACATGGGGCGGGTAGGCGATCGCGCGGAACTGAGCTTTCTCCGCATGGCTCTTTGCTCCCTCCATCCTACGAGGCTTGGTTATACGAACGGCGCATCAACAACCTATCGCTATATGAACAGTTCGGCGGCGATGCTTGTTTCGAAACTAGTGCGGCGGCAGACCCCAGTATCATCACAATGGTATGAGCTAGCAAGCTCGGACGAAAGCTACGATCCACCTAGCCACAACGGCGCCTTCGGCGGGGAAAAGGCACCCCCACCGCAGCGGCCCGCAACAGCAAGTCCACAGGAAGGCTCCAGACCTTTGTTCATCGGACTTGGTTGGTTTACCGCCACGCGCGATTTCGTTATCGTGAGCGCGTCACGGAGGCAATGGCACAGCTTATGCTGAGAACGTCAACGAATCTCGAGTTGGCAGTGAGCGGCAGTTGATCAGGTGCCGGTAAGCATGGCGCACCGCCGATCGGTTATAACGCGATGAAAGCTTTGCCGTGCCGCGTCTTTATGGCAATCCTGTATTGTAAGCCTGCCCCGCCTATGATGTGGGTCGCCTTGTTACCGAGTTGCTATGGTTGCATTGTTCAGGAAGCAAAAGCTAGCCCGCATGAACAGATGCAAAGTATGCTGTCAGCAACTTCCACAAAGATCAGTATACCGGAGCCCCTCGCTCGTGTCATTCTTCGAGATCAGATCTGAATACCCCACAGAGGCTCACCGTCATGGCTGAACGAAGCCGCATGAGCATCGCGATCGTCGGCGGAGGTATCGCGGGTTTAACATTGACGATCGCACTTCTAACAAAATTTCCACACATCAGTGTCACCCTTTACGAGTCCGCCGAAGCCTTTGGCGAGATAGGCGCGGGTGTCGGCTTCTCACCGGTTATGGTTCGCACAATGGCTCTCATCAATCCACGCATCGCGGAAGCGTTTGTCAGATGCAGTAAAGGGAATACCGTAACCGACTCACCGAACTGGTTCACGGTGAGAGTGGGTGATGAGAGGAAGAAGGGCGTCAAGCTAGGGGAAGAGATCTTTGTTATACCAGGGAGGAAGGGTCCGGGAGGTGGCGTACATCGAGCGCATTTCCTCGAGGAGCTGGTCAGACTGGTACCAGAAGGAGTTGCGCAGTTCAAGAAGAGGGTACTTGATATCACTAGCGCTGATGACGGCTCCATCGATACGGTCTTGCACTTTGCCGATGGGTCGACCGCGCAGCACAGTGCAGTACTTGGTTGCGACGGGATCAAGTCGCGCGTGAGATCCATCGTACTGGGCGATTCGGAGACGGCGAAGGCAGTCTTCTCGGGAAAGTATGCGTATCGGGGACTGCTGCCCATGTCTGAGGCGGTGGAGATCCTGGGCGATGAGGCACCAAGGACACCGCAGATGTATATGGGTTATCATGGGCATGTGCTGACGTTTCCCATTGCGAACGGCACCCTATTCAACGGTACAACAATTCCACATGCCCGCCGATTCGCCTAGCTAACGTGATGATAGTCGTTGCCTTTTCATCGCGACCCACATGGGAAGACTCGAACTGGGTAGTCCAAACATCCCGCGATGACATGCTAGAGGACTACAAGCACTGGATCCCTGCCGTGCGCACAATCATGCAAAACATCCGGAAGCCTGATATCTGGGCGCTCTACAACCACCCACCTGCACCCACCTACTACATGGCTAAGCCACTCATCTGCCTTGTGGGCGACGCTGCGCACGCCTCAACACCGCATCAAGGCGCCGGCGCAGGTATGTGCATTGAAGATGTGTACATTCTGAGCGAGCTGTTATCCCGATGTCACGAAAAGGCTAGTCTCGAGAAGGTGTTTCACGCATACGATGCGGTAAGAAGGCCGCGGAGTCAGACGCTGGTCAAGACTAGCAAGGAAGCTGGCATGCTGTGGGAGTTCGAAGGAGAAGATGTAGGCGATGATTTGGAAGCGCTGCGGATTGATGCGCAGTCGCGAATGGCGTGGATTTGGGACCATGAGATATCAGATGATCTCAGTAAAGCAAGATGCATAGTGCAGGAGGGCTCACCAGACACTCCGTAGTCGTGAAAAGAACCCATTCAAGAAAGAAGCCGACCACCTAATTGCAGAGGAGACCAGACGCGAACAACGGAGAAGTTTACATCGCGTCGGGATGTTGTTAACTTTCGTTTTGATACTGATGTTGGCTGCAGCGCTTCACTTCGTTCCTCGAACCCGGCAAGGTGGTATCACAATACCTGGGCACGTGCATCTTCGCAGCCACACTTGCTCCAGGCTCGAGCGCGTTTCGCTTCACGGTCCGTTTGTCAAATCATCTGGTCCAACGATGGCTGAGCCTTGCTGTGTGGTCAGAAACGGAAGCCGTTCCAGAAAGCCGCTGGGATCGACTGTGCCGCACAGCCTCGCTACCACACTCCTTCATAACTTACCCCACGCTCGACAGAAGAGGATGCATGAAAACACAGGCGCGCAGCCTCGCTCCTACGCATCAGAGAACCTGGTCTGCTACGCTGTGCCTAGCGTTCGTCCAGTGATAGACCGCGAGGATGTAGCCTGGCCAGCTATTCCATTTCAAAGGCACCGAGCACAGCCATGACCGTCCGGATTCAGCAGGCGCAAGCGGAGGTATGTGGGTGTCTCAGGAAGGCTGTGGACATCCTGAGGAGACTGTGAGCGTCAAGGAAGACTGCGCTGGTGAGTATACCTAGACTTGGGCGACACCATCCAGCGTTAGAACTCCACATCATCACGACTTTACCTTTGATACTCATTGCCCACTTCGTCCCTTACACTCCAAGAAGACATACTCTTCCAAGCATGCCCCTTAATGTATACAACTCCGGAATCGTCGCTGGCTGCCAATGGGACCCAGAGGCGGTGCTCAAGCTTTCCCTCGACGGCCGCTGCATTGGTTGGGCGCCCTCACGTGGTCGAAAGTGCCGCATGCCTATACGTCAAGACAACGTGCACAGGATCGAAATATTGCTGGCTGATGTGGCGAAGGAAGGGCCAGACCCTGAGCGACTCCGGCCAAAGTTTCAGCGCCTCGCTGAGCACGGCTTGTGTGTTCGTTTTCATCAGTATCAAGTCGACGAGATGCTAGACCGTTGGATGAAGCGAATGTGGGAGGCTTTCCCAAGGCATGATCGTGTAGAAGAACGGATCGACGCGACGTCGGAGCGGGTGAGGCAACGGCCTGGGTCTGCGAACGGCAAGTCTTCTACTGCCCACCATAAAGCGCAGCCATCTAATTATTCCTCAGTTGTTGCGCCATTGGAAACCGAGCTTGCCGCGCGTGCTGAAGTAGAGCAGAGCATCGCTGTGTTGCAAGAGTCGCTTCGTGATGCGAATCGCCGCATCGAGGAGCTTACGGCCCGTCAAGCTGCGAACGAAAGCATGGCGCAGTTGGAGACCCGTCTTTCTCGTATAACGACATCGAACGATCCGTCTTTGTCGTCTTCGCAGCCTACTAATGTCCTCTCTAACCTGCGCACGCGAAGGGACAGAGCAACGATTTGCCCTCTTCTCACCGCAGAATCGGGTCGAGTGAGAAGCCCGACCACTGCAGGCGCGCGATCGTCATCAAGCACATCGTCCAGCGAATCGTCTAGCGACTCGTCAAGCGCGGCATCGAGCGAGGCATCGAGCCCGACCGTGTCAGGAGCACCACCACGCTCGACGCCCTCAACACTAGCACGAGCACGAGGAGTGCGCCGGCCAACAACGGCCGTCACATGGCCTTCGTCCAGTGCGTCTTCCAGTGCGTCGTCTAGCGCCTCATTGAGCACGTCATCCAGCGTCGCATCGAACCCCACTGTGCCGGAGGTATCACCAAGCTCTACGCCGGCAGCAGCAACACCCCGATGTACGCGCTCCCATGCCCGGCGCCTACCCTTGGATGATGAATGTCCCATATGCCAAGAAGGCGACCTTCTCTCCCAATACGAAAGGTCGGAGGTTGTGTGGTGTAGAAAAACGTGCGGGAGGAGCCTTCACAGGACTTGCTTCGAGGATTGGCGTAAGCAATGCGTCATCGACCACCGGGACTTCACGTGCCCTGTCTGCCGCGGCGATTGGGAAGAGCGTTCAGTTTGCGACGCCTGTGATGAGATTCAGGTGTGTAGGCAGAAGATCGAAGGCGAATGTGCTATCTGTTGCCATGCCTTAAAGGGAGACGCGCCGGAGGACAGGGAAGACCTCGTGTGGTGTAAGGACTCGTGCGGACAAAGTGTCCATCGAGAGTGCTTCGATAGCTGGAAAGAGCATTGCGAGGCTTTTAGAAGATGCACGACGTGCGTGAATTGCACGAGGTCGTGGCGTGAGGAGTGTGATGGCTAGGGAGCAAGGAATGTGCGAGCGCGAAGGTTTGGTCTTGCCTTCGGAATTGGGTTCCGATCGGAGCAAGCACCTCGCATCTTCATCTGATAGGCATACCTCGCGCCTACCCCAACCGTGTATCTTAGAGCTCGAATCGAAGCGGATGTCTCAGCCGGGCAGTCGCCAACCTTGAGAAACCAGCGCTCCTGCAGCTCCATAGCTAACATCCACGTACTAACCCCGCTGTCATCTCACGCGAGCCAAGTCCCGCGAAGCAATCTCAATAGGCACCAGCCGCCTGCTTCATGCCACGCTCGTCGCAACATCTTCGCCCGACCGCATCAACCCAAGAAACAATTGAACCCCTTGGAGCCCGCATCAACGTTGAGTTAACCACTTTGCACGTTCCTATCTTCGTTTGGTCTGCAAGGTGCAACTCTCGTAGCGACAATGGTACTCTGTAGCACATGCAAGTCCCTACCAATCCGCAGTATTCTCAGGCTTGCCCGTAGCGACAGCGACATCGACGAGTTCCAGTGGTTTCCGTTACCCAAATCCTTCGGAAACGAGACGCAACCATTCGTCAAATGGCACAATAGCCTGTCCGACCTACAAAATAGTGCAAGCCAATCGTGCCCATTCTGCCAAACCATCTTCAGTCGTCTCAGTAACAGCTACCATTATCACACAAATTGCAAAGACCTCGATGAGAGACTATGGCTGGAATTGGGCGTGGGCTCGGCCAGGTTGAGCGTGTACATGGGCGAAAAGATGCCTACAGTACGTCTAAGTGGCAAGTTCTGGTACATGTCAACCCCAGGTATGTCTTTCTGCTCTCACGTCAACCTCAACCCTGGAGCCTACATCGACGCTAGGTCACCTAATTTGCAGGCTTTTATCTTGATGTAGTCTGCAGTCCTGTTCAGATTTTTTCTTGCATGGGCTTCAATTGACGCGCGCTGTTCAGATAGTGTCGTCGCGGACTGCTTCCGGGAGCATGAGATCATGTCGGACTCGTTACATCCCTACGTGCTCCAGAAGACGGCAGCATGGGTCAGTCAGTGCGACGACCACCATGCGAGCTGCCGACAATCAACGCCGAAAGCGACTTTGCTACCTACCCGCCTTTTGGACCTCGGCTCACTGCCTATCGGCGCTGACTTCAAAGGCGTCCGCGGTGACCCACGGGCTCTACTCGAGGATACAGCACTCAAGCTTGTAGAGCTTCCACCTGGTAGCACGGGCCGGTACATCGCATTGAGCTATTGTTGGGGACAGGGCCTCCCAATTACGACTACCTCGAAGAATCTGCAAAAGCATAAAGGGAACGAAGGAATCAAATATATGCAGCTGCCTTCGACCCTCCGCGACGCCGTATTTCTCACCAGATACCTAGGAGTCCGATATCTATGGGCAGACTGCCTCTGCATCATACAAGACGACAAAGCGGACTGGGAAAAAGAGGCCTCTCGTATGGCTGATGTGTACAGCAATGCGTACCTTACAACCGCTGCTACTCGTGCCAGCCACTGTGGGGAGGGCTTTCTGCAGCCGCGCAAAGTCAAAGACCGACACGTCGTCACTTTTGCAGACAAAGAAGGGTCGTTTGACTTGTACATCTATTACGACGATCTGACTATGTCACCTGGGTCTATGGAGTCTATCATCGACCAGTCTATCAAGATGCGAAGGGTAAGCTTCAATTCCCCACGTCAACCTAGGAAGAAATGAACACCCGAGAGCCTACATCGACGTTCGGTCACATACATTACATGCTTTCATATTGATGTAGTCTCTAGTCCTCTTCCTTCTGTGCCCCACTATCTGGAGCTAACGCTGCTTAGGAAGAGCCTCTCTTGAGCCGAGTCTGGGTCCTCCAGGAACGTGTCCTGGCACGCCGCACAATACATTTCGCGAGCTACCAAATGCAATGGGAGTGCTCAGAGCAAGTCCTTACCGAAGACGGATACACCGAAGACTATAAAGCATGTGAAGAGATTTCGTTGGAACGAATCGCGCAAGGTCTCAAGAGCGTGAAAGATGCGCCACTGCTCCAACACACCCAGCAATCACAGGACGCAGAAATTGTTCGGGCCTTTAACCCTGCATGGCGCGTGTGGTCGCGGTTGATTGAAGAGTACACATCCCGCAACATGACCTACCAATCCGACAAGTTTCCAGCCCTTTCTGGTGTAACCTCGGCGCTACAGAAGCTCACTGGCGATGTTTGCCTCGCTGGCATCTGGAAAAGTTGGTTTCTGCAAGGCTTGTTATGGCGGCTGCAAGATCCCAACTGGGATGAATACGTCTTCTTTCCCAAGACGCCGCAGCGCTCCCACCCCTGGAGAGCCCCGACGTGGTCCTTCGCGTCTGTTGAAGGCGTCGTAGTATATCATCTTCTTGATCATGACCTTGGGCAGGAGACATACGCAGAATTGCTGCAATGCGACGTCTGCCCCAAGGGAGTCAATCCTCTCGGAGAACTGAAGAACGGGTTCGCAAAGATCAAGGCGCCAGTCGCTGAAGTCTTTGACGTATCGCCCGTACTATCGGATGCCGGCAGGGTATGCAAGGTCCGCATGACGAACGACAGGCATGCAGAAGGCAGTGTCTGGTTCGACGTTGAAGTGCACAACTCTTGCTTCGTGCTTATGATCACGCCTCATACCGGTATTACTATCGTACCAGTTGACGTTGCTCAAGGAACATACACAAGGGTTGGGGCTGTGGCGGTGTTCAGGATCCACGACCCCGCGCCCGAAGCTTTCAGGCGTGACAACACCGCTTTCATGGATCGCGACAGGTCAATCTCGTCGTCTCACTACCCAAGTCCAAAGATAATCACCCTGCTGTAAGGCTCGGGGGCTAAGAAGCTCAGTCTGCATATGAAATGGAAATTAGAGACGGTTGACATGTTGCGCGAGTAGCTCTATCTTAGTGAGGTCGTTCAGGTCGAGATGATGTTTTACAATAGCGCGACTCACGATCACAGGGCTAGACGAGGCATAGCATGAAAGAGTCTGTCGACATTATCATCTACTGTCATGCCACGTCGAAACACTCACCCAATACGATATCAACAGCCTGTTCGGCAATCGCGTAAACAGGTACCTGATAATGAGCTGCAAGAGGCTTTGGGATAACACTCGCATCAGCGACGCGCAAGTTCTGAACCCCATACACCCTCAGCGACCCATCAAGAACCGTCCCCATCGCTGCTGTCCCTGCAGGATGATACGTGGTACTCGCGCCCATCTTGATTCTCGCATCGATCTCTCCGTCAGACTTCCCCGGATAGCCTAGCGGAATGTATTCACGTTCGACAAGCTCCTTACCCTCAGCTGTATTCAACATCAGCTCGGTCTGCATACGGAAACCCTCGCGCATGACGTAGCGATCTGATTCCGTCGCGCAGTAGTTTGGGTCGATGATGGGATTCGCGGACGGGTCAGACGATGCGAGCGTCACCGAGCCTCGCGATGTCGGAAGGCAGCCCATGAAGAAGGTCATGATGGATGATCCATCAATCGGAATGCTAAGACCCTGCGCTTCCGCCCCGACGACGATGTACATGAGAAGCATCTCGAGGTGAGTGCGTGGGCCCTCGAGCAGTGCGTGGTCATCAGATATCGGACCCTCATCGCGCTCGATTGCTGCCTTCAGTTTCCCGACTTGGGGTATGGGCGCGCGAACCAAGAAGTCTATCGGCCCCCCTTTGTCGTAGTTTGGACTACCGAAGAGCGGCGAGCCGATCGCTAGACCCTTCTCTGGGTTTCGCAACTTCCAATAGCGGTACATCATCAGATGGTCATGTAAATTCTGGCCGACGGCTGGTAGGTCGGAAACAACTGGAATGTTGTACTGCGATAGCTGGGAAAAGTCTCCGATACCAGAGAGCATCAAGACTTGGGGCGTTCGGTAGGCGCCCGCGGTTATGATGACTTGGCCGCCTTCGTTGAGATCGATCCGTCCGCCATTTGCGAGCTCGACGCCGACTGCCGTGTTCGTATCGTCGAATAGCACACGCCGGGCGATGGTTGATGTGCGCACTTGGACACCGTGCAGCGGGTATACAGAATGCGCCATCTGCCGTTTGCCGTCCTGGAAGTTCTCTACCAGATCGCTGATGCCTTGAGGACGGCCGTCGTTTAAGTCATGGATATGTGGTATGTCAAGGTTCGACCAAAGCTTCTGAACGGTTTCACGCAATGGGTATTTACGACTGGTAGAGGTGACAGATGCCGTGTGCATCGGGCCGTCGTGACCATGCTGCGAGGGATCTGCCCCAGGGTCGAAGTGCCTTTCCGTGCGCTTGAAGTATGGCAATAGCCCGTCGTAGCTCCATCGCAGATCGTCCACATCGCGTGCCCACTCATCGTAATCCTGCGCATCGCCTCGAATCCAGCCACCTGATACAGTCAGCTGATAGCGCGCACCTGAAGTCACCATATGTACCATTGTTGATAACACTGCCGCCACCAAGGCCTCTGAAGCCTACATTTCGCTTGGGCTTCCCATCGAGATGCTCTTGAGGTGTTGTGGAGTAGTTATAGTCGTATTGGGAGAAGTGGAGGTTCGCGGCCGCGGCTGGTATGGTAACATGCGGACTACCAGTAGGATCGGGTCCGGCTTCGATGAGTACAATGGACAGCAATGGCTTCCTCTCGTGCAGACGCGACGCTACTACTGTGCCAGCAATTCCGCCGCCTACGATGATAACGTCGGCCATTGCAGACGCAGCTTGTCGACAAAGGGAGGAAGCGGTTTCGAGAGGCCGTTGAATCAGCTATATGCGCGTTGTACCTCGCACCTTAGCACTTGAAGTAGGTGGGGCGTTAGGGCGCATGCAGTCAGCCGCTACGGTCCAGTCATACGGTCAGCTATCACTGCGCAGTCCACATCAATACGCACGACAAGAGTGGCAGCGGCCAGCCAGTCCATCGGTATCCTGTAATAGCCTGCTATCACATCCATCGTCCTTCCCTGTCCGTGGCGTCGGCTGGTGCTGTGATGTAGTGTAGGATGGTCGGTCGGTCGGGAATGCTCAGATCAAAAACAGGATGTGTGTATCGCGGAGGGCGGTAAAGGGTCGGTACACGAGACATCGCGTGATGTGAAGTATAGGATCTTGGTCGAATTTGCTTCGCGCTTCGAAGCTGATCGCCCTTAGTATGTGTTTACAAAGTCAACAAAGAGCTAAGCAATAAGAGTGAGTGTCTTGAGCTCGTACAACGTATAAGCCTCACGCGCCCGGGCAGCGTAAACCGTCTCTTCGACGTTATGCCGGAAACTCCACAGCTTTTCTCTGCGGCTTGGTCTGATAGTGTCCATGTTGCCAGGGAGTCTCAAGATGCTGTGCGTTGAAGAGTCCAGGTGTGCTATCGGAATTACGCCTGAGGCAACCGCGAGATCCCTATTGCCTTGGCTGAAGGTTTGAATCGCACTGGAGTGCAATTGTGGAAGCCGTGTACCGTCTCGGGTCTGGGCGATCATCCGGTCATGCGTGTATGACTGTGTTCGTGTTGAGCGCGGCACGGTGTCTGACTAGTCGATGACGTGTCGGATCTACGTATCGCCGCGCCGCGCCTTCTGTACCGAGGCATAAGCGCCCCCATTCTTAACACCTCGTCGCCATCTTCTCCATCCTGCCACGTGCAGAAGTAAACCAACGGTAGAACATCCTGTTGGCACTTTCACGAAGCAGCGAATCTGTAATTAAGCGCACGGTCTCGTGACGTTTGCGCCCTTCACTTGCGCAACCGGCCAACGCGACCCAGACTGGGCCTCCTTCAATGCGGTGTGGCAGAATACTTCGCTCAACACACTCTTGATATGGGACACTGAGTCCGCGGAGCAGTTCGCTCTCTTGAGAACGCAGCTTGTCTGGAAGGACACCTCGATACCAAGTCCGGCTCAAAACGTCGTCCATCCTCTTCTAGGTTTCGCCCGATTTGAAGTCTTTCAAAGACGGTACCAAGGGCGTGTGGGGCATAGCGCACGTTGCAGTCAATTTCACTCGCGGGCTGTACGTTTGAACGAACGTCGTATGGTCCTCGTAGTAACTGCAGGCGCGTCATAGCGATTATATTCGAGCTCGGCCGCGAGTCGCCATGTACGCCGTACACTCAATACGATGTACCGACCATGATCCATGACAGACCCACATCGTTGCGGCAGTGCTGGATCCATGAAACGTGAACGGATGTTCCCGAGCCCATCTCCAGATGACGATGGCGCTAAACTGAAACGCCGGTTAGTCAGCGTATCCGTATTCAACGCTGGCCGTCTCCCTTGCCGCTTTCCGTATTCCCGCCTCCACGTATTTCTTTTAATCGTCTTTTCGCCAATCACAATTGTATTTACCAAAGTCCGCGATGCCTCCGCGGAAAGTTATACGGAGATCCCATCGGAAATCTCGACTCGGCTGTCAGGAGTGCAAAAGACGCCACATCAAGGTACGCGACCTGCATCTTGAACGCGGGTACCTGCGTCTATACAGGAAGCAATGCAGATACAAAGCGTGCTGATTCTATTAGTGTGATGAAGCACAGCCCACCTGCCAGAATTGCGCGCGTGATGATCGAACATGCACGTACCAAAGGCCGACAGAGCTGTCTCAACGCGCGGTTACCAGCCAATCGCCACATGCAATCCCCGAGACCACATCAGGATCTTACTTCGGGACTCCAACCTCGCATGGCGTGCCGAGTACGGTGGAGCACAGCAATACGGTGTCACCAGCCGTAACGTCTTCCGTGGACCTGTCTTTCCTCTCTCCGGCGGCGTCGTCACCACATGGCTCAGATCTCTCGTTCAATCTGCGACACATGCAGTTGTTCAGTCATTTCATTTACGAGACGTATCCAAGCGTCCAAGAAACGGGGTCGCTGGACAACGGGCAACTACGTGCCCTGATGCCGATGATACTCTCACAGCCTTACACCGTTTACCAACTTCTGGCCCTGTCCTCTATGCACATGAGCTACAAACACGTGGAAGAAGCGGACCGGCATCTTGAAGAGGCTAGAGCTCTCCAGACCCAGGCTTTGTGTGCCTTCAACGATGCACACATTGAAGTCACTCAAGACAACTGCATTTCCATGATGTCGTTCTCCACCCTCGTCAGCATGCACGCTCTTGCCGAGGTCGCTGGACATGCGGATGCGGAAGCCGGCGGAGTTCTGGACGGATTCATCACATACATGAACTTGCATCGAGGTGTTCGAGCCATCATTTCGCAATCCTGGAACTTCCTACACAAGACCAGCCTCGCCTCTATCCTAAGACAAGCCGAGGATGCGATCGATCGTGGGTCGTTGTTGAACGGGCAAACAGCGGTGGCGGTAGCCGACCGCTTGTCCAACTTACTGGACTACGCTGACATGAGCGACGAATCTCGACAGCTTTGTCGTGTGGCTGCGACTGAGCTGGGTGTTATTTACCGGACAGAACCAGACTATGCAGAGCCGTGGACCCAGTCGCCTGGACCCGGCGGCTTGATTTGGATTTGGCCTGTGAACCTGTCCAACGAATTCACGGCACTTTTATCAATGCGAAAGCCGGAAGCGCTCATCATCCTGGCCCACTACGCGGTTCTTTTGCATCGAAGACGCGGGGTCTGGCTGGTCGGCAATATCGGCAGGATACTAGTCGAGGAGATTTCGAGATTCTTGGGCAGCTTCTGGAAAAGTTGGCTTGATTGGCCGAATGAGGTACTTGCGCAACCCTAGCGCGATACCTAGCCAACCAGCGAATACGTCGTATACCATGACTCGTATTCGTCCCCCTCCACGCATCGACCACGAAGCGGACTCGCGCGTCGTACCAGAGTAGATGCAGTGGTTATTTCGGTGAGAGCTGTTGTATCCCATCGCTACTTATATGAGCAATGCCGCGATCGTTCCAATCCATCATCCGACCACAGTCTCTCGTTCCACAATACAACACGATGCAGAACCTCACCGTCCCATTCTCTGCCTGCAATGCCAGCTCTATCCCGTACCCCGTCGTCTTTGGCGCCAATGTCACGGGTCTCACCGCTGCGCTCGTCCAAAACTACACGGGAGCTTTCGACACAACCACCAACAAGCCTTCTCCCGCCGCCCTCGGCCTCGACTTTTGCAACGTGACCGTAACATACACCCATGAAGGCCAGAACGACAACATTAATGTCGAGACGTGGCTCCCAATCGACAACTGGAACGAACGACTCCAAGCCGTCGGAGGTGGAGGCTGGGTTGCTGGTCGGTTCACTGTATCCTACGTTTTCATGGACGAAGCCATAGGCGAGGGCTATGTGGCTTCGACGACAGACGCCGGCCTGGGCTCATCACCTCTTCCCGATCCGTGGGCGCTCAACAGCCCTGGCAATGTCAATCTGTATGCGCTACAGAATCTCGCCTCCAAGTCGCTTCACGACCAGTCTTTCATCGCCAAAGACGTCGCCAAGTCCTTCTACGGACAAGCTCCGAAGTACTCCTACTGGAACGGATGCTCTCAAGGTGGCCGCCAGGGGTTTATGCTCGCGCAGCGCTACCCCGAAGCCTACGACGGCATTAATGCGGGGGCGGCTGCAATCAACTGGAACGAGTTGTTCTTCAACGCCGCATGGGCGCAGGTCATGATGTCAATGACGAACCAATTCCCGACGAAGTGTGAGCTGGACGCTATCACCTCGGCTGCTATCGCCGCTTGCGACCCTCTCGACGGCGTTATCGACGGTCTCGTTTCCGACCCGGAGAAGTGCTTCTTCGACCCATTCACAATGGTTGGCAGCGTTAGGAACTGTACATCGACCGGAAAGGCTGTTACTATCAGCGAAGGAGCCGCAGTTATCGCGAACGCTACGTGGGAAGGCCCCAGGGGACCTGACGGCGAGTTCATCTGGTACGGAGTTGACTATGCGAGCGATCTCACCGGCAGTGATGGCATGGACGGCACTCCTTACCAGGTCGCCCTTGCATCAACCACGTGCAATGCGAATGGTACATGTACCGGAGCACCTGCGCTCCTAGGTGAATTGTGGTTGAAGTTTTTCGTCAAGAAAGACCCCGAGTGGAACTACACGCAGATTAGCTCGGTGGAGGAGTACATGCGTCTCTTCAAGTCGTCAGTCCAGGAATGGTCTTCCATCATCGAGACTGCGGACGCAGACCTTTCGGAGTACCGCAAGGCTGGTGGCAAGATCATGACATTCCACGGTTTGGTAAGTCTCCCATCATGCGCTTCTTGCTGCTCGTCGCATGCGACACGGTTGTCTACTCTAACTCACCCGTTGCACTTTTTCTCTTGAAACCCGACTAACCTCTTCTTCAGGCCGATGGTGTCATTCCGCACAAGGCGACCGACAACTACTACGACCGCGTGACGGACCTTGATGCCAACGTGGACGAGTTCTTCCGCTACTACCAAGTTCCTGGCCTCGGGCATTGCAACGGTGGTGCTGCCGGCGGAAAGCCTCCCGCCACGTTCCATGCACTCGTCGACTGGGTCGAGAATGACGTCGTGCCTGAGACCTTGCCCGTGAGCTTCAACGATACCAAGGGAACGCAATACGACAGGTTCCTGTGCCCGTACCCGCAGAAGACGCGCCTTATCTCGAAGGATGCAGATGCGACGAAGCCGGAGGCGTACGAGTGTGCGCTTTGAACGTGCGACAAGCGTAATGATTGCGATAGTGCGACCGTACGACACTGCGGCGGTGCTAGTCTTGCGACGATGTGTATATAGAAGCAGCTTTGATATTCGTTCTCGGTGATTTGCCTGCGGGTCAGATAGAGGTGGCGTTCGCGTGCGATGCTCTAATAATACAAAACCTTTGCCTTTCTGCACGATGTCTTTACGCAAGGTTTTCGCACACGTTCTACGCGCATGGTACGGCGGTCGTTGCTAAGGAAGCGAGACAAGTCTTGAATGCGGCAACCTGTGCAGACAAAACTACGACGACCAAAAAATGAAAGCAACTGTTCTGCTGTTGGAGCTTGACACCTGGTCGGGTCTGCAAGTCGTTCGCTTTAGCGTAACATGACGGCGGTCAGGAAGCACGCGAAATGCAAGCACCAATTCTGCACCACAACGACAAAACAAGAGTCGATAATTGTGGCTGCCGCCAGTCCTCAGCTAATCAGACAAATAGTGATGACACTGCGGCCCAAATTCCATGCCCTGATGCGGTAAATGGTACATGCAGATCCGCCGGGCGGGCACTTAATTAGTTCCATCGCTGCCGACGTGCATCAAGGACATCGTTGCGCAAAGCACAGACGACCGGCCGACCCACCAGGACTTCAAAAACAACCCTCCACACGCATTTCCATACCAACTCAGGTCCCAGCTAGTCGCTCGGAGTGCCGCATGACGCCTTGTCGAGCTAGGGAGACATGCCTGCAGGCAGATATACTCGATGTCCACGCACAATGCTCAGAAGCAGCAGAGCGGCGGAGTCGTTGGCTTGAAAACGTCGCAGAAGCAGAATTTGCTCTCTCCGCGACGGGTTAATCCCCTTAGACGAGGCTTTGACTTGCGTCACGCGATCGTTCACGATGCCGTCTCTAACGTGGTTGTCCATCTCTCGTCGCCAGAATTGGGCGCCATCCTCATCACCCTGCTCACTACCGACGTTGGCTGTGGCCAAGGAAGGAATCATCTTCTACTCGCATTCGCTGTTTAGTATAAAGAACTTGGAATCCAACCAGCAGAGAGTGGTGGGTGTACGGGGCACAACAGCGACTAGGGTGTCCTAGGTGCGAAGAGACGCATGGCTTCGACGTTGCCGGTACCGCGGGACGGGGGGAGCGCGGGGATTCAATGAGTAAGCGACGATCGAAAAGCAGAGATAAGGCTCCAGGTCACGTCCGAGGGTTCAGGACTTTACCGCAACTTGGTGGCTTGTCGCTCGGACATCAGCGTTGTCAAAACAACGATGTTGCCTCCAAAACTGCATTATCAAGCGCGTTCTGTGGGCTGATCTTTCATACAGCTCACAAGCTCCTTGTTCTTCGCCCCATCCCGACCGACGCTCGAAATATGGCCTTGTACCAGGTTCTTTACGCAAACATACTGAGCTGAAAATAATGAGCTGCACTGAGAGAAGGTGAAGTTCGGAAGTCTCAGGCGGTCCCCTCCGCCTTGAACTGTTCATCATGCACACCACAGCCGAGAGAAATAGAAGATGTGAGACGCTGACATGTTACTGAGTCTCCCAAAAACATTTATCTTATTGGGACAGGTGGTTTAGTGAAGAGATATTTTTCCAGATCCCGATTCAGCATACTTCGCTTCGCAAAGCGTGGTACTCCTGGAATGGCAGAAACTTAGTCGAACTCCAGGCTTCAATTCGCGAGTTTTGCACAGTGAAAGCATACACTGTTCGAGCAATCAGAGCATTCAACAATCGACATCAACAATCTTGTCGCAAAACTGTGTAGACTTGCGTCCGCAAATCGATCAGCAAAGTGCATGATCTTTATATCAGAGCAGCATCGGAGAAAAGCGGACAGAGCCTCAATGTGCGCACATGTCCGAAGTTGCCTAAATTGATGCATGCGTACGCATCCTTGTTCATACACGTAGATGACGATGACTCCATGGCAACTTTTACTGGGCAGATCCTCAGTCTGGACCACTCAGAGCCGGGAGGCCGTCCCACCTCACGGTCGCCCCACTGTGTAAATCATGCGAAGTTTGATGTCATCTCTTCATGGCTGGTTGGAGTGGTGGGTCCACGCTGCGGCCATTCTAGCAGGGCGCAGCGGACCCCGCCCCCAATCGCTGCTAATCCCCCGGACCCGTCCCACCAAAGACCCATCTTACCTGTCCTTATCCTATCACAAGGACATGTCTCGAACAACCACACGAAGAAAACAAAGCACCCGTAGCGGGATACTATTTTCCTCTCCTTCGCCCTGCTAAGATGATGACACGCTGCACTCCCCTGATTCAGTCCGCCGAATCGAAGGCGGCGGTGAGCCCCAGACCCCGTCGCACGCAAAGCCGCACAACCCACTATGACCAAACTTGAACTCGAGCAACTGCACTGGGACGTTCCTCAACGCGCGGATCATCAGGAAAGAAGCGTGTTAATGGCGGGTGTTGTTGCACTGGAGCCCACGGTGCTCGGAGGGCAGTATGTCCCATACGGACTTTCAACAGCGACAGCGCAGTGGTCGAAAACATCCACTTCGTTCTCGCGTCTAAGCAGTCTCAAGATTTGTTGATCATAAAGCAGGAACGTAGTCACCCTAAGACGATGCAATGCGAGGCTGGCAGATACAGGCTTCCATGACTCATGTTGACAAGCAGTAGAATGGGTGACTACATAACTGCTGTGTTGAACAGCGACGCTCTCATAAAATTAGCCAGAGATTCTCCATGCCACATGGATACGTGGTCTCTAAGCTCTTTTACATTTCACCACGCCCTTCGAAAGATCTCCGATACAATACTTAGCGTCGCCTGAGAGCTAAGCAGTGAGCTTCACTGCTCTCTTCTTCTTTGGCGATCCATTCCCGGCGTCGCATGAGTTCCTGTTCGTGTGGCCAGGATTGCAATACCAATGCCAGTTGTCATCCTCATAATTGATCGTTCCGTAATCGTCCCAGAATCCGCCAAGCTGGTTGGTATGTTGGTACGGAAGCTGATCGCAGTGACCGCCAGCAATGATTGCAGTGCCACCTACGGTGTTGCTGGCTTTGGAGAGGGCTTCTGCTTCAGTATTGCCCTTACCGACTTGGCAATACGGGGAACTAAATATCGCAGTGCCGACAGCTGAGCCGTAATCCATGTTTACGGCAGCTAGCCAGAGGGCTTGGGTACCAGTCGTGGCGTAGATGGCTAGGAGGAGTGATTTGACCATGTTGGGTATGCTAGGATAGGTATCAGTACATATTGATCCCAGGCTGTCCTTTTGACTCACTTGAACAAGGCACTCGGATATGCCCCAGCGATGGAGGGTAGTGGAACAGCCGTATCGAATGTTGAGGACTTTGATAAGCTTGGGGACAGAGACTTAGTGGGCTTATATATGCTTTTGCATCGCCTTCTGACAGTTGTCTTACAGATATACGAGATCCCGGCAAAGGACCGATTGCATCCTGCTTCTTACGCCTCGCGTCTGATGATGCTACATCGTAATGTACGGTCCGATCAACTGCTCAAGCACCAGAGCAGCTCTTGTTCTCTGCCACATCAATGGGCGTCAAGCGGCCCGGTGTCACTGCCTGCGTACGTTGCCTGTACACAGCCTCGTGCTGAGTTCGTTGACCGCCACTATCATACTATGACATCGCACTGTTATACCATGGCCCGAAGCGTGCAACTTAGACATGACGCGTCAGTCATGAGCCTAAGTACGTCCGTGCAGCTGTCATGGACTGGCCTGTCAGATATTAGAGCAGCTTATCCCACTGTATCCCTAAAATAGGCTGATATGATAACATTGCCTCTTGCACGACCATGACTGCCCCGGTTTTGCGGACGCTGATGTCGCAGCGGTCTTTCATCATCATGTCATTATGTGAACAAGTGGAAGCACGTAGCTTTCTGATTTCTATTGCAATTCGACCTTCTCACTTCGATTGAATTCGTGAAAGTGCCATAGACGGCAGCCGCTAAAGAGATGAAGAGTTTTATCTGTCACCGCCCTAGTATTTTCAATATTCACTATACACTGATACTTGCTTGAAAGGGCAGCACACTGTGTCGGTCCGGCATACTCATATCTAGTTCATAGATCTAATGAACCCTGAGGGTTACCGCTTTTCATGTCACACCGATCATCTGCGCTAGATCCAAGAGGCGAGTTTGGTTTTGATCACCTCAGACTTTCAGGCAGATGATGCGTTCGTGTGTATTCGCATGTTTCTACCAAGAAACATTAGAGGCTTCTGATGCTAAGCTTTTCGGTGTCCTTCGCAGATATTCATGAGCTCAGCGACATCTCCATAGCATGCAGCCGTCTTTCTTCGCACGTAGATTGTGGCTGTAGTAGCAAGCTCCTCATGTTTCATCAGGAATGAAGTCACCCAATCGAAGTTGCTCGTATTCTCGAACTCGGGTCTTGTTGATCACGATCTCGGAGCGTCCGACTACTAACGTCCGGTTCGGCCCGATTTGGACAAGTGAAGGTTTGATCTACTGCAAGAAGCCGCGTGAGGCACGCTTCAACCCACAATTTTGTAGCCATGCCTCGGCACATGTGTATACGTAATGTGTTGGCAAGAAAATTATGGAAGATCGGTTATTCCTTTTGTTAACTGGACAGAAGGTTGAACCATGTACGGCATGCACTTCTAGCGCATGAATTCGGTGTCGGGGCTTCAAATAGCCCCGGCTAGGCCCAGGAAGGAAGATAGATGCGTCTCGATTGTTTGATCGTCATTGCCGCTGTATGTTTGGATGCCACTGTAGGCAAATACACAGGACGCCTAGCCTAACATCCGTTCTATCGATTTCCCGCTAGTACGGACTCTTCATTCCGTTATGAATCGAGTTAGGCTGCAGTTGCAGGACTACTATGCAGTGACCTCCGATGTTCAAGCTTCAGCTTAGGCCTCGTGTAGCTTGGTGCACCTCATATGCTCAGTTAGTGCCTACATCGATCGAGCACCAGGAGAAGGTACAGAGTATCGAGGTCACTGCGGGAATAGTCACGTCGACGTCTGCGTTGTATAAAGACAGGCTGGAGCGCTGCAGACAGAATCATCAACATTCACAAGCTTCAACAAACAGTTCCAAGCGAATCCAACATGCCATCACCTGCTTATCCCATCGCTCTTGTGGCTCTCATTGGGTCCGCGCTCGCAGACATCCACAATGTCAATCTTCCCTCGAACTTCTTCGATGGTCCACAGAGCGGTATTGGATCATGGTACCGTGCCTCTGCCGGCCAAGACTCGACAAACGGCAAGAGCTGGTGTGCGTACACGTACTATAACAGCGATCCTGTCTTTGCTGTGGTAGGTAACAACCCTTTTCGAGATCTCTGGAATTGTCACTAACGAGAACGATGCTCAGTCCCTAAAAGCGATGGGCGGCAAGACCTACAATTCGGACCCAGCGGGTTGGAAGGCAGCAACGCAAAAGTACTGTGGTCTCGAGGCGACTGTTAAGGATCCCAAAACTGGCAAGCAAATGCTTATGTACATTGGCGACGCATTTGATGATAAATATGTCCTTGTAAGTGATCTCCTCGAGTACTATTTCGCAAGATCACTTAGTAACACGGTTCATCAGTCGCCGGGGTCTATCGACATCATGATCGACGCCTTCTCGAACATCCACGGGAACCCCAACGGTAACAAGAACGACGTCATCAAGGGTGTGGAGTGGCAGCTTACAGGACGCGTCAACACAAAGTATGCTGCGGATGGCGCCGTATGGCCAACAAAAGCTGGAGCAGCACCAACGACTCCTGCTCCTACAAAGATGCAGACTTCTGCTTCACCGAAACCGTCTGCCTCTCCACCTGGTGGTGGCGAAGGTGCGAAGTGCAGTGACTCGACGAACTGTAATTCTGGCATGACATGCTTAGCACCTGATGGTGTCTGCAGCACAGCCGCTTGTAATTGGGGGTTAGATCCTCCTTCCTTTGGCTTTTGAGATTTACTAACAAAAATTTTCAGATGTACCGGATGGACCTGTAGTGCTTCGTCGCCGTGCCAGAAACCAAACACGTGTGTAAACGGCGCCTGCGCAGCTCCGACCACCGGCGCTGTAGGTGCGAAATGCAGTAATACGACAGATTGCAACTCTGGCTTGACATGTTTGAGCCCCGATGGCGTTTGCAGCAGCGCGCAGTGCAACTGGGGGTGAGCGATCTTTACGTGTGCGACGAGTCGTGGAAAACTGACTTGGATCTACAGATGCACTGGGTGGACCTGTGATGCCTCGACGCCATGTCAGAAGCCGAACACTTGCGTAAGCGGCAGCTGCGCCGCAGCTTGAACGATGCTCATAACGTGATCTGGCCCACCTGGACGAACTTCGTACGATCAGGGCTGCTATATGGAGGTACCCTGTATGAATGGACATGGTCCTTTTGGAATATTGCAGAGATGGGAAGACATGGTAGAGTTGAAATAGTGGTACGTCTGGCCATTGTTTGCGGGTTGCTATTCCATTGAGAGATGCATTGAGGACATACGAATACTTAGATACATATGGAATACTACTGCCATATCTCGTTCACGACAACATGCATAGACACTCACCGCATCTTAAGCATCACGATATAAATACACATCAAATTTACCTTGAAAGGGTCTCGACTTTAAAATGTCCGAATGCGGAAGGTCGGAGATGCAGGTCCGTTTACACGACCAATCAGGTGTAGCGAGCTTCAGGAACCGAGGACGGGGAGGCCCACTCACGGCCCGTTCACGAAAGGATTTTTGTAAGGCGTACCGTTTATCTGGGGCATGCTCGTATAGCTCCCTGGTGCCTAGAGGTGTTTTTCCGTGCAGCTGTAGAAATAAGACAGTTCGCCCCGTGCGCATTTTAACACACCTCTATCACAACAACCTAAATTAATTGACTATGCGTTTCTCCTTCCTCGCGCTTGCGCTCGCCGGCTCGGCCGCCGTGACAGTCGCAGAGAGCGAATACGACCGCCCCGATCTCGCGGACACATACTGGGACGTGAGCATTTCTACACAGTCCGGTCGCCCAGGCTACAGCATCCGCGACTTCAACGCTACTTTCCATTCATCAATCACCAATGTCATTGAGGGAAAGTGTCACTACAGCTTCGTGCCACAAGGAACCAGTGCGCCTGCCGAGACGGATGTGTGTAGCACGGGATTGAAGTATGAATGGGACTGTAAGTCATCTTGATTATTCTATCTGCCGGACATCCACGTCTGCGAAACTCAGTGCAAGAGGCTGATTTTGGTGCGATAGACACGAACGTTACGTTCCTGGAGCAAACGCTCGTTATGGGTAACGACACTTTTTGGATTTACGGACTGTCAACCAAGATAGAGACAACTCGCAGGAGCGATGGCATGAGCAGCACGACCAAGGGTAATGGCAAGGTGGATATCAGCCATTATTGTATCAAACCCGGATCGGGGACCTACAGTGGATGTGGATACGCTAACGGCTGCGTATCCACGAAATGCAACAACGAGAAGACAGGTGCTGCTTGTTACAGGTAACACAAAGGATTCTCTCCTTGACATAGGGTGAAGGGGTTGAAGGCCAACCACGACCAAGTCAGAACGCAACGATGATCGCGGGGCTCGGGGTCACGTGATCAGGATTGGCACCCCGCCAAGACCAGGCCTCCGGGAGGCCAGTGGGGCTAGGGAAGCCACGGTCCTCCCAAACCTCCCTCTGGGATAGGAGGCCAGGGAGGACAGGACCTAAGGCAATGGGTATAAGAATGTGTTGGATTTCATTATTACACTCATTGTGGTCAACTCAAATAGTTCATCTCTTACACAGATTGTTAACTAGTTATTCTATCGTTTATAGAATTGGATTGTCTTTACCTGCAGTTATTCCACGATAACTCTTTTCCACAGAATCGCCAGACAAACCTCACGGACTACCGCTTTAGTCTACCTCGCCTTAGTACGGACCGAGCCTAGAGAAGTATAGCCTAACCCCGTGTAACACTTTGACCACCATCGGATTCAGTGGACGTGAATAACAACCAGGTTGCCCGATTAAGGAAGATGTCAGCCCCAAGAGTCACTCAGAACAACGCGGCCCAGGGTCCGGGACCCTCGGCACCAGCACCAGCAAACAATGAGATGCTGGATGCATCCGACTCGGAGACAGAAGATACTCCCAGTGCCACGGAGCTCAGACACCTTAGGCAACAGGCCCAAGTTCAGTCTCGGCAGATGCTCGAGATGCAGAACATGATCAATCAGCTTGCAAGTCAGCTGATGGCCACCCCCAACGAACGATCATCTACTACGAAGAAACCCAAGATGGCGTCACCCGAGAAGTACGACGGAAGTCGAGAAGAACTGCGAACGTTCCTCACCAACATCGACTTGTACTGCGAGTTCAACGAAGTACCCAACGACCAGGAAAAGATCCTCATGGCAAGCACGTACCTGAAAGGAAAGGCTTCCAATTGGATGCAGCCATACGTGGACGACTACCTTACGGATATCACGCAACATGGAACTAAGGAAGAAACCCGAACCATGTTCGCGAGTTGGACGGAATTCAAACAAGAAATGGGACGCATCTTCGGAGAAGTAGACGCGAAGAATCAGGCTGAGAAACGGATTACTCAACTGAGGCAAACCAAGTCTGTATCAGCCTACACGGCGGAGTTCAAGCAACTACAGGCCAGGATCGATTGGGATGATGCGGCACTTCGAACGGTCTTCGAAGCAGGCCTCAAGGAAAATGTCAAGGATGGCCTTGTACACCACGACAAGCCCGGAACACTACACGCGTTGATCGAGCTTGCTACACGCATCGACAACAGGCTATGGGAGCGAAACGATCAGAAAAAGTATTTCCGCCCTAACATGGCCAACATAAAGAGACAGCGTGGAAGGTATGACAGGGATGGCGATGCCATCATGACCGGCAAAGTACAAGAGAAGGCCAAAGACAAGAAATCCCGAGGAAAGAGACACGACGGTCTCTCTAAGGAAGAACGCCAGAGGCGTTATGACAAGAAAGCATGTCTCCGATGCGGTGAAGTTGGACACTTCGCCCGAGACTGCTGCACGGGTGAAGCAAGTAAGCAAGCAGCTGTCAAGATCGGGATGGTCAGACAGGGCACGCCCTACCCGGCTCAGATAGAACCGGATGACAACCTTAGCGACATGGACCTCTACGAGGAAGCCCGCATGGAGGAAGACTACGAGGTCATCCAGCAACCAAAGCGAGCCGACGACATCCTCACGATGGAGAAACCTAAGGAAACCGACTGGAAAGTCGAGGACAGAGTCGTACTAGAACGACTAGCAAAGAACCAGTGTTGGGTATGCGGAGACGCCGCACATCACGCCAACGACTGTGCGAAGCGGGACCGAATTGTAATAACCGGCCCGGACGCCGAAGAAGTTGGGCATCAGGCGATACACCAACAACCGTACTTCGAGGACCCAGGAACAGAGGTTCTCAACCTCGAAAGACCCGAAGAAAGGGACACCAGAGAACACCGAGGATTGTGCTGGTACGACTGCAAAGTAGAGTGCGAGTTCCACCAAAAGGATAAAGAGGATTGCAGAAAGGACCAGGAAAGGTGCTGTCACCTAAACCTGTGGGCAGACGAGTGTCTAGCGGACAACTGCCACCTCCATGAGCCTGAGAAAATAGGAATCCATGAGAGACTCCTATGGCCACAGTGCAAGAACGGATGTTCCTTCCACCGCGACCAACTCGAGAAAGCACGACAAGTGGACGACTACTACCATGTCACCCTGTCATCAAACATCTGCGAAGTAACAAACTGCCCCATCCACGAAGCCAAGAAGGCGGAGCCAAGGAAGAAAATCACCAAGGAAAAGATACCTCATCAGAACCTTCATTGGAGCTTTTGTTACGACGACAGATGCATAATCCATTACAGTTCCAAAACCGACACAGGCTACTTTCCCAGGAAAAGGAAAGGTAAGCAGGCAAAAAACTAGGATGCCGCCAGAAACAGGGTCACACTGGCGAGGGCATACCTAAAACGACCCTTAGGAAAGTACAGGATACCGATGGTCAAGCAAGGCAGTTGCTCACAACCGTATCTGTACAAGGTCAGAACATCCAGGCGCTCGTAGACAGCGGGGCCGCACGGACATTAATCTCCCCACGAGTGGTTGAGAAACACGAAATACCATATCGAATCAAGAGTAAACCGATTCCGATAATACTAGCCGACGAAAAACCCATGGAATATGGAAGCGGCATGATACGAATGGAAACCGAGTCCACCAAGCTACGGATAGCGGGCATAGAATGCCAAATGGACATCGATATCATGGATCTAGGAGGACTAGATATGTTGATAGGTTATGACTGGCTGGACGCCCATAACCCCGCCATCGACTGGCGAATGAGGACGATACTCAAAAGAGAACCTGTGCACAAGGTTGCAGGAGTACGCCACGAGACACGCCCGACGAATCAGAGCTCACCCCAGGACGGGAGATTCGGCAGCATCTCACCGCATAAGATCGCGAGAATCTATGCGAAGGACCCTCAGAAAATAGGAGTCATTTGGATAAGGAAAGTCGCGACCACGAAGGAAGGACCCTTACCACTAGAAATACCACGAGAGTATCAAACCGACGAGTTCAAGGAACTCTTCGAGGAAAACGAGGCTACTGATCTAGCAGACCATCAGGAGTGGGATCACGAGATCATCCTAGATGAAGGAGCTAAGCTAAGCCCAGGACCAATGTACCCAATAGCGCCCGAGCACGATGCTGAGCTAAGGGACTACATCCAGAAGAATCTGAAGAAGGGATTCATCCGACCGGGATCAGGCCCGATGGCCTCACCCATCTTGTTCGTAAAGAAGCCTAACGGAAAGTGGCGACTATGTGTCGACTTCCGAAGGTTGAACAGCGTCACGAGGAAGAACCGATATCCCTTACCACTCATTACAGAGCTCATGGATCGACTCCAAGGAGCTAAGTGGTTTACGAAATTCGACGTTCGGGAAGGATTTTACCGAATCAGGATCAAAGAAGGTCACGAATGGATGACAGCGTTCAAAACGAAATACGGACTGTTCGAGTATACGGTTATGCCGTTCGGTTTGACGAACGCGCCGGCAACCTTTCAATCAGTCATCAACAACGCTCTCCACGAGTACCTTGGGATCTTTGTCACAGCGTACCTGGACGATGTACTAGTGTACTCCAGCGGATCGCTCGAAGAACATGTGGAACATGTCAAGAAAGTGCTCAGGAAGCTCAAGGAATACAAGCTGTACCTGCAGCCAGGAAAGTGCGAATTCCACGTCAAAGAGACGGAATTCCTAGGCTTCATTATATCTACAGAGGGAGTTAAGATGAACCCAAAGAAAATCGCGGCTGTACAGGAGTGGCCACAACCCAAAACAGTCAAAGATGTGCAATCCTTTCTAGGATTTGCCAATTACTACCGGAAGTTCATCAAGGATTACTCGAAGATCACAGCACCCCTCTCAGAGATCACGAAGAAAGAAATAGGGTTCAAATGGAACGAGGAACATCAAGAGGCTTTTGTTCGAATCAAACAGATCTTCCTCGAAGCACCCGTACTAGAAATGTACGACCCCAGACGGGAAACGCGAGTCGAGACCGACGCGTCAGATTATGCACTCGGTGCTATATTATCACAGCAGTGCCCAGACAAGAAATGGAGACCAGTGTTCTACCATTCAAGGAAGTTCTCCGGAGCAGAACTTAACTACGACGTTCACGATAAGGAACTACTCGGGATAGTAGCTGCCTTTGAACAATGGGAAGTCTATTTGCTGGGACTACCACATACGATCGAGGTTTTTACCGATCACCAGAACTTGGCAAGCTTCATGACAACCAAGAAACTCAACCGACGACAAGTCCGATATGCTGAGATGTTAGCTCAGTTTGACTTTAAGATAACGCATCGAGCCGGAACGCTTAACGGAGCAGCAGACGCTCTAAGCAGGAGGTCTGACCTACGAGAAGAAAGTCATGAAGAACCACACGACGCCATGTTCAAGAAGATGCCCGATGGCACACTACGATACAACCAGCCGGAACTAGCTAAGGTAGCTAAGGTGGCCGAGCAGGTGGAAACACTACAGCAGCAATGGCAGAGGAAAGCGTTGCACTGGCAACTAGAACCAAGGCCAATCCCACGGGAGATACAAGAAGATGAGTTGGAGCTCAGAGCGATGACCCAAGTCGGGAAAACGTACGTGGCTCCACCCATACGGGAAGAACTCATCAGAGAACTGCATGAGTCCAAGGAATACGGACACGCATCGCTGGAAGAAATGGCTAGGCGACTATCAAGGGTGTTTGCGATACCACGCTTGCGAGCGAAGGTGCAGGATGTCCTAGGCAACTGTTTGGCTTGTCATCAGAACAAGCCCAAGAGACATAAGCCCTACGGCCTGTTACAACCCTTACAGCCACCAACCAAGCCATGGAGCAGCGTAACGATGGACTTCATAGTGAAGCTCCCGAAATCGTTAGAACCAGGATCAGGACGACTTTGTGATACAATCCTAGTAATCGTGTGTCGATTAACTAAGGGAGCAA